GCCTGAGCTCCAATCAGAATCAAGCCTGTCGCGTCCTTACCTCAAATCCCTAAATTCCCAAAGAACTGAAAGCTTCAAGCTCTTGGATCGAGCTTGAGGCTGTGACTGTGATCGACCTTGAGTTTGTGATCCATGACTTTGAGGTTGTGATCCATGAGAAGCTTGAGGCTGTGATCCAAGAGGAGCTTGAGGCTGTGATCCAAGAGGAGCTTGAAGCTGTGATCCAAGAGGTTTCAGTTCTTTGGGGATTTGAGAATTTGAGGTTAGATTTGGGGGTTTTAATCGATTTGGGAATTATTAGATTAGGCTCAAACGCTGTCGTTTAAGACTAACAGAGACTCATTAATGTTGGTTTAACGATGTTTAATCGCACCATCACACGACTTAACGTTGTGCTCATTTTGGCTGAATCAACGAAACTTCATGCCTCAAACGTAAAGTCAACACGAGTTGATGATTTAAATGGCCAACCTCAAAGTTCATGCTTAAAATGGTCTAAATTTGAAAGTTCATGATTTAAATGACATTTTTCTCAAATTAAAATAGCTTTCGCTACACCAATTCTAGCCAATTTTTTACTCTAAATTCTCTCTTTAACAATTCTCTTTTTAAATTAGACACGTCGAAAGATTCTCCTGGTCGTTAATAGTGATATGTTGAAATTTTCTCCCTTATAAATATCATCATATTGGACTTACATAATTTATTGGCCAACTGCTGTGTTCGCTTTAAAAGAAATACGATTTCAGATGTCCTTGTCTTAATATCAAAACACTTTAACCGAAGTTGATGACTGATTTATCCTAAGTTTTTATTTTCAGCAACTGATAATGAGTTTAAGTGGTAAATAAATACCAATAAAATAACAAACATCTCATTTTCTTAATATTCTAAGTGTATTAGTTACAATTTGCTTCACAAAACAAAGGTATGCAATTTCGGATTTAAAACAATTGTAATGTGGTATTATTACGATTTAAGTAATAGTAGCAGAACACGTATTGCAAAACAGACAAAACAAACAAAAATATGTGAAGAATAATACCAAAAAAAATGAAAATTTAATTAATAAAATATTTTATATTTTTAAGATAGTGAAAATAAATAAAAGTATCTTGTAAGCATACCGAAACCGGTAAAAAGTTAAAATAAGTTATTTCTCACAATATATTCAAGATTAAATATCGTCTCTATTAAAAAAGGCTATATATTTGGGAAGAGGAAATTGGAAATCGAAAATGCCCCTTCGACTGCCTGGACAGGGAGTCCCCAATAATTATACAGATTATGATGGGCGACTAGATTCCTTAGTTTGTCTTTTGAGGTTTTAATCTTATTATTTATGTTAGACTAATTTCGTATACATAGGAAAAATGTAGTTCAATCTTCAGTATTTTTTGTTAGGTAATAAGTTCACCCCGAAAATATAATTAGCGTAGTCTAAAATGTGAACAAAATTGTTAAATCAAATGCTAAATTGACTGTGTTATTCCTTTATTTTTTTTGCGATTAAACGTTGCTAGCTTTTTAATAATTTGATTTGTTATGTCAAAATATATTGGATTTTAGATGACATCCAAATTTATTGAGGGTTTTTAGGTAAATCTGCTATAGGTTCGGTCTGTTTTTGCAAATTTTCCTATACGTAGAAGTAACAAAAAATTATCAAGACACTAAGCAAAAAAAAAGGCTATTGAACATTAACTCCAGACAGTAAGCAAAAAAAAAAAGAGTGCTTTAAGGTTGAAGTTCCCTAGATGAACAACAGGAAGAGAAAAGGCTATGGTTACTTCTCTCCATGGGGCTGATTGATCCAGAATCATCGTCTTCCAGCTCAAGCAATGCAAGGCTCAAATGTAATTCCGCCATGGAATTCGGGTAAACCTCGTCATCCAAGCAATCTTCATCTTCTTCCTTAATCCATTTCTCGACTTCGTTTAAACCTCTTAGTAACCTCAGTATCTGAAGAAACACTAATGATTAGTCCTTGATGATGACGGACTTAGTTTTCTTGTAAAGGAATTAAACTCTTACTTGTCTAATACTAGGACGATGTGTGGCTGATCTTGTGAGGCAATGTGTAGCAGCAAGAACCATTCTCTGAAACTGAGATTCGTCGGTTATCTCTGTTATGTCTGCATCCAAGATCCCTTTTGAATTTCCAACTTCAATCAGTGGCTTTGCCTGCATTCCAAGGGAAAATCTTTTTAGGGTTTTATGTAGTGTTGCTCACGCTACAAGTAACCAGCACACAAAAAACACACTTACCCACATGACTAAACTCTCTTGTCCTCTTGGATTCTCAGGTGAAATGGGATTTCTTCCTGATATGAGTTCAAGGAGAACCACTCCAAAGGCGTAAACGTCGACTTTGTCACTGACTTTTCCGTACATGAAATACTCTGGCGCAAGGTATCCAAACGTGCCTACCACGTCACCTTGTATTGCATATCGAGAAGATGTCGTGGGTCCCCACATCGACAGCCCGAAATCTGTCAGCTATTTCCAAAATCATAAGCAATACAATCGGTCTATCTTATGAGTTTCATCAAGAAAATTAGCAAAAGAAATCAAAGTCAAAAGCTTTCATTACCTGAGGCTGGAGCTCATCTGAAAGAAGAACATTTGAGGTTTTGACATCCCTGTGAATCACTGGCCTAGAACATCGGTTATGAAGATAATCTAACGCTTCCGCTAACCCGATTGCTATCTTGAATCTCTCTTCCCATGATAATACATGCTTATCCTTTTGCTTACCTGCATTATCAATTATCATCATACTATATTTATATACCTATTCGACATGACCTTTTTATTATATATACGAAGCTGGGAGTGTTGTGTTACCGTGAAGGGTTTCCTCTAAACTTCCTGTCGATGAAAGATTGTAAACGGAGATTAGATCATTTTCTTGGACGCAAACACCAAGTAACGGTGAGATGTTTTGGTGACTTAAAGAAGAGATAATGTCAATTTCATGGACAAAATCTGTCATAGCTTCTTTAGATGAGGATTTCAAGATTTTCACTGCAATGCCTTTTCCATTTTTAAGAATCCCTCTGTACACTTCATTGCATCCTCCTTTCCCAATCAGATTTTCTGTCATATAAGAGCAAAGATGAAACAAAAACTCAGAAACACATATAGCGAGTAATAAGGAGAAACAGAGAACAAAAACAGAGTACCTTGAGAGAAATCTGATGTTGCCGTCTTAAGAACATTGTAGTTGAACCATTTTTTGGTGTCTCTTAATATGTCATTAAGTTGTTTCTTGACAAAGGTTGTCTCAGAGTTTAGATTCTGCTGATGATTTGGAAACCTGTCAGGTAAGCTCATGACCCAGTTGACCACTGAGACTTTCCGTGTGGGCCAATGGTGAATTTGTTGTGTCCCTGAAGAGGCTCTTCTAAGCAAAGGCCAACCTGGTTTCTGGTCTAATAAAATGTCTATCGATGGAAGCGAAAGTGATCTTCCTGAAATCTTCTGCTTTTCTTCACCCATCTTCAATAGTTCTTCGCTTTTATCTCTTGATTCATCGGACTTGCATTCACCATTAGAAAGTTCAGAACTTTTCCTCAAATCTATCTTATGCGTTGAATTATTAACCAAAGCCATTGCTCCTGAAGATTGTTAACGCTGTTTCGAGTGTCTGCAGATAATATTTCCTAAGTTGTTGGCCAAGACTTCAGTTGTTGAAGGCAATTGTTTCCCGCTGAATTTAGTCATCGATATGCGATCAATCCTACTTTGAATCTTGATTCCAACTATGACAACCTTGTGAACCAGACTTCCTTTTGAAACTTACTCCTTTGAGCTCAATCTGTTCTCAAGAACACAAAAAGTATAGACCCCTTGTTTAAAGTCTTTTCTTTACTATGAAAAACCGAAAGATCTATAAACATACCGATATAGTAGAACACAATCCACCACACAGTTCTAAGTAGCAGTCCAGCGATGACTTTCTTCCAAGAAAAAAGCTGTTATCCATTTGTCACTCGAAACAGAATTCACCAATTAGAAACATAAGCAGGAACTTTGTAAGGAACAAGAGAAGAAGAAGGAGAAGAAAAGCCCGCGGGAAGTAGAAGAAACATGAAGAGAAACAACGAAATCTCTAGATTCTTTGTTAAGAACCCATTTCTTACCAAGTTTCTTTGTTTTTGTTACATAAGAAGAGCCCAGAAACTTTTGAATCGTTCAAATAAAATGAGCTCTGGCAAATGTTGGTAACATATCTGAGCTAAATGCTCTCGTTATATGTATAAAAACAGAGGAATCAAACAAACAAAAACTCCATTGGAACAAGTGATTTGTTAATATTAGGAATAATATAAGATTTTCGTTGTTAATTAGAATTTTATTTTTCAATTATATATAAACAATACAGCGGAGATGGATTTAAAAAGATAAATAATGAGCATTACAAGAGTAACAAGACAAGGTAGTATTAGCAAAACTCGTTACATCTGTTATTAAATGTGGTCATTGAATAATAAGAATCGAAATCTGCCGCCATCTACCATCAGCATTAAAGGATTAAAGGATTTAATTTTTCTAAGAAATAAATAAACAAATGAAAATTAAAATCTAGCACATTAAAGGATTTAATTTTTCTAACACGTAAATGTTGATCACTTGTATATCATCTTATGGTGAAATCATTGAAAGAGGATTGAAATTGTTAATTAGCGTGTTTAAGTATCAAATATAAACCGATTGGATCAAGAACGTGTCGGCGAGAGAGAGAGAGAGAGTTTTTGGGGGAAGAGGAGTGAGCAAACAGAAGTTAGTCATGACTAGTTTTACCTTCGATAATAATTTAGAATTTTTTTAAAAAAATAGTTAGCGGAAACCGGCAAATTTCGCGGGAAACCCTCGTTAACCGGTGAGTATAATGGGGCGCTTGAGTGTGACCACCGGCTATTGCGGGTAAAGCGTAACGAACACGCCTCGACTCAAGCCTTGAAGGCTGCCCCCTACGTACGGCAATGGTTCGATAATTAAATGAACCAAAGTCCGTGTACGCTACGCACTTCTCTTCTTCTCATATACTTTTTAAAACTTCCTTTTTTTTTTGGTAACATGTGAAGAATTGATAAACCTCACATATATTTTCATGTCTTAATAAAGTTGGCAAGTAAGACAAGTAAAATGTTTTGTTACAACAAAAGGTAATTAATCTTATCACTTGTGAAAATGACGTCGTTGATTTGATAAAATACATCTGTCACGTCCCTTCTTCAGAAGAGTACAAAAGTTCATCGCGTTTTCTTTCACATATCATCACTCTTGGTAAAACATGTCAGAGAAAAGTTGGTACGTAGGGCCGTAAGGGAATAGATTACAGTCTCTACTGTGATTGAAAGGCTTATTAGGTGAATATTAGTTCACTAAACGTCCTGACACATGAAATTTAGTAATATTGTGGTGGGAATCGAATAATGCGTGGGTCTGAATCGAGAGGTAGTTAACGCAAAGAAAGAGATTGATCAACAAACGATATTTCGTTTAGTAATGATAAGCCAAGCTTATGACCACAAAATTTGATTAAAATAAATAAATCAATACTCCATAATCAAGATAATACAATCCAAACAGAAAATGATAAAAAAAATCCAAGGGGAATTGTCTACTCCATGATCAAAGTAAGTATGAAGGAAAATTTGATGAAAGTCAAAAGTTATTATGTTCACTGATTAAATTGTATTTCTATTATTTTGTCAGCTTTATATACACCTCTTATTCATGGTTCACGTGTAGACAAATCGGTGGTATCACCCAAAGTGAATGGATCATGGATGTATCAATCATGTATGTAATCGTCATGTTTTTTTTTTTTTTTCATTTTCATTTTTTTTTTGTCAGACGTTACATAAAATCCGAAACAATCATTTTTCTAACTGATTGATCAACTATTGGATAATGCACAACTTTCCTTGCCACTTTAATCTTCCTACGTTTTTTTACTATGATATAGATACATAAAATCCGTTTTACTGTATTATTATTTTTTTTGTAGCAAAGATATTTCATTTGTTAACATAACACGATGCATAGAACAGCTGAACAGAGCTTCATTAGGAATCTTGAAAGAGAAGGGATTTTAATAATTCGCAAACATTAGGAATAGTGAATGCAGAGTTTTATTGGTCTTTAAGAATGTCTAACAAGATGTTTCCAATGCTGTTTGTTACTGTTTGAGTGAAACATAAAACCATCGAAACCAAATCATAACAGCGAAATCAAAGAATCTATCCCAAAAAAAAGCAAAGGAGGAAACTTTAAGCTGGTGCTGTCAAAGTTATTTACTTTTGGAACGTATATAATGTTATGCAATTTCGATTAAATCAGACTTACCAACTTGCTCTGCTTGCAAAATTATGAGGTTTGGACAAGAAACATGAAAGAGTGAGAGGGTTCCCCTAAATTAGTGCTATATTTACAGATCAAAATGAAAACAAGAATACAAATACTTGTTACTAGTTTCTTCTGATTTTGTCAATGCTTCAGACTACAAATACAAACAACAGATTCATCCTGCTTCCTTGAAGAAAACAAGTTATATGAAAAAGGAAAAACAAAAAATACTTGTGGCTCTAATTCTCCTGTTGATTCCTTTCTCCTTGTTGAATCACAATACAGAACAGCCTTTCTGAGATTTTCTCTTCTTCCTCTTCTTGTTTTTGGGTGGCTGGAGAACAACTTTGATAGCCGCATCAAACACGGCTTTTACATTCTGTTGAAAAGATTGGATATTGTCAGCGGCCAGTTTTAGAACCGACATGGGTAGAGACTAGATGAAGATATTGAAGTGTTTGGTTTACCTGTTGTGTTTTTGCACTGCATTCGATATAAGCAGGTGCCCCAATCAGCTTCTTTAGTTCTTCACCCTATTTTGATACCATCAGAAGATTTAACATGACGAATGTCCAACACCGAGGATTCAGTTAAGATCACAGGAGAAGAGTTTGAGAAGGTACCTGAGCAGTAGAGATAGGCACAGCACCAGGGTGCTCGACGAAGAATTGCTTGTCATCTCGAAGATCTAAAACAGGATTAGTCATTAAAAAATTTCAGAAAAGTCCCCAGGACAGAGAAAAATTGGTAATTTGAGTTATATCACAAGAACCAACCAAGCTTGGTTCCAACGAGGATGATGGGAACACCAGGAGCATAATGTGTCAGTTCAGGAACCCACTGAGAATTCAAAAACAAGAAACCAGATGGACTCTATCAGAAACACCGAGTGAGAGAATTTGGGGATAAAACAGGAAAGAAGTTTCAGGGGACGACCAAAGATCAAACCTTTTTAGAAACATTTTCATAGCTAGCTTTGCTGACGAGTGAGAATGCAAGCAAGAAGACATCTGCGCCGCGATAGCTCAAAGGTCTTAGTCTATTGTAGTCTTCTTGTCCTGTTTCATCGAGTCAAACACACAAATGACTCTCTGGAGAGAAGAAGATATTCAAAAGATAAGAAAGAACAATAATCAAGTCCAAGGTAACTTGCCTGCGGTATCCCACAACCCCAAGTTGATAGTGTTCCCATCCACAATCACATTGGCGCTGAAATTATCAAACACAGTTGGCACATAATCCTGTCACAGCAAAATTCCCACTAACATTAGCCATAAAAATGTCTAGAGATCCTCAAATACTAAAGATCACTACAGTACAATCACTGAGCTAAAGGCCCACTAACTATACCAGAAAGAACAAGCCTTAGAGTAACTTCCTTAGAAAATCTCAAGAATATCTATCTACATTATAACAAAATCTGACTTTACCAGATACCACACAGCAACCTAAGCATCATCAGCTTTAACAAAAACTTCCTGCACATTCGGACCCAACAACAAATCCAACTTTCCCAAGCTACGATCTTTTCAAGCTATACAAACAACAAATCCCAGAAAGAGAAAACACAAAGGAGAAGGCTTTAAAGCTGACCGTGGGGAAGGTGTTGCTGGTGTAGGAGATGAGCAGACAAGTCTTTCCGACAGCGCCATCGCCGACGGTCACACACTTAATAAACCTTGAAGCACTCATTTCTCTCTCTCTCTCTCTGCGTTCTCAAAAACTTGAAACCCTAATTTTTCACGATTTGGGGATTTTGGTATATAGAGAGAGAGAGAGAGTTTCTTAAAGAGGTAGAAGACAAAGCAATAGCTGCTCAAAGTCTCTTCCTAATTTTTCCTACTCTCTCACATGCACTTGAAATTTTCTTCTTTTACGAGACTTAGAGCAACCTCCGGTGATATCCACTTGGGTTCATCACCAATTTTTTATTAATATATAATTTTGATGAATGAAAAAATTAGAACCTCATCAATTTTTCATCTTAATATGATCTCTATTTAGGATTCATATGAATAAAATAATATATTTTTTTTTGTAATAAAATTTCGAAAATAATTATTAATTTAGAATTAAACTTAAACATTAGCATTACATAATAAAAAAAAAACATAACATACATACTGAAAGCAAATTATAAACATATCAGCCAAATTTCTCCCAAATATGCTCTACCAAATCATTTTGCAGCTGATCATGTATCTTTTTATTTTTAACTTTCTTCCGATTCTCCATCAAATTGGTGAAATTAGTAGGCATAGTCGTTTGATACATCATATCGACCTGTGAAGTTCTGGTTCCTTCTCGTTGTTCGAAAGAATCCAAATCGTATTGGGTGTATCCAGCTCTTTCATCTTCTACTATCATGTTATATATGATGATACAAGCTCTCATTATTTTTCCAATTTTTACCTTATCCCAAAAGAGAGCTGGATTTTTGACTATGGCAAAACGAGCTTGCAGGACTCCAAAAGCACGCTCAACGTCTTTTCTGGTGGATTCTTGTTTTGTGGCAAACATTGTTGCTTTTTCACCTTGTGGTAACGGTATAGATTGGATAAAGGTTGCCCATTTGGGATATATTCCGTCTGTTAGGTAGTACGCCAAATGGTATTGATGCCCGTTTACCCAAAAATTCACTTTTGGAGCTCGACCTTGTAAAATATCATCGAAAACATGTGAACGATCAAAAACGTTGATATCGTTTAAAGTACCTGGAGGTTCAAAAAAGGCATGCCAAAACCAAAGGTCTTGTGATGCGACAGCCTCTAAGACAATTGTAGGTTTTCCAGAACCTCGTGTATATTGCCCTTTCCAAGCTGTTGGGCAATTTTTCCATTCCCAGTGCATGCAATCGATGCTAAAGAATGGAACTTGGGAAAGACGGTCAACAATATACATGAACAACGGCTTGTTCATTCTGAAGCGGCGACGGAATATATGCGATGGATACGTACAATCTTCACTGAAATAGTCATTCCATAGATTCATGTGACCTATTTCGCGCTCTCTTTCTATATATGCTCTTTTCTTCTTTGCTCTTCTTGGTGGTTGATTCTCCAAAATGGTGTCATACAGATCATCCATTGCTTGATCCATTATGTCGTCAAATGCGTCATCAAACCGGTCATCAAGATCGTCATCACTGAAATTGGTGTGTGATGATGATGCCATTGCTTGAATGAGAGAAGAGTAGGAAACGAGTTGTGGAAACACGTGAAAGAAGCAGAGAGAAAAGAAGTATCTCAATAGAGTAAAGAGAGGGTTTAGATAAGAAGCGATAGTCTTCGGACTTAAAAAAAAGAAGAGGTAGTTGAAGTTCTTTATAAAGATTACATGTCTTATAAAGAGGACATATCTTATAAAGAGGAAGATAATTTTTGTGGTTTACAAGAAAACACAAGTACACCACCACAACCACTACAACATTAACCGTGACACTTGAATACAAAATAAAAGTTCAGACAGAGACAAATAAAAGTGGACAGATAAAAGTACAAGACAAATCAGAAAAAACAAGAGAAAGATAGCCCGTGACATCCATAATAATGCTTCATATTTCTCATCCAAGCCATCTGCATAAAATGAGAAAATGGTAGGGATTAGCCATCAAGTCATAATAACAAAGAGAACTACTCATCATATTAACCTCAAAACTGTAAAGAGAACGGTAACAAGTCATATTAACCGAAACCATTATTGTAACAATTCATTAATCAGTTGGTTTTTCAGGGCCACTTCTCTGTCAGAGAGTGATTCGCTTCTAGCAAGTAACTTGTCGAGCAGTTTCTTGTTGGTTAGCTTGTCTCTCATCTCCAAATCTTTTTGTTTTATTTTCCACACACTCTGCACACACTCAGCCGCCTGCTCTGTCATATTGTGGACTCCTTTATTCTTTGACGCAGCTGCTTTCTTCGCAGCCTTAACACCAATCGGACGTGGCTGGGAAACATCGTAGTTGGCACCGTCATCATTAAAGCTGGATGACTGACATGTAGAGGCCTCCAGCTTTCTGCGTTTGCCCTTGTCTCCTTCTTTGTTAGCTGTCGTCGCACACCACTTCTGGTCGTGTCTGAGCTCTCTCCATGCGTGGTCAAGAGTGAATTTAACGCCATAGTCGTTGTAGAAAATCTCTCCAGCTGCCTTCATCAGGTCGTTCTCGTTTTGGCCGCTAGTTTGCTGTGTCTTTGCAGCCTCGAAACAGCCCACATACTTGCAGACTTGATCGTTCAGACGACCCCATCTTTGCTTGCACTGACTCGCCGATCTAGCATTCTCTCCACTAAGCTTGAGGGTGCCGTTGAAATATGTTTAGATCCTCTTCCAAAATGCGCCAAACTTCTGGTCATTACTCACCACCGGGTCCTTGGAAGTATTTAACCACGAACTGATTAACACCAAGTCCTCCTTAGGTGTCCACTGTCGCCTCGGCTGCTTACTCGATTCACCAGGTGTGGTTGGATCATCAGACCCTTGACTACTAAACTTAGGGAAGGTTTCTGATGATCCAAGGTCTATTACGTGCGGGTAAGTAAATGGGTTTGGGTTTTCTTGTTGTTGGCTAGTTAGAAGATTGACGAAGCCGTGAGAGTTAGAAAATGGAATAGGAGAATCCATTTTGTTGTTTACAAAGAAAGGGCTTATGGTTTTGGTTTTAGGTTAACGTTTTAGAAAGCTTTTAAAATAGATAGCTGTTAAAAATAGAAAGTCTTTAACTCCCATGGGATTTAAAAGATTTAAAAGTTGAACTGTTTTTGTAATGCAATCAATGAATGTGCTTTAACTCCCTAACCTACCAAGAATTGATAACAAAGACCTTAACTCTCCACCTAACAATCAAATCACTATAAAGAAGACCTTAACCAGCTAAAAAAAACTAACTAATTACACACATCACTTAACTACATAACCTAACTAAAAGTTAGAAAACGGACTAACCTTTATTCATTTCTGAAATGACGTCTGGTTGAGCCTCGTTAACTGTCCTCGAAGAACTCGTACCTCCTCCTTCAGACTCTCCACCTCTCCTCGAAGACCTCGAACCTCTCCCTTGATATCAGTCTCTAGCTTCCACATCTGTTCCTTTTGATATTTCACCTGCCTCTCGAGAATCCCAAGTTGCTCGGTAACACCAACATCCCACCATTGGAACAAATGCACTCCACTCCCCTACAATACAATAGTTATGTTATGAACCAATATATAATACATACACACATTCAGCAATGACAATATTGATTCAAGTAAAGTAAAACATTACCTCTTCTAGCCGGTCAGGGCAAGTTAAGTACTTTCGCCCATGACTACCTTCAGCAGTACACGTTTCCACCTTCAAGACCCGACCACACCAGCACTTTTCCTGAATTCCATAAGTCGCGTCACCATATGCCCATTGCAAGTCCTCCTCTGGTCTTTTAGACGACGTATCACTATAGATAGATGGCATTATTTGTACAAGACACAACTCTCAAACAAACAAATTCAAGCGCATTAGAGGATCAGGAGAATCAAACCATCTCACAAACAAAGATACTCATATCTAACAATCGAACAAGAGGTGTTCATGTGTGGTGATGAACAAACAAACGAATTCCTAATCTCACAAACTCATAAATGACACATGAACAATCAATACAGTCGCACATCAAAAACATTCTCACATCTAACCATCGCACATCAAACAAACTAACACCAAACAATCGCAGAATAAAACAAAGGAAATCATCAAGTCATTCACAGAACAAACAACAGATGAATCGATCCAACCCAGATGAATCGATCGAACCCAGAAAACAGATGAATCGAACACTATATCAAACCCAGAAAACTTGATAAATTTTTTCTTAAATCCCTAAATCAGATGACGTGATTTACGATAGAGTAACCCAAACAAATGTATTGTTAGTCGGATTAACACTGTAACCCTAATTTAAATCAAAAATCGAACCTCAAAGTTTTTCCCCAAATAAAAAAAAAACTCTAATTTCGCAAACCCAATCGCAGAAATTAACATCAGCAATCACTTTCGATATGATAAGCACTAACCTTAACGAAGCAGATGAAGATGGCGGTCTGAATTTGGTATTCGATGTCTCACAAATCGCCAATGGAAAAATCGCATGCAGAGAAGAAGTATCGGGGAAAAAGTTTGGGAAGAAAAAAAATGACCAAGGAAATTTGTCTCGAGGAAGAGAAAGACACGAGTGAAAAAAAATTTAATTAAACCCAATCAAAAAAAGCCACGTCAGCGATGAACCCCAACCAAAACGGGTTCGAAAAATGCTTCCTCAAGAGGTGAATCGTCGAATTATGGGCCTTTTTGATTTTTTTTAAATCCAAAAAATTGGTGATCCCCACCCATGATACTCTCTTGATACACCGTTGGAGGTGTTCTTAAATTAAAGTAAATTATTTTCTATCTAAAGATATTTGTGAAAACGATTTAACATTTAGACCAAAAAAAAATATTTGTGAAAACGTATTAGGTAAAATGATTGCAGTGTTATACTGTTATTCCGTTTTCAGCCACTTTTGCATACATAATCTTTTGTTTTTTTTTTTGTTTTTTGTCGTCAATCTTTTGTTTAAATGTATATTTTTACACAACTTCTCTAAAACTAAAAAACGATGTTTTTTAAAAAAAAAAAAAAAAACGATCACGGTAAGAAATCTTTGAAAGCTAGCTAGTTAGATCGGTTAAAAACATTGATTAACTGTTGTTAAAGAGAAACAGTTGTGTGAAAAAATATAATACTCAAATAAATATTTTGTTACGTATTTGTCCACCATATTAGGCAAATAAGAGGGCAAAACAAACTTTTAAAAATAGCAAACAAATAAAATCAAATTAAAAATTCAGAAAGAAAAAAAAAAGTTTGAAAGTTACAACGGTGGATTCTATTTCAGACGCGTAAAAATCTCCGAAACCTGGAAACCTGAGTGCGAAACATTCTCTTATATCATTGTCTTTTTTCAGGGCTTGTTATTTGAGCTCTCCTTGTTTTTTATTCCTCCGACAAGGACGAGGTTCCAAGAGAACTTAGCTTCTTGTTCTACAACGCAAACAAACAAAATTAATTCAAGAAAAAGAAGGAGGGTTAAATGAGAAAACATTCTCTTGATCGATGGCTTTTGACGGCCGTTTTTGTGGTTATCCTCTCGTCTTCTTCCTTAATCGCCGCGAAAAAGGACGTGAAGAAGAAGAAGAAGATTAATAAGGAGGTGACTTATGATGGAACGTCTTTGATCATCGATGGCAAAAGAGAACTTCTTTACTCTGGCTCTATTCATTATCCTCGAAGCACTCCTGAAGTATGTTTCGATTAGTCAAAAAAAAATCATTTCTATCTTATTAGAAGGTTCTTTGTATTGATATCGAAATTAATATGTGATTTGGATTTTGTCTAGATGTGGCCACATATTATCAAGAGAGCCAAACAAGGCGGTTTGAACACGATTCAAACATACGTTTTTTGGAACGTGCATGAGCCTGAACAAGGAAAGGTAATTTTAAAAATACAATCGATTTATAGAACATATCATACATAAGTACATTATTTTTGTTTTTAGGATTCTTAGTGTCTGCTTTTTTTTTTGGTTACGTTTTTCATTAGTTCAACTTTTCGGGACGAGCTGATTTGGTGAAGTTCATAAAGTTGATTGAGAAGAATGGCATGTATGTGACATTGAGGCTTGGACCGTTTATCCAAGCTGAATGGACTCATGGGTAACGATTGCTATCTTTGTTTTTATCTATTGATTTTTTCTTTCTTAAATTTTTCTTTTAAATGTTTTATATGAAATCTTTTTTTTTTTTATCAGAGGACTTCCTTATTGGCTTAGAGAAGTTCCTGGAATTTTCTTCCGTACAGACAACGAAGCATTCAAGGTATGTACATATATATGAATGTGTGGCATACCAAAAAAAATATATATATGAATGTGTGTGTTTTATTACAATCAAAGAGATAAAAAGATGTGACCAAAAAAAAAAAACTATTGCAGGAACATACAGAGAGATATGTACGGATGATACTCGACAAAATGAAGGAGGAAAAATTGTTTGCTTCACAAGGAGGCCCCATTATATTAGGACAGGTGATTAAAACCCTAACACTTGCATATACATAATGACTTGAAATAAAAATGTTATACAATGAATAGTTTTGTAATAAAAATGAAACAATTGCAGATAGAAAATGAGTATAGCGCGGTTCAACGCGCATACAAACAAGATGGATTAAACTACATTAAATGGGCATCTAAGCTGGTGGATTCAATGAATCTCGGAATCCCATGGGTTATGTGCAAGCAGAACGACGCTCCTGATCCTATGGTAACATTTTAATTATTTCAAGGTTGTGTTTTTGTCTGAAAATGTTGTAAAAAACGTAATGAAAAATTTGATGTTAAATACAGATCAATGCTTGCAATGGAAGACACTGCGGTGATACTTTTCCCGGTCCAAACAAAGAATACAAGCCATCGTTATGGACTGAGAACTGGACTACTCAGTGAGTTTATTTTTTGTTGCTCTTAAAGTTAGAAATTTAGAAACTTGAGATTCATTCATATAAGTCTTAAAGATCTTGCAAATTTCTTTTTACAGGTTCCGTGTGTTTGGTGATCCGCCAACTCAGAGATCAGTAGAAGATATTGCTTTCTCAGTTGCTAGATTCTTCTCCAAGAACGGAAGCCATGTGAACTACTACATGGTATAACGTCTGCATTCAAATAAACCGCCTTTCTATTTGTTTGCGAAATGACTATCCAGATTCTTGAAATGAGGCTCTAACTTGTGTTGCAATCTTGTATAGTACCATGGAGGGACTAACTTTGGAAGAACATCAGCACATTACGTAACCACTCGATACTACGATGATGCACCTCTTGATGAATTTGGTCTAGAGAAAGAGCCTAAGTATGGTCATCTTAAACATCTTCACAATGCTCTTAACCTCTGCAAGAAACCACTTCTTTGGGGTCAGCCTCGTACCGAGAAGCCTGGAAAAGATACAGAGGTATATTAGAATACCATGTACACATAGATAAACATTCCAAAGCATTTCCTAAAATGTTTCAAAACATTCTACCTTTTGTTGTATGTTTGCAATTACAGATTCGTTACTACGAACAGCCTGGAACCAAATCTTGTGCGGCCTTCTTGGCTAACAACAACACCGAAGCTGCAGAAACCATAAAATTCAGGGGAAAAGAATACGTGATAGCGCCTCGTTCCATTAGTATTCTTCCTGATTGTAAAACTGTTGTTTACAACACTGCTCAGGTGAAGAAAACATTAAATAATTTCGGTTTATTCAAGCAGAAGAAACAGAGTAGTCTTTAACTTGATCTTGTTTGTTTGGATTGGACCAGATTGTTTCTCAACACACTGCAAGGAACTTTATGAAGTCTAAGAAGGCAAACAAGAAGTTTGACTTCCAAGTTTTCACTGAGGCATTGCCTAGTAAACTCCAAGGTGACTCTTACATTCCCGTTGAGCTTTACGGTTTGACTAAAGACAAGACAGATTATGGATGGTACACAACAAGGTAGTGACTCGTTTAATGTGATTGTATATCATAAAAAAAAAAATCCAATGGAGAAGAGAATCTTTAACTGAAATTTGCTTTGCAGCTTCAAGGTCCATGAGAATCACTTACCGAAGAAAGGAGTTAAGAGTGTTGTGAGGATTGCTAGTCTTGGACATGCGTTGCACGTTTGGCTCAATGGAGAATACATTGGTAAGAACTGTGACAGAACGATCTAAAAAAGGTATAAGAAACTGAGCTATAATGATGAATTTTTTATAAAAAAAAAATTTGTCTACCAGGAAATGGACATGGAAGCCATGAAGAGAAGAGCTTTGTTTTCCAGAAACCGGTTACACTTAAAGCAGGAGAGAATCATCTTATTATGCTTGGTGTTCTTACAGGATTCCCAGTAAGTAACAAAACATAATTCCAAAATAATGGAATTAGTACATAGATGAAGTTATATGTTGAGCTTTTTATTTTGTTCTTACAGGACAGTGGATCTTACATGGAACATAGATACACTGGACCTCGTAGTGTTTCCATCTTAGGATTGACTTCTGGAACACTTGATCTCACTGAAAGCAGCAAATGGGGAAACAAGGTTTCAAATTAATCTCTTAATTTCTCTGTAATTCATTCACAACATTGAGAATATATCTCCCTGATTTGATCTGGTTTTTTCGATCTTTAGGTCGGCATGGAAGGCGAAAGGCTTGGAATCCACACCGAGAAAGGTTTAAAGAAGGTCAAATGGCAAAAGTTCTCTGGGAAAGCACCAGGACTTACATGGTACCAGGTAATAAAAAGAACGCAAAAAAAAAACTATATCAGAGATCAGACTATATAAGAATGTAACTGGTAAGATAAGTAGAAATTTTATAATCATTCTAATGAATGTGAAAAAAACTGCAGACATACTTCGATGCACCAGAAAGCCAGAACGCAGCGGCGATTCGCATGAGCGGAATGGGAAAAGGGTTGATTTGGGTGAACGGAGAAGGCGTGGGAAGATATTGGATGTCTTTCTTGTCTCCATTAGGTCAACCTACGCAAATAGAGTATCACATCCCTAGATCTTTCTTGAAGCCCAAGAAAAACCTTCTTGTTATTTTCGAGGAAGAGCCTAATGTGAAGCCTGAGCTTATAGACTTTGTCATCGTCAACAGAGACACTGTTTGTTCTTATGTCGGAGAAAACTACACTCCAAGTGTTAGACATTGGACTAGGAAGCAAGACCAGGTCCAAGCCATCACTGATAACGTGAGTCTCACGGCGACTCTTAAATGCTCAGGCACTAAAAAGATCGCAGCCGTTGAGTTCGCTAGTTTCGGAAACCCTATTGGTGTTTGTGGAAATTTCACGCTTGGTACTTGTAATGCTCCTGTTTCAAAGCAAGTCGTTGAGAAGGTAAGTATCATATTTAGTTTATTCTTTTTTTGTATAATATGTTGTGGTATATGGAAAAGTAACCAACAAAGATATTGTTGCAGCATTGTTTGGGGAAAGCAGAGTGTGTGATTCCGGTGAACAAAAGCACATTCCAACAAGACAAGAAAGATTCATGTAAGAACTTTGTGAAGACGCTTGCCGTTCAAGTTAAGTGTGGTCGTGGCAAGAAGAATTAAGGGGTTTATATCACTATCATATGGTTTGTTGAATGGTTTCATGGTCTGTGTTTTAGCAGACCAATTTCAAAGTGCTGTGGCATCAATTTTTTATCGTTATGCATGTTTGTGTTTAATTTATTAAATTCAACGGTAATACACGAGTAAGATATTCAAATATGATCTCATCAAGAAACTACACTACCAAAAAAAACAAGTTATATATTTCCTTTTGTTAATTATAGAAAGTAATATACTGTATCATTTTGAATTTTTGAGGAATAAGATTAACAAAAACAAATTTTGACCCAAAAAAAAAAATTAACAAAATTTCTCGGAGTAAACATTGCACCGTTTGGTAGATAAAATAAAGACATGCGTGCCATATATCTAAACAAAAACGACAAACAAGTCTCATGCGAAAAGCGTACATGAGACAGCCAATGAGGTCCACCCGAAGGATGTGGCTGAGGTAAACAGCAGATAACTGACACTGACCCATCAAAACCCGATTCCCATTGGATGGTTTATCTCTTTGGCCCAAACTAATTTTCAATGTAACAACAAAAAAATCTTCACCCCCTTGACCATTTTTCTCTCCCTCACTCACCATTCCCAGACTTGTAGGAGGAGCTATGGCGGCACCGATTGTTGACGCGGAGTACTTGAAGCAGATAAACAAGGCTCGCCGTGAACTCCGCTCTCTCATCGCGAACAGGAACTGCGCTCCGATCATGCTTCGATTGGCGTAAGTTTCTTCCATTTTTCTGGTTTTCATGGCTTCGCTTATGTTGACTGCGACGTGCCTTCGTCTGTGTTCTCTGGAAAAAAAGTCTGGATTATAGTTAGGTTGTGGAAATTGCTGGATCTCGTTTCGTTTTAGCTGTTGAAATGTTGTCTTCTCTGGTTTTTATGAAGATGGCACGATGCTGGAACCTATGATGCTCAATCGAAGACCGGTGGACCTAATGGCTCGATCAGGAACGAGGAGGAGTTCAATCATGGTGCTAACAGTGGTTTGAAAATCGCTCTCGATCTCTGTGGTGTGTTTTTCTCTTCCCTACTTCTTGTGTTGAAGGTTTAGATTTAGTGATTATAGAGTGTACTGTTGATCTTTCATGGCACAATTTCTCAATTTACTTGCATGATCCAGATATTTTTACTTGTCAGCCAGTGGGATAGATGATTGTGAATTTGGATAGCCAATACTGTGTTCTCTCATATGGTGTATCCTGTTTGTCTTATGGTTTAAGAAGACTGTTTAAAGTAACCCCGTTGTGCTTTGATGTTTGATGTTTCAGAGAGCGTGAAAGCTAAACATCCCAAAATCACATATGCGGACCTATACCAGGTGATTACGATATCTAGTTTAAATATTTTAACATAACAGCAAGGTTCCTACCGGAGTTAGGACTGAATGAATTTCCTAATGGATGCATTTTATTAGTTTTGTCAGCCATATAATTTCCAGATGGTCTTGTTGTTTTCGACTGCTCCTTTGTCAAGAATACTCTGGAACTCAATCCTGCTGGTGTGTCATTACCAAGAGTTTTGTGTGAAATTTTCTGTTAGATAATTAGACTTGGACTGAATAGAATTCACATATCTGTCACTCGCACGTATATCACATCTTGTACTGTTTGTATTGTCGTTTGTCCATTATCTGTCTTCTTTCTTATAATATCAATACGTAATATAGGAATCTTTTAAAAGAAGCGTCCCAGACGGATCATCGGATGTCAATAATTTACTTAATCTTTTGTTTCAGCTTGCTGGTGTGGTAGCAGTGGAGGTTACTGGTGGACCTGATATCAGCTTTGTTCCGGGGAGAAAAGTATGTTTCTCCTTCTTTGAGCATTATAACAGCTTACCAGTTTAACATTGAAGCACATAACCATAACTAATGTTTCTTTCTTCCTGATAGGATTCAAATGTTTGCCCGAGGGAAGGAAGACTTCCTGATGCTAAACAAGGTACCACAAAATTGTTATATCATTTATAACAAACTTTTCTGCTGAAACTCTAAGCATGGAATTGGAAGACCTTCTCTATGAATTTACTATTCCCTTTTGAGAATTTGAAGTTGTGTCTGCAGGTTTCCAACACCTTAGAGATGTCTTCTACCGCATGGGACTATCTGATAAGGATATTGTGGCACTCTCAGGGGGTCATACTCTGGTAAATTCATCGTTCTTAAATCAACATCCGTTGTTTTTCTCAACAAATAAAAGGTTTGCTCGTGCTTATGGCTACTTTTGGGTGTTTAGGGAAGGGCTCATCCAGAGAGGTCAGGGTTTGATGGGCCATGGACTCAAGAGCCTCTGAAGTTTGATAACTCCTACTTCGTGTAATTTTCATTTCTTTATCCTCAGAGCTTTTAAATCTTCTTTGTTTCTAATTTTTTTTCCTGTTTGTGTTTCCAAGAAGAACAAAGCTCACAGCTACTTTATTACATGATCGGTTAACCAGTGATTAATTACTGTTTTGGTACCAGTGAACTGCTGAAAGGAGAATCAGATGGCTTGTTGAAACTTCCTACTGACAAGACTTTATTGGAAGACCCAGAGTTCCGTCGTTATGTTGAGATTTATGCTAAGGTATGATATAACTCGATTGTCTTATTGATTTCACATTTTCATTGAATAACAAATCAAAGCTATCTAGAACCCTACGAATACTAATTACCAATGATTGCTAATGTTGCAAGGTAATAAAATGACCACTCTTTACGAATTCTTATAATTCTATCATGGTGAATCGTGATCACAGTCCCTATTTCTGTACATGTTTGCTGTCAATTAGCTCATAATTTCTGAGAATATGTAGATAGAAAATGGGACGCTTCACTACGATTTCTTTATTTGATTAATGATAAGCTCAATTTGTGTGGAGACAGGATGAGGATGCATTCTTCAAAGACTACTCTGAATCGCACAAGAAACTCTCTGAGCTCGGTTTCAACTCGAATCCCTCGGCAGCTAAAGCAGTTGCAGACAGTACGGTTCTGGCTCAGAGCGCGTTCGGGGTTGCGATTGCTGCTGCGGTCGTTGCGTTAAGTTACTTTTACGAGATTCGAAAGAGGATGAAATAGAATGAGGAAAAGAAAAAACCACGAAGGATTGATTCTCTTATATGACATCTAAGAAACTATCAATCATCTATGTAATTTGTAGTGTTCATACAAGTTGCTAAACTCTTTCAATCCACAGCCAAACTTTTTGTTAAAAAAAGTCAACGTTTGGGGATTGTGAAAACGATCGTGATTCATAACTGGGTTACTTTTCATTGCAACATTCGTTAAAACTTAAAATGATTATTATGATGCAAAATTTTGTGGATATCTACCAAAGATCGGTCGATATCTACAAAGTGGGACATAACCTGAAACTGGACCTAACATGTGTATGTTATTGTTAGGTTTTGTTAGGTAGGAAGGTTCTTTAAATTGTTTTTTTTTAATTTTTCTTTATATTTTCATCAGAAACGGTAAGATATAATGTTGGTTGACAGTCACCCACTAGATTGGTCCGGATCGCATCTAATGGACGTAAAGCGATTTTTGCGTCACCAATTGGCTTTTTTCTAGATTTTTGTTTCTATTATATAAACCATGTTGTTAAGTAAAAGAAATATATTTAATGGAGTGGAGATTTGTAACCTAACAATAGAAACTAAATAATAATAGACACTGAAAAGTTATAATTTTATTGAAACTGATTAGGAAATATCAGTTAGATGTTGCACTCTGTATTAGTTGCCCAATTTGGGTATGGTATACATGTTAAAAGTCGTATATGTATGTACCTTTATTTTAATATTTGTTTGGTGTATCTGTATGGACAACAAATCACATGTATACTCTATCCAATTTCTTTATAGTTAATTAAATATTCTATTACGTCGGTAGGAGTTCTGAGTAAATGTACACCAAGAAATCTACCAAACTCTTTAAGATTGTCTTTCAGGTATCAAACAAACTACTACCAATCAAGGTTCTTTCCTTTTCTCAAAAAGGAACTCCAAACAGTTTTAAAAACCAAAATCATTATTCGATATGTTTTTATCGATACACTTCTTTCAGAAAGATCCCGATAACTATTCATTAAAATAAATAAAATAATAATTAGTCAACAATGTTTGTTCGTTTATATATTGTGACCTAATTTACAAAAATTAAGTAACCAACTCATTATGATACAGTAATTTAAATATTTATTTTCTGGTTCTTCTAATAACCATTTAGTTCATCACCGTCAATCTTTCTGAGGCATGACAACAGAGATTTCGAATACATTTTAGCCATAATCTTTTGAAATTCGTCAAGAAAGTAAAAGGTTAATAAAGAATGTTGGTTGTTGATCTTCTCCGCAACTTCAGACTTCTATAGTAAAGCTAAATTAACGATGTATCAATCAATTGTTTAAATTAACCACTAGTCTTTGGTCTATATAAAACATTTAATTTACTGAGCAAATCGGACACATTCATTGTTAAAACAAACTTCAAAAATACCACATGCTGAGCTAAATAGCAATTTCGAAAGTTAAGAAGGCAATGTCTATTAACCTTTGCTCCGCTGAAGACGAGAAGAATGTTTACGAGTATTTTTTTTTTTTTTTTGGTAAACTGTTTACGAGTATTTTATAGGTGCGGTCATAAATTAATAGATATCTAAAATTCGATTTTTAGTTATAGTCAGACTGATTATTTTAGACTATTCAATTCAATGATTTATTCCCCGATAATCTTGTGCAAAGCGTTTTCGAGAAACACAGTTTTTTTTTCTCAAAATTAGTTGGACGTTACAATGATAGGAAGCCTTGAATTAATGACGAAAAAACAATTAAAGGATTGGTATTTGGTTGTTGGGAAAGTAAAAAGGTCGCGTGTTAGAGGAAATCATTAAAGGAGAAGAGAAAGCAGGTAGAAAATCCACTCTCTATTTCTTCTCATCACATTTACAAACTCTACGTGAGGCTTCACCCTCCAACACTATTTTTTATGACATTTTAATTTTGTAGCGACACCATATTGATGAATTTTGCTGCTTAATTTGTTTCTTTTCAAATATTCATGATGGGCAAGATTTCAAGAAATAGTACATTATAGGAATTAGGAACTCCTGAAATGGAGTTCTTTTTTTTTTGTTAAAGGAAATAGAGTTGTTTAATATTTACTTCTGTAATGGTATGTATGTTATTACTTTTGACAACCAGAAATGGAGCTCGAGAATGAAAGGTGGATATTTTAACTAAATTATCTGAGTAAATTCTTATTCTATAAAACGATCTGAAAGTTGAGTAATGTTTAAAGTCATCATTTCTTATGCGATACGCCGATACTTAGTAGGATTGGTACGGTATGTTCTAAATGATTTGTCTCCTTTATCCAATCGTCAAGTTTAGATATATTTTATTATATGTTATCGTTTACATTTCATTTATATATACATCATTATGATTGGTTCCCACTGACATTAACAACAACTACCTTACGGATTAGCCTTTGATCATGTCGATAAGAAACTGACTGAAGTTTTTTTTTATGTTAAAGGGCTTAAAACTGACTGAAGTTAATTTTGATAGCAAATAAATTAAATTAATAAATTAATCTCGTTGTAAGATTTTTAGAAAAATTCACCTAACTAATATGTTGCTTTTTTCTTTGGGAAATCCTAACTAACATTTTTAAAACTATTGATTTGAATATTTCTATATTGGATACTCTTTACAACTTCCTTACCAAACTCACTATGACAAATACTATTTTCTCATTATTGTAACATAAATGTCCATAATTCGATGCAGTACGAACCCACCATACTTCGTCTAAAAAAATCCTTTCTATCCTCAAATCTATATATATATTTTCTACTTACATTACACTTCTCAATAATTATTGTACAATATTACATTGTCTTCTGATGGTGTGTAGAGTGTAGTGGTAAAATCCTTTAAAATGGTAACGCCTTAAGGCTTTACACAAATGTTAGTTTATGACTCAAGATCAATATGTGTTGCGGTCTGCAATTTCTCAGAGTATTAAAACTTTATGAATATTAAATTACAACTAAACGCATGTCGCCGTTCAAAACTCGAACGTGTCTATACGTTATATAATTATGGTTTGTTTCACACACCTACTAGGCTTAGTACATTTAGACTCAGGTTTGAAAAAAAAGAAACTTAAATGCTCTAGAGCGTTTTCCCATTGAGATATTGAAGAAGATCGTGTGAAACTGTGAACAATTAGCAGTTTATAGATTTTGATTCCAAAAACTAAAAACAAAAATAGTAGATATTTAAAGAAAATGAGAAATCAGAAACGGAGCCCACTAGCCACTCCTTCAAACGTGTCTTACCAACTCTCTTCTAGAAACAATTTAGGCTTCACCTTCCTCCTCCAACCTCTCTCTCTCTCTCTCTCAAACATCTCTCCATAAAATCCTAATTTTCATCATCATAACAAGACATCATCATCATCAGAGATGGGAAGGTCTCCATGTTGCGAGAAAGACCACACGAACAAAGGCGCTTGGACTAAAGAAGAAGATGATAAGCTCATCTCTTACATCAAATCTCACGGCGAAGGTTGTTGGCGCTCTCTTCCCAGATCCGCCGGTCTTCTCCGCTGCGGCAAAAGCTGCCGTCTCCGTTGGATTAACTATCTCCGTCCTGATCTCAAGAGGGGGAATTTCACCCTCGACGAAGATGATCTCATCATCAAACTCCATAGCCTCCTCGGAAACAAGTGAGACTCTCACACCCTTCACAAAAGTCCTCTGTTTTTTTTATATATTACTCTGTTTCTTATGCTCTGTTTTTGTTTTTCAGGTGGTCTCTTATTGCGACTAGATTGCCGGGAAGAACAGATAACGAGATTAAAAATTACTGGAATACACATGTAAAGAGGAAGCTTTTAAGAAGAGGAATTGATCCCACGACTCATCGGCCGATCAACGAGACCAAAACTCCTCGAGATTCGTCTGAATCTAGAGAAACAGAGGACTCGCTTGTAAGGATTCTCTCTTTCGGTCCTCAGTTGGAGAAAAAGGAAAGTTTTGGGCAGGAGAGAAATCATCAAAAGGGACTGGTTTGCAAAAAGGAGAGATTCGAGTACTCAGTTGTCGAAGAGAGATGCTTAGATTTGAATCTTGAGCTTAAAATCAGCCCGCCATGGCAAGACCAGCAGCACCATGCTGAGACGAAACTCTGGTGTGGGAGAGAGAGGCATCGGTGCACTGCGTGCCGTTTTGGATTGGGAAACGGAAAGGAGTGTAGCTGTGATAATGCGAAATGTCAAATAGAGGACAGTAGTAGGAGCAGCAGCTATTCTTCAAGCGACATTAGTAGTAGTGTTGTTGGTTATGACTTCTTGGGCTTAAACACTAGTGTTTTGGATTTTAGTAGTTTGGAAATGAACTGAAATGAAATGTTAATGACAAAAAATCTTAACTATTAAGAAAAAAGATATTCATAACTGTGATATTAACATATAGTCAAGTCATCTTTTGTCGAATTTGCATCTTACTTCCCTTCATTTTTTTCTTCCAATTTTAGGTACATCACCATTACTTCTTTCTGAAGTCAAGTTACTCAAACGGGGAAACTCTATAATGATAGTGGCCTTATTTTAATACAAATCTTACATGTTCTCTTTATTTCCGGCTTTCCGCTATACGTCAAATTCTTTATCATAGTTGTTAGTATTATCTATCATACAAAATATGTGAGAGTTGATAGTCTACTAAAAGATGGGAATTTTCCAAGTTTTTTTCTAGTCGAATGTTAGGTTCTAATCATGTTTACTTGACAAGAGATATATTTAGATCCCTAGTCTTTTGTTCGATTTTTGACTCTACGTAAAGCCCAACCCATGCTTGACAAATGTAAATGGTTATTATTCCCAAGAGATTTGACATTTCAAGGAAGTGGATAAGCTGTGTAAGGATGAGAAGCGTGAGAACGATTGAAAGCGTATTACCATTAGCACATGCTTCTATTCATTCATTGCAACCTTTGGACATACATCTTCTCATTATTTTTAATATTAATACAACAGATACAGTTTGTGTTAGTAGTATAATGTCACTCTGTCTTTATCAAATAAAAGTTTTACTGCTGGAATGTCATCATAAAACAAAAATGTTGTATGCGGTATGAATTGTTTAAACAGCCAAAATAAACATGGTCTTTATAGTTTTTATTTCGGATCCGGATGGATTATAGGTCAGAAACCTTTGATTGCTCGAAACATTATGAACACACGCTTATTTGACCAAGAAAGTCGCATATTTTTGGTTCGGCCTACTAATATATACAACAAGATAAACCAGTAGCCCAATGCTCAAATGGGCTTTTTCTATCGAACTTTACACAGAGTTCGTAAATCCTAATATCTGAGTGAACCCCAAAAATAAATAATATTAATCAGAAGCTGATAGCCGTTATGGTTGATAATGGACGAATATAGTAAATATTAAGGATCGCAAAAGTTTCTGATGCATTGCTTTATTGTCCAATTGCAGTTTCTAAGATTTTCTCAGCTCAAGTCCGCTCCTTCACCACACACACACAAAAAAAACAGTTGAATTAAAATTCAATGAGATAAATCAGAAATATATATATCAAAACTACTATTATATGATTACTATTTACTACTCTCGTAGCACAGAATGTGATGAGTGATATATGATCAGAGAGGGTTCTTTGATTGATTTTCCGAGGGAAAAATGGACCTTTAGAAGTGGATCGTATTATTATTGTTACGATGATCTCTCATGCATGTGATCACCTCTCTTTCCTGGATAAAAGAGCTTAACCAAAAAAAAAAGGGGGAAAAAGTGACTTCCGCAGTTCCGATGGTCCACTTTTGTCAAAACAAAAATTAAATAATGATAGAAAAATACATTGAATCCTACAGAAGGTGTATGACTCATTATCGCAATGTCTTCCCCGAAATACGCTGTCGTTTTAAAGATTCCCATCACTGCCCAGTGTCTCACCCATCTCATTAATTATTATCTGTAAGTAATTAACGGATTAAACCAACTACACACGCTTAGTTCCATTTTTTATTTCAAAAAACACATATCGTCAAAATAGTTTTCTGTTTTCAGACTTATTAATATTGTTCAGAATCATACAAGCGACATGGTACTAGGAATCATTTCGCAGCATGGTGATTACTGGAGTAATTAACAATTAACAATTGATTTAACTAAAAAACGAAGGAAATAATTTATTACTTTTTCTTTTCTTTACTATAAGAGCACAAATGTCGGTAAAACCCCACTCACTTCACTCCCTCCACTCCTTCCTTCCATGGCTTCTTTCACTCATCTTCTTCTTCTTCTCTTCGTCTCCTTTCTCTCTTCTCCCTTCGTTTCTTTCGCCGCCGCTCAAGCCGCGAAGACCTTCATTTTCCGCGTCGATGGTGGATCTATGCCCTCTGTTTTCCCGACGCACTACCACTGGTACAGTTCCGAGTTCGCCCAACGATCTAGTATCCTCCATGTCTACCACACCGTCTTCCATGGCTTCTCCGCCGTCGTTACTCCCGACGAAGCCGATAACCTACGCAACCACCCGGCGGTTCTCGCTGTTTTCGAGGATCGTCGTCGTGAGCTTCACACTACGCGTTCTCCCCAATTCTTAGGTCTACAGAATCAGAAGGGACTCTGGTCCGATTCCAATTACGGATCAGACGTAATCATCGGCGTTTTCGACACCGGGATTTGGCCGGAGCGGAGGAGTTTCTCAGATCTCAATCTCGGTCCAATTCCGAAGCGATGGAGAGGCGTTTGCCAGTCTGGTGCCAGATTCGGGCCAAGGAACTGTAACCGGAAAATCGTCGGAGCCAGATTCTTCGCTAAAGGACAACAAGCCGCCGTGATCGGAGGAATCAACAAAACGGTTGAGTTTATTTCTCCTCGTGACGCAGACGGTCACGGCACTCACACCGCCTCAACCGCCGCTGGCCGTCACGCCTTCAGAGCAAGCATGTCCGGTTACGCCTCCGGTATCGCCAAAGGTGTTGCTCCCAAGGCTCGTATCGCCGCCTATAAAGTCTGCTGGAAAGATTCCGGCTGCCTCGATTCCGATATCCTCGCCGCCTTCGATGCCGCCGTCGTAGACGGCGTCGACGTCATATCGATTTCAATCGGTGGCGGAGACGGAATCACTTCTCCGTACTACCTCGATCCAATCGCCATAGGCTCGTACGGCGCCGCGTCGAAGGGGATCTTCGTCTCTTCCTCCGCCGGAAACGAGGGGCCTAACGGTATGTCGGTTACAAACCTTGCGCCATGGGTGACCACCGTCGGTGCAGGAACGATCGATCGGAATTTCCCGGCGGATGCTATTCTCGGTGACGGACATCGTCTCAGAGGCGTATCTCTCTACGCCGGTGTACCTCTCAACGGAAAAATGTTCCCGGTGGTTTATCCCGGGAAAGCGGGAATGTCGTCGGCTTCTCTCTGTATGGAGAATACACTCGACCCGAGGCAGGTGAGGGGTAAAATAGTAATTTGCGATAGAGGAAGCAGTCCTCGTGTAGCGAAAGGTCTGGTGGTGAAGAAAGCAGGCGGCGTCGGGATGATCCTCGCTAACGGTGCATCCAACGGTGAAGGATTAGTCGGAGATGCTCATCTTATCCCTGCCTGCGCCGTTGGATCAAACGAAGGAGATAGAATCAAAGCGTACGCCTCTACACACCCGAATCCAATCGCTTCAATCGATTTCAGAGGAACCATAGTCGGAATCAAACCGGCTCCGGTTGTTGCTTCTTTCTCCGGGAGAGGACCAAACGGGTTAAACCCGGAGATCCTTAAACCCGATCTGATTGCTCCCGGAGTTAACATCCTCGCGGCATGGAGCGACGCTGTTGGGCCTACGGGATTGCCTTCGGATCCACGGAAAACGGAGTTCAACATCCTCTCCGGTACATCAATGGCGTGTCCTCACGTCAGTGGAGCGGCGGCGCTGTTAAAATCCGCCCATCCCGATTGGAGCCCGGCCGCGATAAGATCCGCAATGATGACGACGACAAGCCTTGTTGATAACTCTAACCGCTCGTTAATCGACGAATCCACCGGGAAATCGGCTACGCCTTACGATTTCGGGTCGGGTCATCTCGATTTGGGTCGAGCAATGGATCCGGGTCTTGTTTACGATATAACCAACGACGATTACATCACGTTTCTCTGCTCGATCGGGTATGGACCGAAGACGATTCAAGTCATCACGAGAACGCCGGTGAGATGTCCGACGACGAGAAAACCATCGCCGGGGAATCTGAATTACCCTTCGATCACGGCGATGTTCCCTACTTCTAGAAGAGGGCCGTTGAGCAAGACCATTGTGAGGACGGCGACGAATGTCGGACAGCCGGAGGTGGTTTACCGGGCGAGGATAGAGTCGCCGAGAGGAGTGACGATAACGGTGAAGCCGCCGAGGCTAGTGTTTAGCTCTGCCGTTAAGAGACGGAGCTATGCGATAACGGTGACGGTTGATCCAAGGATAGTGGTGTTGGGAGAAACTGGTGCTGCATTCGGGTCGGTCACGTGGTTTGATGGTGGGAAACACGTGGTTCGGAGCCCCGTTGTGGTGACCCAATTAGATCCGATGTAAATCCGGGTCGGGTTTTTGGATGATCATGCGGTCATGATCGTGTAACCCCTATGGAGGTGTAGCAATAACTGTAGAATTTTGAGTTAGTGGTCTTTTTTTATATTAATGTTTTCTGTTTTATTATGGGATTTTTATCTTGTCTTTTTTTTACATATGCACAGAAATGAGATATGTTAAAAAGAAAATGAGAGGAAGAAACCTTTAGTATTATTTTTGTTGTTGTCTTGATTATATATAAAAAAAAACAGAAGTAGGAAGGCAACAAAATGGAATTTGAAAATGATGTACAAACTCACTGTATTGTTGTACCACAACGACTAAAGACCACAGATTTATGAATATTGCAGACATCATGATAGAAGATGATTGATTTCGACATGGGAAAGAGAGAGATGATTGATTTCTGCAAAGTGGCATAACCATGGAGATGTAAAGTGTATGCATGCTTTGACGTTTATTTCAGTTCCCACTTCCCACCTAACCATAATATGAGCACCAAGGTCCCACTTCTTTACTTGGGTTTATTTGTCTGTAGATTCTGCAGGATCTAGTCATCTTGTACTAAGAAAAAAATTCTTAGGCTACACAATAATAGTTAGTAGTACTCACTAGATTTAGAATTCAATCACAATCGCAAATCTTATCTTTATAAATAGTATGATTTATGAGATTGAGATGAAACAAACAAAAAAAATTGGTGTTTAGTTTCAGGTGTTAGTGAATGCACTGAACACACTTCTAGTGTGAGGGAATGTATTTGGTAAGGTCAATATTTTATAGTGGCATGCTGTGATTCGGATGCTCAATACATTGTCGTTTCTATGATTGAAGAGTCTATTGCAAGACAAGACGTGAATATCTTAAGTTAGTATATCGTGCATTGCATGTGAAAGTTCGTCCAATATATGGTAATAACTCGTGACTTTTGTTTAAAAAAAGTCATTTACCTTGCGTGAGCAAACAAAGAAATGTGCGAGGGATTGAAAATGCACACATATTTCGGGATGGACCTAATTTGGCAGTCAATAAATGGAATCCTTGTTTCAGTAAGTTTTGCATGCCAACATCAACATCCAACTAACCAATTTATATTTATGGCCATTCAAACATTTGATATAATCAATATTGTTCTGTTCCAAGGTTATAAATCATGTTTTTCTTACATTCACAGATTCTTGAAATCATGCTCTGTGATAAGTACACTGAAACTAATACTCCTCACTAAAATGCCAAGCCTTATATTTTCTAAGATAAGAAAAATCCAATTTCTTGTGGGATGAAACTTGGAAGTTACTTCGTGGACCTTACACTTGCAACCTTGGGTCCATTGTTACAGCGGCATCATCTACAAAATTATTATTCACATGTAAAGTAAAACTTTTTCTCAACTGTAAAAGTTGTAAGCTTTTGAAAAGGGGGGTTCGTTCTTCAACATTGCATCTACAATGTTGTATATCAATTAACAACTGCTAAAAAGTAAAGTTAAGTTGAATTTTTTGATATATCGTTTTTCATGTTATAAATATCTTATTATATTAAGTTGTGTCTCAACTGGAATAGAAAAGCTAGCAAAGTTCGAAATCAAATCAATATCTTTTAACCTCAAAAAATAAAGTTTGAAATCATTAAAGGTTGTTTATGTGACTAATTATTTCTTGCAAGCAAATGTAGAGTATGGTGATTGTCAGATTGGAGCGCATTCAACGGTGAAATTGGGATTATAAAGCTAAAGCCTTCCCAATCCCATCAATAACTAATATTCATCATTTCGAGATGAAAGTAGGTTGGTCCCACAATGTATCCCCAGATACCTTTCTTAGAATTTTTTATTTCCCGGCGGAGAATGAATAAGCCAAAAAATGAAAATAGCAAAAATGCTTTTGTTGAGAGTTGAACTCAAGACCTCCCGCTTACTAAACAGGTGCTCTAACCAACTGAGGTACGGGAGCATTTCTGCTTATTTTATGAGAGAAAAAAATTATAACATAAAATAAAAAGAAAGCGTAAAGTCGACCGTCAATAAAATTGAGTTGGGTTTTATAATTCAGATTTGGGCCGTGAACCAAGAGGCTAATTTATACGCAACTTTGTAGGCCATATTTTATCAATTAAAGATCCTGGGAGCAAATTCAGTTGTGAGGCACAACTAAATTAGAAATTCGGCCTAAGAATTAGACCCAAATCCGGACAACTCTCTCTATTTGTTTTGTACATTCAAATGAATTCTATCGATGGTCAATGCATCTTTAAACAACTGACTTTAACACTTAAATCTGAATTTAACAACTGAAGATATATATTGGTCGCTTTTTATTTCTAGAAAGGGAGAAAAGAGAGGTCCTATTATCTATTCCTAACTCTTAATTAATTTGTCTTTGCCAATGTATCTCAATAACCAAAATTGGGTAATTAAGACGTTTAAGAACATATATCTATATATATATATATATATTTTGAAGCATGAACCAAAAAGAACAGGAACCAAGAAAATTGAAGCATGTTACATTCATGATTCATGTGTTTAACTGAATGGCTTTCTCTAAACCATATCAACAACATTTAAACCTCACTCTTTTATCCTTTTAATTTGAACCACTTAAGTTGTAGTTTAGACTTGAATTTACTGACATTCAAAGCATGATAATGATTTGCTTGAAAATGGTCTCACAAAAAAACCATACTTTATTCTCATGATTAGCATACAACCAAAAGAGACATAAATAACACTCAACCATTAATTCTTATTATACGAAACTAACAGAAACAATTAAGAACGAAACACTAATAGTAGTCGAGAAGCATTGTTGTCAAGAAAAGGAAGAGAATTATTTTGTTTGACAAGAAAAGGAAACAAGTTAAGCACTAAACAACAACAACTAACATTAATAGAGAATTAATTGCTGGTTATGACTTAATATATAGTAGAGTAACAGTGAGTATAATTTATTTGGTGCGGTCCTGGATTTTGTCGAAACCCATCTCGGTAGGGTCGGTGGCTTGAAGCTCATAGTGAATGCCTTCCAACACTCTTCTCAGTCCGTTCTTCGACGTCGCGTACATCATCTTCTCCCTTATCCTCGACGCCTCCGGCGACCTATAATATATTATTCCCCATCAACAATCACTTTAAATGACTATTTTGCCCTTGTCTGATCGACGAGAGATCATTGGATTATGGGAGGGTAAAAGCGTAATTTTGAGAAATGGAAAAGACACATAGAAAGAGAGTTAAAAGAGTGACTGACCAGGTGATGAAGAAGAGCTTGCTCATGCGGCAGTTGTCGACGGTGACGTAATCGAAATCAAAGACGGCGTAGCGACAGTCGTCCTCCGGCAAGGAAGCGGCGAGATCGTGATAGCTCTCGCCGGCGGCACCGACTTTGTCGACGGTGACCTTTTTCGATTTCTCCTCGATCTTGAAAACGATGTATCTGTGCACTTTCTTCCACTTCATCTCCATGAACGATCTCTTGCATTCCTCCGTCATCCACATCCCGTTCATCATCGACGCCTAATGATTATACCAAATCATCATCATAGAGTATTTCAAATAATATATAGGAAGCCAAAATGGAAAATAAATGTTAAATTCATTTATTATTTTTACCGTCTTCAAAGCCATAGTGGTGAGTGCTGATGAGCTTAGATGGTGTCTTCTTCTTCTTCTTCTTCTTCTTCTTCTTTCGTTAGTGTTTTGAGTGTAGAGAGCTTTTTCTGCAGTGTGTGTTGAGGAGAGTGTAGTTTTCAGATTTATATATAGAAGTGCTTATGTAAATACCACTGACTTTCTTCATTAATTACAAAATTACCAGCCCTTAAACTAGCATATGATATGTATTTATATAAAACATACGAATTAATTTCTGGTCCTTTCAATTTAGTTTTGTACAGCCCATAGTTCTTGTTTTTTGTTCACTAATGATAACCATGGTTAAGAAAAGTACTAATTATTTCTTTTAAATTTGAATTGTGTGGTTTTCCAAAGCAGCTAATTAATGCTAGCTAATGGCTAATGAGAAAAACAACTTCGGATAGAAACTTATCATTTGAATGTTCAGAATTGGGAATTTCGCCTATATATTAAAACTATTTTAAGTGTTTTTTTTTAAAACAAATTCTTCTTTACCAAAATTAACGGTTTCAACTTTCATTAGCTAGCTGTGTTTTCCCCGTGCGTGTACCAATTTAATAAGGGCCCATGTAATAATAATTTCTCTGTTCTATTTAAATTTATTTTATACATATAGAATAGTTAATATATCTTCTATATATGTATATTTTATTATTAATGGTGAATATCTGTTATAGAAATAAAAAGCAATTTAAAAAATAAAAACAAAACTTTTTGATGTAGAAAATGACTTGCGTACAAACTTGTAAAACATTGATATCATAGAAAGGTATTAAATTAATGCTTTTATTTATACAAATTAAAGGTTCAACCCACATCCACTACTTGTGATTAGAATCACGATGGTGCTAGTGTTATGACAGGTTCCAAAAGTTGCTTTGCGTAAATTTGGCTGCTCATAACTGCGGGAATGTGATTAGAATCACGATGGTTTAGCTTATTTGGTTTCCTTCATGATTTCAAACATAGAAAATATGAGTCACTACTGTCGCAAAATCGAATATCTTCGCTTACTTATGTTTTCTAATTTATATAATTATATATAAAAATTGAGGAACTCAGAGTTTAAGCTCATAATGTCTCTTTGCGAGATCATTTTCTTAGTAATACTTGTTAAACCGTAAATTATCTATTTCCAGCGGAAACTGGAACTTGGAAACAAAGACTATGGGCAATGGGTACAATTTCAAATATTTTAAGAAAATACATATTGCTACTGGCACTTATAAAACCATCTCAAGAAATTATGCTTATATCAAATATCATTAATTTATAAACTTTCTTGTCTTTGCGTTTGCATTTGAAATATTTTTTTATTTACATAATCTTTGTGTTTGTAAAAATGTATCAATATAACCAAAACACTAAAATATTATGTTGTCTTTTCTAAATATATAGAAACACTAATTTAAAATAGAATGTCAAAGCAAGTGCAAATGTAAATGAAAAGAAAAAATTACCAAAGCATTAATTATTTACATCTATTACTAATGAAGATGATTGGAAAAGAAGAAAGACGCGAGGATTCGAGAGAAGCTGGTCCCAAATAATAGGATTTGATCCAATGCCTACATCCTCATTGGTTTCTCCAATTTTGTGTTCCTCAAAACTCAAGCGGCCCTTTGCGTGGAAGCTAAGGAATGAGACACGAGAGAATTTTTTATATGATCTTATTGGATTACAAAAAAAAAAAAAAATTAGCCATGATCAATTTTATGCAACTACTCTCGGATTACGGGTTAGTTAGCCCAATTCACATTGTTTTCCTATTGAATATCGTTAACTTTGGTGTCGGTAAATTATAGGGTTCACAGAATATAAGCTAAAGATACGTTGAAAGCCACTAGACAACTCCAATAAGAATTTTGCAGTCCCAAAGTTTATAGTCTTCCGATGAAATTGTTTATAACATGTATGGTATAAGTCGAGCAATTCATACCATTAATTGTGTCATGCCATACGTATGCATATGTTTTTTTCTTAAATAGTGAATTTAGATATAGGTATAGATGAATTATGGATACACGATTATATATATGTACATGAACATGAGTTTGCATGGACCCCTACCTGTTATTATTCGGGTGCAATAAAAAAGGATCAGCTAAAAAATCCCAAACACTAAAATCTAAAGTTATGAAAGAGATATGGGCGTAAGGTCGACATACTAACACTTCATGCTCCCTTTTGTTCTGTTTCAACCTAACTCGATCTCTCTTGATAAGAACGTGTCGTAAGATTTAAGAAGTATTAAATCAAATTCAGAGATAAATGTCAATCGATCGTTTTGTTAAAAAAAAAGATAAATGTCAATCGTTAAGGTTTCAATAGTTCCAAACGCAGATTTATACGTTTGCGTTCTCATGTAGCATTAAAATATATACATTTTTCATAGAAATTCATAAACTATATAAAAATACAAATAAACGAAATTCTATCTCTGTTTGCATAAAATACCAAATGTTATGGTAATGGTTTCATCTGGCGAAAAAAACTACTGTAACGAGTAAAATTATAAACAAACAAACAGTCAAGATCTAAATCATCAAAAAATGATAAAACATTCACACGCATTGAGAGGACATAACCATGTCTGTATAGATTTGTGGATAACAATAAGCCCACTGTCCATACATGAATTTTGATTAGGTGTAAGTAGATAATAGCATTAGCATGTGTCTCTCTCTATATACATGGCTTATGATTTAAATTGATGAATAGCTCTTTTGCAGTTTGTTATTGGGAGGTTTTGTTTGTAACATTTGGTGGCTTGTCTTCTAAAGTTGTTGAATAGTTACGCTTTGACTTGTAGCGCAGTACTTGTGTTCGTTTCTTCTTTGGAATTATCCCTTTTACCATCTCATTCTGGTTCTTTCATTTTTTTGTTGTTGTTTCAATATTGTCATTCGATATATATAGAGAATCTGCACCTTAAGTTGTGAAATATTACGTCTTGATTTGAGTGTCTTGATGTTTAAATAAAAATGGCTATATAATCAGCGACGACATCTGAGGTTTAACCTTACCCAACTTATAAAAGCTGAGCTTCGGAATGGTTTTTTTTTTTTTTTTAATTCATCGGTTTTAAATGATTTATTTAGAGAAGTAGTAGAATTGTTACTAGTTGGCAAATAGGGTCCACTATATACCAAAAGTTACCAAAGCTTTTTAAAAATTTGCAATATAAGGGTGGAAACAAAAAAATTGCATGTTTACAAGTTGAAAATGTCTTTAAATAATCAAATTAATTATCATGTTTACAATAAATATATGAACTTTTCATAAATACCAGATATCTACTTAACTGTAGACTGAACTAAAAATCATGTACTCCATATAAAGTCTACAGAAATTTAGGAGATAAACCTTAAGCGAAGAGCTACAGATGCTTTCAGCTTAAAACACTAACTACATTGGCATTGTGTTCAGAATTCAGATCATCAACATGAGCAAAAAGAAAAAGAACAAAAAAACAGAGAGGATAGCACAAGAACAGAACCGGATTTGCTGAGATGTGTAATCTAGGTTGTCTTTGTCATCTTTCTTCATCCCATTTGTCTATAGGAATCTCTCCAGAATCAGCAATCACAACTTTCTTCCGGGGTTTACCACTGTAAGTTCCAGCTCCACCTTCAATGGCGAATACATTGTCCATTCCTTGTATCACCTTCCCTAACACCACATGTGCTCCTTCCAACCTGCACATAGTTAACACAACCTTCATATCTTAAACTTTTTTAAAATAAAATCTACACTGAAATCCATGAGTGAAACCGCCACAAATATCCAATGTGTTTTGACTTCACATATTATTCTAGTGTAGGATCTGTTTGTTTGAATGTATGATCTTGTCCAAACCACATCTATATTTTTCATTTTCAACCGCATGTTGGATCCCTAGAGGTTAGTCGAGAACAAAGCTAAAAATGGGTGTGTCTACCTTCAATTTGGAGTTCTTGATCTCATTTTTAGAGTGAGAGGAGAGCTTACCAGCTAGCCTTGACAGTAGTGATAAAGAACTGTGAGCCATTAGAATCGGGTCCTGTATTAGCCATCGCTACAACACCTACAAATACAAATTCGTTTTCCTATGTCAGGACATAATATTATTTTTCCAAGGAGTTCTTCAAATTTCCTAAGTTGGAAGAGAGAATAATCGTACCTGCGTGCGAATGCTTTATCTTGAAATTTTCATCAGGAAAGGTACCGCCATAAATTGACTCACTCCCTTTTCCATCCCCATGGATAATGTCTCCTCCTTGGATTACAAATCCAGATATTATACGATGAAACGGTGTTCCTTTATAATGTAGAGGCTTTCCGTTTGAAGATTTTCCTTTCTCTCCTAAGTTTTATATTCAGATCCATTTAATCAGGAATTGAAGCACTCAGTCCAAGATAAACCAAATCATTCAAGTACAAACCTGTGCATAAGGCCCTGAAATTTTCTGCGAAAAAAAAAAGAAATCTAACATTAGAAACTATTTGAATAAATACACCGAATTGTTTGCATTCAAGATGCCAAAGACATACCTACAGTTTTGGGTACAACACTGCCATATAGTCCAATAACGATCCTGCCTGCAAAGAAGTATATCACAGAAAGCAAAATTATCAGAAGTTGAAGGAAGCAGATGACAAAGAATGGATCCCCAGAACTCATGTACATAACGCAAATTAAAAAAAATGCTTCACTTCAACAAAGGTGGAGAATGGATTTTTGGTTTTCTCTCTTATACCACCTATTATACAGAAAGGAATATACCTAAGCGTTGGCCATCGATATCAACATCGAGAAATACTCTGTGTGTGATTTCATAATCCTCGATTACTTGCTTCTCCTCCTCCTAAGCATCAAGAGAGCAAACAAATCAGGCACTTATGCAAACACCATAGGTTAGTTATGCTGTGAAGGGTCCAGCAATGATCCTCTGCTGAGGTCTCTAATAGCTAAAGTAGAATAGTAGATGCCAGAAAGATCTAGCAGGCATATATTCGAACTCATTTCCTAACTTGCTTACGACTTAAGAGTAGTAGAACAGCTTCCCTATACTAAACCTACTCTCTCCTCTACTCTTTTCAGATTTACCTGGCCATGAAAGATCAAAGAACAGGCTATAACTACTGACACTAAGACCTAACAACAATGCTAAGACAAGCATAAACATCGGCCGGAGCATTAGAAAAAGCTAGAACAAGTTCCACATTGTTATCCTGGCACCATAATCATCATCAGGTTATGATGCTTTCGAGGTTAAACAAATGCATATTAAGAATGGCTACTTTTAACTAAACGAACAAACACATATCACACACTAATAAGCTCCTTTGGCAAACTCACTTATACACTTCAATGTGCTTAACCAAAAGAGAATACTCGTAATCCAAGCAACACTAATCAGACATCACAAAAGGGTTTCATAGAATCAGATCTCTCATCAACTTTTAAAAGAGTGATTTCGATATTTCAGCAGAAAAAACTACGGAAATTCCGAATAAACACCAAGAGCCCTCAAACAGATCCGCCAAAAAAATGTAATACGTTTGAAGAAATAAAATCAAAATGGGTCGGAGAAAAAACCGTACTTTCCTGGTGTTGGAGAGCGCGAAGATGAGGAAAATCGTTAGGGCAACCAGGAGAAGGAGGCACCTGGGCTGTAGCAAAAACGAGATCTCTCTACGCATCTTTGTTCTTTCTTCTTCTTCTTAAGAATTCATCTCATGCCAACAAAAAATAAATAAAGAACTCGATCCCAGCCTCGAAATCGATGCTGAAGAAGAAACAAACAAAAACAAAAGAAGAAAAAAAAGTCAGAAACTTCACTCTTTTAAGATCTCTTTCTCTCTCTCTCTCTCTCTTTTTCTCTCCAAGTTCTTTGCAATGGAAATTACAGAATTCACTGAAAAACTTTTGCTCGGCGTTATGATTCCGAAAGCGAAGCCGTAGGACTGGGGATTTGTGCAATCTTCGCGGCAATCAAGTGTACAGTCCAAATCGATCCCAGTTCCACAATATTATCATTATGTCCTTCGATGAAGATGATCTTTGTGATCTGCTAATGGGCCTAAATAAACGAATAACGGGCCATTTTTTATCACTGTCTCAGTTACAATCAACTTAAATGGGCTTTTGCTTCAGTTGGCCTAAAGATGTATATATATGTATATATGTATATGTAGATTTGCATCTGCACATTGTTGGTAGCACAATTTGAGATGGTCTAATGCCGTTGGAGGTCGTATCGATTCTTAGGTTATCCATTCGATGTACGATTCCTAGATTACAAATCGGATCCAAATAGTCATAGCAAAAATTATAACTTGCAATAGGTTTATAAGCAATGTATGCCATACAATAATGTACCAAGTATAAATAGTTGAATAGGTTTTCTTTGTGGCATGCAACTTAAACCACTAGAACAGTCTGGTTGTATATTGCAATGTCAGCGTTTCTCTGTGTTTCTCTCTTTTCATTTATTTAGTACTACTAAATTTTTGGTCCTACTCGGCTTGATCTTTAAAGAGACAGATATCTGTTTATTTGTCACTTTCTCAGTTTTTCTATTTTGTCATCAATATAGCAGCACAAACGTCTAAGTAACAAAAAAAGGTTTAATCGTGATGAGTGTATGTATCTGGTTCAAATGTAAACCAACGGGCAACTACTGATAGTTGGTAGGTGAGATATTTTGGGATCATCATAACTCATGAAACCACATTATGAATAGCATGAATCTTTTTTTTTTCCTGGGGTGAATGTTTATGTTAAACATTGTGCCTTTTTCAATTCTCTTCCACAAAAATTCCGTAAGAGGAATCTAAATTACAGACCCTATAATCCATTTGAAATTACGAAATTCCAAGTAAATTAGTTTACTAAAATTTTCAAAATCTACATTTTCAAAAAATTCTACATAACATTGTCAAAAATATAAATCAATGTAAGAAATAAAAGAGAACATCGAAAAACTAAACCATAAAAAAAAAAACTGAACCACATGATTCAGATAGATAGAAAACAAATTCAATTATCGGCTCCATCCCATTAAATTGTAAAGAAATTAATTAAACAGTGAATGTTATGCTTGTCAGCTTGTATATATACATTACCCCACGTTTAATAGAAAAAATCTTTTATTTTATGGAGTCGTGGTTTATAAATCCTACAGCATTTAATGTTTCCGTCTTTTTTATTCAAAATATCTTTTGTGATAAGCAAATTGTGATAACCTCGTCCACAAATCAGATCACTTATTTCACATAATTATACTAATTGTGGCAATTGTGACCACTTCGCCCACAATAATACAATGATAGAGACATGTCCATATCACTCAGTTACTGTTCGAAATCCCGAATTGGCCCCATCAGTTTTCATTGCTCTTATCATGAAATTTAACTGGCAAGTGGCAAAATAAGCATTCAAATATATCATGAGATATTTTGTGGAACATGTTTTATTTCCCAAATCTGTGATACACCGATGCTCATTTTTGTGTGTATTATTGTATATTCTATTCAGCATTACTTCAAACTGATCTTAAAGCCTACAAACTAATACATAGAGGTTTAGGTTTTCTGTAGTGATATGATAATTTAGACCAAACGGAAATTGGAGAACATAGAAGACCAATCACTTTGTGCAAAATGCATTATTCGTATAATGATAAAAGTACTGGAGTATCAAAAATTGGTAATTCATGCGTGATAAAAAGCTGTTTCTTCTATCCCGATGAAACGTATCTGAAGTTATATATTATTAGTATCGAGTCATTAGGGTAATGTCGGAATTGTCTTGAATTTAATTATTAAAACTTCCTTTTTCCAAAGGAAAAAATTGCTTACAAGAGAAGAAAGAGGCTGAGAATTCCGTGTTATGGATAACTGGATAAGATGATCAATAGCATCGCTATATATCACACACACGTATATATGTGTTCCCACCAAAACCGATGATCTACAGACCGTAATATTCACTATTGAAAAAGAAAGTAAAAATCTTTATAAAAACATATACAGAACGAAGAACATATTGTAAAATAAAAAAGGATTATAATTATTCACTTTATATAAACAACTTCCTACTCACTCAACTTTTTGAGAACAATTTTTTTATTGAAAGTTTCTCAAGTATTAAATTGCATGCGGATGCGGTACTGTTGTATCTTATATAGTGCATATGAAAGCAAACTCTGAATAACTAAAATTTAAAACCATCGTCATCAGAACATGAGACTAATCTGCAAAATTCTGATAAATGTTCCGTACGCACAAGCATAAAAAGAAAAAGAAATACAAGGCTTGGCGATATGAAACGCTAGAGTTGTACACGACATGTTTTCATCCAAATTAAAAGGTCGTGTGTATTTTTGGTGGTAAATTTGACAAATCCAAAAACAAAAAAAGTAGTAGAGTGAACTAGTGCTATTATTATTATTATTGACAATAACAATTATATATAGTAATAGTGATGTGCCTGAGAAGCTTGATTCAAGTCATTTTGTTTTTAACTAGTTAACAAAAAAAAAAACATTACAAAGAAAGACACATAAAATAAGAGAAAGAAAAGTGATATACGACTTTTAAAAAACTATTATCTTGCTTAAAATCGAATCGAGCCAAACCAAACCAAAGCAAAATAAATTTGGGGTTCATTGAGTTGAATTTATTTTTGAACTAGTTAACAAATTTAAGATATAACGACTTTTTTTTTCTTTTTTTTTTTTTGTAACAGCGACTTTTATTTTTACACTAGGGAAAATAGAGTAGATGCGTACGTAGAGGCACATGTATTTTCTAAATCACGATGCAGATTTGTTATAACTAAACACACATGTATAATAATATATGGACTTGGATTGGACGTGTGTATCGGTGACTGGGAGCTTTCTAAGTTGTAATGAAAAATCACCCATGTAACATTACGTACCTAATATGTATATGGGGACCTATATATGTGCCCTTGGAGTTAATTATTCAGATAGTTGACTATCATTCTATTTTTTTTTCTTTAATGTGATATAACTTGGGAGACAAGCTGCCTGTATATTATTAAAAAAAAAAATTATGCTGCCTGTAACACTACGATACGACCATTTCTTGATGAAGTACCAATCGTCAGGTAAACCGTTTTACATAATATATGGGGACTAATATATTCGTACAATTCTTTGTTTTTTTTCTCGTTGGTAAGTGCATTGGAATTGTTTATGGTAGGCACTTGTCGGCATCAGTCCCGAAATGTAACAGAGAAATATGTAATTTTTTTTTAATAACTCTTTCGAAATCAAACATTTTGCTGTAGATTTTGAACACCCAATACTACCTCCTCGGTACGCATAGCTCATATTATCAGATAGCAAAAATAAACCAAATATTATCCGAATGAAAAGTACTATAAAACCAAAGCGAACTGTCAGAAAAAAAAAAAAAACCAAAGCGAACTGGAAGGTTCTAGCAATATGTAATGAGCCGCACTAGTTGATTTCCAAACAGTTCGTACGATATTTTTACGTTTTCATGTCATGTTTCGTACAACTGTTTATGACTATATTCTTTGGCCAATCAAAAGCATTTATTATTATTTAGTGTTGTCGTAAGATAGTTTTTTTTTTTTTTGGGCCGGTCATTAGAAGGAGGAACCACCATAAAAGCACGACCGCAAGATAGTTTTTGTAATAATATTACATCTAGGAAAGTCATTTTATGCCTGAGTTAACTCATTACTACAATAGCCATGGCTCCGATTGGGGTATTCATGGGAATTTGAGTCTTTTAGAATGGAGCAAATGTTGAAGAAAAAAAATATAGAGCTTTACTAAAAAAACATTGTTTTTGTTTGTTTAATGGTTGATCTTCTTAGAAGAAAAAATTCTGGCAGCTTTACATAGGGTCTTGAAGAAACACCTTTTCTTTATATAAAACCATGTGGTCATGTATATTATATTCAAATAAGTATAAAAAAAAAAAACTTACAGAAACATGAACTTTCATGCTTGGAAGAAACAATTGGCCAAAACCATCCACTGCTAATCATCCTACTTGACCATATTTTAATTATCACCCTTCACAAAATATCTCACCAAAAGTATAAAGCATTTTGCATTAATTTCTTGTCGACATCCTAAAACAAAAATAAAGATAAACAATGCGAATGAAAAACACACAAAAAAGGAGCACACCGTAATTTCATTCCACGGCTTGCAGTTGCAGACCTTCACCGTACGTGTCTTTTTCGTACTTTCTCTGTTCGTCATTCCTAAATGTAATAAATAACCAATATTTTAATGAGTGTTAAATAGAATTAAAATAAATACTTTCTACAAAAAGATAAAGATGAAATTCCCCAAAAAAAAAATTAAAATAAACGTAACCTTTTCACCTTTAAAACCGTACGCAGAGAGCTCAACGACCCACACACTTAAAAAAAAAATCATCTTTCTTTCTTCGTCTCCTGAATTCTCAAATGGGTTTCGGGAGATCTTCTTCTTCTTCTTCATCATCGTCGGCTCTGAAATGGCTTGGTTTCGTTACGGCTGTTTGGGTCCAATCAATCTCCGGCAACAACTACACCTTCTCCAATTACTCCGACGCTCTCAAATCCCTAATGAACCTCACTCAGCTCGAGCTAAACAACCTCTCTGTCGCTAAAGACGTCGGAAAAGCATTCGGAATCCTCGCCGGACTTGCTTCCGATCGTCTTTCCACTCCCGTCATCCTCCTCATCGGCTGTTTCGAAGGCCTTCTCGGTTATGGTGTACAATGGCTCGTCGTTAGCCGCACGATCCAACCTCTATCTTACTGGCAGGTGCTGATTTAGATTCCTAATTTTCGAAATTGGAAAACCCTAGATTAGATTTCTCTTCAATTTCGACGCTGATTTTGATGTTCGCTCTTGTGTAGATGTGTGTTTTCCTCTGTATGGGAGGAAACAGCACGACGTGGATGAACACGGCGGTTCTGGTCACTTGCATACGAAATTTCCGGCGGAATCGTGGTCCGGTTTCTGGGATTCTCAAAGGATACGTCGGTTTAAGCACTGCGATTTTCACGGATCTGTGCACTGCTCTGTTTTCTGCCGATCCGGCTTCTTTTCTGGTTCTCCTCGCCGTCGTTCCTTTCGCCGTTTGTCTCACGGCGGTTTTCTTCCTCCGTGAAATCCCTCCGGCTACTTCCGCCGCCGAGGAAGACGAGGAGACTAAGTACTTCGCTGTGTTCAACATCGTCGCGGTTGTGGTTGCTGTTTACCTTCAGTCGTATGACATCATCGGAATCAAAACCGGAGCATTCTCCGTCGCATTCGCCTCTATACTTCTCGTCCTATTAGCTTCTCCCATCGCCGTCCCTTTCCACGCGTTTATCCGGAGCTTAAATCTGAAAGATCGCGACGAAGAAGACGTGGAAGGACGAATCGACGAACCGTTGCTGAGATCTGAGACCGTGGAGGAGACGGTGGTTGGTGCTGCTGCGGCGGCGGATAACGAGTTTCCACTGTCTCCTAAGCTTTTGAAGGAGGAGGAAGAGAGCCACGTGGCGATAGAGAAGAGGAGGCCGGTGCTTGGAGAAGACCATACCATACTCGAAGCGTTGTTGACCGTTGACTTTTGGGTGTTGTTCGTGTCGTTCCTGTGTGGGGTAGGTACTGGTTTAGCCGTGATGAACAATATGGGCCAGATTGGGCTTGCGCTTGGTTACACCGACGTCTCCATTTTTGTCTCCATGATGAGCATTTGGGGATTCTTTGGCCGGATTCTCTCCGGTACCATCTCCGAGCACTTTATCAAGTAAGTCACTGCTCACTTTCCAATTAAAGAATTCGTTTAAATAGGGAAACTAAATTAATAATTGGAAAATAAATGATTATTACATCGAATCTTGTTAAAGTTGTAACGTGACTTTGAAAATTCTCATCATCATTTAAAGCAAACTATATTCTGTGAGTTCCCCAGTGAAGTCAGATTCCTCTGTTTCATATCCTTGCTTTGCCGCTAAGGGAGAAAATAGTATTCCTATTATAGTATTGCTTTCTTCTTCTGTTACTTCGAATTGAATATATTTCCATTTACTTGATATTTCTTTTCAATAAAAGCATGAAATTAATTCCATTTGGGTAGCTAAATTACTACTTATGGAGAAGTTTCCTTGTCCATCAATAGACCGGTCCAATATCTAGTGCTGGGGGACCATTTAGAAAAGTTTCCATTTTTTTTTGTGTTACCTTTTTGCGTCGAAAGATCTTTTTAGATCTTCTTGAAATTTATTTGACAACATTAGATCGTGGGACATTGAATAGTCTTGTTTTTAAGGGAACTTTTTATTGCATAAAAATCTTGAAAATGTGATATTTTTTTTTTGTTTCTTCCAATTCTATAGAAAATCAGGAACACCAAGACCATTATGGAACGCAGCATCACAAATCATCATGGCCGTAGGATATCTACTGATGGCTTTAGCCATGCCCGGTTCACTATACATCGGTTCAATGGTGGTTGGGGTTTGCTACGGAGTACGGTTAGCCATAACCGTACCAACAGCCTCAGAGCTATTCGGTCTCAAATACTACGGGCTCATCTACAACATCCTCGTACTTAATCTACCACTAGGCTCGTTCCTCTTCTCGGGTCTTCTCGCCGGTTTGCTCTACGATGCTGAAGCCACACCGACCCCTGGTGGAGGGAATACGTGTGTAGGAGCTCACTGTTACCGTCTTATCTTCATTGTAATGGCGTTTACTTCCATTATCGGGGTTACTTTAGACATTTTGCTTGCGTTTAGAACGAAGGAGATCTATGCGAAGATTCATGCGAGCAAGAAGTCTAAGAAATCTAGTGGTAATCTTCGATGAGAGTTCAAGTATAAAGTTGAATCTCGTTTTGCTTTTGGTAAAATCAATTTTTTGGGGTATGTTAGTTCTATACGTAGATTATTGTCTTCTTGAAAGATTTATGTTAATGTTGTCAAAGAAAGTTTTATGTTCATTATAGTTGGATAATAAACCAGTTGTATGATGTACGTTCAAATAATGGAAATCGGTATTTTCACTCTGTTTATTTGCTGTTAATTTTTACTCTTTTGCCAGTAAGAAGGTAGAATCTATAGACGGTGTTAGTCTAATCTAATAAGAGAAACGTCGAAAAGGGAAAAAAACAAATAAAGTGGAACAGAGGCAACAAGTTCCTAGTGCGGGAAAGCTATGGCGGAAATGGGCGGAGCTCATTCTCAAACTTCAGTTCTTGCTCTGTCTTCGTCTCTCTATCTTATTCCTCTGTAAATCCCTGATCTCTCTCGCTCGTATTAGTCGTCTGTTTTCAAATTCATCTTTATTGATATTCAGTGTGAAGTGTAAATGAAAACAGAGAAGACAACCGCTCATCACAAATCAAGCAGAATCCGAAGAGAAAGCTGGAGGATTACTTGGATCCAGTTCTTCTACACACGATCTCTTCCAGAATCGGTCGAACGGAGACGAAGGAAAAGCAGATGGAGAGGAAGGATGTCTTCGTGAATACAAATCCGAGAAAGGAATTCGATTGGCCTGTTGACCGATTGGATCCACTAATCAACGATCCGAATCGCGACACTGCGCGAGGTCATTCCGGGGAAAAGACGGCGGAACACGGGATACTTGCTCCGACCATCCCGTCGTTGAGCAAACGCCGCCGAAGCGCTTTCCCGATATGGATGGTGAAGGATAACAAACTCGGCGCAGGATAGCAAATTTATTGAAGCGATAACGTGCGCTGAATATCGCCGAGGAATTTGATACGTCGCCGTTTCTTACTACATATTCAGTACAGTGTATTGACGGAATTTCATTTACTCACACACAAGAAACTAGTAAAAGAAAAAACAATTTGAAAAACAAAAACGGAATGAAGTTAAGAGAACAAGAATCCAGAACAAGCTTAAACTCAATTATTATTTGGTATACAATCTAAAATCAATATAATAGTTTTGACTTACAACATAGTCTATACATTCATAACAATATCTATGAGCGAGCATCACCAGTCAATGTATATATATACACAGAGCTTCATCAAACGTTTGAGAAGTCAGATAGAACACGTCAAAGAAGAGAAAACAAAAATTAGAGAGTGAAGCTTTGTCATAAATCAATGAAATCCTCTTGACCCTCTAGATTGGTAAAGCTCCAATCTACTCTTTGCTTCTGGTAAAATCTCGTCAATCGTCGGTGCTTCCACCAAATGAGCTTGCTTTGTCGACCATTCAAGCACTACAAGAACCTCTTCTTGAGCCAGAGTCTCACTGTCAGGTACACTCAACGCGATGTAACAGAGGAGTACCAAAGCAGGGACTTGAACCATCTGTTCTCCAAAGTATACCAGTTGGATCAAATGCTTTGCACCTCCTGCTGCTATGATCGCTTTAGAGTGGTTATCTCGAAGGAAATTCTCGGTACATGAGAATTTGATAAGCGCCACTGCGGCTTCCATTGCAACCTCTGCTTCTCTTTCATCAAGAAGCTTCACAAGTGGTGCGATGATTCTTGTCTCTGTTGCACGGAACGTTCTTGAAAGACTACCGATTGATTTGATACATGGGATTAGAAGGTCCGGTATCTCGTTTTCGATCACCTTTAGTAGCTGTTCAACTACAGCTTTTGCAGCGGGAGAGGTTGGTTTGAAGGCTGAACGTCTCAGCTCCGGGTACTGTTCAGCAACGTCAGTGATTTCCATCATCGCTAATGCAGAATATGACTTGACTTCATCGTCTCCTTTCTCCAACAGAACTGCGAAACAGAGCAATGCTCTTGACTCTGTTATGCTTCTGCATATTTGGAGATTCCCTCTTGAGAGTTGCCACAATGCTCTTGCAGCCATTGCCTTCATCTGAGCTTTTGTGGCTGGATCCTCAAACTCTCTTCCTTTAATGCTTGTCCCCATCAAAGAAACATGTGTTGGATTGTGCCCTCTCGGGTTTGAACCACCCTTGGTATGACTCTGGTGCTGTTGATTACTCTGTTTCATCTGATTCTTGTTAGTACCCGAACCCGAACCAGAGCCCGGACCCGAACCCTTCATAGCCAATGTGTTTGTAACCAAATTGTGCATCTGGCTTGGTGTTTGGTTACTCATAGGATGCGAAATATTGCTTTTTGTATCGTCTTGCTCGTTGTTCTCCTTCTTCTCATTCGGGTTCGTGTTGCTGGCCATGACAACCGTGTGGATCGAAGACAACGTCTGCTTGTTACTCACGATAGCGTATTTGCTATGCTCTTGAACCGTCTCGAAAGCGAGGTGGCTCACGAGGAAGCGAATGATGTTGTTCTGAGCGAAATGGTCTTGACATTTGGGATGATTCGAGGCTAACTCAGAGACAGCCCAAGCAACAACGGTCTGGACTTTCATATGACCTTCTTTGAGGATTTTCGCAAACACTTGGCATACACCTGCGTTAACGATCTGCTCAACACTCTCTGGGTCTCTTCCCAATAACCCAATGGCTCGAGCCGCGTTCTCTTGGCCTTCCATTTTACCTTCTTTAGCAAGCTTCAACAATGGAGGAACCCCACCTTCTTCGATAATCAGCCTCCCGTATCGATCGTTGTCACGCGCGAGCGACACGAGCGAAGCCGCTGCGTCGGATCGATCGTCGAGAGAGCCTGTAAACAAAATCGCGACTTGTTCCCAAATCAAACAAAGGATCGGCTCGTTGGCAGCGATCGGTGGGAGCCCTAAGTACTCGTCGTCACGGTCATCGCCGGAAGCGGAGACGCGGAGGAGCCACGAGACGTCTCCGATTGAATTCTCTAACTGCATCGTGATTTTTCTGAACGCAGCGGCGGGGATTATGGTGAAAACGCGTTTCATGAGCCCCGTGGCGCGGCATTTCTCGATGAGCGCTAGGGATTTGAAGAGGACCTGCTCTGTGTCGTCGATGATTCGACGCGTGGGACGTTCGTAGAGATCGTTGCTCGCACGTGCGGCTTGACGGAGGAGACCGGCGAGCTTTTCCGTTTTGGCTTTGACCTCTAGACATTCCTGACGGAAGGAGTAAGCGTCGTCCGCCGCTTTAGTTACCTGATCCGCTAATTGAATTGGTCTCACTAAGATCTGTTTCACGATATCCGCCATGAGAAATCAATCAGCGAAACAATTAGAAGTTAATGTTGGTTAATGGCGATGGTGGCGTTGATCGCCGGAGACGACGGCGGAGCGAGAGAGAGAGAGACAAAGAGAAAATGAGATACTTGGTGAAACGTTAATTTCTCTGAAATTTACAAGGAAGAAGGAGAAGCTTCCAGAAATAGAACCTATAAAAAAAATGATTTGTGTTTATTTACAGAAACTGAATCGGACACTCAAGTATAATTATAGCGACATAATTATAATTACAGTATTTAGAATAATTAAGAATCTAGGTAGAGTTATATATAACGGTCCAATGCTTACTGAAATGATGAAATACGGAGGGCTTATTGGTAGAAAGAGTTTCAAAGACATTTTTAAATGTTACTGTTATTATTGTTTATAAATTCTGATATTTTTAATGAAATCTAAAGTTTAACTTTGAGGTTTGATCATTTTCTAAAAAAAATCTATTGTTATTAATTTTTCTTTTTTGGTTTTTAACTTTTTATTCATTCATTCAAATCTAATGTTTCGGGATATGGATTCTTAACAATTTAATTCATAAAGACACTTATTAAGTAACTAGATATCTCTCAAAATTGTCATAATAAAATATTTTGATAGATCTTTTAATAAACAAAGCTCTGCAAATCTAACATAACTCTATAAATTAAACATATCTCTCACTAGTTGGATTGGAGTCTATTCCTCTCCACGAAGAAGACTCGTTCTCTTACAATCTCGTTGATGTATCTGATGATTCGTTTCACTATCATGGACGCCATTAATCATATGCTTCGTTTTATTATACTCTTGGCCAATTGAATTTTAATTTTAAAATTGGTTTAAGATTTGGTTCAAATTAGGTGATTACTGTTCGCATGTCCAGAGTCCTAACCAAGACCATGTCCATATGTGTCACCGTTCGGGTCACTCCAAGTTGGCACGACATGTGGTGGCCTGGTAGGTCGTAGCATAAATGCATTGAGTCTAATTGCAAAGAGTTAGTTGATAACTCATGATTCTTGGTACGTTTGGATGCAAGCAAATTGTGGCACAACATAAGACACTCAAGGGCACAAGTTTATCCCCTTTTAGTAAACATCCTACTTATAAATATTTTTAAAGAAATTTGTACAAGCTCAATGGTTAAAAGTCTGTACTTACTATAGTATTTCGTCGTTATCAGTTAATACATAAATTTTCTGTGAACTTTTTTTTTTTACTTAAACAATTAACAATCATGAATACAAACTCTTCAGAATTAGACCGCATGCATATATAATGCATTTATGTTATGGTCCACCACATGCCGTACTGATCGTATCATTTACAAGAATCATAAGTTACTGTACGAATTTTTTACAAGGGGTTAAGAAAAAACATATTTACACAGTCTAAAAAATCATATATATACAAAAGGTAACCCGTTTTTTTTTGGGTTTTAAGTTTTTCAACACATAATTAAAGCAAAGGCTCCCAAGCAAAGAAGACGCATATTTAATGCCGTCTGGAGAAAATCAATCATCGTCCAAAGTTTCATCAAACTCTCCCATCGATTCTGGCGTGTGTAAGCCCGACACAGGCATCCACGAAATCCTCGTCGATGAAATCAGTCGAAAAAATCTGCAACTTATCTACACATCCCTCTGATATACACCAAGAAATGAAGAGCCTTGCGTAGCTTCGGATTCGATCAGTCACGGGTCTGACCCACACAACTGGATTATCTGCTTGTGGCGTAAGTGTATTCTCAACCCGGTAAAAGAATCTTCTAGAAGATATCGGTGCTTGCTCTTTCAAATAGTCCTTGTTGCTTTGGAATTTCGTCCATGGAAGATCCGTATCGATCCAATTGTCTCTTAGATGATCTGAGTTCCAGAGATGTCCACCACGGCTAGGCTTCGGTGACTCTCTCGGCTTCCATATGCATATAACCCTCTTCGGCAAGATCTCGGATACTAACTTGTGGAACACGTTATCGTCTTGATGTACCAAGAATGGCCCTAACTTGTCCACCAAGTAAGTCTCGAACTCTGGAGGGTCTTTGTGTCCGTACTCGGTCCTTATCTCCATGATTATGATCTCAGATCGGGTCTCCGACAAGAATTTGATGACGTCATCTATGACGACATCAACGTTATATGACGTCAGAATCCCGTGGCAGATTTTGCGATCCTCTTGCACACGGATATCAAGAACACGTGTCCCGAGGACGAGCTGGTCGTAGACGGAGAGTGTTTGGCATTCACCCAAAAACCGACCAATGAAACCGACCACAGGGTCCCCGATTCCGTTGGTGGCTGAGTCATGCGTTCCTGGCCACACGATCTTGTTAAGAGGCAGTTTCTCCGCGGAGATATGGGCCATCCAGTTCTTCCGGTCCGGCGAGTGGTACTCGTCGCCAGGGAAACGCGAACTATTGGATGCTTGGAGATTGTCTAGGATTTGTTGCTGCTCAACGACGTCACGTGGCCGCTGGATCTGGCTTTCGATAAACGCTACTGTCGGATCTACCACTTCTCTTTGAACAATTTTCGCAGAATCTTCTGCAAAAGATACCGCCGGATCTATCACTTCTCTTTGAACAGTTTTCGCAGAATCTTCTGCAAAAGATACCGCCGGATCTATCACTTCTCTTTGAACAGTTTTCGCAGAATCTTCTGCAAAAGATACCGCCGGATCTATCACTTCTCTTTGAACATTTCTTGCAGAATTGTTTGCAAAAGATACTGTCGGATTTACAACATCTTTTTCAACTGTTTTCGCAGCATCGTTTGCAAAAGATACCACACTGCCTGCGAGTTTATCGAAAAAAGACATGTTTGAGAAATGAGAGACGAGAACTTCATTTACGGTCTTTACTAATAATAAATTTGGAATCTCATTAAGTGTTTCTCTCAATTAACTTGTGAATACATCCTATACACGACAATTTCCTTTGCCTCTTTGTTTTTTGGCTTCTCGATCTAACGATTGGCCTATCTAAAAGTTGACCACCATTCTCTAAGAACTTGATACCTTTTAAAAATATATATGTCTGACCAAGTAAAAAAAAAACATATATAAGATATGAAGTTGTTGTTATTATTAATTATTATGTGAAGCTGTTGACAAGAATATATATAACCCAACTTTCTCTAAAAAATATTTGTTAGAATGTTCTTAGAAACCCTTGTTCTTAACTATATTTCCTGATTATAAGTTAACTTCGATATTTTTTAACATTATATTTGATTTGAGTTTATCAATACTTCGTTATACATTCTATTCAAGCTTTGAAATAACTAAGTAGATATGTGTTCTTCGAATAATTTTGATTCGATCTCCCAAACAATGGAGAATTAATTCTCCAAAGACTCACAAAGAGGGAAAATTATAGAATAGAAGAACCTAAGAAAAAGTTATCAACCGAACACATTCCCCTGCATTCTCTCCCTTTGCTCGATATATTCTTCAAACAGAACGAAAATGTTCTAGTTATTTACAATTTAAGATATGACGACTAATAATATGTATACCGAAAAACAGAAAAGATACACACTGTAATAAATAACGTAACTTAAGATACACGCAAACACAAAAGCAAATAATCTTAGTTCCAATGCTAAAAGATCAACCACGTTTCCAGAGTTGTATCAAACTTTCCCTTCAATTCTTGCGTGAGTTAGTCCAACGCAGGCATCGACGAAATCTCCTTCGATGAAATCAGTGGACAAAATCTGCAATTTATCTCCACATCCTTTAGAAACACACTGAGATATAAAAAGCCTCGCGTGTTTTCGGATCCGATCAGTCACCGGTTTAACCCACACAACTGGATTATCTGCTTTCGGCGTAACCGTATTCTCAACCCTGTAAAAGAATCTTCTAGAAGATATCGGTTGCTGCTCGCTCAGATGCTTCAAGTTGCTCTGAAACTTCGTCCATGGAAGATCCGTATCGATCCAGTTATCTTTTAGATAATCTGAGTTCCATAAAAGTCCACCACGGCTAGGCTTCGGTGACTCTCTCGGCTTCCATATGCAAATAACCCTTTTAGGCAAGATCTCCGATACTGGCTTGTTGAACAAGTTATCGTCTTGCTGAATCAAGTATTGACCTAACTTGTCAACCAAGTAAGTCTCGAACGCCGGAGGATCTTTGTGTCCGTACTCCGTCCTTACCTCCAGGATTACGATCTCCGAGTGAGTCTCAGACAAGAATCTGATGACGTCATCTATGACGACATCGACGTCGTATGACGTCAGGATCCCGTGGCAGATTTGGCGATCCTCTTGAACTCGGACGTCGAGGACACGTGTGCCAAGAACTAGCTGCTCGTAGATTGAGAGCGTTTGGCATTCAGCTAAGGGACGAGAGATCAACGGTATTCCGATTTCGTTGGTGGCTGAGTCGTGAGTTCCTGGCCATACGATCTTGTTAAGAGTTAGTTTCTCCACCGTTAGATCGGCCATCCAGTTTTTCCGATCGGACGGACGATAGTCATCGCCAGGGAAATGTGAACCCTCGGATCGTTCGAGATCGTTTAGGGTATCTTCCTCTTTAGAGACGGCTTTTTGCCGGTCGATCTGGTTTGAGAAGAAAGAGAGCATGTTTTGAGAGATCGACAAGAAGAAGAAGAAGAAGATAAGGTTTTGTCTTGTGGATGATGAGTTTTACAACTTGGCTTTAGGGTCTCTTTCACTTATATAAAATCTGAGAGAAATCGTGGAGTGTTTGTCTTAATTCTTCACGTGTGAAACGTTGAATCAAAGACAATTATTTGTTGGGGGATTGGTTGGAGTTTGACTCCTTAATTCAACTGATTGGCTGTCTAATTAAAAGTTGTAATAATTAATGAGAATTAAGGTCATGATTAACATGAGTTGTTGATAAAGCGATTAGCGATGTGTTTATGCATATTAATTTAGAGGCAAATAATGGAGAAACGCTTTCTGATATTTGCTTTTGTCTTCAATTTGGTTTAACAAGAAATTGTTATATTGTTTCTTTTTCTGTATCTATTTCATGATTAACGCCTTAACGGTTTAGCAGCTAAGCATCATTCACTTTTAAATCTTTTTGAATATCTGAATTAAGTTTTTCAACTATTTCTATCTGTCAAAGTTTGGATTTTGTTTTTAATGTTTTCTATAAAAAAAATTTGGTCAAAGCTCATATACAAAAAGCTCAGGTAACAAAAAAATCAACTCAATTTAATCATGCTAGTATCTGGTATACGAGCTTTGTTCCAATTTTTTTTTTTTTTTTTTTTGGGTTATGGACTTAGAATTCATTATTCCGGTGACTAAATCGTTCTCGGTATAACCTTGATGGTTTGTTTCCACGGGGATGTAAATCATGCTATTTTCTGATTTTGTTACATATTCAGTGATATATATACTAGTAATTAACAATTATCCCGTAAATTTTATTTCCAAAAAGAAACGTGCAAGAATGTTTTGCCTTCATAACCAACAAAAATAATAACAAGACGCAAAGCAATGTCAAAAAGAACGAAAAAATCAAAATGAGTCCATCATGACCATGTGTAATATAATGTAACATCATTGTCAATGTTTCAAGCCCTACAAAATTTTGGCGTTAAAATCACATAATTTTGTGAAAGCCTAAGAAAGGTTATAATCTATGGTTGATACGCATCGTCACAACTCACAACCTTGCAAAAATCTCTCTCCTTTCATTTGTGTGATCATAACTAGTCAAAATTTGGTCACACATCAGCAAATAAAACCGAAGACCCTAGACTGTCTTCGGTTTCTTGTGTTTGGTGGAGCCGTCGTTAGATCCTTTACCATCCTTCTTCTGGCCAATGCCGCCACCATGTCCTCTCTTATTAGATCCCTGTTTGATTGAAGAAATCAAACAGCAGAGAAAAAAGTTAGCTAGAATACACAAAAGCAGAGAATAAAAGAGAAAGTTATGTAAGTTTATGTTTTTACATTGACGTTGAAGGTTTTGAGAGGGTCTCCGCCTTTTCTGGATCGTTTCTTGTTTGAGTTGTTGCGAGCACCGGATCTCCTACTGTTGTTGCCCATCGCGGCTCTGGCTAGCTTCACCATCTTGCTTGCTTCTTGAGTCTTTGGGTCCACTAGATACTCGGGGATGTCCCTTAGATGTGGTGCAGGCGCAGTCTTACTCAGAAGCTTGTCATGTTTCAGTAGATCCAAGTCTCTTGGATTAGCTTCGAAATGAGACTTTAATCTGTAAAAGAATTAGAAAGATATTAAGACGACGAAAAGCAAAAATCAGAGCATTAAACAACACAACAGTTATCTGAAATTCTTGCTTTACTTTTCGGAGTTGATTATCTCATTTCTTAAATCCTGAGCTCGAGATTCTCGAACCGCAACCTTTGTAACACTCTTTGCAACATCCTGCAAGAAAAAGAATTTTTTTTTTTTTAATTCTCTTCTCACTTGATCAAGTAAGCATCTCTTACTACAGACATTACTCACCTCAGCTCTGTATCTCAAAGACTCAACAGCATTTTCGGTCAACAAAGGGAAGGGTGTGATGATATCACTATTCTTGTCCTCTTCGCCTGCTAAGAAAGATTTTATTTCTTCAAACCCTTCCATCTCATCAGGAGATACCTGTGATAAATAAGGCAGAGCATTAGACTTGCAAAGTTGAAGAGAGCATGTCAAAAGAACGGTATTATCAAGACAAAACAAACTCACAAGGGAAACGGAAGAACCACTGCTATATGCTCTCCCTGTACGCCCAATTCGATGAATATATCCTGTAACACTTTGAGGCATATCATAGTTTATGACCTGTGCATAAAAAGAGTTTCAGGGAAACGTTAAGAAGAATATAAAACAATGAAAAAAAAAGGAAACGCTATTAAGAACCAAAACACCAGATGATTGCAAAAAAGAAGAGAAAATCCTTCAAGTAGCGTACCGTGTGAACTTTTTTGAAATCTATTCCCCTAACTACACCAAACTCAGCGTCCAGCTTTGGCTTGCCACGCCTCTTGTTCTTTTTATTCTCCTTGTTGTCTTCACCTTTAGCCTCTTCCTTTTCTTTAGTTTGGTTATTATCATCCGTCGCAATCAAATAATCAAAAAGACCTGCATTGAATTGCTGTACAAACATACAGTGATTAGTTACGAAATTCAGCTACTTCCAGAGAAACTATATACAAGTGTTTGACTTGGTGATGTACCTCAAGGATATGAAGCCGAGAATTCTGAGGCAACTCCCCGTTTAAAATAGCAGACTTTATTCCAAACTGGCAGAAACAAAAGCGCAATTAATTCAGTATTATTACTATAGGATGGTACCGTAGATTCCATTAAATCACACACAGAGATGAAAAAAAAGAAGATGAAGAAATAGGAACAGTATTATAAATCGGAATGCTCATACAGGTGACCAAAACTGACCTTTTCCAAGAATAGTTTTAACTTGAAACCCATGTCAATCGTATTGATGAATATCAGAATTTTCTTCTGAACCACCTCTAGCTTCAGGAGAGCAAGAATGTGCAGTAGTTTATCCTGAGCACTGCAAGAAATCTAAGACAAGACAACACACGAATCATCATTATCAATCAGACCCACATCTGTGAACTTATAAACCAAACATATATAGCAAAATTGATTTACACAAATCTAAGCGACCGAACAATACCCAAAACTGCTGAACATTACTTGGGACGGGCTCTTCCTTGTCAGCACCTTCTTGCAAGGTCAAAACGACCGGGTTGTGCAGAATCAATTTCTTCAATTTTTCAACATCAGAACTGACATTTTCCAAAAACGATTCAACCATTGAAGACAAGCTCAGAGGAAAATGTGAGCTTAACTTAACAAGAATCATTATTAGCCAGAAGATGTGTTACCTCGTGGTAGCAGACATAAGAAGGCATTGGCAACGTCTTGGGACTATTGATGTTACCGACCTTAGATTATCTTCATATCCATATGACAACAAAAGATCTGCCTGATAACAGAAAAATATCAACATCCCTTCAATGAGAGAAATAAAAAGAACACACGATATAACTCTAACAAAATAATTGAATGCTTAAGGTTAAAGAGCTAACTACACGAATATCTATTGAAAGCCTCTAATTCTCATCACACTTGTAAATAACTGAAGCTCAAAATTCCAAGGAAAACATTTATCCCATACCTCATCAAGAACCAAAATGTCAAGAGAGTCACTGATAGCTGCGGGATCTAAAACTCCGTCGGCAAAACATTTTGGAATACAAGCAGGTGTGGTGACAAGAATCTCAGGCAGTCCGGCCAATGCGTTACGCTGCAATTGGATAAAATTCAAAGAAAACATTTTCATAGCAAAGATTACAAAAATGGATTAAACGCATCGGTAGGAAGATTATTTGTCATGTTGAATGATGTAACACTAACCATTTCAGATGCAGGCATACTACTAGTCAACTGCACTGCTTTCAGCTGAACACGACACAACTCGATAAGCGAAGCAACCTCCGTGTAGACCTGTATTTTCCAATCCAAACAAAATCAAAATCTTCCCAATGGATTATTGAAATTTATGCAAAGTATGAAAACAATCGTGGAGAACATACCTGCTGGCATAATTCTCGAGAGGGAACGAGAACAAATGCAGAAGGAGCAAGCTTCTTCTTGCTCCCAGAAACTGAAAATAGCTTCTGGAGCAATGGCAGAAGGTAGGCCAAGGTCTTACCTGAGCCCGTCTTAGCCCTAGCAACCACATCTTTTCCTTGCTATAAGAACACATACAGTAAAATCAACTTCAATTCAATGAACAACGACTAAAAGACACTAAAAAGCCACGATTTTTTTTAGTTGTCATAATAAAGTAGAGATTTTTATCATTACCAGAATATAAGGAATGGCTGTTTGCTGAATAAGAGTGGGTTTCTCTATACCCTTTTTACTTAGGGCACGAATGAGACGAGAATCAAGCCCGAGCTCCTCGAAACTCTTATCTGGCTCTTCTTCTTCTACTTTTTCTTCTTCTCTGTCATCTCTCTGTTCTTCGACTTCCTCCACTCTCTCAACTTCTTCCATGGAATCAGAAGTTTGAGATCGACAAAAACCTCGGAAAAACCTTAGGGAGCTTGAAGAGCGGCGTAAGGTTGAAGAAGAAGAAGGGTGAGAAAAAAACAAACAGCACTTTTGTTGTCCAATGAATTTGGGCTTTATATTCAGTGGGCTTTTTTTATATAAAAGACTTATAATTTAATTTCTCAAAAAAAGACAGTTTTGTTTACTGAAGATGAAGATGTCCACTTCGGTGGTGTGAATTCGGAAAGAAATGATTTTTATAAAGAAAGAGAGAAGGAAGTAATCAAGTTGAGGTTGACTTAGCGTCATCCACTTTGCCGTCTTTCGTTTGTGTATCAATCCAAATCAGAGAATACGAAATCATTGAGAAATGGGTTCATTAGAGCAGACCGGAGGCGAGTTTATGGAGGCGATACTCTACGTTAATGGCGTTCGTAGAGTCTTGCCAGATGGCTTGGCTCATATGACGCTTCTCGAATATCTCAGAGGTGCGTGACTAACTACATAAACTCTTTTTGTTTTCCCCGATTAAATTTTAGTGCTAGGTGAAGCTTGAAAGTAGTAGACTTTTAGATCCATTTTGAAGAATCAGGATCAAGGAATATTCCGACAGATTCAATTCCCTGTTTGTGTCAGTTAAGCTGAGTTATGGATTTTTATAAACAGAGAATATGTTAGATCCCTCTTTCAAAAAAAAAAAAAGAAAGAATAAGTTTGATCCACTAGCTCTTTCCGTTATGTCTGTCTTAATTTAAAGATGTTATATTATGCTCCAAGTGCGAAATTTGTTTTGAAAAAGAATAGAAAGTGCATTGCAGAAATCATTTGTTCTAAATTTTCTAACTTGCAGAAGTTTCTTGTTTCCTATAGATTTAGGACTGACCGGGACAAAGCTTGGGTGCGGAGAAGGTGGTTGTGGGGCTTGCACGGTGATGGTTTCTAATTATGACATAAAATCAAAGACATGTGTGTGCGTATCTTGTCCTCTGATTTGTTGGCTCTACTTTGCTTATCTTTGTCGATTCTTCCTCTCACACACTGTTCAAGCTGATCTTTTTTTTTTTTTTTTTTTGATTGATTGCAGGCATTATGCTGTCAACGCGTGCTTAGCACCTCTCTATTCAGTAGAAGGAATGCATGTAATATCCATTGAAGGTGTTGGGCATCGCAAACTCGGCTTGCATCCAGTTCAGGTAAGTTTTATTTACTTCCTCTCATCTCTGGAGAATCTATGTCACTGCTAAAAACGTGTTGTGATCCTAATTCTTTCAGGAGTCATTGGCGTCTTCTCATGGTTCACAATGTGGGTTCTGTACTCCTGGGTTTATCATGTCCATGTATGCGTTATTGAGGTCAAGTAAAAACTCACCTTGTGAAGAGGAGATTGAAGAATGCCTTGCAGGAAATTTATGTCGTTGTACTGGTTATAGACCCATCGTTGATGCATTTCGGGTCTTTGCAAAATCTGACGATGCTATGTACAGTGGTTTATCTTCACTTAGCCTTGAAGATGGTTCAAATATTTGTCCATCTACTGGCAAACCTTGTTCTTGTGGATCAAAGACAACAAAAGAAGCGGCCGATTGTAATGAAGATAGAATTCAGTCCATATCTTACAGTGATATAGACGGGGCTAAGTATACAGAAAAGGAGCTAATTTTCCCCCCTGAGCTTTTGCTGAGGAAATTAGCTCCTTTAAAGTTAAGGGGAAATGGAGGCCTAACCTGGTATAGACCCGTAAATCTTCAAAACTTGCTTGAGCTCAAAGCAAATTATCCTGCTGCAAAACTACTGGTTGGTAATACGGAGGTGGGAATCGAAATGAGACTGAAGAGGTTACAGTATCAAGTGCTAATCTCTGTTGCTCAAGTTCCAGAACTCAACGTTTTAAATGTAAATGACATTGGGGTTGAGGTTGGTTCGGCTGTGAAACTTTCTGAACTCCTGAGGTTGTTCAGAAGAGTGGTAAAGGAGCGTCCTGAACATGAAACATCAGCATGCAAAGCTTTTATTGAACAGCTGAAGTGGTTTGCTGGGACACAAATAAGAAATGTTGCTTGCATTGGTGGAAACATCTGTACAGCTAGTCCAATATCTGATTTAAATCCTCTGTGGATGACTTCAAGAGCAGAATTTCGGGTAATCAACTGCAATGGAGACGTTAGGTCCATACCTGCCAAAGACTTCTTCCTTGGTTATCGCAAAGTAGATATGGGAAGCGATGAGATCTTGTTGTCGGTATTCCTTCCATGGACAAGACCCTTAGAGTATGTGAAAGAATTTAAGCAGGCACATCGTAGGGACGATGATATAGCTATCGTCAATGGTGGAATGCGTGTCTTTCTTGAAGAGAAGGGCGAACAGTTGTTCGTTTCTGATGCATCAATTGCTTATGGTGGTGTGGCTCCTCTTTCGCTGTGTGCAAGAAAGACTGAGGAATTTTTAGTTGGAAAGAATTGGAATAAAGGTCTTCTACAAGATGCGCTTAAGGTCATACAGAGCGATGTCTTAATTAAGGAAGATGCTCCTGGTGGAATGGTGGAGTTTCGAAAATCTCTAACCCTAAGTTTCTTCTTTAAATTTTTCTTATGGGTTTCTCATCATGTACATAACATAAAGCCCACGATAGAGACCTTCCCACCCTCCCATATATCAGCTGTGCAACCTGTTTCTCGGTTATCTAGAATTGGAAAGCAAGACTATGAGACAGTAAAACTGGGAACATCTGTTGGCTCGCCGGAGGTCCATCTATCAGCGAGAATGCAGGTATGTTGCCTCCATCCACTGTACTCAAATTGTTTCTCCACTTTAATTCTCATATTAGTCCTTTTCTTAGCAAGTGGCACGTCTTTTGCTTTTCTCTGGGGTTACATATGTCGACTATATAATTTTCTTTGTTGATTGATGTTTGTGAGAAGAGTAAGATAGAGGAAATGCTTGTATGTAGAGGTGTTGCTCGGCAATGTCATAAGCAACATAGAACATCTATGTGGGCTAGATATCTTATAAAACTCTTGTAGACCTCTGTATAGGACAGTTAAGCGTGGAAAGAGTAATTAGAGGAGAGAAAGAAAGTGATAAACTTGAAGAATTTGGTAATGTTAGGTCAACTGCTGGTGCCCATTTCCATGTACATTGTTTTACCTTTTAGAGCTAAGACTCTTCACATAGCTTATGGTCTCTTTTTCTCAACTCCAAACTTCACCATTGTCAGTTCCATAAGCTTAATTATGTACCCCTCTCCAAATACCTTCAAGCTTGATAAACTGATGAGTTTGAACACATTTGGTTTTGGGGTGGTTTTGTCGTTGATAGTTGAGAACTATAGCTATCAAAGTCTCATTTGGTGTAATTCCTGATAGGTTGGTGAGCAGAGAAGAGTTACCAGTTTATATTTATCAGTTTGTTTCCAGTAGAATACGGTATATCAACATTCTTATATTTTGATGTAGGTCACAGGGGAAGCTGAATATACTGATGATACCCCAGTGCCTCCTAATACGTTGCATGCTGCCTTAGTGCTAAGCAAATTGCCACATGCTCGCATCCTTTCTATTGATGATTCGGCAGCCAAATCTTCACCTGGTTTTGTTGGCCTGTATCTTGCCAAAGATATTCCCGGGGATAATATGATTGGACCAATTGTTGCCGATGAAGAATTGTTTGCTACGGACGTGGTCACCTGTGTGGGACAAGTAAGAAAATTTGAAACCTCAATTATTGGTTTCTTTCATTCCTTGGAGTTCAATAGGGAACCTTTAGTTACTCTTTGTCATAGGAGATGTGTTACAGGCAAAGCTGTTTTTGTGTATGCTTTCTTCACCACCAGAAAGTATACAAGCAAGGGTTATGCACGTATCGATTATGCTACTGTTTTTGTAATGCATGTATTGATTTTGTTATACTACCTAAAAAAAGTAAACGAATGTTCTCATATAGATATTAGATATATGTATTTCGTTCCAACTATTTATTTTATTCGATTCTGGTATTTCAGGTTATTGGTGTGGTTGTCGCGGATACGCATGAAAATGCAAAAACCGCAGCAGGAAAAGTTGATGTTAGATATGAGGAACTACCAGCAATATTATCAATCAAGGAGGCTATTAATGCTAAAAGTTTCCATCCAAACACAGAGAAAAGGCTACGAAAAGGGGATGTAGAGCTATGCTTTCAATCTGGTCAGTGTGACAGGATCTTAGAGGGAGAGGTTCAAATCGGTGGTCAAGAACACTTTTACTTGGAACCTCATGGTAGTTTGGTTTGGACAATTGATGGAGGCAACGAAGTTCATATGATTTCATCCACTCAAGTAAGCTTATTTACATAATTGAGAATAGCATACTGTCATAGTGAAATTCACTTTGATTCATGCTTTTACGACCAGTACATGACCAGAAGCTCTCTGTAACAGAGAACCATTAGGCATCAGCTAGATTAAGATTTTAAATGATAATCTCGTTTCTGCTCAAGCAAACATTGGTGGTTGTGATTTATATGCAGGCTCCTCAAAAACACCAGAAATATGTTTCTCATGTTCTCGGTCTTCCAATGTCTAAAGTGGTATGCAAAACCAAACGAATTGGTGGTGGCTTTGGTGGTAAGGAAACAAGATCAGCTTTCATTGCTGCTGCAGCTGCTGTTCCTTCCTACCTATTGAATCGACCTGTGAAACTCATTCTGGACAGAGATGTGGACATGATGATAACTGGTCATCGTCATAGTTTTGTTGGAAAGTACAAGGTATCTTTCTTTGTTGCTTCCTCGAATTCTTAGGCAGTGGAATCTTTTTTAATCAGCAGACATTTACTTGAAAATGACTGAACAGTTGAGAATAGAAGAAAGAGTTAGACAAACTAGAAAATATCTTTTAAATTTTTTCTGCTTTACCCTTTACAGGTTGGATTTACGAATGAAGGAAAAGTATTGGCGTTGGACCTTGAAATCTACAACAATGGTGGAAACTCTTTGGATCTTTCCCTTTCTATTCTCGAACGTGCCATGTTTCATTCGGATAATGTTTATGAGATCCCGCATGTGAGGATCATGGGGAACGTTTGCTTTACTAATTTTCCCAGCAACACTGCTTTCCGAGGGTTTGGAGGGCCCCAAGGTATGCTTATAACTGAAAACTGGATTCAAAGAATCGCAGCTGAGCTTGATAAAAGCCCTGAAGATATCAAAGTGAGTTGAATGTTTTCTAAAACATCTTCAATCTTGACAGTTTGTACGATTCTATCCTCCTTTTGCCAATTTCCTATTTTAAATAATTTCTGGTGTATTTACTTTACTTTAGGAGATGAACTTTCAAATGGAAGGATCAATCACACATTACTCTCAGTCTCTTCAGCACTGCACATTACATCAGCTCTGGAAAGAGCTGAAAGTATCCTGCAACTTCTTAAAGGCCCGTAGAGAAGCCGAGGTGTTTAATAGTCATAATCGGTGGAAAAAGCGTGGTGTAGCTATGGTTCCCACGAAATTTGGCATATCATTTACCACAAAGTTCATGAATCAGGTAACCTTTTTATGAAGTGGAAAGATTAAGATAGAACCATTTCTTGCAATGCTAGAATCTGAATTTTAGACACATCTATCCATTTTTTAATTTAAACATTATGTGGCTGTTACAGGCTGGTGCTCTTGTTCATGTTTACACCGATGGGACTGTTTTGGTGACACATGGAGGTGTGGAGATGGGTCAAGGATTGCATACGAAAGTTGCACAAGTTGCTGCATCGGCCTTTAACATTCCGCTTAGTTCAGTTTTCGTGTCAGAGACAAGCACCGACAAGGTACATTTATATCACTTAGAATTTGAAGATGGAACTCTGTTACAAACAGAGCATTGTAGGCCAAAGACGTAATCGGACAAAACTGTTCTTGGTCTCTTAATAGGTTCCAAATGCGTCACCAACTGCTGCTTCTGCGAGCTCTGATATGTACGGTGCTGCGGTTTTAGACGCCTGTGAGCAGATTTTAGCTAGAATGGAGCCTGTTGCCTCTAAGCACAATTTCAACACATTCGCTGAGGTATTATTCTTTTTCCCTTACATTTTGATATTAACTCGGAAGAGTTTGATGCTTACTTTGAAAAACTCTCTTCTCCTCTGAATGTATGTAGCTGGCAAGTGCGTGCTACTTTCAACGGATAGACCTCTCTGCTCACGGTTTTCACATCGTTCCCGACATTGGATTTGACTGGATAACTGGAAAAGGAAACGCATTTAGATATTACACGTATGGAGCTGCGTTTGCTGAAGTTGAGATAGATACTTTGACTGGTGATTTTCACACAAGAGCCACCGATATAATGCTGGACCTCGGATATTCTCTTAACCCAGCCATTGATATTGGACAAGTACGCTTTCTTCTCGCTACCTACTACGCATTTGTGCAATCTTTAATCAAAATGAAAAAAATGTTTGCATCTAAAATCACTATTTGCAGATAGAAGGAGCGTTTGTACAAGGACTGGGTTGGGTAGCTTTAGAAGAACTCAAATGGGGAGATGCAGCTCATAAATGGATTCGACCAGGAACTTTACTCACTTGCGGACCCGGAAACTACAAAATACCTTCCATTAACGACATTCCTTTCCACCTCAATGTTTCTCTTCTCAAGGTATGCTACTATAAGAACAAGCTTTAAATTGGTGCCATCCATTTGAAACTAAACCCTGAGATTATACTTTATTAAATTAGGGGAATCCGAATACAAAGGCAATACATTCATCTAAAGCAGTGGGTGAGCCACCATTCTTTCTTGCATCATCAGTCTTCTTTGCGATAAAGGAAGCGATCAAAGCAGCTAGAACCGAGGTGGGTCTCACAAAGTGGTTCCCTTTGGAGACTCCAGCCACTCCAGAGCGTATCAGGATGGCATGTTTTGACGAGTTTTCAGCTCCTTTTGTAAGTTCAAATTTTTGCCCCAAGCTTAGTGTTTGAGCTTTTTAACTTCATCAAGGGGGCAAAAAAAGGGTCAGTATATTGTGACAAGGTCAAATCTGCAAGTTATTTCCAGTCGTTAAATAAATGTACAGTACATAGATATGTTTCTCCAAATCAGCAACTTTGTTGACTACAACTACAAGTGCCTCTAGCTGTGAACTTTGGTGGCTTCCTCATCAAAGTTGCTTGTTCGAAGCCATAAGCAATCTCAATGAGCTTTGGCTCTGAAAATCTCAACCCTCCAAAGCTAATCCCAAACGGAACTCCTTCACTATCGTATCCTGCAGGGACATTGATTCCTGGATACCCTCCTATGGCGAGAACCGAGCTTAACGTAGAACCAAGCGTCAATATTGCATCCAACTTATTCTCTTTCATTAGCTTTTCGATTCCATTCCTCGAAAGTTTTTCTATTTTCTGCAACGCTGCTTTCTCTTTCTCACCCATTCCATTGGTGGCTTCTGCTGCAAGGAAGACCTCTTGTCCCCATTCTTTCACCTTTTCCTGTGATTTTTGGTAACTCATTGACTTAGATTCACTTCAGATACCGAGTAAAAGGTGAATTCAAACAAAATATTCAATCTTAAAGCTTACGGTACCTTTTCAGCGAATTTCTCGTTGAAGGCAATAACGTCTGCTAAGGACCGTACGGGTGATTTCACAAGCCTTTTAAGATATTCATTCAGAGAAATCTTGAACTCAGTTAAAAGTGCTATCTCTTCACCGCTATTAGTAAAATCCACAATGACTTCGATGTTTGGGATGGTTAAATTGTCAATGACGATCGCGCCTTCTAGTCTTCATCACAGAAAAACAGAGCTACAATTAGATACTGTGTACCCAATTGGTTTAAATTGATTGTTCAAATCAACTTATAACATTTTTTTACCTTAATGTTTTGATGTGTTGATCAATATAAGAATGCTTCATTACAATCCCTAATCTCTTACCCTTGAGACCACTAGCTTTCAGAAACTGCTTGTAACCGCCTTCAGGTATGAACTCGGAGGCAGCCTTCGTGGCCTCGTCCAACGGATCATAACCCACAATAGCATCAAGAAGATGAACAGCATCCGAGACTGTCCTACATATCGGCCTAACATTTGCAAAAACACAAGAGAAACATGGTAAAATGGTTCAAAATCAGATAGGTAATAGTGGTGAGTGCTCTTAGTCTCACCCTACAGTGTCCTGTCTCAAGGAGATGGGAACGACCCCGGCTCGGCTAGTGAGCCCGACACTCGGTTTAATCCCGACCACCGAGTTCTGACTCGCCGGACAGAGAATGGAACCATCAGTTTCAGTCCCAATTGACAAGGCCACAAGATTAGCCGCCACTGATATAGCTGAACCACTACTTGAACCACACGGATTTGCTGATAAAACGTACGGATTCTGCAGCATTCAAAGCCTCTTCTTGAATCCAAAAGCTCCATTTTTTTTTTTGGTAGAGATTTTGGTAAAGTTTGAAGCTTTTTGTAAGATTAGTGCTAGAGTTACCTTTCCTTGGAGGCCACGTGCGCTCCAACCATCTGGGATGGAGAGAGATCGGAAATTAGCCCATTCGCTTAAACTGGCTTTGCCCAAGATCACAGCACCAGATTCTCTTAGTCTCTTGACAACACCAGCGTCTCGAGCCACGACCGAACCAAGCAAAGCCAAGGAACCAGCGGTCGTGTTTAGCTTGTCCTTGGTGGAGATGGAATCCTTGAGCAGAATCGGAACACCGTGCAAGATAGGAAGCTCAGTGACGCCGATTTTGAGCTCGCGTTCTCTGTCTGCGATCTCTGCTTGGGTCAACGCATCTGGATTCGTCTCGATGACTGCGTGGAGCATCGGATTGAGCTTGGAGATGGATTCGAGATACATCTCGACGAGTTGTTTTGATGTCAGTCTTTTCTCCTTGAAAGCAAGTCTGATGTCATCAACAGTGGCTTCTTGGATCGAGAACTTTGGAGTGTGAATGATTTGAGATTGAGTCCCAAATTGCATAAGAAGAGCTTGAGGAAGAAGAAGAAGAAGAGATGATGAGAAGATGAATCGCAGAGCAATCATGTCCATGGCTTACGAAAGAAACCGAAAGGGTCAACGCCGGCCGCCAATTCTCTCTCTCTCTCTCTCTCTCTCTCTCTCTCTCTCTCTCTATCTCACTCAAAAAGGGCGAAACTTTTTCATTTGAGAATATCACTGTAAGTGTTAAAGAGCTGAGAAAGGTAAATTAGAGGCCGTTGATTAAAGAAACGAGTATAGTTATTCAGAATCAGAAGACGAATCATGCTTCAAATGAGTTTCTTGTCAATAGTAGAAATAATAATATATCTACAAACCTTATTCAAAGTAGTCAATTTCAGAAACCCCACACAAGGGAAGGGTTTTACAAACTCGAAACGATCCCAAATCAGAGACTTAAAACCCCAAACAGAATCAGAACAAGAAGAACATACAACAATTAAAAGCAAGATACCATTACTCATAAGATTTAAGTCTCTCTCTCTCTCAGTCAGTTCTAAGCAAGCTGTCCACAATCAGCGACGACCACAAGCTTCGAAGTCCTCCCGGACTCAGATCCAACTCTCTCGATCGGCTTCAGCACGTCAATACCTTCAACGACTTGTCCAAACACAACGTGCGCTCCATCTAACCACGAGGTCACCGAAGTGCATATGAAGAACTGAGATCCGTTGGTGTTGGGACCAGAGTTAGCCATGGATAGAATCCCAGGTCCGGTGTGCTTCTTAATGAAGTTCTCGTCTTTGAACTTAGTGCCGTAGATCGATTCGCCTCCGGTTCCGTTCCCGGAGGTGAAATCGCCTCCCTGACACATGAATCCAGGGATCACACGGTGAAAGGTCGATCCTTTGTAGTGGAGTGGCTTACCCAGCTTTCCGACTCCTTTCTCGCCGGTACAGAGAGCTCGGAAATTCTCGGCCGTGTTCGGTGTCGTATCGGCGAATAGCTCCATCACGATCCGACCTGCCGGTGCACCGTCGATAGTCATGTCGAAGAACACTCTAGGGTTAGGGTTACTCATTTTTGGGAGACTGAAGAAGAGACTGTGGAGTGTGGAGTGTGGAGTGTGGAGTGTGAAGTGAAGATGCTAATTTGGATTTTTGAGAAAGGCTGTATATATAGAAAGGATTTAATGGTGAATCTCAAAAAGGAAATTATGTTAGTGACCGTCGATAAAAGACACGTGTATGGCTGCAAGTGAGTGTAAGATTAACCGTGGTTAGTTCCAGTCTAACTATGCTGTAAAGTTGCGTGGATCCCCCGAAGCTGCCCCCTACTGTGGATAAATAATTTATTTAAGATGGACCCGACAGAATGACGGCGCTTTGGTTTAGGTGGGCCGAGTCTAAAGCAAAGCCCACTAATCATACTATATTTCTGTTTTGTTTTTTTTTTAAAGAAAAAATCAATTGCTCTTCTTAATAATAATAATAAAGACGTTTAAAAAAAAAAAAAAAAAACCAATTGCTAAAAAGAATTCTTTCTTTTGAAAATCCGCCTTCGACATGTGAATATGAAAGAATATCATTGCTCACTAAAAAGAATCTGCGATATAATCCTCAACGTTAGTGAAATATACAACCCCTGTAGAATAGATTATGAAATTACGTCGTTTGAGTTATAGATCAAAATAAATTAAACAACGATTTTGTTTCGTTTGTTACGTACAATTTGTTCCACTTATTCTGCGACGGTTACTCACAAATTTTTTGCTTATCATAGAATCAATCATGTAGTAGACAAAAAAAAAGATACATGTATTGATTTAAGGTGAAATGGACTTGGCTTATTACGCCGGCGGGACTTTTGATGGGATTACTAGGTTTCACTTTTTTAGTAGATTAGCCCCCTTTGTTTTTGTTTGCCAAATATTGATTATTTCCAATCACAACATTAAGTGAAATGAATTTTTCATTTTCGTATTTGTTGAATGGATTTCAAACAATCTGTATATTTGCAATTCAATTTGATAGAAAATTTTCAGTAATTCTGTATACACAATAGCGTCGACAACAAGATTCGAACCTGCGCAACATATGGGTATTTGATTGGAACAACAAAACCCTTTTACTTTCACTCCACCTATTATTTTATCTTCTGAGTGATGTTATCAACTTATCATTTGCAACTTCTATCACATTGTTGTCTAGAATAATCTAACAAAAGAAATACATGTCCCTAAAATCCAAAAGGTAAATCAAATTAATAGCATTGGCAAAAGAAACTTTTCGAGTTTCCAATAGACAATGTTAATTTTTTTTTCTAATCTAGTAATATTCGTTCACCAACGTTGGAAATTATACGACCTTTTTTTTTCACTATCAACAATAATGATATATGATTCAAATTGAAATTTAATTAGTTAAAAAGTAAAAATATCCAGATACCAAACAATTAGTCAGCTGACTGCGCAGGGCACGAGATCCGCTGCCACCGTACACGTGGACAACCAAACATCTTACTCACTGCAAAACTGCAAAGATACTCTCTCACGTCAGTAATTATTTGTAACTTATAATCGAAATAAATAGTTATATAAATAATATTTGATGAAACTCAAAAAAAGCAACAACCTCCTCCGTGCAATCATATCATATGCATGGCTTGAAGGTTACCTTTTCACCTTCCCGATCGCTAGAGTCACTGTCTTCGTTTCTATCTGCCCGTAACAGTCACATCCTATCCGTACACGTGGACCCACATCCTCCTTAGCTGATTAGCTGATACGTCTCCCTTTGCCGTTTCGGCTCTCACCCCGTTTAATTACTTGTTACTGATACTCTCGCTTCCCTTCTCTTCTGTTGCGGGATTACAGAGATACAGAGAGAATACGGAGAGAGAGAGAGAGAGAGTCAGAGCAGAGAGCGAAGCTCGTTCGTTTCGTCTTCTTCTTCTTCGTTCGACGCTGGATTATAAGGTTCGTGATCTGTCTACGTCTTGCTGTGGTTAGGAACATTTATGGTTTGATGATATTTTTTCCTACTTTGTTTTTGCCGGATCTCTGCGAAGAATTCTTTACGTGCGTGCTTTAGCTTGATGAGAGTTTTGATCTCGATCTGTTCTGTGCGTGATGTCGTTACAACCGAGTCGAAAATCTCTCTGCTTTGTTTTCTTGTTCTTTGAAATTACATGAAAATCCGAAGGTTTCGATGTTATATCGTTCAATCTCTGTTCGATGTTGTTGTTATTCGTGACGCTTCTTTGTTTTCTGCGTTCTGATTGATCGGGTTTCTCCGTTTCATAAGTTTTTCAGAGAACAATAACGCTTTGATTGAATACGTTTTTTTTTTTCTTCTGATATCTCGATGAACTATACCTGTTTACACATTTGATCATGCCATTGTTGTGCGTTGCTTCCCCCAAATTTCTGTGTGAATTATAGGAAAATTGCTATTCACTGTAACCTTATTGCGAACAAATGGATCTGATCGAATCATGGAAATGCAGGGCATGATAATTGGACTTTTGGCTAGGATTTGAATTCAATCTGGAGCAATGTCGACTTTTAATCTGAATGTAGATGTGAACCAGAATGGGGATGTCAAGAATGCTGATTCCTCATCTAAGTTGGACGATATTGATGACATAGATTTCTCAAAGTTGCTAGAGAAGCCAAGGCCGTTGAATATTGATAGACTGAGATCACTTGACGAAAGGTCTCTAAATGAATTATCTGGTTCACCACAACTAAGAAATGCGGATAATGCTTCTCGGGTCCATGATCATGCAGACTATGTGATTTCACCAAGCGTGGGTAGGAGGTCTGGATTCAATACTCCAAGGTCACAGCCTGGATTTGAGTCTCATCCAATGGTGGGTGAGGCCTGGGATGCTTTGAGGCACTCAATGGTATACTTCCGTGGACAACCTGTTGGGACAATTGCTGCACTGGATAATTCTGAAGAAAAACTCAACTATGATCAGGTGAATAATCTTTATACTTTGTGGACACTTTTAACTTACCACATTCTGTTGTCACGTTTCTATTAACTGGTGTGTTGGTTTATCTGGTATCTGCCTGACTTTATTCTTTAGGTGTTCGTGAGAGACTTTGTGCCAAGTGCTTTAGCATTCCTGATGAATGGAGAGCCAGATATAGTCAGAAACTTTCTTTTGAAGACTCTTCGTCTTCAATCCTGGGAGAAAAAGATTGATAGATTCCAGCTTGGTGAGGGAGTTATGCCTGCTAGCTTCAAAGTTTTCCATGATCCTGTTAGAAACCATGAGACGCTGATAGCTGATTTTGGCGAGAGCGCAATTGGAAGAGTAGCGCCTGTTGATTCTGGATTCTGGTGGATTATACTGCTCAGAGCATACACAAAATCTACAGGAGACTCTTCTCTTGCTGACATGCCTGAATGTCAGAAGGGTATACGACTGATTCTAAGCTTGTGTCTGTCCGAGGGATTTGATACCTTTCCCACTCTCTTATGCGCTGATGGTTGCTGTATGATTGATCGTAGGATGGTGAGCAAATTTCTTTATTAATCATATCTATAGTGCATGTTCTTTCTACAAAGGAGACAGTTTGAGCTAAAGCTGTTTCATCAATTTTCAATTTCTTAAAATCTTGTGGTTTCTCTGTTTTAGGGAGTTTATGGTTACCCGATAGAGATTCAAGCCCTTTTCTTTATGGCCTTAAGGTGCGCCTTGCTCCTGCTTAAACATGAGGGAGAAGGTAAAGAAATGGTGGAACAGATAGTTAAGCGCCTTCATGCATTGAGCTACCACATGAGGAGCTACTTTTGGCTAGACTTGAAGCAGCTTAATGACATATATCGATATAAGACAGAGGAATACTCCCACACTGCTGTTAACAAGTTCAACGTAATCCCTGATTCTCTTCCAGAATGGGTTTTTGACTTTATGCCGCCTCACGGAGGGTTTTTTATCGGCAATGTTAGCCCGGCGAGAATGGATTTCCGATGGTTTGCCTTGGGCAACTGCATAGCCATATTGTCTTCCTTGGCTACTCCTGAACAGTCAACCGCAATTATGGATCTAATAGAATCTCGCTGGGAAGAGTTGGTTGGAGAAATGCCACTGAAAGTTTGCTATCCAGCAATTGAAAGCCATGAATGGAGAATAGTAACTGGTTGTGACCCCAAAAACACTCGATGGAGCTACCACAATGGAGGGTCCTGGCCAGGTAAATTTATACTGTTTCTCATTCACATTTCCCATTCCAGTGTTCCTCTGGTTTTACTATATGCAAAAGCTAATCTGACCTTTATTGATGTAATGTTCACTGGGTACATGCAGTGCTGTTATGGCTTTTGACGGCTGCTTGTATCAAAACCGGTCGACCTCAAATAGCAAGACGAGCAATTGAAGTAGCAGAAGCTAGGCTTCACAAGGACCATTGGCCTGAATACTACGATGGAAAGCTAGGGAGATACGTGGGGAAACAGGCACGCAAAAGCCAGACTTGGTCAATCGCCGGTTACTTAGTAGCCAAGATGATGCTGGAAGATCCGTCACATGTCGGTATGATTGCTCTTGAGGAAGACAAACAAATGAAACCCGTTATGAGAAGATCCAACTCCTGGACATGTTGAAGTTTGATCATTTCCGTCAAGAAGGAGATGAGCTAAGAAGAAACTTCATGACTGATTCCATGGTTTTAATGCCTGACTGATTACGACTCTTTCTTCTTTTTTCAAAAATGCACATTTTACGTTGTTTTTTTTTTGTGAAATATTTTTAGACTATGAAAGATTTAAGCATCGTAAAAAAGAGTTCATCTCTTTTAGTTTTTCATGTCTTATTATAAGCAAGCATTTCTCTCTCAGTTGAAATGACTATAGAGCAAAAGGGGATCCTTTCTTGTGCTTCAAGCTATAACCAAACCCCCCCCCCCAATACTATTCACTTTTTATTCAAACATCAAGGTTTCGAGCCACGATGCCTTCAAATGTAACACCAGGTCCAAAAGCCAGAATCAGACCCCACTCGTTTTCACCTTCACTTGTGTTCCTCACTTTCCGGCTCTCTTCCAACATATACTCCAATACATAAACGATGGAATTGCTACTTGCGTTACCGTAGTCCATGAGAGCTCTCCTGCTTGGACTCAACTTCTCAGGCGACAGGTTAAGCCGCTTTTCCATTCGGTTCAAGATGGCCGGTCCACCTGGATGAACCGCCCAGAACATCTGGTTATAGTCTTTATGAGCCAGTCCCGCTTTTCCTATTAGCTTCTTGCAAAAACTCTCCACGTTGTCTTCTATTATCTGTGGAAGCTCTCTCGATAGCGTGAAGTTTATCCCTGCTTCCGTTAGCCTCCCATCTATCGTCTTCTCCGTGTCTGCGCCATGAAAATGGAATCCAAGTGTTTATCCCAAAAATAGTCTTAAGTTATAGGATGCCAAAAAAATCTTGTATTTTTACCAGGCAGGAAATTCTGAATTGCAGTGTGAAGCTCAAAGAGAGGCTTCTCAGAAATCGGGTCTGGCTCGGATCCGATGATCATAGCTCCGGCTCCATCACCAAACAACGCGACACCAACAAGATCATACGGTCTATCTGCACTCGGGGGTTTGAACCCAATGATGGTCGTCTCTGACGTGGCAAGCAAAACTCGACTGCCCGGATTGTTCTCGGCTATGTCTTTGGCTACACGGAGCCCTGCAACGCCACCAGAACAACCGACGAAGTAGAGCAGAACACGGTGTGTCTCCGGGCTGAGACCAAGCCCTTTGGCTAAGTACAAGTCACCACCCGGAAGACGTGCTTCGCTTGAGGAGACATAGACAAGGTGAGTTATGTCTGAAATAGAACGTCCCCAGTTCTTGATGCAGGCTCTGGAAGCTTCCACTGCCATTTCGGTTACAGCGTCGTTGCAGATGTCGAGTCTCTGTTTCACCGTGGATCCTCCTTCAATGGCGAGTTCTGGATATTTCTTGAGGATCTCCTCCGACATCACAACATATCTAGTCTTCACTGTCGTTGTCTTGCCTGTATCGTTATTGAAACAGTTAAACGGACCTCTCCGGCCCCAGAAGCTTACAAAAAGAAATAAAAGTTAAAAGAAACAAGGTTAAGTGAGGACATTACAGAGACGAGTAAGCTTCTGTTTGAGTTCAGGGTCTTCACAATTGGTAGTTTTGAAGTAGCCATCGACCAAGTACTCTTGCATCACTAGCTGGTGAGGAAAGGCTTTTCCGAGAGCAAGAATTGTCGCTTTCCCTGGATTTGGTTTCTTTTCTGAACCCAACTCTGCAGCATCGATGCTTCCCATGTTTACCTCTTCTCTTGTCAAAGACTCAACGTTGGGCCTGTTAATAAGGGTCATCGTCAAGGCCTATATATATACACTGCAGCTTTGCAGTTTACCAGCTGCATCTTGTGCGGTGTTTCTGTCTAGTTAGTGTTTGGTGAAGATTAGGTGTGAGATTCAGGAGCTTCATGATTATTGCATTTGTTCTTTTTATGCTTTCTCTGAGAATTTTCTCATGGTACCATAGTCTTTGGGCCTAAATGATATAAAAATTATTTGTTCCTAACCAACACAAGGGTGTGTTATAGCTATAGACTTATAGTTGTTCTGTAATTTTTTTACACTTGGAAGAAAGAACAGAGAAACTAACTAAAGCTTCGTGGTTTCTTAAGAATGATTAACAAGAACAACAATACGTGAGAATAGAAAATTTCTGATTTATGTTGTTGAGTATCAAAATTTGCTGATTTTCTGCATGTATGATGATCCATCATCATATGCAAGATAACAAAATAAGGGAACAACAACAAATAAGGAAAAATGGAGTAATATAAATTTTCTCCTCCAACCTATTTGCCTAAACCTTTTGCTTGAATCTTTATATCCCTCCTTCGCCCAAAGCACATACGCGAACCTTATCGATGAAACTTACGGTTTTGAAAATTAGGAAAGCCAGTAGGTGTGGAATGTATGACTTTTCAGAGTTCTGAGAGACACTTCCCACTGATGAAGTCAATCACTTTGGTAGCTGACTCATAAAGTTTAGCAGTGACCGCAGCTAAGTTCTCCAAAAACTCCTCTGAAGTTGGTCTATTTCCATCCACGATATCAGTTACTGCTTTCATTAAAATGGTGGGAACCTTAAAAATATCAGCAACGTAGGCCACTGCTGCTCCCTGAAATGCGGGGATGCCCAGAATAAGGCACAAGCAAGTGATAAAGACACAAACAGAAACACATAGATTGGAGCCAAGTTCATAAACACGGGAAATTTGTGGACAGTTTACCTCCATGTCTTTCACTGTAGCATCATTTGCTGTGATTGATTCTTTGTCATGTGGAGACATATCCATAGAATCACCAGTGGATAATCGTCCTACCTGGGAACATCACAACCAAAGCGTAAAATCTACCACTTATGGCACTTGTATATAAATATGCAAAACAGATAAAGAAATAATCAAAAACTTGCATGAGGATCAAATGATGAACTCAAAGCAACTAATCAAAGTATACACCTTTAGGTTCAGTTCCTTTATAAGGTTGGGTGTAGGGAAGGCTTTTCGCATACCAACACCATATAGATCAAGAACCTGAAGAGATAACAGGGAAAGGCGGAACATTCGGAATGAGAAACCAAGTATTTCACTTAACAGCAAAAGCTTTACTTTGCAAGTCGTAAGCACTTACAGGAACAGGTATTCTCCTGTCATGGAAAGCGGCACTGGAGACAATATAAACATCGCCAATACTTGCTCCTTTGGCCTGAAATACATTAAAAGAAAAACGAGGATGTTGTCTATTCTTTCTGACATATATGAGGCATGAGACGACTACGTAGGGAAAGCAATTTGTAATGTCAATACCTTAAAGCCACCAGCAGTTCCTGCATTGATGATTAGGTCGGGTTGAATTGCCTGAATGGAAGCATAAGTCACGAGAGATGCAGGAACCGTGCCTACACTATCAACCCCTGTAAAGAATTGATCCACATAACAAGAGTTAAGAAGAATCTACAAGCACAGTGACCATTAGAAACAGCATCAACAACTCCACACCACAACCATCCTGAAACATTTGACTCACTACCGAGGCTGAAAAGAAAAACAATGGAATAAAATGAAGCAACAGCATGGACATAGAGACATACCAAGAGTTGCGTCTTTTCCTGGACACACTATATTGATGTTCAAGTCTTTATACATTCCATTAAACAGAACCCAAGCCACCTCTTTCGGAAACCTACAAAAATCAAATTTTTATTTTCCAATCACAATATGGAAACAGTAATATGAAAGCAATCACATTTGGTTTCAAATCAAATCTAAAAGAAGTGGAGAGATAAAAGAGCTCACGGCGAATTAACGTCTTTAACGAGTCCGAATTTGTCGATCAGAGGCTGAGCTTCCTTTTGCATAGCTGGAAATACACGGCTCATTAAAAAGAAAGAAAACTCACAATTGAACAGAAACATCGACGGAGGAGGAAAGGAGAAAAAAAAATAGTACCGACGATGAAGACGATGGTACAAATCGGCCGTTTCTCTAACTGGCCCATGAGCTCTTCCGTAGCAGCGGCTGAGAATCCGTCGCCGTGAGCAGCCATGGCGATTCGTCAAGATCAAATTTCTAGATTTCCCTCTGAAATTGGAATCATGAAACCGGATCCGACCCGAACCCGACCCAACATTCATTTTTGTTTTGTTTTTCATAATAAGAAAAGAAAAAGAAAAAGAAAAACGTTGACGACTTGACGGCCGTTTATGCCACGTCAGCAGAGGGTCCAAAATCCGAAGCGAGTCGTTCGTTATTTCATATCCTCACTCTCCTCTTCTGCTTTATCCTCATCGTTTCTCTCTCTGCTCTCTCTCTCCCTCTCGCCTCTCCAATGGAGGTTACCTCCACCTTCATCTCTTCCAGATCGTCAAAATATCTTACCTTAACTTCCTACTCTCCGGTGATTCTTCCGGCTTCTAGTCTCCGCTCCATCCGTACTGATTTCCTCGGCTGCTGCCACAGTCTCCGTCCTCCTCATCTTCGAACGCGCGCCGGAAAACGGAAATCTGGTCGTTCTTCAATCCGATCGCCTCGTTTAGTCGTCAGAGCTTCTCTCGACTCTGGTTTGATCCTTGTTGTTGTTGCTGTTACCGCTTTTTCCGCCATTGCTTTCGCTTACTGCCAACACACTTTCAGAAAACGGAAAATTTCCGATAAGGTAACACCTATTCTTCTCGTTGTTCTAATCGAATATTTCCGAGCTTTTCCCGTTTGTTTACTTACGAGCACAAAATTCGCGAGACTATTATTGCTAGTTGCTGATTCAAGTGACATTCATGTGTATTGGACAAAATTGGGGGTCTGGATAATTCTCGAGTTGCTGATTTTTTGTTTTTGGAAATTCGATTAGAGTTCTGACTGGGTAAACTGTTCAGGTTGTAGCATCTTCTGCAACGCGTCATGATGGAAAAATCAGTACTGAGAATCGGCGGGAAACGCAACATTTAGATGGTGGAGATATTCATACTGTGGAAATTAATGGAGGTTTCAGAAAGAGGGAGGAAGAAAGTGTGAAATTGGTGGAAGAGGAGGCTCATCAAGTCCAGGAAACTGCTGTGATGGAGTATGATTCATTTTCGGCCAAACAAACCGATATGGCAGCTGAGGATTCTCAGTTTGCCGTTGCCAGTGTCAGCACAATTGCCAATGAACATGGTTTTAGAGATGAATCTATGAGTAATGGATTTGTTGCTTTGGAATCAGCTACAGTGGGAGCAAAAACAGCTGAAAAACAAGTTGAAAACAGCCAAGAACAAAAGGTTATGGACTATGCAGTGGTGGGAGTTCATTCGATATCTTCTTCACATGTGGTAGATGATACACGTGCTCTTGAGTATGAGTATAATGGTTTAATCCAGAAGCCCATTGAATACAGCATCTTCACGGAGACTAAGAGAGAAGAGATTCACACATTTTATGGGTCTAATCATTCACCACACAAGTCTTCAAGGTTGAAAAGTCTTAAAGCAGTCTCTCCTACTGTTACTTCTTCTGCAACTGATACATTGTTGGACCACAAGAACAATGGAATAATTAATACTCAGTTCTCAGGACAAATTTCTGGTCAGGCTATTGGTACGTTGACTATGTGGTATTTTCTGTGTCAAATTTGATAGCCTCGTCTCTCCTTTCTGACAGTCTTGCAATGCCAATCCAGTACGATGATGCTTTAAAAGTTTCCTTTCCGTTGCAGGATATGTTGAAGAAAAAGAACTTGTGGCACACGGTAATGGCGGTGTGTCCCATAAAAGGGAAGATGTAGGAAGAGACTGGAAACTTCCTGATGACGCGAAGCATGTGGTTCACCAAACTGATGAAAGCATGCCTCAGTTCCCCGCTCAGCTTAATAGTAATGGGCGTTCTCCAGAAACTAGTGATGCTTACTACCGTTTACTTAGAGATGGGAGGTAATAAATATTCTCTAGTTTGATAAGACAGTGCTCTATCTTGTGGCTGTCCTCTTTTTCCTCTGCTGAATGCTATTCTTTTTCTGGGAAGTTTTATTCCCAAAGAAAAGATACTGGATTGATTGACTTTGAGGGTGTGTTATCCATAATAGGCTAAAGGATTGCATAAGCGTACTTGAAGATTTGGAGAAAAAAGATCTATTGGACATGGACAAGGTATGGCTGGTTTCCTGTGCAATATGGATGAGATCTTAGTCTTGCCTCTCCTTGAATGATCGAACTTTTTCAGTGATCTTAATCTTACTTATGTCTTCACATCAGATTTACCACGCGAGCTTCTTTAAAATCTGCAAGAAGCAAAGGGCTGTCAATGAAGCATTTCGCTTTACTAAGTTGATTCCAAATCCAACCTTAAGCACCTTCAATATGTTAATGTCTGTCTGTGCAAGCTCACAGGACATAGAAGGTGATATTAATATCCATCTTAAATTCTTGGTCTTGTTAATTTTCATTCTTTTAAATGTTGAATTGTTACTTATGTAGGAGCTCGGAAAGTTTTATACCTGGTGCAAGAGAGTGGTATGATGGCTGATTGCAAACTTTACACAACTTTGATATCAAGTTGTGCTAAAAGCGGCAAAGTTGATGCAATGTTTGAGGTATAGTAATCTTCATTTGCCTGAATGCTATTTAAACGAAGATACATATTTTTCTGCTTATTTGGAATCTCTATTAGCGTCATGAAGCATGATAGATATCTGGGAAACATAATTTTTAATGCTTGTCTGAATGGCGTGGTATTTTATTCTTGATCATCTAACCGAGGAAACTATTTGTTGTCTAATCAAGTTTCATGTCTCTTTCTCTCTCTGGACTTTAATCTAGTTTTAAATAGTGCGTGCAATAAATTCTGTTTTCCCTCTCTCACTCTCTGTGTGTTTAAGATCTGTGTGTGTCAATTTAGCATTTTTGTTATCCACATTGGTAAGGCTGTCCTCTTCGTTACTAGTGGATATCTTTCTTCTCAATGTACTCCTTTTTGTATTTTAGTTAAAAATTTATACTTCATTTCGAATACTGTGTTTTGATCTTGATTACTGATCATAACATCATACCGTATGACCTGAATTGGCATCCTAAGTGGTGCCATGTTTTGTGACTTCCTTATATCTCTGTGTGGTTATATCCTCAGGTGTTCCACCAGATGGCTAATTCTGGAGTGGAACCCAATCTTCACACTTTTGGTGCACTTATTGATGGCTGTGCTAGAGCTGGACAAGTAGCTAAGGCATTTGGTGCTTATGGAATTTTAAGGTCTAAGGTAAGGCTGCCACAAATTTGTATTTCCTCCTATCATGTTTCTAGATTGCTAATATTATCTTCTTGCTTCATGGCTACTAAATGTGGTTTAGTCTTGCTCGTTATGTCCATTTATGTTTTGGAATCTCAAGGCTATTATTACATTGATGACATGTTCGATGCAGTAGAATGTTAAGCCAGACCGGGTTGTATTCAATGCCCTCATCTCTGCATGTGGACAATCAGGAGCTGTGGACCGTGCTTTCGATGTGTTAGCTGAAATGAAGGCTGAGACGCATCCTATAGACCCTGATCATATCACGATCGGTGCATTGATGAAGGCATGTTTTAATGCTGGTCAGGTGTGTGGCTTTTCGTTTCTGTTTCTGTCCCGCAATCTGCTTTTCTCTTTCTATTTGATTGAGAATATGTTTATTGCAGGTCGAACGAGCTAAAGAAGTATACAAGATGATCCATAAATATGGAATAAGGGGTACCCCAGAAGTCTATACTATTGCTGTGAATAGTTGCAGCAAGTCTGGGGACTGGGATTTTGCATGTAGCATATACAACGACATGAAAGAGAAAGGTGTTAACCCTGACGAGGTATATTTGTTTTGAATTCTACGTCATATTCGAAGTTGCAGAACTTTATGAGGCATGAACGTGCCCTTAACTCTATGCATACTAGATCCAACAAATTCATTTTTGAGTTAGTAAGACACACACCTGCTGCTCATGAATTGTTTGATTGAGCGAATCTCTTAGGCCATCTTGCTTATATTTGCAATCTTGGTTTTGACCTTCTGCAGGTGTTTTTTAGTGCATTGATCGATGTTGCAGGACATTCAAAAATATTAGACGAAGCTTTTGGCATTCTTCAGGACGCGAAATCTCAAGGAATACGTCTGGGAACTATATCATATAGCTCACTGATGGGAGCTTGTTGTAATGTATGTGCCTTTTACAGCTGTAGCAAGAGTTTTTTTGATGCCTTGAATTAATATTACTTAGATTAAAAATTACGTGATGGATCCCTAGAGGAGAAAGTGAAATTTGGTTTAAATTTTCGCACTGGTCTCTAGAGGTGAACATGATCAGAAGATTTTTATTTGGTGAAACTAGTTTTTGAGAAGTAATTTTCATTACCTTAGGGAACCTCTTCTGATTTACTGAATGGTGTGATCGCATTGACTAACTTTATGGAGAAACTACTGATACCCTTTTTTTTAGGCGAAAAATTGGAAGAAAGCACTGGAGCTCTATGAAAAGATCAAGTCAATCAAACTTATACCAACTGTTTCAACAATGAATGCCCTTATAACTGCCTTGTGTAAGACCTCATACATTTTATCTTAATCTTTTCCCCCAAATAATAAAAGAAAGATGTAAAAGAAAAATGCAATATGGTATTACTACAATTGCAGTATATAACGTACCCAACACAAAGATAGCTTTGCTGGTATGACTCCTTAGATTGTCAACAGGTGAAGGTGGTCAACTGCCCAAGGCTATGGAATATCTTGATGAGATCAAGACTTTGGGATTAACACCAAACACTATCACTTACTCTATGCTCATGCTGGCAAGTGAAAGGTAAATTCTTTAAAATTGAATCATTTAGGCTTTGTGTGATCAGTAATCAGTGCAGATTTGAGAATTCATTATTCTCTGACTTTTCTCTATGTAGAAAGGATGACTTTGAGGTAAGTTTCAAGCTCCTTTCTCGAGCAAAAGAAGATGGAATATCACCAAACTTCATCATGTGCAGATGCATAACCAGTAAGCTCGTATTTGTATTCATCGTAATTTTATCTAGCTGAGTTGCGCTGGAGTAGGAAATTTTTCAACTATTGAAAAGATGTTATCTGATAAATGTGTAAACCCTGAAAATTATTATCCACTTCAACCTCATATCATTAGAGTACTTCAAGGATCATAAGATTGGATCTTTCACCAACGGTGTCCAAATTTTTTCCAAACAACCCCAACCAACCAATAGAAAGAAAAAAAAAAGGAAACGACCAATCTTTATGAATTTTTCAGAGCAGTCATGGCTTTGTCTTTACTCATTCTTGAGGCCTGCAAAATTACATAGTTCGTCCTTATAATGCAATCGTACATGAAAGTGTTTGTTTACTGTAGCACTTATTGTATTTATTTTTTTGTTATTCTATTAAGGCCTGTGCAAGCGAAGGTTCGAGAAGGCTTGCGCTGCTGGTGAACCTGTTGTGTCTTTCAGATCAGGGCGGCCTCAAATTGAAAATAAATGGTCAGTACATCTTCTTTTTTAAGTCGTTAGTCAGTCAGTCGCTCTTTTTCGTAGTGTGAGGCTTCCCAGATAAGGCAATCTTGATTGAGGTTTCAGTAAACTTGTTGGATTTGATCTGATTAGTTGTGGTACTCTCTCTTCTTAAAAAAAGACTTATATCAGAAATCAATTCCAGGTTAATACTGACAAGCTTCCCTTTCTTTCAGGACATCAATGGCTTTAATGGTTTACCGTGAGACAATTTTAGGTGGTACGGTTCCAACTACAGAAGTAGTTTCACAAGTTTTGGGATGCTTGCAACTTCCACATGATGCTGCTTTGCGGGATAGGCTGATTTCGAATTTAGGCAACATTTCTTCACAAAAACAACATAATATATTCCCCCTAGTTGATGGATTTGGAGAGTATGATCCTCGTGCATTTTCACTGCTTGAGGTATATTGGTCGCTTCATTTAGATATAGAGTCATCTGGGTCTTATCAGGTCTCCAAAGTTAATATTTTCAATGATTTGCAGGAGGCTACTTCTCTTGGAGTTCTTCCTTCAGTGTCTTTCAATAAAGTTCCATTATTTTTTGACACTACAGAATTGCCGGAAAACGTGGCTGAGGTAAATCCATCTTTCTAGTGGAATCTCATTTACATGTCTTTACAAGACTACCATCTGGTTCCCAAGATATTCATAGCTGGGAATATTATCGATTGATTTATTTTCTGTTGTCAATCTTGTTGTTAAATCTTAAAACTGATCATTTTTCTTTCTGGCTTCTCCTTTTTATCCCTATTTGCTTTGAATAAATAGTGATCATGATTTTTTACTCTGTATTTGGAAAAAAAAACGCATAAATCAGTATCTCCCTGTTTTAGCACTTTGGGATTCTCACTAATCTAACAATGTCTTGAATAATTTGATAGGTTTACCTCTTAACCATCTTTAAAGGTCTTAAGCATCGCCTTGCAGCTGGTAAGATAATCTGTTTTCTAGACTCATTGCCTTTCAAACAAGGATAAGTTCAGTTGGAATATCTTCACTAAACATTTCTTGATATATAAGTTTACGTTAATCTTCTTTAAAATTACTTTCATTGTTCCCCTTGAATCCGTTATTGGTATTTTGGCTTTTCTTGATTTGGATATCCACCATCAAAATCATCAGCTTTAGGATATAATATCTACCTTCAAAACACTAAGCTCCTATGTGTTTCAGGTGCGAAGATACCTCATATTAATTTGATCATTTCCATGGAAGAGAAGGAAATTACGAGTCCTGAAGGAGAGAAGACAATTGACCTTGCAGGAAGGTAAATTGAGAGTATCATAATATTTTAATTATGCAGTTGATGATGTCTACTATCTATAGTCATATTCATCAAAGAACATCCCTTTTGTTGACAGGGTGGGACAAGACATTTTTGCATTGTTGAGAAGGTTGGGGATACCTTATCATAGAAAGGAATCAAAATTAAGAATCAATGGTGTTTCTTTGAAGAACTGGTTTCAACCAAAGGTTGATTCGCCCTTCTCTACAAAACCAAGGGATTTAAGATCATCACAAGTACCACTAGGAAACCAAATTACTCGTCAGCAACGCAGCATTCGACTAGGGAACCTTTCACTTGAGTGAGAAACTGAGAAGGCGTCTCTCATTTTGAACCTTAACCTCAGAGAGTTTTTTTTTCACACGCAACTTCATACTCAGTTACATGTCACATCACATTCCTCCAGCATCGCAGCAGAAGATGAACATTCAAGTTTTGCTTCATTACTTTTTCTGCATAAGCTTATTTCTTGCGATCCACATGAGGATGTTGCATAGTGACAGGAAGTTAATTGCATGGTAAAACAGTTGTTCTGTATATCTTTAAGTTTGTATTTATTCAGAAATAAATGGTAAATGATTCTTTAAAAGGTATTCAGAAAATCATTGCATTATATTCAACCTTGTGAAGTTAGGATAAGTCTGTTTAAACTTTAATGTCACCAATGCTTGACGAAAACAAAAACAAAAACAGATTACAGATGTATGTGAAATCAAATTTCAAAAGAAATAAACAATTAAAAATGAAAGCAACATTTATTTTCCGTAGGACTACTATACATTATTTAAACGCAAATTTTTTTGTTCAAACCATGTTTGTTTATATGTGAAGTATAAGATAGACTTTCCTTTTATATATATAAGATCGACTTGCACGGTCCATTTATTCTAATTATATTATTAAACATCTAAAAATTGGCTTGTTTAGGAATTTAGGATCATGAAATGACTTTTAGAGTGTCTCTCCAATAATTTTTTTTTTTTTTTTTTGAAGAAAGTATACCTCATGAGAACATGGAAAGGATAATAATGCTATTAGTTATTATATTATGACATTTCCTTTGCTTCTGCAGTGGATTTTATTGTGGAATAAAAGAATGGGCATGTTCAATAATTATGCCATTTCTTATGTTTTTTGCAGCGGATTTTATTGTGAAATGGAAGAATACGCATGTGAAAGCTATTACGTGACCATATGATAATTCAGGTCCAATGATTTTATAGATGATATAAGCATTTGCGTAGTGAAAAAAATATAACTATTCTATAGGTTCAGGACTCACGAAAGCAGAGTCTGAGAATTTATACAGGAGCACAAAGTGTTTTTTAATATATTGTAGGCGGTTTCATTGGATCTCAGTATTCGAGTAGTTTATTTATTTATTTGTATTGTATAAGTTCTTTTTTCCTGTATAAGTTCTTTTTTCTTACCAAGGTTTATTTACATAACTCGAGAAATTGGAAAACAAAACTCCCCAAATAATAATTTTGATTTTGGTCAGAAGGACTCCCCCAAATATTTATAAAACCAAAAATCAATTGAAATGGGAAGTACTACATCGCTATAATAATCATGTTACATTACTGAATTTACGACGACATTAATTTAGTAGTAAAAGTTGCGGCTGATTTACATACTTGCTACTACGGAGTATTGACGATGAAGTCTGTTGCAAATTAGGCACAAACAGTCTTAATTAGAGTTGCTACTAAAACAAATCAGTACTATTAATTACGCCCTGTTACAATGGTGCGTGGAAAAGACCATTTCAAATTATTTGAAAGACATCTACCATTTTTATTAACCGTATATTTGATCCCTTAAACCTTTTTTTTTTTAACTTGTGGGCTCAAATATTCATGCATGTTATTTTTAATTGGATCTATGATCGCGATAAAAAAAATTGGATCATGATCAAATGTTGCAGTTGTTCATAAAAGATTGTTTTTTAATTTTTTTGCAATTTTGCTCATAGATAATTGAAAAGCATATTAACTTGAACAATGAAAATTTTTGCTCATAGATAATTGAAAAGCATATTAACTTGAACAATGAAAATTTATCTTCAATATAAAGTATATAATGTTAAGATAATCTTGAAGATATTAGTTAAGACTCATAGAATTATATCAACTCTTCTGATTCGCCATGATTAAACCCAAACAAAAAATACATGGGAAGAAAACAATGAAAAGATACATTCTCAATCTCAAGAACTAATCCTCAAGATCTCCATATATACAATTCTACTAAAACGCATCCCACTTATCTTCTTAAAGTTATTGTAACCGAGAAGCGATGAGATCAAGAAACACTTCTTCTCTACAAGGAATGGTTAAGCCTCCCATTGGATGATTAAAGCCAAACTCTTCCTCTGCTCGACTAAGGATCTCTCTGAAGGAAGGATCATTCAGAAACGAAATTGGAACTACGAATCTCTTCTTCTCCTTCTCAATCTGTTCTCCAACGTACACTGCCACATGCCCTTTAGGGACATGATCCGATGATGATGTTCGGTTTCTGTTGGCCAATGAGTTTAGCTTCAGTATCTGCTTTGTTGCATTTGAAATCGCTAAACGGCTCAAACCCATCTTTCTCTTTGCTTTAGGACCAAAGATGTTAACCTAATTTTCTCAATGAAAGTTTGTTTTTTCCTTCTTTTCACCACAATACTTAAGATGGAGATAGGTGGTGATGTTCTTGCCTCTATTTATAATAATGGAGAGTCTTAAAAATAACGTTTCTTAGCTTTTCAATGATTTGAGGGCATTTAATGAGGTTCCTTTTTTTTTCTCATGTAAGTTGTTTGACTTTTCTCAAATTGTCACATGGCTTAACTGATCATTCATAAGTTCTCCAACAAAAAGTTCCCTGTTCTTCCTTGTATAAACTAATAAAATTCTGTTGAAAAATCAAAGATATTATTATACTAATACTCTTTTCTGAATATTGAAGTAAAGTTATAAAAAATATTCTACTTCTCTTTAACATAGAACTGTGTGCTTTTTAAAACTAAAAGATAATAACAAGTGGGCAAAGAAGATAGTGAGCAAGTTGTCATATTGGATGAAATAACAATGAACATGAAGCAAAAATTCAGGATACATGTAACCAATATGATATTTCAGATTTAAATATAGATAGCTCAATTTGGATAATCATTGGACTGGTTTTCGTCTGATAAATGCGAATCTTCTGAGTAGAAAATCGTTACGGCCGCAGATATCTTCATTCTCTTGGAGCAGCAATTAATAAATCATTACATTTTGATCTTTGATTTGCAGAGTCGCACGTAATAAACCCAATTTTCAATCTCTAATCATATGGATGATTTTTTCGACTAGAAAAAATCATATGGATACTTCATGGAATCATTCTTGATTTTCTAGTTGACGACTCCACATTAGTTATCTTTGGAAAACAACGTTAAAACAAAATTCGGCAATAATATAATAGAAATTTGATATAATATGACAATTTCTGCGTACCTACATAAGATCTATTTAGTTTCCAGTATATGTGTTCTTTGATTTTGTAGCATGTCTGCCTCTTCGAGTTGAATATCAGAACATATTTTCGTTATTTTCTGTATCATTTTCAAACTCGATATTTAGTAGACTTTTTCTTAGGAGATGCTCGATTTTAAATTCCTAACTCGGGGTCTAGGTGTATCATATGTCAAAAAAATTGTTTGACTATTTTATAGAGATGGTATATGAAAATTTTCAATTAAATCAAAGAATATACTTAAAAGGTTACTACTTGTATTTGTTTCCTCATTGCTATTTTAGAAGTTAAGGTATTTGTGTTTGTCTTGTAGTTATTTAGATAGATATTTCTTATTACTATTTGGCAATTGTCCTCTATAGTTTTATGTGGAATAAAAAATCTCCTTCTCTAGAATTTAGTAAATGTATGTTGATTGATGAATTAAAACGATTAGAAAATATTTATTCGACTTTGTTACTTGACAGAATATTTAAGATCATGAATTACACATATACACATGGTTGTAGTCTTGTTTTGATCTGAGACGTGTAAATTTTCAAGATGTTCTAAAGGCCTGGTGTGATCTTTTTGTTGAAATGTCATTCTCTTTAACGTCTATTTAAAACACGATATAGCTTCCATGATCTTATCTACCAAGTACACTCAAACTGAAAATATCTCACATACCTCTAAATGATATTAACATGATATACAGAAGTTAATGCATCACAATCAGAAATATATAAACCTGTCTTTTGTCCAGAACATTCAATTGGCTCAACAGCTATATGCTATTTTGTTTAAGAAAATAATTAAAAATAGGTTTTGACCATTTATCTAATATATCACTTAAAATTTGTGAGAGTTTTCGTTTGAAATAAAAACAATTTTGGTTTTGTTTTAGACAATTATGATTTTATTGCCACCAAAATATTAATAACTAAACTGATATTGAAAATGTTAAGGTCTAGCAGCTCTAGCAAGTGCAGAAGTTTCTATTGCAAATGCTTTGAGTCGTTGTTACAATAACTATCCAATAATTCAATAAGGAAGGTCTACGGGGGCTCATATTTGATAATGAATGTCAATGAGTGGAATAGATAATTTGACTAAGTCATACTAGCAGTTAAATTTTGATTAAAAAAAAAAACAAAGGAGTAATGGAGTATATTCATACGACCATGTAAATCTTTCTAGATTATACAGAAATGTTAATATAATTACTTGTTTTATGACAGAAGGATTGGATCTGCAGGTTTAAACCCGAATTACAGTTTAATTTCGGAAAACATGTGATTATTGATTCTTCGTAGAAATCATCAATCAAGCTAAGGAACATTGGATATACTATTTTTGAAATACTTCGGATATTCTAATAATATATGTAACATAAAGATCATATGTTTTCATCAATGTTGTGTAGAAGTACATAAATAGTATAACCTGATTTGACTGGTTACACAAAATATTTACATGCTGGTTTAATCTGTTCTCCTTCGCGGAAATAAACAAAGGGAACAACCAAAAAAAAAAAATCTTTAAAAAGGAAAAAAAAGCTTTGGGGTTTCCCAAAAAATGTCTCAAGTTGAAACAATACAACCATAAGAACTCAAAAGTCCCACGAATGTTTCTTCTCTGCAAGGAATCGTTAATCCACCAATTGGATGATTGAAACCAAACTCTTCTTCTGCTCGATTGAGCAACCCCTGAAACGAAGGATGGTTCAAATACGAAATCGGAACTACGAATCTCTTCTTGTTCTCCATCTCTTCTCCGACATAAACCGCAACATGTCCTTTTGGGACACGAGGTTGCTGTTTTTGGGATTGTTTAGAGTTGATAACACGTGATAAGCGAATAGCCATGTCTAGCAAGAACACTCTGATTTATGAAAGCGGAGAAAGAGTTATGTTTTTGGTGGAGTTGTGTTTCGGTTAGTTGTTATTTATAGAGTTTTTTTATAGCTAAAGGAATCAAATTTCGAAGTTGTGTTCAATGATACAACATATTTTTATTGTATTTAAAAATTAGGAGTTTGCAGGATTTCACATGGGAACTGCTTAGAAAAAACTAGGGTTTACCTAGAAAAGCATCAAGCTGATTCTGATTTTTCTTGGTGACTTAAGAATATAATCAGATAGGGACCCACCAAAGTTACAGGACTCACATGCTCTCTCTGTCACTTATTAAAATCTCTGGCCATTACATGAAACAAGTGTGGTCATATTGGTTATGATGAATAGACAACAGAAACTTGAATAGACAACAGAAACAAGTGTCCTTATTGATGAAAATAGACATTTTGACAAGTCTCTTGTTGGCTCTTGAAAATGGTGGCTTTTGGTCTATATGTGTTACCCCTATAGCCCACTTAAGAGGACCCTTTTGTGCCTTAAATAAAATTGACTTTTACAAAACTTATTATCTACATATTATAATCATCATTATTATTAAATTTTTTGTTCTAAGCTTGGAGTCATGAAAATGATAAACATTGAGCGTGCATGATTTCTTTGGGTTCTTACAATTGTGAATCAAGAAGTTCAAGAAAACATTTTATCAAAAAAAAAAAAAAAAGTTCAAGATAGATTTAGGTAGAAGTTCTAGGTCTTAAAGCTGAATGATACGAATTTTGTGGGCTTAACAAACGCCGTTAGAACCCCATAACTTAACAACAAAATAGTTCTCTCGCATTCGTCATCACTGATTCTACAATGACATAAATTTGTATGTTTACTTAAAATCCAACATTTTTTATCTAAACATCACATTCTAAAGTTCGAAACGAAAGTTTTTTGGATAAAATAAAGACAATCCGTTGAAATTCATTCCCAAAGTTTGAGCTAAAGGGAATTAGTTAGAATGATTATAAATGGAATGTATATATAACTAACGTAATTTCATTCTGAAAACTTTCGGTTATTCAACAGATAGTCACGTGTTTCACTTGAATTATGATGATCACAATTGTCTCTTCTTAATAACGGAGAGTAACATGTGCTTAACAATCTAAATATGCAATAATTCAGAATAAAAATGATAAGTTTCACTATTAAATAAAAATGCGCAATACTGTTTCAATCATTTCCAATATATATATTAACGGGTATATTCTGCGTTATTCATCACTTATAACCCATCTTAGTTTCTTCAGAGTGCATGTGATCCACCATTCCTTTAAATACTTTAAACTGCTTAAAGAAGTCTTCTATATTTTCTCGTAAGGTACTATATTTTTAATGTAAGACAGAGCTGGTTATTAAAGACAAAAAAAAAGATTTGTTTATAACCGAGATTTCCCGTTATGTGAAAAATTCCTTTTTTATTGTAATGTTTGCCTAAACAGTACAATTACAGCCTTAGAGGCAATATAACATCCAACCATGTACATTTTCGGAAAAGCTCAATATTTTGGAAGTCCAAACTTTAGACTCGTAAAGCAAGTACTCGGTCAGATGATAATATCGGTCGGAAATAAAACAACTCATTTATGAAGTCGGATAAAACTGACATAGTTAAACATGTTTAACTAACCGCATTTAAAGTTGAGTTTATTTTCCGTTGTTTCTTCGTGAGAGTTTTTTTTTAATACTCCCTCCGTTTCACAAAAAGTGTCATTTTGACATTTTTCACACAAATTAAAAAATAAGATAAAAAGTCTTTTATACCCTTATTAATTTGCAGAAAATGACTCTTGGAATTATATTTATAATTAATTTTTTAAATTTATTGAGGTTAAAAATGACATTTTATGTTAAAAATTACATTAAAATTCTAAAACGACATTCTTTTTAAAAAAAAGAGTGTCAGAACGACACTCTTTATAAAACGGAGAGAGTATTGAATTTTGATAGTTTGGATATGAGTATTAGCACAGCTTTTTCAATGATGTATACATCAAAATACAATTCAAGCTCTGAACAAACGCTATATACACACATCACTAACTTTCCTAGCTACAATCCTCCTCTTAAGATACGAAGAAAAAAACTTCATCGAAACCATGAATTCAAATATAACTGATATATTTACTTTCTAATATGTTGACCTAACCGAATTTATAGTGAAGTTATTTTCCGCCATTTTTTACCGTAAACTGTAAAACTTAAAATTTGAGGTTTTAATGGTTTTTGAATATGAACGCACAACTTTCTAAATAATTTGAAAAATATAACCTGATTAAGCTTTGAACAAATGTCATATAACTAATTTATAGTATAACTAACAAACCGTTTTTCCTAACTCATTTTTTTATTATTCTCCTCTTAAGAGAAGAAGATCACACACACACAGACACAAAAAAAAGCTTCATCAAAACGCCAAATTTGGATATAACTGAAATAGATATTTTCTAACATGTTGAATTACTAAGCGCATTTACGCTAAGTTATTTTCCACCATTTTTTAGGGTAAGAGTTAAAAGTAAATAATCTTAAGGTATGAATTGTTTAAATATGAATTATCGGCACATGTATCTGAATCATATTTCGACATACAACTTAGGCTCCGGAGTGTCATATTATATATACACACATAATTAACTTTATGTAGTTCTCCGCATAAAGAGAGAAAAAACAAAAAGACTTCACCAAAACGACAAAACCCTTAAGACTATTAATTAATTAATCAATGTGTTCCTCAATGCAGCTGATGAGAAGTAATAAGATGAAGAAACGCTTCTTCTCGACAAGGAATCGTCAAACCTCCCATCGGATGATGAAATCCAAACTCTTCCTCTGCGCGATTTAGAAAGTCTCTGAATAAAGGATGGTTCAAATATGATATCGGAACCACAAACCTTTTCTTCTCCATTCTTTCTCCAACATAAACCGCTACGTGACCTTTCGGAACAAGCCCTGAAGTTGACGATGGTGATCCATTTTTGTTCCTCATAGATTGTGATTTGAAGATTTGCTTTGCATTTGGAAGCATCGATCGCATTAAACCCATCTTTTTCTTTATATTTCAATGCAACTTATCTAGTCGAGGAGGAAAAGATATTAGAAGCAAGTGACTTGATAGACAAGGAGGAGAAGAAGCTCTATTTATAGTAGTAAACTTAAAAGCATGTAACTTCAAGATAATGAAAATACTTAAAATGCTATAATAACAGTAAGATGGATATATCTCTATCACTTTAAAAACCCCAAAAGGTGTGGGCTGTTGGCCCCTCCCGTCATCCATCTGGCTCACATGGCTTAGCTCACCTTTATGTAAACATATATGATATATATAAGGAGAATATATAAGGAGAATGCACATAATGTACGTTTCTATATGATTGCCAGGATAAAAGTTAGGTATTTTATATTTAATTAGAGCCTCGAAGTGGTGAATAGTGTGACCTGGGTCAGACTAAGTGGGTCCAGTCCTGGAGCCACTTTTAGCAATAGTTGACACTTGATAGTTATATTTGATTGCCAGTACGTATTAATAAGTTCCAACTTCCAAGTCTTAAAGTAGATTTTTTCCTTTGCTCTCAAACTAGGGGCCGTACTGCTGGGACGATATATGAGTGAGGCGATGGTTTTATATATATTTCTATTTATTGAAATAGATGTTTTTATATATATATATATATATAATATATTATATATATATGATATATCAAATGCAGCTCTAAAATAGTTTGGTGAAGTTATTTGACAATGGATAAGATTTGACTAGTACATCTTTGCATGTGATTAGGATGATGATGATTGTGATAGTTGCTACGTTTGAATTTTGAATACACAACATACTACTGTTTAGTGATCGAAATGGATCGAACACAAAATCCTCATATAGATCTATAGCTGTTTGCTAGCTATGGCCTACTACTTTGTTTCCTTATCGTATTTGGTTGTGGTAGTCCGGTAGAAATATGTTCTTCGCCTTTGGACTTAAAATAGTTATTTTGGTGTAGACGATTAAGTGATGGATGGTAACCTTCGTAAGTTGGAAGAGAAGAGCTGCTGATCCAAAAGGAAAAAAAAAATCAAGACGCTTACGCGTCATTGCGTGAGTGATTAAAAGAAGTTTTCTGTTTGCTCTTAATCTCTTATACATGAACATATGTATTGGAATTTATATTAAAAATCACTAATAATAGATTATGGAATTAATTTTATGTTTCGTTTACTTTGTATGCATACCAAAGTTTTGTTTTTTCGGTTAATGGTTAGAATTAGAAAAGTTTCTTTGTTGGACCAAGTATCTATAGAGTTCAGATATTAGAGGTGGACCACTTTAGTTTGCCAATATATTTTCGTGACGCTTAAGCTCAGTGTCGAAATCATACGGATGATTATTTATGATAATCTATAAGCAATTAGGTGACTACATATTTATGACACCGAATTATTGTTTTGTTAATTTGGGTCTTTCTCTTATAAAGTCAGCTTTACTATTAAACACATTTTGACAGTTATGTAGTGGAATATAATTTTTTAGTATGTCAAACAAATTACAAGATCCATAGTGCTATATAAATTAGTAGAACGTAACTACTAGCTAGTAACCAAGAATACACCATGATACAGGCTTCTTTTTGGTAACCTACCATGATACAGATTTTGTATTATACTCCACATGTAGAGATTATTGAATTTTGAAATCCTATATAGATATATATATGATATATTATCCATACCATTAATGGTATGTATAACGGTAATGAAAATAACACATGCAAATGGAACATGAAATTGTTGATGAAATCTCGGATCAGAAAACGAAACTGAACCACTCATTGTTAGTCTGACATCGCTGAAGATGCCACCGAATTATACAAAATACAGAATAAAAACTTTAAAATAATGTATAAAACCGTGGGCGTCTCCGAGCTTCTATATATTAATATATTGTTGGTCTTTAAATCCCAACCCAATTTAAAAAATTTAGGATCAAATATAAAAAAAACGAATAAATAGAGGAAAAAAACAAGTCCGGAGTGGACTTATTTACGATCAATCAAAAGATTCAAAACCATATATCATAACGGAAACGAACCTACGAATCATGAGAATTATAATGAGAAGTCAACAGACAACAGTTAAAACAATCGACTAGCAAATCAAAACCGATTTTATGAGGATAGAAAACAGAAATTCATCAGAGTACGAGAAAGAGTATTCCAACTCACAAAAAACACTAGAACAGTATTTTTTTTTTCCTTTGTTAAGTCATATGGATATCATTACTGGTCCCAAAAAAAAAAAAATACACGCCTACTCGACGACTACTAATCAGAGTGTTGGTAATCGCCGAAGAGCTTATGAATATATAGTTTTTTTTTCGTTTGAAATCGATGAGTTCAGTTTCTGATTAACTGACTTGCTAATTAACCTTCCGAATCGTCGTCGTAACTTTTTAATTTAAATTTGACTTGATTTTTCTTGGTTTGTCATATATATCTCACAGGATTGATTATCTTTTCACAAAATTTTATATTAATTACAAAGTGGGAAGATTTTCGTTTGGTGTATTATTTTATGTCTTACAGGAGATTGGTGAAAACCAGTCATTATAGCTTTTTGTGATACATTTCACATCTTTTTGCCTCTGACACTTACAAAGTACTGCAGAAATATACAAAACTAATCAATTAAGTAATTAATATATAAACCAGAAATCCAAAGTAATCGGTTCTTCAACCTGAGATTCTTGATTTAGTTAACTGTGTGTTCTTCACATTCAATTGTTTGTAACCTTTTTCTCCATTCTTGGGTGAGAGGATGTTTTTGCAAGTGTCGCCGTGTCGGTGAATCCAGGATTCTCAACAAATGTCCATTTATTTTTTATGTTTTTTGTTAAAGACAAATGTCCATTTATTAAAAAAAACTCGAAAGTTTATTTTAGAAAAATATATAGATATATTAAAATATATATTAATTTGGTAATGGGTAGAATCATAAATTTAAAGGAATTAGATATGTATAATATATATATATATACAATTTTCATCAAACAAAATTTTGTAAAATCACACATATTTATACTTTTGTTTTAAAAATATATACTTTCATAATTCTACCTACTAGATTTTTGTAGAAAATTATTTATTTATATCTATTTTTACTTTACGTTGTGGACTGTCGAGACAAAATTATATCTGTAGGAAAACAAAAAAAGAAATCAAGACAATAATGATGAGTGCATAGAAAACAAAAAAAAATTATGTTTTATAAATTAATAAAAACGAGAAAGATACACAAAAATGATTCTGTCACGAAAAAGTAATAAGAGATTTAGAGAAAAAATAATCATATTAAATTATCAAATCCACTATTATTTATTTTAATTACTTTTCATATAGGTTATCAAATCCTTCAATATTTATAATAATGAATAATTGCTCTTAATGCAGCCAACCTTCATCCCTATAAAGTACAATATAGCAACAAAATTTACACATGCATCTCTTTTCAAGCTACAACAGTTAGTTGATTTGAAAGATAGTTATGATTCAATTCAAAGATATACTTCTTCAAGCAAAGAGATTAATCGTTACAACAATATCACGTGTAAAGCACATTATCAACGTACCAAAGGGCCACTTCGCAGTATATGTTGGAGAAGACGAAAAAAAGACGAAGAGATTCGTCGTGCCAATCTCTTACCTAAACCATCCTTTGTTTCAAGCTCTGTTGCATCAAGCCGAAAATGAATTTGGCACAGATCATTCGAGGAAATGTCTGACGATCCCTTGTGCTGAAGATGTTTTCATTGACGTCACGTCCCGTTTAAATCGTTAGAAATATATTAATGCCATAACTAAAAGTGATTAATTACTCTTAAGTATTAGTAATTGTTAAATTTAATATATCATCAGTTTGGTAAGGCGATTTATTTATTTTTGTTGTACCATCAAACGACGGTAAAATCAAAACAAAATTGTTTAAATGAAAGAAAAAAATTGAAAAATTATCTGGGAGAATTAGGAGAATTTTTTCTTTTTTTGAAAACCCTTGTTACAGAACAGAGAAGAAATTCTCACCAATATTACAAATATTTAGTTCCTTTTAAGTTGTTTGCAGATTAATATAAAATTTAATTTAAAATGGACAGAATTTTATTTTCTGTTTGGAGACTCGAAATAACAATTTCATTAATAGATTTGATATTTATTTTCTTTCGTTTAAGGCTTTTAAATAAATCAAAAATCAAAATCTTGTTACAAAACTTCAACATGGGTACATATATCCAATTAATGCAGCAAAATTTTAAAGTACATGTACCTAATTCCTGTAATAGATATTTCAATACATATATCTAATTACTGTAATAGCTTTTTAAGTACAATAACTAATGCTACTGATTCTAAAGAAATAGTACATTATGAAATCCCTCACTTAGTATCTCAATCTAGAGTTATTTTCTCTCCACTTCCTTAGATACATTTAAGAAAAAAACAGAAATATATATATATATATATATATAAAGAAACTCAATGAATTCTGTGATGATTAATGAGCTCCTTCATCATGAACTACTTAGAATAGAAGCTAGAGCAGTGAAGTAATCTTCAGTGCAAGGGATGGTTAGACCTCCCATGGGATGATCGAACCCAAACTCTTCTTCCGCCAGGTTCAACAAACCTTGAAACAATGGATGGTTCAAATACGATATAGGTATCACAAATCTCTTCCTTTGGTAAGTCTTCCCCACGTAGACGGCTACATGACCCTTTGGGACATTATTACCTGACATGGCCAAGAGGCTCGCGATTTTTGCTGATAAGCTTCTTTGAAGCTTCTGCTTGGCGTGAGATATTCCAATCAATTGAATACCCATCTTAAAGAATAAGAATAATAAGATGTTGAATATTTGAACTAGAAAGTTTGTATGTCTCGGGCTTCTACAGAAATGGATAGGTACGTTTAGTTTTGTAAGCAAGTTTTCCGAGTGTATAAAGTATATATAGGGAATTTAAAGAGTCTGTGACCGCAAGTTATTGAAAACTAATCGATTGAGGAACATATCAGGTGGAGCTAATGGATGAAGTTCACATGCTTATGCCTTGTCTTTTTAGAAACCACTTTGTTTTTTTCTTTCTTTTTGGTGAACATGTTTACAAGACCCTACCATTCTCTAATATGAGTTATAACAATCTACCATGCATCTCCTATTAGATGAATATAACCAAAACAAGAAAGGAGCAACATGTTACAATCAACTTGTGTGAAATAATATTTTTGATAAAGACTTTACATTCCATAGATATATAACAATGTGTTATGAAATTGGATATATGCAATGCTTGTTGGATACTAAACCTGAGTGATTTGACGTACCATATTAAGCAAACTGTTTCAAATTAGGACTTTCTGGTTTGGGGGTGATGTATGCGATTGGATATTATTCCAGCGTTTCTCTATACAACATTAAATTTTATCCACAACACATAGTACGTATTGGATTAATTTTATTTCGTTCCACGTAAAGAGTACTGTCCTTAAAACAAATAGCATATACGAAAATGAAAGAACAGGAACCATTTGGCTACTTGTCTACCACAAATGGATTTGGAAGACTAAATGTTTCCCATCTAATATATTCGGCTCAAGGATCATCTAAAAATTATCAGTGATGTAAACTAGATGTATCTATTTTTAAAATGTACCGTAACTAATTAGTATACTTTATATTATCTTTATAGTGATATTTTAGTCGATATTTTTCAGGAGTGGAAAAGGTTATATGACATAAGTTATATCATTTGGGAACAAAAGCATTCTGCATTTGCTGCAACCTCTGTAGATGGTTGCATTGCATATACAATGATGAATTGAATGTACCCGTAAAATGTATAAACGAAAAAAGCTAGATAGACAATCCAAAGTTCTTTGCGACAAGTGCAACTAATAGTTCTTTGTTTAGTTGTTTCTCATTATCAGCAAAAAGACTGTCCCTATATATCGACAACTTCATATGTCTGCTTTCCCTTAAAATAACCTATACTACTGAAATTGATGAATAAATTTCATTTCTTTCAAATATACTTTAAATTCCATATGAATAGAATAACAATATTTTAATATAGTGTCTAATAGATTTTTTGTTTGTTTCGTTTCAGCCGAAACATAGATCACCATATCGAACTTGCATAATTGTACAATTTTCGGTGTCAAGTATAGTAGTACTCTATTTTTCTGTTAAGAACAAAATTTGTGAGTGTTTTCAAAATATTTCTATTTGATTATGCAAAAAAGTATTACAAAATGAAGTTTAGGAACAACTTGTAATAAAAAAAAATATTCATTACATCAACATCCATATTTTAAAACTTAAGAAAAACAATTCATAAAATTATCTGAATACATAAGAGTTTAAATATTCAAACGAGCAAATATACATGAACCACATGTGACTTAGAAGCAACCTACAAATGTGCAAGAAAGCTTTCGATATCGCAATTTTAAAGAAATTTCGTACCAAATATTTAGATTAAGATAGAAAAGAAAAACGAAATTCCAATTATTGTTGCTATTATGTCCTCGTGGCCTTTTGACCGTATTTGACATAATGGAAGTCAAAAAGGCGAATAAAATTATTGTGCCTCGAAGCTTTATTAATTGGGTGGATTCGAGTATGTTAGTGTTTGGCAGCTACGTACAACACGAGGGCTTCATCATCAACTCACTGACTCTCTACGTTTGACTGAAAAAAAAGCTAAATGTTATTGGAAGATCTTGTGACGATCCACTCGTGGATATCCATGTTTCAGCAATTTCATTTTCGTGGCTTTACACTTATATATCTAGAGCATGTCACTGATGTGACCCACCAAATTATAGAGGGAGCGTTTGATATATGGCAACTTTTCAAATATTACAAACCAGCAGATATGACTTGTGTTAGAAGGAAATAATAACTATCATATATAATTTTAGTGCAGAAAATGTAATTTAATACTACAGTATGTTAAACATATCCGAGTTTAACAAACTTCCAGTTCCAGGGGTTAATCAAAAACAAAAATAAAAAACAAACTGAGTTCGAAAGAATGACATAAACATCTCTATTTAAAGAAATAAGAAGAAACATAAATCTTGACCAAAAAAAAAGAAGAAACATAAATCAAATTGAATGGATCTACTTAACTTTGGGGCTACACATGTATGTAACTCATTGGCCCAAGAATTTAGCATATTAGCATAAAGTAACCTGGACCCTAGATTTTATATACACAGAGCCGTGCTCACCCTTATATGAAAAAGACATCAGCCTCAGACCCCCATTTTACCATCAAAATTTAGAGCTCTATTTTTATACAATATTTTAACATATGTCTTCATGTATCCATGAAATATTTTATATTTTTGAGTTTGTCTCAACTTATCTCATTACTTTTACCAAAAAAAAACTTATCACATTACTTTTAAATTTATTTCATATTTTCATAAATTATTTTACATAATTTACTCTACAGTCTACACTATATAACTAGAGTGGTAATTATAAACTTTATACATATATTTTTTTTAAAAATATAATGAAAATTACTTCATAAAATAGACAAATGCATAATATGATGTTTAATAAAACTTTATCATGTAAATAATATTTGTTAACACAAAAAAAAAAATCAAATCTTAACTTTATTCTTATTTTTTTAGTTAGTTTTTGTCTACTTTTTTTTAACTTGTCTTGAGCCACCGAAAACGTAGGCACGGCACTGTATATACACTCCATTTTACGAGAGGAACCAAGGTTCGAAGTAGTTAACTGAGTTTTGTCCTCCAAAGTACTTTAAAAGATTCACCACTGCCCAAGAAGAAATGGGAAATACAGTGAGTGGAAATTGATCAATGTTTTTTATCCTTTTTCCATACCAATGCTGTTCTTGTTCCGTTGGGGGCAGAAACGGAAACCATATATTTTCTCTATTTCCCCTTGCAAGTAATGTTTATTAGTTTCCAAGTCGGAAGAAAAGATATGACATTGAGAAAAACCCTTTTATAGATTTTTATCCAAAAAAATAATAATAATTTAATTCAACAAAAACAAGACATGACTTTGCATAAAATATTTAGCAACCTTATATTTGACATCAAGCGACCCTCTGATTCACATAATTCCCAATAAATTTTAGTTATTATGTAGTTTTGTATATGGAAATCAAAATAGTTCTTTACATCTTTAAATAATCAACTCTATATATATATATATATATATATATATTATTAGAGCGTATATATATGTATGTGACTGTATTCATATTATATTTATTCAATTAATAAGTATTCCTCAGTTAATTTTCTTAAAAAAATCAGATGATATTTAAAATTTTATTTAAATGTCACCAGACAACCTGATGCACCATAAAAATGAAGAAGCAACGACATATTTTGACGTACACATTCAAAGTACAAACATTAGCTGTTATATGGATGGGTCCGCAATTAGCTGTCGTAAATCGTTTCATTCCAATTCAATAAATGTTTTTGGCTATCTTTTGATGCAGCTGTAAATATTCACAATGTTATTAGTCGTAATCATCGAGCCAAGAACATGTGGTAAGACGAGGTAGTGGGAAGTAGAAAACACAAAGACATATATATATATATATATATATATACAAAATTGAGTTACACATGGATTATATAGTTTAGTTTTCTAGAAGCATTGATCTTTCAGAACTTTTATCATGAAAGGTCAATGATTCGAGTTATACCTCAATTTGTAATACCATTTGTAAGCTAACTCTTCATACCTCTATTTATAAATTATGAAAATAAAGAAATGCTAGACTATATTGGATCGTGTCCAAGTAGTCCGCAAGATACAAGTTATTTTGCGTTGGAAGTTGCCGGATTCGACTTTTTCGTAAAAAAAAAAAAAAAAAAATTGGCCGGATTACACAACCTTTTTTTTTTCGGATTACACAACCTTAATAAGCGTAAGTCGTGGACTTGGGGCGTTGTTCGAAAATTTTTTTGTTCGAAAATTTTCAGTTCACTACACTACCAACTCTGATATAAATTATGCTCTCCTCTGTGTTTGTTGTATTCTTGTTGCTGTGCGATCTGTAAGAATTACTTTGAAGAAAATTTTAGCTATGGCTATTTATATATCTTCATGTCTCGTTCTCCTTTTTTGTTTATATGTGAGATGAACGATCCTGATGTAACTTTTTAAACTTATCATTTCGGAAAGAACAATGAAATATTCAAAAAATTAAGATTAAAGAAACTAATAAAAACAAACACAATTGGCAATCCAAAACGATGGTGCTCTTGAATGTTTATTGTCATTTAGTTTTGCTTTTTTATTATTATTCTATTAGTAACGCTTCTAACTATGTAAACGTTGGTTAGTAAACAGTACAAATTACATTCTTTCTAAAAAAAAGTATAAATTACATGCGCGGTGATGATCATAAATAAATAACACTACAAAACCAAATTTGTTTCTTTTTTTTTGTGTGTGTTTTTCTAACACAAAAAAAAATCATAGATCTCTGAAAATAATAAAATAAATCGGATTATTTCCTCCTGAAATCACGATTTACTTTTATTTAATATATGGGTTTTAAAGACATCAATTTACACAACACGTATTTATGACAAAAAGTTGTATAAGTAAGAAGAAATAAAGAGGCGAAGGAGTAACATGGCATTCATGTGGTTACACTGACCCTAATGTCATTATCAAACAACACCACCAACGAAGAACGACAACATTCACTATGCAAATAAACCATTCAATTGATTTGATTTACTAGCCAATAGAAACTTAAGAAAAAATATTAAAAATAGAATAGTTACTATTAAAAAAAACATTATGGGCCATATGCATGGTGATATCTTGTTTTAATCACGTATTGCCACGATCCTGTGTCACAGAACATGCAAAGCAACATCTAAGAAATAAAATGCATGACTACGTACCTCTCCTCTACCGTAGAGAAGAACATGCTCTACGTCTATTTGTTTTTCTTCGGTACATTTTTCTCCCGTCTTTTTTTTTTTCATCTGAAATTCATTAAGACCCTTGAAAACAGGGGAGAACGAAAGAATGACATTTTTTTTACTCAAACTAAAATGGGAAAGAATGACATTGTTTTTGTCTCACAAAACAGAGAATCAATAAAAAATATGCAAATAAAGGGGATGTGAGAAAAAAAGAAAAGAAAAAAAAAAGAAACACTATTATACCATGGTACTCGATCGTTCAATCTCTAGCCATCGAAGACCTCCTTATGCCAAGATCAATCGATTTTCCGTTACCACGTTTTTCTCCAATCCTTTGATCATCGTCTATTATTAATTGGGATATATTTGTTTCTAATGGGCTTTTAACTTCATGGAGTCACTAGCTATAACGAACCTTTTTTTGGTTGAGTAAACAACATAAACCCTTAAAAATCCAAGTCCCCAACATTCGTATTCTATAAGGTGTACACTGTAGAGTCCAGAATTTCATAATCAGCTACAACTTGTACCTATTATAACCGGTGAGCACAGATTCTGCCATTGCCTTTACATTAACCACATTTCTTTTCTGTTTTCTTTTTAATTGAATCAACCACATTTCTTAACCCGTTGAAACTACTTAAAACGCATAGCCCATGCCTTTAATACTTTGTCTACTCGGGTCTAATTATGAGAAAACTGCACCTATATATTTTCTCAAAAAAAAAAATTACAACTAGATATTGCCATTTTCTCATTTTGTACATCCAAAATAATTTAGCTGATCAAAATATCTAATACATTTTTCCATTCAAAATATGGATCTCACAATTATCAAAAAGAAAAGTTTACATTTTAATTAATATAATAATTAAAAGTCGATTAGGACAAAGATGATTAGGACTTAAGAGACATAGGTGGCTCCTAAACGCATGGGTCGTAGCTCCCAAGACAGTGCATATGGGATTGTTTAAGAAGACAAAACCATGTTTTGCTTTAATGCTAATCAATTTTAGATTATGACTATCTAACTTTCGAAGTTTTGTGACAAAACCAATCCCGTCGTTAGAGGAAAATACATTCTGTGGAAAATTCTTATTTCTTTCATTTAAATGCATGTAAAAGTGATATTTTAGTTGAAATTAACGTTTCATCCTCTAACCAAAGAAGCTACATTTAGACTAAAATAACTCACTGAGTTCTTGAGTCCAACCCGAATAGCCTGTGTGTTTGAGGCACAGAATGTAATCAAATTTCGACAATAAATATCCAATATCAGCAATTTTTCGATTTTGGATAAGATTTAATTAGGTTTCATATTCTTCTCCCCAGTGCTGGCAGTGCATATTGTTCAAAAGACAATACTTTAATTAAGCAAGCTAGTTTTTATTAGGTTTTCGAATGAGTTTTTAAGTTCGTTTGTTAATTGTTACTGTTAATTATTTACTTCTTTCATGCAACAATTTAACTGTTGACAGTGTTTCATTTTTAGTTAAATATTTCAGTCAAAGATTGTATATATCGGGAACGAGTTGAAAAGTATCATGCATATCTTAGAATAATAGTCTGCAGAATTTTCTTTTATTTTAAAAAACAGTGTGAGGACCTTAGTAATATAAAATAACCGTAGATATCTACGAGATTATCAAATAAGTATTTCAGTTTATTTTTACGAACAATATCTTCGGTAGATGAGACATCTATTGGATAAAAGGCATAAAGCTTTGTCTCATCTAATTATCAGTTGGGAAAAGTTTCTTGTCGAATTTTCTTTGTTCAACTACTTTTATTCATGGAATTCGATCGGATTAAAGGAATTTTATGAAAATAGGTTGAAACATACTGTCCAACTACTCAAATTCCATTTTCTTATAGATGATTAAAGGTTTAAGTCCATGTTATTCACTTTATTTTCTAAATCTTGTCACTCATGATTATTGTTTTTGTCAATTAATCAACTTAATCTCTTGCGAATTCCGTGAAGATCATCATACACGAGAAATGATTTCTCGCTAATTAACTTATAATACTAATTAGGTGTGTTTAAAATATTAAGAGTGCTTCAGATATTTTAAGCTTATATCCGTTGATTTAAATATTTTTTGCTAATTATTTTCGAAAGGTAAACACATTGATGTTAAGCGAAAAACAAAAGCTCCAATCTCTCAATAAGACTATATTAACCGATGCGGCGATTGAAATTAGACAGGAGTCTCACTTTCAAAATGAACTATGTACTACTATATATATTCTAAATTTGTGTTCAGCAAAAACAATTTTATAACTTTGTGTGCATTGTTTTTTATTGGTGTTAAACTGTTATTTATATAATGATCGGTCCAAAATGTAAAAGTTTCGAGTGTGTAGTAATTACTCTTTTTTAGAGATCAATTCATAAAGGATCAAAAAAAAAACATTGAAGAGAAGACAATCCATTGAACAAGGAGATCTCACATAGAAACTGAAAACCAGAATTTAATTCCTTTTACGAAAGACTATTTCCGTTTATGCAACGTCGGTAGCATAATTGTACTTGAGAGACCCAGTTCGGCATCATGCTGTGAAGTGAACTCACTTCACTCAGACATATTTTCATATTTTTGTGTGTCCTAAATACTTATCCTTTTGCTTGTTTGTAAATACCAAGACGCGTTTTCCAGAGTAGTTTTATAAGGTTTTTGTTTATATGTAAAAAAATAAGAAAAAAAGGTGGGAGGCTGGGGATTAACTGCAACCTACCGTTGGAACAGAAAAACGATCAGAATCACAGAAATTAATAAAAGAGAATATTTTATCAAAAACAAATAAATAAACAGAAGAGATGAAAAGAAAGGAAAAAAATAGAAAGGTATCATGATTTATGAAAGAGGCACATGGGTGTCTGCATTCAAAAAAAAAAGGGAAAAGAAATTTGTTTGAAAGTGTCACAGGCACACTCTCTCGAACCACATTTAACAACACTCCAAACACTCCTCTTCTGCTTTGTACTCTTCAGTACATTACTCTTTTCAAAGTCCGTGATTTACGCTCTTCGATGACACCTCTCAACAGAGAGAGAAAGACACATGTCCATTTTCTTCTGCCATTCAATTTTTTTCAGCTTTTTTTATACTAGTAGTATATTTTTCTAATATTAGGAACTAGATAAATAATGGAAATTTTGCTTTTGGTAGAACAATCTTGTTTTTCCATATTAACTAGGGAATCATACCTAAATACCTAACAATATCAAATGTGTATTCGCTTATGTAATCAGTAGTAGTCTGTACATTGTATTCGGATACATGAGGTTGAGGTGGGTTAGCAATAGCAATTATAATAGTTTCTAACTGTTTAAAGACTTCAATATCTTAAGCTTATTTCTAACAAAAAAAAGAGCTAGTATAACTCTTATTATCCTCAAGGAAATATTGATGTTCTCATAATAATATAAAATTGAAAGTAGTTCGCCTATCCATTCGAAGATGTAAGCATGACACAAAATTCAAATAAGTTCCATTGGCCACTGCAACTCTGCAACTAACATGACACATCGCATATCTTTAGAACAAAATTATGGTCCAATGAAACCGGTTTTTCTGAAACAAAAAAAAAAACTATGTCAAATGCGTCATAATTTATGTTTTCTTAGTTTCTATATGTTAATTTAATTAGAAATGTGATGATACTTAATGATTGATACTACATATAATAGATTGATAGACCTCGCCATTTTAGTGTATTGGTTCAGTTTAGTATATATAGATCATGTCGAAGAGAGTTGTATCATTGTTTCTCTAGATGAAAGTAACGGATTTAGAAGAATGTGGAGAAGAGTGGTTATCACTTATATATAGGCATATAAAGCTCATAGTATTGAGGTTTAGAAAAACAAAAATTTAAGTGATATTTCTTGCCGATTATTTTTTATTCAACGAGTGACATATACGTGAAGGAAGTGAATATTTTAAACAAAGAAAGTGGAAAATGAAAAGGATATAGTATTTATGGTGTATCTTGGTAAGGACCAGGAGATCAAAAGGGGCCACAATGTCACAAAGAGGACCAACAATGAAACTAAATCCTCAGCTGGCCTTTGCCATTTTGGCTCCCACCTTCTCCTTCCACACATATGCACATGTCTTCATTTCTCTCTCTCTCTCTCCACACACACAAATATGTACAGACACATAGACATAGAAAATCTTTATTTATAAATGTATAGTCCTCAACTCTTCAATAGCCACCCATCCCCTTTCTCCATAACTCTCGCTCCCTCTCTCTCTCTCTCCAAACACAACCAAAAGCTTGTCTCTCTCAAGAACCCAAAAAAAAATGGCGATAATGAAGAAATCTTCAAAGCTCACTCAAACAGCAATGCTGAAGCAGATTCTAAGAAGATGCTCGAGCTTAGGGAAAAAGAATGGAGGAGGGTACGATGAAGATTTCCTCCCACTTGACGTACCAAAGGGACACTTCCCTGTCTATGTCGGAGTGAACAGAAGCAGATACATTGTCCCAATCTCCTTCTTGACTCACCCTGAGTTCCAATCTCTATTACGACGAGCCGAGGAAGAGTTTGGATTTGATCACGACATGGGTCTCACCATTCCTTGTGATGAACTCGTCTTTCAAACCCTAACCTCCATGATCCGATGATTATTTTAAGTTAAATAATTTGAAGAAGAAGCAGAAGGAGATGGTTAAAGAAGAAACAGAGCTTCTCTTTACAGAAAATAGCATCTCTTCTCTTTTTTTTAGTTTTTTTTTCTTCTTTTCTAAGCCCAGCTAGGGTTTTTTTACGAGTTAATTCATACTCGTCTAACAAGAAAGAAACCCATATGACATAGAGATTCTATGGGTTCAAATCTGTAAATAAAAGCGTGTTATGTTTTTCCTCATGGATCTTGATTCTGTGAGAGAAGTTGATTAATGCAAGAGGAAGTATTTCTCTATTTGTTTAATATTTCCCTAATATTTATCTTGATTCTTGTGCAAATTTTGTTGACAACCTCCTACAAAAATATAAGAATTTTTTGTGAGACTTCAGTACATCTTAAGCATTAAACAGAAATAAAGGTGTCTAACTTGTTGACCAAAATAAAAGGTGTCTAAAACAAGAAAACATGTGATTTCCAACGACCATATCCCTCGGAAATCGTATAGAAATGGCCTTTCCGACGAATTTCCGACAAAATATGGTAGTTGGAATCATCTCGTTGGAAAAAACAAAATGGTCGAAAATCAGTCAGAAATTTCCGACTGATTTCCGATGGACTAAACTTTCCGACGGATTTCTGACGAGCTTAACTTTTCTGATCAAACTCCGAGGGATGTGGTATTTCCGAACCTTTTCCGACGGCTCCACGATTTCCGACGAACTTCCGACAACTATACAAATTTGTCAATTACTGACGGATTCCCGATGGATTTAGTTTTCCGACGGAAAATCGAGAGATATAGAATTCGATAATTTCCGACGGATTTCCGACGGAATATTTTTATTTATTTTCCGACCGATTTCCGACCACTCCTGTATTTTAATAAAAAAAATTATTTATAATAATTTTTAAATTTATATATATAATTAAAATGCTAAATTAAAATTAAATTCGAAAGTCATTTTTATAAATAAATCTAATAATTAAACAAAATCCAATATATACAATATATCTAAGAAATCTAATAATTTTACTAGATAATATGTTACAATTCTAATTTTAAAATCTAACATAGAAAAATCTAACAATTTGCTTATAACAATCCTAACAAATAAATTTAAGAATTCTAATCTAGCATAATTTCTAACAAATAACAAAACTAATTTTTTCTTAAAATTCTAACAAAATCCAGAATAAATTCTACTTAAATTCTAACAAATTCTAACATAAAACAACCTAATTCACAAAACTAACAATTCCTATAATTCATCCTAAAATTCATCTTAACAATCCTCTAATTTTGTTTTGGATATTCAAAACTAACAAACAATGAAAAAAACTTACAATTTTCAGGCTGATGAAGCAGATCTACGGCTATGGAAGCTTGGCGGGTCGACGGCGGCGGCGGTGGCTTCAGTTCTGGCGGCGGTGGTGATGGACTTCAGCCTGCAAAAATAAAAACCAAAAAGAGAAGCTGAGGAGAAGATAAGAAAGAAGAAAAGAAGGTGAGGAGATGCAAATCAATACCTGAGAGCTTGAGTAGCAGATCGGCGGCGAGAAGTACCAGATCTGGGATGAATTCTGGCAGTGCCGAGCAGAAGAGCAAGAAGAAAAATGGAGAAGGAAGAAGAAGAATAGAAAGGGAGAAGAAGAATCGTGTGTAGTAAATAAAAAGAGGGGTGGTCCGTAATCGGTGGGGAATCATTAAGACTTCCGTCGGGATGCAGTCGGAAATAATTAAAAATTTTGGGAAATTTTACGCGGTTCGGTTTACGCGGTTTTATTTCGCGGGCAATTTTCGGAATCCGTTGGAAATTCGTCAGCACTTCTGACGGATTTCCGACGGACAATTAAAAAAACCTTATTTTTTCTTCACTCTCGCCATGTATATACATGTAAATTAAATTCTATACACTTAGAAAAATTTGGGAAATTTAAAAAGTCCGTTAGAAATCTGTCGGAAATTTCCGACGGATTTCCGACGGACTATGGAAATAAGATAATTTTTTTAAATCAACATAGTTATACATCAATTTTTGTAAATTATGATTTTGAAATCTACTAATAACAAACATATAAACATCATATATATATATATAAAATACATCAATATGTTCATATGGATCTATAATTCTTTATACACTTAGGAAAATTTGGGAAATTCACAAAGCCCGTCAGAAATCGGTTGGTAAATTCCGACCGATTTCCGATGTACTATGATAATATGATGATTTTTAAAAAAATCATCATAGTAATACATTATACTTTGTAAATTAAAATTTTGAAATTTACTAATGACAAACATATAAAATACATCAAATTTTTGTTCAAATTTGGAACATTTATATATTCCGTCGGAAATCGGTTGGAAATTTCCGACCGATATCTGACGGATTAATGATTAGGGCATAAAAAATTGCAAAAATTAATGAGATTAGTCTTTACAATAGATGATTAGATTCATATAACAACATTTCCCTTACAAATCAACATAAAACAAAAGTTATGATGAATTTTGAAATCTACTAATGAGCAACATATAACTTTCTTAAAGATATATAGAACTTAAGGTTATGTTTTAGGGTTTGATATATATTTTTGGTTAAATGATGAAAATAATCTAATTTTTAGATAAAATAACATATAACTCAATTATAATAGCTAATATCATCATAACAACCATAATTGTCAAAACAAAATTCAATTTCGATGTTTCTGAACCCTTATTCGTCGCATTTCCGTCGGAATTTCCTGACGGATTTCCGACCATTTTAAAAAACACATGTAAAAATCGATTTAAGCACGTGTTTTTATCATTTCCGACGGAAATCCGATAGAATATCTATCTAACGGTCAGAAATCCGTTGGAAATCTCCGACGGAATTCCGACGGATGATTGTTTAATGTTTAGGGTTTGGGAATTATTATTATTATTGTTAAAATAGTGATCATATTTATTATTAAAAATTATAAAAACATATAATCTCAATATATAATGATATAGTTCTATTTTTTCTTTTTGGTAAAATGGTGCCAAATTATATTTGACTAAAGAATGCATACATTAGTATTTTAAAATCTTGAAAACATAATAAAATTACATTTTTCATAATAATATAAATAGTATTACAAATTTATCGGAAGAATATTCTGAACTCTCGTCAAATTCGCCAATCTCTGACTCCAAATTGTCAAAAGTTTAATTATTTTTATTATATCCGTCGAAAATCCGTCGGAAATATTATCAAGACGACTTTCCGACGGAGTTTTCAAAATCGACAATTTAAAGATCCGTCGAAAATCTGTCGGAAATTTGATTAAATTTCTAACGGATTTCCGACGGAAATAATTTAAAAATAAATAAATTTTTGATTATTTTTATTACTTCTGTTGGAAAAATAATCAAATCTCCAACTATTTAAGTATCGGTCGGAAATTCGTCGGAAATTCCAACCGATTTCCGATGACATCTGAACCGTCGGTTATTTTAAGTTTTTGGTCGGGATTCCGTAGGAAATTTCCGACGGCAAAAAAACCGTCGGAAATATCGTCAGAAATCATGATGTTTTCTTGTAGTGAAATTTGGACATAATTTTGCTATAAACGTAATCAAATTTTAAATTTGAGGCTAAAAATTCATGTGATAGCTAAGAGCATCTCCAACAAAGGATGCTTAAGGGTTGCTAATCAAAAAGTTAGATTAAAAATAAATTTTTAATGGAAAAAACTTTTAGTATCGATGCTTATATAAGCATTTTAAGCACCTTTAAACACCTCTTATGTGGTCTTCTCTCAGTGGTTGAAATATTTAATTTATTTTTTTATTCTTTTTTTCCCTATCAATTGAAATATCTCTCTCTTCTTCTCTTTCCTTCTTCGACTCTTCTTTCTTCTCTTTCCTTCTTCTTTAAACTTCACAAACATAACTATTAAACATAATCTTTAAAATACAAATTAAAAAAAATTAAAAATTTCTAAGCATCTCACTTTAAGCACCTTCTATTGGAGGATGAAATTTTTTTAAAAAGTTAGTGGGGTGCTTAAACAAAAATTATCAAAAAAACTAATATAAAAATTGTTAAATACTCCTTAAAGGTGCTAACTATTGGAGATGGTCTGAGTAAATTAGGGTTTTTAAAGAAATATCAAATCATATGAATGGATGCATAAACTTTAGAAAGTGCATGCTTGAACATGGGTGTGTCAGAGAATGTGGGGTACTTACCTTTATCATGTACGGAACCAGATAAAAAAAAATTCTACACTCGTTTGAAGAAAATGGTGCATGTCTAAGATTAAGGATTGCAATTTTAATACAATAAGATCCATTAGTTCGGAAGGTTCAGCATAAACTTGTCACCATTCATGTTAAAATGTCTTGGGACGGAAATTAGGTCACCAATATTTTAAAGAAGTTTGTATGTATTGAATTCACTAACTATCTACTCATTTATTTGTTACAATAATATTTATATAAACACATACTAGAAAACAAGAAAATGACTTAAATAACTACCCATTTACAAACATACGTTTATATAAACATACTCTAGTATAAAGCTGAAAATGACTCATGCATGGTAATGGAAGTAGTACTATCAAAAAAGACTTTACAAATAATATTGAGCTGTTTCCAAATTTGGCGTCCCTTAACCATTCTTAGAGTCAACATTACACACACATATACTAATATACATATATATATATATATATTGACTACATGCGCAATCAAACGATTCCTTCTTCTACGGCTTTTCCTTGTTCCGTACAATTAATAAAGCTGTAATTAGACATTTATTTTATTGTTCGGAAAAAGGTTAGACCTCCCGTGCCCCAGTATTAAATCGTTAACTAATATAAACTGCTTTATGATTCTATTGTTTGGATCTCTTTTGAATACTACTCGTTAATTTCGAAAATTGATACACGATTTATTACGCATTCCAAGCTCCATTGATTATATCAACATTATTTATGCATTGTTGTGTGTTGTGTATGTATATCCATCGTCTGCGGCGATTGCGACAACACTAACTCGCTAGTCAAGCTATAATGTTTTATTAGTGTGATTATATATTAATCATCTTTAATTTATTTTGATCAAATTTAGATGTCTATACTGAGAATCCCATGTCACCGTATCTAAACCCCAATATGATGCTCTTTACAATCACAGTATATTGTTTGAACGTTCATATACAAAAATAAAATATCTTATTCCATTTCATCAAAACTATTGGTATAACTCCCACCGTTAGCGTTAAACAAAAATATGTTAATCTAGTTCTTTGAAATTACTTGACAACTACAGTCTCAGATTCTTATGTATCCTACATTCGTGCAATAAAACCTTAAGTATTACCATGAAAAATACTATCGAATGGTCTATTAAACGACAAGTAAAGGAGATTCACAGTGGAATGTAATCCGTCAGAATTGTTTGACGGTGTGATATATTTGAAACCCAATTACCAATAAATATTGCAATCAATTACTTTAATGAATAATCAATTTGCAAGTTGTAATTAACAATTTGTAATTAACCCAACGACTGTCATTTGTACGTTAATAATTTAGCAGACACTGTGATCTCTCGTGACCACTTTTCAAAAAGCAAAGCATAATAATCTAGAAGGATTATGACGACACATACTACTCAACGAACGATCTACAGCAAATAGTGTCTTACTTTTAGCAGGTTACGAAACGTCCGAATTCAACTTGCTCATAAACAAATATTACTCCCTATTGTAACTATTGACTTTTCATTTCGGTTGGATGATTTGATTGGTTAAAAGATTTCCAAATCATACCGTAATTTTCGGTTCAACTTGTTAGGTGTTTTTCTTTTTTAATTGCAGAATCTGTATTAATTTCTCGATATTTAGATTTTTTGTCCGGCCTCGGCCGATTTTTAGGTGCTGCAAACAAATCGAGATCAGGTTTGATCGGATCCATAATTTACTAATCTCGGAGAACGGGATCAAGTCGAATATTTGAAAGAAAAAAAAACAATGTCGATAATAGAAATGAGAATTGTTTAAAAAACTTTTAGTAATTAATTAAACCTAGAAGTTTTTTTTGATATACCTGAAAACCAAAAGACATTAAAACGAAATCCGAACTAGTAAACTATATATATATATGTATATATATATATTAAATAAATGATATTTACATTAATATTTAAATCAATTCAGTTAAAGTTTTCAGATACACTAATGTCACACATAGTTCTGAGTTTTTTTAGAGATCCCGAGTTGTAGCATTGCGACGGAAAGAGGACTATTTGGATCTCGAACAAAAACTTCTAAACAATAATAATAATAATTCCTAGTCTTGCATGTTTGTTTAGTAAAACTCTCTACATTGTCACAGTAGAACAAATGCCATATGACTATTACTTTTGAGGGATTATTAACTAAAATCGAAAAAGATAAAATAGCCCATAATAAAATTATTAAATTGCTTAGTGCTTTGACGAATACTTACGCAAAAGCCAGATGATTTACTAAGATATGCTTGTCTACACAAGGCACAATATCCATTTATCAACTATTTTTGGATCAATTCTATGATTAGTCGGAGATTTTAGTATTCTTTCTACTGATTAATAAGACAACTAGTGAATTTGTCCACGCCTTGCATGAGTTCTGATATAATTTTTTTTATTTGTTTATTTAAAAATTTAATAGTAATTTGGATTTATTTGTTTTTTATTCTCTATAGTTGAGAGAATTAGAGAGAAGTCATACATATTTGTACTAAAATATTTAAAATCAAAAACTCTAATCTAGACATCACAAATATCATCATTCCATTAGATATTTCATTTATTAATTTTTATATTTTCATTAGATTTGACTAAATATCAGTTTTATTGGAGAAAAATGGTTGATATTTATACTAAATCATAAGAAATCGAAAACCTTATAAACATAAGAAATTGTAAACACTAACCGATATATAATAATAATTAGCGACTTTCTATTAGTTAGAGATTATTTCTTTTTTTTAAACGACATTTCATTAGTTAGTATATAAATTTCTTTTTTTAACTTTTTGTTAGATTTTGTTTTTAATTTCAATTTTATAAAATTTTCGAAACGGTTTGATTTGACTGCGAAATTAATTATTAAACCATAATAATTTAGAGCGATTTATTTTAAATTATTTTTAACACATCATCACATAAGAACCAATAAAAAAATGACACGTAATAGCTAAATAGAGTGAAAATGTTTGTTTGTAGTCGAAATTCATTCTAGCGATGACACATAAGCGAAATACCGTAAAACTTACTGTGAGCGCGACATATCAACAAATCACTACACAAATAAGTATATAAATTTAGACAACGCTTAAGCTCTAGATCGTTATAAACCGTGTCGATTGTTTTTAAAATTTGTTGGAATTGAGCATTTTTGTTATTAAGTGTCTAATATTTCCCCTCCTCCGTTTTATATCCTTTATTATTCGTACCAAAAAATTGATCATAATTGACAGGAGAAAAAATTCTTGGCCATATATATTTTTTTGTTACAGTATTAAAATTAAACTAGCTATATATTTCTATTTTTAAAATCAAGGGGTTTCTCAATATATATATATACATATATATATATACCAGAGTCCAAATTAAGTTAAACACGTATCAAACCAAATATACGAGATTCGTTAAAAAAAAATGTGGGATGAGGCTTGCAAAATTATACATAAAATACATGAATCTTTCAGTAATATGTTCATCAGTACATCGCTAGTTAGAGAAGTACATTAGGTTCTATTAATAAGAACCAAAAGAAACAGTAAGAACGTTAAATCTACGAGTAGTGACAAATTTTAAACGTTATTCGAAAATGTACTGAATTTGTATACTTGATTGGAATACAAATATTATAGACACCTACGAGTATGTTTTTCTTTTCTTAGAAAGTGGAGAAAATGTGAGTGGGAGATTCTTTAACTGATAAAGCAGCGTAACATTTAGGTGAGGTCCTTTGGTGGAGGTACCACGTATACCGTACCAATTAAATTATTTTATAATGTTGGTCAGGTTTGAGAGACAGATTATTATTGTTATCTTATATTGGTGAAAATAAACTACGATATGGGTCCTTCAATTCTGGGGTAAAGAAACAACTGCCCTTATATTTTATAGAAGTGAATCTATATTCAGTATGTTGCACAATATATTTTTTAAACACAAGGCACACATGCAAACCCCTAAAAGATTTAAATCAAAAGGGATATATCATTTTGCACTACTATTAATTAATTTATGTGGTATGTTTAAAAACCATACAAATTTGTATAGAAATATACGAAAATTAATTTTCGTGTAACATAAAGTTTTAAAATCATTTTGGTGTGTATTGTAAATAATATATTATTGGCCATAGTATGATATCTTAGTATAGATATCGTTGTGTCAATTACATATTCCAGATAACAAATATGGAAGAGAATCATATTTGATATATACAGTAAATCTTTGTTTACATCTATTGTTTGTATTCAATGTAATTCGATTCGTCTATAATTTTTCAAGATAATCAATATTATTTCTTCTCACAACAAATCGAGCGTTTATTGTTTTGGTAAATGGTGCTGAAACCGTAAATCTGAATTCTAAAACGGAATGTTTGTTGCAAATTGCAAATTTTAATTTTTGAAATTAAATAGACTAACAATTGTCCCAATGTTTATAAAAAAAAAAAAACGAAAAGAAAAATAGGAGCGTTTTCAATTTTTTAAAGTTCAGTTCTTTTTATATATTGAAATTTCTTCCCCTCTTATAGAAGAGAAATAAATGATAAATGTTAAACTGGATTTAATGTTTGTAATCATCTTCACCGAGAAATCCGGTAAGAACAAGAACTATATTTATCGTAGTTTGGAAATAAAATACGATATGATTAATTTGCCTAAAAGCTAGTAACATTTTTTGTTTCTATAGTAAAGAAAACATAAACCAGCTAGCAAATTAACTTCTTCAAATTTATTATAACCTCAGTTTAAAATCAAGAAATCTGAATATACACTTGAAATAGCCAGAAGAAATTAAATAAGGATCTCTTGACCAAATCAAAAAAATCTAAATTAAAAACTTGAGGCTCTCTCTCTCCATAACACTATCTCCTTCAATCTTCCAATCTGGGATGACATCGGCGGCGACAACAACCAAAAAGGAAAAAGAAAAAACAATCAAACCCTAATTGCCATCTCCTTCTCCCAGTCAAACTAGAACCATAAAAATTAGCAAACGAAAATAAAATTAAAAAAAGTTTTTAAAACGAAACAAAAGAAGAAACCAAATCTCTGATTAGAGAGATTGAAAAAGCATCTCTAAACCAAAGCTTGAATCAATTTTCGGTTTGCAAATTCCACTGATTCGGTTTTGATCCTCGTCTCGACAATTAGCATACAGATTTCTCAGCAATCCCAGGGAGCAACGGCCGAGATTCCACGTTCTTCGCCATCCCCACGTGGCTGCATCTCCGGAGATCCTCCAGCGTCGCCGGATTGCCTCGTCCCGATGACTCAGACCGAGTCACGACCCCAATGATCTCCTCGAACAACGATTCATCGCAAGGGATCGCTAACGGACCAACGTTGGAGAATCCGTACTCCTCCTCTGCCTCCGCGAGCAGACGACGGAAGATCGGATGGTTGAGATGCTTCGCACGGACGACGTATCTACGCCGATTCTCTCCGACGGAAACCGCCACGTGTCCGGGAGGTACAACGGAAACAGGATCGTTGGTGGATCCGATGTGAGCTTTCTTCTGCCATTGCTTGAGCATCTGACGGATCCGTACAACGCTTCCGATCTTATTGTTCTTCCCCATCTCTCTAGCGAACAGATTGAATCCCAGAAAATGAAGGGAAAAGTTGGGAGAGAACCAAAAAAAAAAAGGTTAAAGGAAAAACATTTTAGGCGTTGCGTTCTCCAATTTTTGGGATGGTTTTGGCAAGCAGGGGAATATTGAGGGGGAGCGTGGGATATTTAAAGGTCAGATAAGTTTTTTTATGTTGCCCCTTTACTTTTGCTTTAATTACGAAAATTACTTTCTTTCTCTCTCTCTCTTTTTTATTTTTGTTTCTTTGTTTTCTACATTTTTTTTGTTTTTGTTTTTTTTTTCTTTGTTGGTCGTCAAAATTATGAAATTACTTAGGCCTTTTTTATTTTCTTTTTCTGTTTCTTATCCCTGTCTTGTAAAACTAAATCAATACCAATACCTTTTTTTTATATACAGTGAATCTATTACTTAAAAAAGTACCCGCTCTTTTATGACAATTATTTTATTGTTTTCGTTTTTAAGGTTTATTTATAGTGTCAAAACTGAAAACTTCTTATTAGGTTAAATCATATATTTAAATGTTGAATATATCAATTAACTAAGGGAATAAAACAAATAGTCAGATAATTGTCGGAAAAAAAACATAGTCCTTCAAACAAGTGATAGCGTTTTAAGAATCTCTTGTTATCTTTTTAGTTTATTTCTTTGTTTGATTTATGAAAAAAAAAAGTTATAGCACGGTGTAACGGCCGTTACAGAGAAGCACACATCGCTTGATTTGGGGGTTAAATTTGCTGCTCAAGATGTTTGCCAGGCCTAACATTCTTAATATGAACATGTTGGAAATCGCCCCATTTAATTCAATAGCCCATTGGAAAATTGGGTCGGAAGCTATAGCCTCCTTAAGCAACCAGAGTTATTTAATCATCTCTTTATTATTTTCTTTGACGTTTCTTTTGATTTTTGTTTTGAACTTGTAAAATCAATATTGTAAACTTCTCTAAATTATGGCGCTGCAACAACGTATTTTTTTCTCATATTCTTGAATCAAATTTAATCCAATCCAATCCGGTTCTTTTTCATAACATACGTGGGGTTAAATCTGGTTCTATTTAAATTTTGTTTCACTTGAGCTTTTTTTTTTGTAAGCCACAAAAATAGATTCACTAGTGGGCTACTCTCAACAAAGATCAATACAATGCGGGACCCACCTCGAATAAAATAGAGAGATTCTTGTAATGAAATATCGAATGGCAAAGAATTAAAGCGCAAACGGCAAAGAAACATATTCTTCGAGCGTGAGGCGGTCACACAGACACTGTCAAATATAATCCCTTCCCAAAATTGACCCCAAAAACTAAAATAAACCTAAAAAAGAGCCATTTCTTTCTTCGCTTTTGCCCTCACAAACCTCAAATCCGTTCATCATCATCAACCATGGCGGCCACTTCTAGCTTATCCTCTTCTCTCTCTCTCAATGCTAAACCCAATAAACCCTCTAACAAGCCTCTCCGTTTCCTCCGTAATCCCCTCCTTAAACCCTCCTCCTCCTTCTCTCCTCTTCCCGCTTCCCTCTCCTCTTCGTCTCCTTCGCTTCCGCATCGAGTTTCTTCCTCGAGGAACAACAATCACCCTCTTGCCCTTCTCGCAGACAACGACGACTATGACGAGAAGCCTCGAGAGGAGTGCGGCGTCGTCGGAATCTACGGCGACTCCGAAGCCTCACGACTCTGTTACTTAGCTCTCCACGCGCTTCAGCATCGAGGGCAGGAAGGTGCAGGTATTGTGACAGTTAGTAAAGAGAAGGTTCTTCAGACGATTACAGGTGTTGGTTTGGTCTCTGAGGTTTTCAACGAGTCCAAACTCGACCAATTACCCGGCGACATCGCCATTGGTCATGTCAGATACTCCACGGCCGGTTCTTCGATGCTCAAAAATGTCCAGCCTTTCGTTGCGGGTTATCGATTTGGCTCTGTTGGTGTTGCACACAACGGTAATTTAGTCAATTACACGAAGCTGAGAGCTGATCTCGAGGAAAACGGTTCGATTTTCAATACTAGCTCTGATACTGAGGTTGTGCTTCATTTGATTGCGATTTCTAAAGCTAGACCCTTTTTCATGAGGATTGTCGATGCTTGTGAGAAGCTTCAAGGTGCTTATTCGATGGTGTTTGTCACCGAGGATAAGCTTGTCGCTGTTCGTGACCCACATGGGTTTAGGCCTTTAGTGATGGGTAGGAGAAGTAACGGAGCTATTGTGTTTGCTTCTGAGACTTGTGCTCTTGATTTGATTGAGGCTACTTATGAGAGAGAGGTTTATCCTGGCGAGGTTTTAGTTGTGGATAAAGAAGGTGTGAAATCTCAGTGTTTGATGCCTCATCCTGAGCCAAAGCAATGCATTTTCGAACATATCTACTTCTCGCTACCCAATTCGATTGTTTTTGGTCGGTCTGTGTATGAGTCTAGGCACGTGTTTGGTGAGATATTAGCCACTGAGTCACCTGTTGATTGCGATGTGGTGATCGCTGTGCCTGACTCTGGTGTCGTGGCTGCTCTTGGTTACGCGGCTAAAGCCGGTGTAGCGTTTCAACAAGGTTTGATTAGGTCTCATTATGTTGGAAGGACATTCATTGAGCCGTCTCAGAAGATAAGAGACTTTGGTGTGAAGCTGAAGCTCTCGCCTGTGCGAGGAGTATTAGAAGGGAAAAGAGTTGTTGTTGTGGATGATTCCATTGTCAGAGGAACGACTTCTTCCAAGATTGTGCGTTTATTGAGAGAAGCGGGTGCGAAAGAGGTTCACATGAGGATCGCGAGTCCTCCTATTATAGCATCTTGTTACTACGGTGTGGACACGCCTAGCTCAGAGGAGTTGATATCGAATAGGATGAATGTTGATGAAGTTAGGGATTACATTGGAAGCGACTCTCTTGCGTTTTTGTCGTTTGAGACGTTGAAGAAACATTTGGGGGAAGATTCAAGAAGCTTCTGCTACGCGTGCTTCACGGGGAACTATCCAGTGAAGCCCACAGAGGATAAGGTGAAGCGAGGAGGAGGGGATTTTATTGATGATGGACTCGTTGGAGGAATTAACAACATTGAAGGAGGTTGGGTTCGATAGAACTTGACTTGCGTGATCTGCATAAGAAAAAACAGTTTTGGGTACTAATGGTGTAATATGATGACGAAATCTTTGTTGAATTTTGATCCATTTGACCTAATTGCTGCATATTTACTACTATTTTCAGTCTGGAATAGACAAGGGGTTGTTCTTGTCTGAATCCTTGAAAGGTTTTTTGTTACCTTGTCTCATCTAGAATTCAAAATCTCTTCTTTGTTTTTCATTGCAATTTATTAAGCAAGAGTTTTTAAAATGGACAATAATGTATTGGGTGGGTACTTGAGATCTCTAATCTATGTTATCTCTAATCATAGATTTTAACTTCTTAAGTCATGTGATTTTTTCTCGAGAAACCCAAAAATTATGATAGTTTTTACTTTTTAGAACTGAAACCATGTGAATTTGAATAGAAGCCAAATGTTCATTTGATATGGTTTTTGGTTCATAATCAATTATTTTTTTGTTGGCTCGGTGTAAAATTGTAAATAAATCTTCTCTGACCGTATCAATTGATTCGGTTTTTCATTTGGTTATTTCGGTTTATTTTTTTTTATCACACCGGTCTTTTGTGGAGTGAACAAAGTGAATGAGGCTGGATGCAACTCTTCCACGTCACCGATGATTGTACAAAATTACCATAACACCCTCAGATACATCTCTACTGGATATTGTTCATGTTTGGTTACTTTCTTCTCCTTTTTCCCCGATAACCAAATTCACAGCTTTTCAAATCCAAAAACACAGAACAGAGGAATCAAAAGAGAATTAGGATACACTGTGGCGATGCCTGGCGTGCTCCACACCCATCATTCTACCTTCTTCTTCCCTCTCCATCCACCAATCTCCACCGTCCGTTCCAAAACGCAGTCTTTTCAGTTCCCGCAACCATTGGCTCCGGCTAACATCCGTACGAATCTCTCAGTGCGACGGAGCGTAAAGTGTATGGCGAACCCGAGACGAGTGAAGATGGTGGCTAAACAAATAATGAGGGAGCTCTCCGACATGCTTCTCACTGACACGGTCTTGCAACACGCCGTGTTGCCCGAAGCTGCACTTGGAGCCGACCGCTATCTCTCTTCTCTCACCACAATCAGCGATGTCGAGGTCTCTAATGATTTGCAGGTGAGAAACCCTGATTCGGCCACTCACTCCTGTGTAAAAAACATTTTTGTGTGCTTTGCTCTTCTATCGCAGACGGAGTACAAATTTTAAGTCTTTCACATCTTTGCTTCTTAAAACTTGTCTGCCCTTAGTAGTTAATTGTGGCTTTCTCATTAGTAGTTTATTGACAAAAGCGATTCTTTGTTTATGATTGATGATGAAGCTGTGATATTGCAATTTGTGCATTGGCGTGTGTTTTAGAGTGATACGGGTACTAGATAAGATGTTAACAAAGCTGAAATGGTTTCATTGGTGTTTGTTAGGTGGTGAAAGTATATGTATCCGTGTTTGGGGATGATAGAGGGAAAGACGTGGCCATTGCGGGGTTGAAATCGAAAGCTAAGTACGTTAGGAGCGAGCTCGGGAAGCGAATGAAGTTGAGATTGACCCCTGAGGTCAGATTCATTGAGGATGAATCCATGGAAAGAGGAAGCAGGGTAAGGCTTCGATATACCTCTCTTACTACAAACTAACTAAGTATGCAAATCTTAAATGAATGTCTCAATTATGCCTGTCAAAAAATAAGCTTGCTCTCGTGGTGTTAGCGTACATAGTCATGACCTACTTGATCTTAACCATCTGTCTTCTTATACTAGAAACCGGAAGTTGATAGTTGGTAATAGCTATCAGCAGAAACTGAAATTGGTGATTGTTTCAGGTAATCGCAATACTGGACAAAATAAAAGCTGAGAAAGGAAGCGAAGGGGGACAAGAACCGTCTGATTTACCAGAGGATGATCAAAATTGGGAAGTGGATGATCCGGACGAAGACATAATCTATGTAAAGTAATGGTCCGAAGCTGTTGAAGCACCTGAGAAGGAGTGCATATTACTCTGATAATGCTGGATTTCCCCTCAGTGAGTCATCATATGTTCAACTCATTTGGAGGAGTCAAAAGCTGTTAGGTGGTTTAGGAGAGATCAATTCACATTATTAGTACACTAAGAACATTCTCATCATTTGACTCTTTAAGAGAATCAGTTTTCCACAAGGAAGATGTTGATGGTGAGAGAAAATGAATACCAAGCACATGGTTCCTCCTGTACTGGATCCTGAAAGTTTCTTTCATTGACTCAGATCTCTCTCCAAAGAAATGTATTTGTTGTTTTTGTTTTTTTTGATTAATCAGCGTAACGATCATGTGGTCATAAACTCTTGTCTTGTAATGGCTCTGCTGTAATGTAACGTCTTTGTTATTCTGCTAGTAGAAGAAATAAACCGATTTGGTTTCAATGTTCTTTGTCTTCTATGTTTGAACTTTGAACAAATCCAAAACTAAACCAAACTAAGATGAAGATAAACCGATTGAACAACGCGTGGGCTGAAATGAATCGTAAGAGGCCCAAAATGACATGGTCGTTTCTGTTAAAGAACAAGCTACACGTTGTTCCCTTCCACTCATCTGAAAAAAAAAAAAACAAATAAATAATTAAACGATATCCACATTTCTCCATCTCTCTCTCGCCAGATTTCAATCATCGACCCGATTTCAGATTTCAGATTTCAGATTTCAGATTTCAGATCCCAGATCCAAGCTTCAACCATGTCTACGTTCAGCGGAGATGAAACAGCTCCCTTCTTCGGTTTCCTCGGCGCTGCAGCCGCACTCGTCTTCTCCTGTAATCATTTCCTTTTTCTCTCTTCACATCTGATTCCTTCAGTTTCAATTTTTTTTTGTTATTCAAATTGTTCTCCCAATCCGTTTGCTCTGTTTCGTTTTGATCGTATTCCTAGTTTCTGGGAAAAATGTCTGCGATTTGTATCATTGCTTAAGAAACTGCGGATGGGTCGATAGATATTTGCTTCTTGCGCATAGCACTGCAGATCGCTTGTCTGGTTGATTTAAGAATGAGTATTTTAGGTTCGATCTGCATCCATGAAAAAAGAAGAAGGAATTTCTGATTAATTGGATATGATTTGCATTTGACCTTGGAACATCTGATTGAGTAATGCTTTTTAGTCACCATGTATTGTGTAGTTTAGCCAATTCCTATTTGGCTGTACATCTGAGATGAGATGCGATTCGAATTTGTTGTGCATTCCTTGACATGATGGAACCCATTATTGATCAATCAAATCCTTAGTTCGAGTGATCTTTTCTTTGGGATCCAATAAGGATTGTTCATCTTTTCGGGATGATAATAAAGTATGATTAATTGGATGAATAGGTATGGGAGCTGCTTATGGAACCGCAAAGAGTGGTGTTGGTGTGGCTTCTATGGGAGTGATGAGGCCAGAGTTGGTGATGAAATCGATTGTCCCTGTTGTTATGGCTGGAGTTTTGGGTATTTACGGATTGATTATTGCTGTTATCATCAGTACCGGGATTAACCCCAAGGCCAAGTCTTATTACCTCTTTGATGGATACGCACATCTCTCCTCTGGTCTTGCTTGTGGTCTTGCTGGTCTTTCAGCTGGAATGGCCATTGGGATTGTTGGTGATGCTGGTGTCAGGTTTGTCTCGTCCTGCACTTTCACAAATGAATGCATATACAACATTGGTACTTGACTTGTCCATTTGCAATTCTTTTTTTTTCAGGGCAAATGCTCAGCAGCCTAAGCTCTTTGTCGGCATGATTCTTATCCTTATCTTCGCCGAAGCGCTCGCTCTTTACGGTCTTATTGTAGGAATTATCCTTTCCTCAAGAGCTGGCCAATCTAGAGCAGAATGAGAAAGTAGCCACAAGATTTGCTTCAAAGGTACTTTCTTTACTTCTGTGTGCATTTTGTTTTATCGTTCTTAGTATGTATCATCGGGAACAGTAAATTTACTGGATTCTTGGAACTTTGTTTCGGAAGCAAAAACCGACTATCGTCATCCCCTTTTCTCTCCCGGTGGTTGCTCTCCGATGTAGGAATTTTTATTGTTTGGTTCTGTAATAAAGAGCTCTGATGAGCTTGGTTTGTTTTTGTATTCTTGTATTGTCCTGAGGAAGTTAAATACATTTATTTGTAAAGAAGTTTGCTTTCTGAAACCAACTTGAGTTCTTATGAAATTAGTCTGCAATGTGGCTTGCTCTACTCTGCTGTTTGTTCCAACTTTTTGTTGTGTTTTCGTCGAAAAAAGTTAGTTTTATCCTCTGTTTAGATCTGTACAATGAACATTCATGTGGAAAGCTTTTGTGACCAAAGTTTAAAGAAAAAAAAAAGTTCAACTTGAGCCTTAACACATCTTTTGATGAAATTGATCTCTTAACTAACATTTTGCTTTTTGTTTTCTTTTACACATAATAATTTCTCAATGCTTTCGACTATTTAAAATACAACTCTAACTAATGTTTGCATTAATATGTCAAAATATTTTTGATTTTGAAAAGAGAGAGGTTTTATAATTTCCCAAGCGTTTTTGTGTTTACAAATAGAAAATAGTACTCTCTCTGTTCTTATTTTAATGATGTTTTGAAGTTTTTTCGTTCTTAAATATTGATGTTTTCACAATATTATACAAAAATTACTATAAAATGACTTTATTTGTCATTATTTATTGATATAATTTCCAATAAAAACTTTAAATTTAATTAAAGAAGGTTAAAAATGGTATTATACAGGGGTTTCTTAATTTATGTGTAAAAATCGTACACATTATATAAATGGGGAGTAAAAGAGATACTATTCTTTTTTGTTGAAAATTAATAAATTGGTGTTGCGAATGCGGAGAGCATCCGATAGCTCATTCATTAAATTACCCATCAATTATTTGTTGGTGTTTGATCGTGCAGTTACGTACGTTTAATGTATATTTCTCCAAATACAATTACAACTTTATGCATCTCAAAATATAGTAGTAGTATATTATTTGTTATTTGTAAATGTAAACATCAAACGCAACAGAAAAAAAAAACCGTTTCTGTTTGCACTTTACTGTGAAATAGTTCATGATCAACTGAAAATATGTTATAGTTCAAACGCAAACACATACATAAAAATATTGCTTAATACAATTGAGAACAAGTCATATTTATAACTACGTACGAGTGCGATTACATTAGCAAACAGTCCACTCCAAACATTGTTTGTGTATGACATGGGAGTTATCCCAAATGGTTAGAACTTTTCGAACAAAACAACAGTTCAGATATATGCATACATAAATTAAGAAAAGTAGAATAAAAAAAGAAAGAATGGATTTAATTAACCAAGTTTGACACGGCACGTTAAGTTAGAATAGATTATCGAGAGTATCAAAGTCATTGCGTAGCCTTAATTTGACCATCAAAACCACATGACAATGAGCTCCAAATCACACGTCACGTAATTAAGAGCTATGTGTTGTACGTTAGCCGATGGGATATTGGGATTAACGTACTATCTCAATTAAAGACATACGAATAACTTTGCATGACTCATTACTCATGTCATTAGCTTCAGGAATAGTTTATGGTTCCTTTTTTTTTTTTGAAAAGAAAGAGGAATAGAATTAGTGGTATGGAAAGATGAAATGAAAGAGCACTATTTACGATAGCCATAAGAGGAGTGAGAGTGGTGTACGTGTGCCGTCCGCGTTTAGTAAACGGCCGTTTACCGCCGTCAACGCGTTTTCCTTACCTTATTGCATATTCCCAATTGTATATTGCTCCATTGTAAGATGCTCATCAAAACTGTTTTTGTTTGTTCATTACTATAAAATTAAAATAGTGTTAATATTTGTTGCATACTTCGATTTTCGATATTCCATTTCTAACAAGAGTAACATAAGAAATTTGAAGGACATCAATCAAATGCAATAAAATATAACGTACTTTAAACAATAAAAAAAAGAACAAAGACACACCAAATCATATAGACCATTGCACGAAATACATCCACGATAGAAGGATAAGTACATTAATAGAGAAACAGAACGTTGAAGAGCACTGAACAAACGCAATTATATATAAGGAATGGGAAGGCTTTCAATTAGAAAACAGCCCGCCAACTCCAATATATCAATGTCATTTATTTCGTTGCCGTTGGACAGCATCCTCTTGAAAAAATTGCTGCATCCTATTGAACAAAAAAAAAAACAAAAACAAAATGTTGATGCGGCTTGAACTCACACCAAACGTTATTTCCAAATGTTATTTTGTAACATAAACTTATATAGACATAAACCTGTATATATAAGAAAATTCCAATTACTATTAAGTGATTAGGCTTTTGGTTAATGCCAAACGATAATTTAACCATTGTGAACAACATGTCAACACAGCGCCAAATCTGGACGTAAGGTTAACTTATAAAAGCATTTCCTATTTTACATTCTTCCACGTTCCAAATAAAATACTACTAGGAAACATGGTAACAGCACCCAAGAAAATTAATTGGTAGCAACATCCAACAAAATGACAGACGTGGCATAATTTGATGCGTTGGATTGAAAGAATCATTGATCTCCTTAGATGATGATTCCGATAATACTATTGATTAACTCGCACGAGCGAGGAGGAGCGGCGCATTTTAAGATTTAACCTAAAAAGAGAGGAAGCAGAGAGGAAACAGCACAACGCAACTACTCCCCCCACGTAAGACCCCCACGCGGCGGCTCGTAACCGAGTGTTCGTGACCAACACTGAATTATTCTTATTCTTTTTTTTCTTGAACCCCAATAAATACGATATTACTTATTATTGTTATCTTAAAATGTCAAAGTTACGCCGTTCAAAAAAAAAAAAAAATGTCAAAGTTACTTTCTTTATATATATAGTCTATTTTCCCGTATAATTGTAAAACTGTATTATTGATATTTGATAACATGGCAATATATCCGAAAATAAGTAAATATCTGACAGGAAAAATAAAGAAGAAGAAGAAACGGTCCATTATATTATTAGGGACATTAAAAGTGTACCCTACCGGATTACCCAATTATTGGTCAGGACATGTGTCATTGTACACAGTACAAAGATCATTGGATCAGCGGTCGGATCCATCTCAGCGCAAGTTTTTGTTTTTTGGTTCTGAAGCAGCTATAATACTTTTCCATTAAAAGACATTGTTTACCAATTTAAAAACACTAATTAAGATGAACGAATAAAATACATATTTCTACGAAATCAAAATTTCTTTTAATATTCATTTACTATTGATATTTTTTTGTTTGAAAAAATTATGGTACTTTTAGACCTGAAATATGTTTGTGTTATTATATCACTAATTTTTTTAACGTCAATATAACTAAATTTTATGTCATATAATATTTGTATTAATGTTTTTGATATTAAACAAAAAAAAAAATTAACTTCCCCTTGTAGAAATCAGAGTGTACAACACCTGAATCTGCCGACAAAAAAAGAAAAAAAAAATTACCTGAATCTAGGACGGAGGCAACTAAATCTAAGGGATAAATATTATTTTTTGTAGGGTGAAAAGTAAAAAGAGGACGTTGAAAAAAAAACCAAAGAAAAAAGTGTAAAGATGGGCCCCGTGGCCCAAAATCAAATTCAACTTGCCTCAGTCGAAACCTTCTCTTGTTTCGGTTGCTTTATTTTTTTCCGCTATATAAACACGAGTTTTCCCCTTCATCAAACTCACGCTTCTCTTCTTCAATTCCGTTTAGCCTCCCCTCTTTTTCCGCTAGGTTGACGTTTCTGTTTTTCTTTGCATTTTCCCGAGAAACTTCACATTCTCATTCCCCTTTTACTCGTTTTCCCTTCTCCATATAAATTCAGGCTCTGCATGGTAGGGGAATAAAATTCGTTGTTGGTTTCAGATTTGGAAAATTCCCTATTTCGTTCTCTTACCCATAAATTTTTGAGCTTCTCCTGAACGGCCATCGTGGAGATTCTCGGATCAGGTCGGGCTGCGAGAGGGGGGTTTCACGGCGGCGATAGATTCATCTTCTGCCTTCTTTTGAGGGGGTAGCCGGGGCTCCGGCCTCGGCGGTTTTTAAACCCCTACCTTCACAAAATCTGGGAAAATTTTAGATTTACAAAAGTTTCGATTCCTCCGTCTCTCGAAAGTGTTTTCTTTTTTTCGTTTTCGAGATTTTTTTTCTGTAAAGTAAATTGGGATCGTTGCTGAAAGAGAGTGAAGAAGAAGATGCCTGCCTTAGCTTGCGTTGATACTGCCTTTGTGCCTCCAGGCTACGCTTTCTCCGGTGATAGCTCTCTTCCCACCGCCGGTGACGTCTTTATGCCGGCTTCTCCAAATTCCGCCGCCGCTTCCGTTGTTGACAGCTCTTGCCGTTGGTCCTCGTCGCTCTCCGCCTCGCTTTACAGGATCGACGGATGGGGAGCTCCTTATTTCGTCGCCAACTCGTCCGGTAATATCTCTGTTCGTCCACATGGGTCTGATACTATGCCTCACCAAGATATCGATCTGCTGAAAATCGTCAAGAAGGTGACGGATCCGAAATCCTCCGGTGGTTTAGGATTGCAGCTTCCGCTTATCGTCCGGTTCCCGGATGTATTGAAGAACAGGCTCGAGTGCCTCCAATCTGCGTTTGATTTCGCGATTCAGAGCCAGGGATACGATTCGCATTACCAAGGTGTTTATCCTGTGAAATGCAATCAGGATCGATTCGTCGTCGAGGACATCGTCAGGTTTGGATCTCCTTTCCGGTTTGGATTGGAAGCTGGTTCTAAACCGGAGATCCTTCTCGCCATGAGCTGCTTGTGCAAAGGTAATCCCGATGCCTTTCTTGTGTGTAATGGATTCAAAGATGCTGAGTATATATCCTTGGCTCTGCTCGGGAGGAAACTGGCGTTGAACACTTTGATTGTGCTCGAGCAAGAAGAAGAACTCGATCTGGTTATCGATCTGAGCCAGAAGATGAATGTGAGGCCTGTGATTGGGTTACGAGCCAAGCTGAGAACCAAACACTCGGGTCATTTCGGATCAACGTCAGGTGAAAAAGGCAAATTTGGATTGACCACTAGTCAGATTGTTCGTGTCATGAGGAAGCTGAGCCAGTCTGGTATGCTGGATTGCCTCCAGCTCCTGCATTTTCACATTGGGTCACAGATTCCATCGACGCCTTTGCTCACTGATGGAGTCGCCGAGGCTGCTCAGCTTTACTGTGAACTCGTGCGTCTCGGTGCGAATATGAAGGTTATCGATATCGGTGGTGGTTTGGGGATTGACTACGACGGGTCTAAATCCGGAGAATCTGATCTCTCTGTTGCGTATACTCTCGAGGAGTATGCAGAAGCTGTTGTAGCTTCTATACGGTTTGTATGCGACCGGAGATCAGTGAAACATCCGGCGATATGCAGCGAAAGCGGAAGAGCGATAGTCTCTCATCACTCCGTGCTGATCTTCGAAGCTGTCTCTGCTTCGTCGAACGTTAAACCAATGGCTCATCGTGCGAATCCCGATGATATTCAGTTCCTGCTCGAAAGTGAGGAAGCTCGAGCCAATTACGAGGATCTCTACGCGGCTGTGATGCGTGGAGACCACAAAAGCTGCCTCCTTTACGTAGATGAGCTGAAGCAGAGATGTGTTGAAGGTTTCAAAGATGGTGTTTTGAGCATCGAGCAGTTAGCTTCTGTTGATGGGTTATGCGAGTGGGTGTTGAAGGCTATAGGCGCATCGGATCCGGTTCAGACTTACAATATCAACCTTTCGCTTTTCACTTCGATTCCTGATCTCTGGGGGATTGATCAGCTCTTTCCAATAGTTCCTATCCACAAGCTCGATCAAAGGCCAGGAGCTCGAGGGATCTTATCGGATTTAACGTGCGACAGTGATGGGATCATTGACAAGTTCATAGGCGGTGAAACCAGCTTGCCGTTGCACGAGGTGGACAACAATGGCGGTGGTGGTGGAGGAAAGTACTTTTTGGGTATGTTCCTTGGAGGTGCTTACGAGGAGGCGCTCGGTGGAGTCCATAACTTGTTTGGCGGGCCTAGTGTGGTCCGTGTCACGCAGAGCGATGGACCACACAGCTTTGCAGTGACTCGAGCCGTGCCTGGCCAGTCCTCTGCGGATGTTCTCCGAGCAATGCAGCATGAGCCCGAGCTACTGTTTCAGACCCTGAAGCACCGAGCAGAGGAATTGAGGCATACCAAAGGCGGTGACGATGAAGGTGGAGAAGAAGAAGATGATGATGATGGTGATGAGTTCAACGATATTGCGAATCGTCTCGATCGTTCGTTCCACAACATGCCGTATCTTGCGACTGAGCCGGCATCTCCAAGTAACTCTCTTTCAGCTGCGATCGATAACCTTGGCTTTTACTACTGCGACGAAGACGGCTTCGATTACCTCTCTGCGTGAGAAAGAAGGTGATCGTGTGGTTTGTTGTTGCATTCTATTATCTTAAAATCGTCATTTCAATAAATTGTTAGAACAATAATATGGTGATATCCATCGTTGTTTAAGGTTTTTAATTAAAGGATCCCGAATGATGAAAGTCCTTTTGTGAAATTAGGAAGGATCTTTGTATCTTATTTTTTCTATGTTCCCGTTGAAAATGTAGTGTTCCGGTTTCATACATGAAATAGAATACCATTTTATGAGCTTTTTCTTTTAATTTCAAGCGATGAACAACTTCTTTTGTTTTTGTCTGCCATTAAACATATCAAGTTCTTTTCACTATATAAGAAGAATTTAATAAATAAGTTAAATTATAAATGACTTTGGTCTAGTAGTCCATTAATATCTTAGGGCTTAGATTTCGCCGCATCTTGAACGGCGTCGTGGGCGATGTGGTTGTGAGTAAAAGAGAGAGAGTGACAACACACACAAGTCACATTATGCTAAATTCTGACATGTATATATGTGTTGTTATCGATTCGCATATTTTTATTTATTACGGCTTTGGGAAGCGGTTGAATGATGGATTGATATGTGTGGCTCATGTTTGTGTTCTTTTAGGTGATTGCATTATCGAATATTTTTCTTTATTTTTCGGTCACGGCTTGGACCGCTTGGTGGAACATAATTCCTTTTTACGTGGAGATAATTTTGGACGATAAAAAACAAAAAAGCAGAGAAGAAACAAAATGTATATTCGAGATAATGTGTTATCTTCGTTTTAGTTGTCCGGTTGTTGGCGATCATGCAAAAAAGCATATAATTCTCCAAAAAAGCTAATTTTTTTTACGAAGATGGTAATATGGTATAGTAAATATCCTATGGTTCATGTTATCAATTTGTAGATGATCGATCTTGTCAATTTGTGGTGTGTATAGGTTGATATATGTCAAAAGTGGTACTTTCAAAAAGGAGTTATAATTATATTAACCATTTGAAACATTTTTGTAAAAAGAGAGTGAAAAATAAGAATAAAATTGTTGGTAAAGAAAACAAGAATTATTAAGAGAAAAAAAGATATCATCGCTAGCTGCTTATTAGATAATTTTCGATTTGTCAAAACAACAAATGACGTACGTTGTATCATAAAATTAGTCTGAATTTCATTAAAAAGCTAATAGCATCTCCTTTTCATTTATGTTTTCTTTTTGGGGTTAAGGATACAACTTAAAATTGACAGGTAGTGTTTTGTTTGAGTTGGAATACTTAGAAAAAGACATGATCCATTCTCATTCATGTTAATATATCACATTTTTTTTCTCGCCAATATATTACTTTTTTTTGTGTAGGTAAACAATTTTCTTTATAGCACGCAGAAAGGTTTTATAAAATCCATCTCTTAAAAAAATATTACTTAAAAACTGCATATTGACAAAGACTCAAGAAGTGTTAATAATTCTTTACACTTGATCAAGAACTACAGAAAAGTATTGAAAACATCATGTTCATCTCGTTTTATTAACCTTAGCCTCAAGCTCTATTTTCTTTGGCTAAAATTACAACCATTTTTGGATGAAATCTAATCCTAAAATACCAAGTACAAATCCCACTTTGTTATCAATTTTTTCATGATATAGCAATTTGTGTTCCGAATAAGCATTTTGTTAGCAAGTTGTTCATGGTCCTTACCAATACCAAGTGTTGTGTGATGACATCAATTTGCTGGAATCGGTCCAAACTACCAAGTTGGATAATTGATTCGTGCTCTATCACCAATCTTGACTACCCAAATTTTTTGATCGGTGGTTGTTCTCCAATAGATTTGGAGTGAGTTGAGCGCTGAGTTTTTAGAACTATATAAAGCAAGACAAGCTGATTGTCAAAACAAAAGACAAGAGACCAAACAATGTCAGACTTAAGGAATGCAACGGGAGAGCGAATCCTACTTTGTTCAAACCCATCTCATTTCTAGACAGATTTCAAAATGCTGATAGAATTGAGTTTAATTATTCATTATCAGGTCTATGATTCTAAATGGGCATAATGGTTTATATAAGCCAATCATGTGTAAAAACTTAAACAAGAAAGAGAGCATTTTGGGCTTCAATATGCTTGACACTTCAATGCTCTCTAAAAGAGTTTTCCAAGGCGTAAAACCTTTTAAATTTTAAAAAGTCATTGTTAACCTTATTTTTGACGAATTATTCAGTATGTCATTAAGAATTAACTATAAATTTATAATCTTATTTTGACATAAAATTGCACACTGGAGAAAGTTTGATTATCCGTAAGCTGAAAACAACTTTTGATTCATATAATGTTTGATTATCCAACACACTTCTTTTGTTTTTCCTGAAAAGTTTTCATGGTCGGAACATCCATGATTCGTGATGACATGCTTTGCAGCTAAAGAGCCACCAGAAAATATTTTTAGATGGAGAAAGATAAACCAAGTCGAAACAAGATTGTCTAACTGGAAAGAAACATCTTTGAAAACTACAATTGATCCCTCAAAGTCTCAACCTTGAAAGTCTTAAACTTATCTGCTGAACCATAGGCAACCCATGCATCAATCTGAAATAGACAACAACAAACACCATTGAAACTTAACGTCTTAGTGGTTCCGCAGAATGAATAGATACTATTTTTAGTATACAACCTGAGCATTTGATGATTATCCAAACTTACTTTATTGTTGGGTATGAAAATAAGCAAACTAGGTTTATGGGTTGTCTTCTTGACCATAGTTGTACACAATTTCAATCTGCATCAGTCACAAAAGGAGATTGAGCATTTTGCAAATAAGAAAGTGAGATCATGACGAAGGAAGTGATAAGTGTTTTGAGAAGGAAAATTACCCCAGCAGGCGGAGTCGGGTTTCTACAGAACTTTGAGCCACCAGGAGCCCATGGCACTACAGCAGAAAATGTGGGTCATTTGGAGTAGTTGTTGGACCACGATCTTTCTCTTATGCGAGAGGTATTCACATACAGCAGATTAAATTTATTGGTCCGGATGCTTACCGATATAAGGATCAGGGTGCCGCCATTTGTCGTATTCTGCTTCACCATGAGCAATCAGTTTGTCGATTCTGTCGACATCCTCCTACAAATACCCCAATCAAAGGACAATATCAAGGGACAAACAATGAGAAACAAAGATGAGCGACTCAAATGTACATATCGTAATCACCAATGTTGTCATCGTGTTCGTGTCAGGTTAGCAGTTGAATGAAGAGTTTCATTATATATATGATTCCCAAATCCAGTTTAAAAAGGTACATCATTTGCTTAACGTCAACAAAACATTTCATAGATTGCACCTAAACATCGATCATAAGCTGATAATGAATGGATATACCAACTCAACACAAGAACTATGGAACATCAATTCTGTTTTTCTTTTCTTGTAACTATACGCAGCAGTGTTAACATCTGGGAAACAAGCTTGCACATTTACTTATTTCGATGGAACTTCAAATCAGATAATAAGGTAAAGATATAATTTTCCACAGACTTCATCTTTGTTAATAGCAGAAATCTGAACAACAAAGACAAATTCTTCATCTAAATAAACTTTCATGACTAATGGTCACATCTCTAAAAGTCTCTCTCTACCAAATTAAAATCAAACAAAACACAATAAACTTCCATTTCCACAATTTTTCGAAGCGATCAAAAAAGGAAATTGCAGGAGGAAAAAGGAGGATATAAGACGAGAAGAGAACAAACCACATCTTGGTTGGCATTGAACTTCTCGCGCAGATCAGAAGCCTGAAATAGAACGAAGATCAACGAATTAAAATCCAGAATGCGAGATCGGCCAAACAAGAATAAAAGGTAGACCAAGTCCGATTCGGATTATCGCCGGAGGAGATCTGAGGAAAAAAAAATTACGTCTCGGTAGAAAATATGGCGATGAACAGCCCAATTAAGAGTATCCTTAAGGGCACGGCGATAAAGGATACGAACCCTCTCCTTCTGCGCCGCTCGCCGCGCAAAGTACGCCGCCGTCGAAACTCCGCTCATTTTACTGATTCCGATTGATTTCGAGTCTCTACACTCTTCTTCTTCTTCTTCCTCTATCTAATTTCTCTTTTTCAACAGTGAGAAATCTTCTGTTTCATTCAGAGGGTCCGAGAAGAAAGTTTCAGATGGGCCAATGATTGGAGTTTGAATTACGAAAAGAATTTGGCCCATAAGTTACGGATTTAAGAACAACATGAGACTGATAAAAGGGTAGCAGTTGAACTAAACCAAGCCGACAACGATATTCTGTTATAAACTGAAAAAGTAGGACTGTAAAAGAAAAGGAAAACTGAACTCCGTTGCCGGTACTTGAACCCGGGTCTCTCGGGTGAGAGCCGAGTATCCTGACCAACTAGACTACAACGGATTTTTGTTTCTTTAAGAGAATGTGCATATTCGATTATTTGTCTTTAATTAGGATCAGAAATTACCATCTGAGCTCACTTAGTTAATGATAAAGCTACTTTTCTCTTGAGATGTACTTTATGAAAGAAAACTTATAAAACTACTGACCAAAGCGTCCAAGGAACTGTGGACCTGAAATTGCAAGTCTTTATGTAGTAACTGATAAGTATAAAATTAAATACTTTTAGCTAGCAGATTTAAGTCGGTAAATGATATCTGCTATTATGTGGTTGTTAATCATGTTGTCACCATAATCTAAACTTAAACATTTTATGCTTGCAAAAGGAATTGTCTTGCTTTGAACACAATAATTCAATGTAGTTAAACTGTAAAGTTTATGACTCTTGAACTCTTCTTCATGCTGTGTGAAGGAGAACCACTTTTACCGGTTTTCAACATGAGACAGAAAAACTATTTGGCCATACAGAGAATATGCAAAATGGAACTAAGGTTTGTAACCAGCTCTTATCTTATCGAATTATATCTATAGCATAATTGTTGTGAGATTTTCAGAATGGTCCTTTCATTTTTCACTTGTTTACTCATAGTGTTAAGCTTTAATATTTTGTAAAATACTTCAAAAAGTCTACAGCCACTTCACATGGACCAAAATCATTCTAAGTAAGTAGTGGTGGTGGTCTCACATCATTAAGAAGACGAAAACATAATTTTGCTTATAGAAAACCTTTTTTTAGAAAAGACTAATTCCCAAAACAGTTTAAAATGTTATGGAGCAAGTTGTTAAATTACAACACTACAGATAATGTTAAAAAAAGTAGGTTTTCATTTTACCTAAGTCTTCTCTACCACTTTGCTGCCAAATTTGACTTGGTCTGATTTAGTAGTAGCTTCACCTGTTTCTTCACCCAACTCTTTACTCTTTCTCAGTTCCAGAACTTTCCTGTGAAGATTGGAGTGGATCTCATTCGAAAACGTTGGACTGTCCGCCGGTCTGTATTCCGGGCATAGCCGACCGGATTTAAACCGGACTCCACAGGCATTACATAATGTTTTTGGACCGAGAGGACCGGTTCTCCACTGAGGTGTGTTGTTTGTGCCACAATGACTGCATCTTCGTTGAAACGCAACGGCCGTTTCTTGTTTCTTCTTCCTCCATCGCTCTGTTGCTGCATGTTGATTGGTTGAAACGAGTGGCCAAACCCGGCCACCCGTTAGGCTGTTCCGAGACCGTTTGGTTCTTGGTTTAACCGGAATTCGAGATGTGAAGCTTGGTTTGGTTTTGTGGGTTTGAGTGAAGAGAAGTGAGACTTCTGGTGATGAACAATCATCCACAACACGAGATACCCATTCAAGCTCTTCCACATCTTCATCCTAAAAATCAAAAAGGAAAAAAAATCAGAAAATAGCTAAAATTTTTATTTTTAAAAAGAAGATTCTAAAAAAAATCGACAAAAAAGGAAACTTCTAAATAAAGGGAAATTTACCGGCAAAGAAGGAAGTTGATCAAAGACGCTAGGTTGTGAACTAAAGATGCAGTCTTGTTCTTGTTCATGTTCTTCTTGTGAAGAAGACACAGAGACAAGTTCTTCTTCTGGTTCTTCTTCTTGACCTTCTGAGAAATCGAGGAAACACTCAACAGAGAAATCTTCAGCAGAAGAAGTTCGGCTTAATTCTTCCGACATAAGCACTTGATGCTTTATAGCTTCTCCTCTTAGACTTGCCTTTAGGGCTCTAGCTTCCGTCCACATCTCCATTCACTCTTTCATACATACATATGCAAATTCTAAAAGTTTCAATTATCACTTGACATAGTCTTAATTCTCACTATTACAACAACCATACACATAACATAAACAAGAAAAAGGTTGCTAAAAAGCTAAACTTTATGATCTACAAAACCGTCTGCGCATGCAAACTTTCGAGAAATCAGAAAGATGAGAAGGGGAGAGAGGTATGTGCAGGGATATGCTCATCATAATTCTTTACCTGATAAAAGACGAAGATAGAAGAAGAAAAGCTAAAAGAAGGCGAAGAAACAGAGGAGGAGAGAGAGAGAGAGAGAGAGAAATGGGCAAAGTCAGAGGGCACTGAAATTAAAGGAGGATTCTTGAAGGGGTTAAAAGGTAAAACAGAGTCTTTGTGTTTTTGTGTTTGTGCTTCCAATTCCAAAAGTGAAAGCTCTTTTTTTTCTTTATATTTCTTTTCCCCTAATTTCTAGTTTGTAGAATATTACAAAATCTTCTTTCACGAATGATACTAGAATTGTATTTCAGAATCAATTCTTTCCGACTTCTTTATCTGCCTCTTCATTTTGGTGTAAAATGATGTGTCCTTTCTTTCTCAATTTTTGTTTTCAATTTTAAATATGGCCTATTACTCAAAAACCGTGGATCAGCACCAAGCGTGAACATTAAATCAAAATCGGGCACCATACAACAAATCCAGAGTTTGGTTTTATGGGTAAAGCTTTTCCCAAGGGTTATTGTATTACGGTAATTTCCCTTCTTTTTTCGCCTCTGTATTTCTCATACTTGGGAGTTAGAAATGGTATTTTTTTTTTTACATATTTGGTTTTTAATATTTTTCATGAATTGATTATTTGCGATTTGGTTCTGTTTTTAGAAGAAGAAAAATGGATAAAATTTTGGTTTTCTTTTTGTGATTACGTCAAGATTCTTTTTTTTTCCCCTCCATTTGTTGTTCTTTGGACCTAATCAATGAGTTCTCTACGTGGATGTTTGGTTCGGGCTTATCATTCGTCAGAAATTGATAAGTCAGGTCCGTTTCACATTATTCAATACAATTTGATTGATTTCTTGATTTTTTATCTGTTTTTTTTCTAAAAAAAAAATTCTGAAGGGATATATCATGCACATTGTCGATGCTAATTTAGCTTGTCTTGTCAAAAGGGTTGACCATTTATGGGTTGATTTGTCGGTTTATATTTTTTTTGTCAAAGTGATCTGTTGTTCCAAACAAAATATAGAATACAGTATTTTAAATTTAGTAGAAGTCATCGGTTAAACTGTAATTATACTTCATTTGACCAAAAAAAAAATATCGTGATCTCTCAGGGTTGGCTTTACCACCTTTGGCTTCCATGTCAGATGTAAGGGTTCGACGCCCATTTTCCTTGATGGTTTTCCAAATATGGACATCTATTCTACTAAAACATAAGTATATTTAGTGCTTGCATCCAAACACTCTTAAAGTTTTTTTTTATAATATTTTATTTTATTTTTATATTTAATTTCCGAAAATTATTTAATAATTTAGATATTTTTAGATTTCATAAAATCTAGGTCATCTTTAATTTAAATTTCAATTTAATTAAATTTAGTTACAAAAATTTGCATTCAATTTAATTTAAATTCAAAAAATTCAAAAAAATTATAATTAAATTTTATTACGAAAATTTAGATAATAATTTTCATACTTTAAAATTTCTTAAATACAGAAAAGATTTAATTTTAAATATTAAATTTAAATAATATTTTTATAAAAATACATAGTAAATAAATATTTTATCGTATTTTATCATAAACAATCGATCTAAAATATTAAATATTTGAGATTAATAAATATTTATATTATACAATAGTATGATCAAGCTGATTAGAGTTATATATATATATATATATATTTAAGGTCCATGAATTAATTTATTAATACATGTAAGATATTAAGATGATTTGAGACAATTAAACTAACAGGTTAGCCCATTTATATATATATATATATATACATTTTTTTAATAGCACAAATAGTAAATAAATATCTTTTTATATATTTTCATAATCAATTAGTCCAAATATTCCATATTAGTAAATATTTAGAGGGTTATACAATTATAATTATAGTTTATACGGATTAGTTTGTCAAAACATGTAAAATATTAAAAATGATTTAAGACAACTAAACGGATGGATTAGCAAATTCATAGATATATAGATTGTTTATGTGTAAATCTAAATTCACATAATAACAAAGTTTATAATTAACATTGGATCAATGTATACTTAATTAACGTATACTCTTATTCTACTAATATACAAATTTTATTGTTTAAAATTAAAATATGATAACAATTTTTTGATTTAAAAAATAAATAACAAAAATAAATTATATGTAAACAAAAATGATAAATGTAACTTATATTAGAAATAAAAAATAAAACATTCCCATGCGGACGCACCAGGTTAAAATCTATCTATTCTATTAAAACAGAAGCATATTTAGTGCTTGCATCCAAACACTCCCAAAGTTTTTTTTATAATATTTTATTTTATTTTTATATTTAATTTCCGAAAATTAGTTATTAATTTAGATATTTTTAGATTTCCTAAAATCTAGGTCATCTTTAATTTAAATTTAAATTTAATTAAATTTAGTTACAAAAATTCGCATTCAATTTAATTTAAATTCAAAAAAATTAAAAAAATTATAATTAAATTTTATTACGAAAATTTAGATAATAATTTTAATACTTTAGAATTTCTTAAATACAGAAAATATTTAATTTTAAATTTTAAATTTAAATAATATTTTTATAAAAAAATGCATAGTAAATAAATATTTTATCGTATTTTATCATAAACAATCGATCTAAAATATTAAATATTTGAGATTAATAAATATTTATATTATACAATAATATAATCAAGCTGATTAGAGTTATATATATATATATTTAATGTCCATGAGTTAATTTATTAAAATATGTAAGATATTAAGATGATTTGAGACAATTAAACTAATAGGTTAGCCCATTTATATATATATATACATTTTTTTAATAGCACAAATAGTAAATAAATATCTTTTTATATATTTTCATAATCAATTAGTCCAAATATTCCATATTAGTAAATATTTATAGGGTTATACAATTATAATTATAATTTTATACGGATTAGTTTATCAAAACATGTAAGATATTTAAAATAATTTAAGACAACTAAACGGATGGATTAGTAAATTCATAGATATATAGATTGTTTATGTGTAAATCTAAATTCACATAATAAAAAAGTTTATAATTAACATTAGATCAATGCATACTTAATTAATGTATACTCTTATTCTACTAATATACAAATTTTACTGTTTAAAATTAAAATATGATAGCAATTTTTTTATTTAAAAAAATAAATAACAAAAATAAATTATATCTAAACAAAAATGATAAATGCAATTTATATTAGAAATAAAAAAAACATTCTCGTGCGGACGTACGGGATTAAAATCTAGTTAAAATTTAAAACCGTGATCTCTTTTTGAAACATATAGGATTTGTACATAGCTGAAATTTGAATTAAATGTCTATTTGGGTTAACTCGATTTGTATACCGAATTAACGTAACTTCTACTCAACCTAAATTCAACTTCGTTTTCAAACTGTTCTAAATATATTTAACATATTAAATAGTAATTCGATTCAAACACTTCCCCAGCCTAAAAAGAGCATACATAAAGTTTTTTTTTTCTTTCATAAAGTTATTTTTTCAACAAAAAAAAGAAGAAAAGAAGAAGTTCTTTTAGCTATCACTACGCAAAAAAGAAGAAGAAGAGAAGTGTGGGCTTTGGTAGTGATGGGAATGCAGAAGATGCAAACCACCGTTGGAGTGGAGTTCATCAAAGCAACCACTATAGCCAAATGGCCCAAATCCTTTTAACACTAATAAAAGAAAAATACATATTAAAGTATTTTCCGTCCAATTATGCAATTTCCTTTTTTAGTTTGGTATAGTATTTTTGCGATTACGTCAAGCGTTTCCTTTTGCGATTGCTAAATATTTGTTGTGTTTAGGACCATTTTTGGGGACTGTGCCCATAATTTTCATTTGTATTTAACGTTTGCAAACATATTCTCGTTTTAGGCTCTTGACATAGGCGAGCCTTTTAGTTTTTGTATTAATTCTTTTTCTAATCAAAAACTAATAATTTAATTGCCGTAATAAAATGTATTATTAAAAAAAAAAGAACAATTGAGAGCTACAAAAAAGACGTTTTGTAGCTCAACCAGTCGATCCATGAAACTTAGGGAAAGAACAAAGAAGGGTTAAGATTTCGAGTTCGAATTTCAAAGGTGAAGAGTTATGATGATTGACGCATTTGCGTGTTTTACTGAACACTAAGCTTAGAACTAAAGAAACTATGAAGCCAAAACTCAAACAAAACAAAAAAAAAAAATTGTTCGTAAGAAGTTCTCCAAAAAATATGAGAAAATCGTCGAATTGTATTTTGGATATCGTGATGGAGCTAAATACCTCTTTAGACTTTATATCCCCAAGCTTCAAAAGTAGGTATTAGTCTACTTTCTAATACATCGTTTTTTTCCCACTAATTTGGTATGATATTGATCAGATGTATACTTTGTTTTGGAAAAAAACAAGTGATTAATGTTCAACATATTGGTTTTTTGAACGAGTCGTTACGATCACTTAGTTTGGTAGTGATTTTTGTTCTTTCTTGCCAACCTTAGTTGGTATGTTATTGTACAAAGTGTTATACTTATACTTAAGGTATATATATTACTTTTCGTTGGTTTTTTTTTTTTTGTAAAATGAGGGATAAAACATAGAATAATATATATAAAAAAGTAATAGAGGGAACAGGCTGGTAAGGTGAGGAGTGACGAGGGTGGAATGGGGGAAAAGGAGAACGTGTCGCATTTTCCTCTTATTCGTCGATACAATTTGCCTCATCCCAAATACCCTTTTTCATATTTTTTCACTTCGATATTTTGCAAAATTATTTTTTTGACGTCGAGGAAAATGGAACAACTTCAAATCTTGTAATCAATGCAAGTTGTTTTCGAGTTAGTGATCCTTGTATTTTTGTGTCCACAAAATTATCATCACTGATTTTGGGGAAAACTTGCTATATAAATACCCTATTCTACATAAGTTTTACCTAAGAAAAGTTCTGCTTAACCCTTTCTCAAAAAAAAAAAAAAAAAAAAAAATTCTGCTTAATTTAAAGTGGCATTCAAAATCATAGATTTATATTATCTCTCAAACTTGAGGCTAAATACACAATCCATTTAACATTTAACTCTAATGTTCTGTTTTACATTTTCAAACAAAAAAAAAAAAAAAAAAATTGAAAAACAAATACCAGAGAAAACAAGAGTTGAACGGAGAGAAGATGAAAAAGCAGTCAGACAAAAAGTCACAAAACATAATCATTGAGTTTTAACAAAACATAATCCATTTGATTATAAAAGTACCAAATATTACGTCGTTGTGTAATTTTGTTATTACAGTACCTCTAAGTGATGTCCAAATTTGCTATTACGCTACATATGATTGAATTCTAAGTATGCTATTACACTACCGATACATTGTGTATTTTGTGTTATGCAATTTGTAGTTTTGGATCTTCCTCTTCAATTATTGACATAGTCCAATTTTCCCCATTCTCATCGGCATTGATGGATGTTATGAATGAAGAGTAGAACTGAAAATGTTTTATCTAATGTAGAATTTACGCAGATTCATGAATGAAGAATAGAACTGAGATATTTTAATATAAAAAGATAAAACATGATAAACAAGAAGAGTAATAATAAATCCATCAAAAACGAGTCCAAAACCAGTCACATTGATGCAGAGTTCTATTACCAAAAACTCCACAACAATGGCGACAGAACATTAGTTTTTTTTTTTTGCCAACGAAAAAGAAACAAGTCTATAATCCTCTAAGCTCCGATGATTTCGGTTGGTTCCTCAGCCATTGTCTCATCCGCTGGCCTATCAACCTTCACACCAACATCCTCTGCTGTGTAGTCTCCATGCACCTATCAAGATAGAAAACAAAACCAAGTTAGATTCGATGGTCTACAAGGCTAGACCAAGACCAATATAAGAGACAATAACGTTATTTCAATTCACCTCCATGAGCTTTCCGAGGTCAAACTTGGGAGCCTTGAGGATCTTGACTTTACGGATGAAGACGTTCTGCAATGGGTAGATGTTCTGCGTCGCCTTCTCAATCTCTCTTCCAATGGCCTCAGGGATGAACTTGGCAACAAGCTCTTTGAGATCACAGGATGAAGCTTCCTTCACCATAATTTCCCTCATCTTCCTGCGGATCTACAATGGACCAAGAAACATTACAATGAGTACATGTGAATCTCAGTGAATCCTATTCAATTTCTTTCTACAGGGCCAATAATACACACAAGTCGTAGCGTTATCTACCTGGCGGATTTGGCTGGACTGGGCATAGCAAGTACGCTTGACCTGGTTAGCACGCCTCTTTGTGAAGGCAATACAGAACAACCTAAGGGTGTAGCTGTCTGTGGTTTTCACATCAACATGAGCTTCAATCAAAGTCTGCCACTTCTTCACCAATGACCTAAGCTTGTCCGTGGTGAAATCCATTCCCTAACAGAATTTTAATAGGTAAATTGTGTTATATATTTGAAAACGCAGTATTCTATAAGATTTCTAAGAACTGGTCTTTATCTTACCCAGAATTGGGTCAGGACATTCCTGCCCTGAACATCTTCAGCTCTGAGACGGATCTTCCTGTGAGCATTATCCTCATCTCCTTGAAGATCAGCAAGAGAAACCTCAAAAACTCTGTGTTTCAATCCCTCAGAGGCAATCTGTTCAAAAATTTGAGCACACCCGGAAAACACAAGTCAGATTTTGGCAAAGGAACAATGTGGACGTACACACAGATTTTTTCTACCACAATGCAATCCCACTACTCGAAAATGAAACCAACGAAAACCAAATTCTCTATCGTTACAACTCAAACTAACCAACAAAGCTCTATACATTTGGAAGAAAACATCAGACCAAGCAATTGTACAGTGAACCCTAAACTATAAAGCCTAGTAGTAAACGTAGAAGTTACCTTGGTTCCCTGGGTCCTTGAAACAAGTGTCTTCCCAACATTTCTCACGGTGAATGAAGCAGGAGCTTTCACGTCATACCAATCCTTCTTGGAGAAAGGATCAACACTGCAACATCGATTAAAATGAGACTTTTTGTCAATGTACAGATCGAAAATAAAATCTGAAAAAAATAATAATCTGGGAATATGTTACTTACGCCTTCTTCTTTCCTCCTTTACGGCCCTTGGAAATCCTCTTGTTCTTCCTATAAAATTGGAAAACCAGTAGATCAGAGCATGATAAACGAAGCTATCGAATGTGAGGTTGCGATAGAGAATCTAGAAACTAAGCTGAGAGAGATGAGTGTACCCGACAGCCATGGTTAGGGATCTTTAAATGGTGGCGAAGACGACCAACAGCGAAGAAGAAGAATAAGCGGCTTCAACAACTGAGAGAGAGCCCTAATCACACTCGCTTTAGATTTATATATATCTAGGGTTTTGTATGGCCCAGATTTCTTTTTTTTTTTCCTCCTTTTTTTTTATGTGAAAGAATTTAGATAGCTGCTGATCAGACCCAACGGGCCTAGAGAGCCCAATACATGACATTTGGGAACTTCTTTGTAAAACAGAGTTTTTCTATCTTTGATTTCTTCGTATTGGAATAATAGAAGGGAAGAATTCGAAAGCAGAGCTCATTCTTCCAAACGCCATTTTACACGATTTCGAATCTCTTCTTCGCCGAGCTCGGTAATCGGAGGGAACTCGAAAGGTAGAAGTAAGACGCAGGAAGAAATAAAAAGAGGAAGATTTGCGAAGAGCTCTGATCAGGTGAACAATGGAAGCAATAAGAAAACAAGCCAGCAGGCTGAGGGAACAAGTCGCAAGACAGCAGCAGGTGAAACTTTCTAACTTTCTTTTGCCCCTTTGTTTAGATCCCGTTTCTTACATTTTCCCAGATTTTTTTTTTTTGTAATTTTCTTGTGATTCCGTTGATTCGTTGGTTTCTGGTGAATCAATCAATAATGTAATGACGAAAGGCTAAGTATTTTTTTCGGATCGAAAATCTTCGAATTAATGAGTAATTGGATCTGAGTGCCCTTTTTTGGGTTTGAGTTGATTTGTGATAAGTGCTTTGCTTAGATGTGAGATTGGTGAAGTTTCAGTCTGCACAATTTGGTAGTTGGTTTGACCCATCAAAAGTGATGGTTTTGTCAAATGGCCATTCAGCATTGGTTTGCTGATGTCCTGTTATATGTTAAGATCAGAAGTTATTGATGAATTTTTGTTTTATATGATCAAAGATTTGACAGATATAGTCATGGATTATCTTAGTTCTTTATAGTTACGATTAAGAATTATTATCTACCTCATTATATCCGATTGATCATTCTCTCGATTATAGCACCTGATTATAGAAACTATCTAATCACGGAGCATTTGACATAAATTATCTCTGACTTGGTTTTGTTGAATGGTTAAGGCTGTCTTCAAGAATTTTGGAGGAGGAGGCTATGGCTCTGGTTTATCGGATGATGCAGAAATCCATCAACATCAGAAACTAGAAAAGCTTTACATATCCACCCGTGCTGCCAAGGTTTAGTTTAAATCCTTTAACTATTTGAAGTTTTGAATACTATTATATTTGGACTCATACATTCGTCATTTTCAGCATTACCAAAGAGATATTGTTCGTGGTGTCGAAGGTTATATAGTCACGGGGTCAAAACAAGTTGAAATAGGTGATCTTGTTGAGCCTTGAGTGTTGACTTATAGTATCTTTTTTATGTCTGTTATAGATGTGAATTTGCTCACAGCACTCGTTGTTCCTCAGGGACGAAACTGTCTGAGGATAGCAGGAAATATGGTTCAGATAATACATGTACGAATGGTAACGTATTAACAAGGGCTGCACTGAGCTACGGGCGTGCTCGGGCGCAAATGGAGAAGGAGCGTGGAAATATGTTGAAAGCTCTTGGTACACAGGTTTTGTTCTTTCTCATCTTCCCTCAAAGTGTTACTGTTAAGCATTAGTACATATCAAGTCATTTGATATTGTAACTACATAAAGGACTACTTTCCTGTCATCGTTAGTATAATAACTGCCATTTCTGGGAAGATCTATTGCTTTTTTGTTCCATGGCATCATGTATCTATAAATATATAATCCTTGAAAGTCAATTAGTGTCATGCTGTTCACTAGGTTCTGTCTTTACTGCAATTTGGCTACTACAGTCGCATGTCAATCTGAAATTTAAACTTGAAACTGTTAGGTTGCGGAGCCATTACGGGCAATGGTTTTGGGAGCTCCATTGGAGGATGCTAGACACCTTGCTCAACGTTATGACAGAATGCGCCAAGAAGCTGAAGCTCAGGTACCTCGAAAGATAATACCGTGAAGCAATTTGATTATCATTCATAGAAATATGAGTGTTTTCCGCTTTTTAGAACTAGCATAATAGAAATTTTACTCATGCACCCACTTCAAATTTGAACAGGCTACTGAAGTTGCCAGACGCCAAGCAAAGGCAAGAGAGTCTCAAGGTAATCCTGACATCTTGATGAAACTGGAATCTGCTGAAGCAAAACTTCAAGACCTAAAATCAAATATGACAATATTGGGGAAAGAAGCGGCTTCTGCTTTATCTTCCGTTGAAGATCAACAACAAAAATTGACTCTTGAACGACTTATTTCAATGGTAGCGTGTTTGGTTATGAGCTCCATTTTTAGGTCAAATTTGATTTACTTACCCCTATGTACTTCTTTTAAAACAAATACATCGTTCATTCTGTTCTCAAGGTTGAATCCGAACGTGCCTACCACCAAAGAGTCCTCCAAATTCTTGATCAGCTCGAAGGAGAGGTTGGTGTGCTTTAGTTATATACCTTTCAGCTTCCTGTCATAATAATCGTATTCTTGTCGAACAGTCAATTCATCATTATATGAGTCAAGAAAGGGCAAAAATTGAACATTCTTTGAACCTACAGATGGTATCTGAGAGGCAACGTATTGAAGCTCCCTCTACGCCCTCAAGTGCAGACAATATGCCGCCGCCACCATCATATGAGGAAGCTAATGGAGTGTTTGCATCTCACATGCATGACACGTCAACAGATAGCATGGGTTACTTCTTAGGAGAGGTATGCTACTCAGTTTTAATGTCGTCTACTGCCATTTTTTTTTTTGAAAATAACTGAGTAGCATCGGTAATAAACGTTTCAAACAGATCATGGGATTATAACTTCTCTACTTATGAATCGGATGTCTATTATCTGTTTCCGATTTCAGAAGTTACAGACTACAGCTAGATTCTTTTTGGTCCTCATTTGAGGTTTCATTATAACATATTATTCCCTTTTAAAATTTTTCAGGTCTTGTTCCCATATCACGGTGTGACAGACGTTGAGCTCAGCTTATCAGCTGGTGAATACGTTGTTGTTAGAAAGGTTTGATTTTGAACTAACCCCCAAATGGGAAAACCAACAATGTCTTACATTTAACCAATAAGGTTTTCAAGAGTGCTTGTTTAATATAACATATTGTCTGTTGCTCACTGTCAGGTTACAGGCAGCGGATGGGCAGAAGGCGAATGCAAAGGCAAAGCCGGTTGGTTCCCTTATGAGTACATTGAAAGACGGGAACGAGTTCTTGCTAGCAAAGTGTCCGAAGTGTTCTGAGAAATTGAAGGTAACATTGTGGTTCCCTTTGTTGGTTACGGAACTGAGTTGTTTCTGTGGAAGAGTTGTGTGTGATATGTAGAAAGAAAACGAAAGAGAAACGGATCACCCGATGAACAGAAGTCCATGTTCTTGGGGATCAAAGTTGATGCGGGTTTCTGTGAATTTCTGAATCTGATAGTGATGCCACTAGAACAAGATTTCAATTGTAGGTATTATCTCAATATTGGATTTGGATCCTTTCTTTGGCATTTATTGTAAATGCCAAGTCTCTATCTATCTTCATATATGTGAATACACTTCTTTGGGGGGTTTTATTTGTGACTTTTTTGTCCAATTACTTTCATAATAGTCATTCTTTTTTCAAACAGTGGAAGTTAATGATTTTTTTTAACAAAAAATTTGTGAGCTTGATGGTAATATCTTACATAAAAATATTTATTCATTTGACCTCAATACAACATACACAATGGAGGGATAGAATACATAGACACTTTTATTCCAACTACAGATAGGATAACATAAGTAAAACGAAAGCAGTAACTAAGTAGAAATCTTATGGATTCAGCAAACCAATTGTTTAATAAGGCAACAATCAGTTCTAAAAAAACACTCAGACGACAAAAGAGAGTGACGTAAATAAATATTGATAAAACCTTCAGAAGAACCTAGGAATTATGCTCATCATGATTTCAAGATCTTGAAGTGTTACATTTAAGAGTCACTTACATTGGTTTCTTTCCTTAGATATGCAAAGAATAATGTGGCCAGTAGAAGCACAAGCATAACAATCTGCAATTTTTGGATTTAGACGAGGATGATAAGTAAACTATGCTGAAAAATGACAATTTCTCTGAAAAAGGGATTTAAATTAACTTACAAAGAGAACCGTTGACTGTGCTTCATCGTTAACATATGATTTTCTGAACCTGAAAAATTACAAAGACTTCATTAGAACCTCAACCCAAAAAATAAAGATCATCCTCTTACTGAGATACCTTCATTCGGTTTTAAAAAACAAAGAGAATCTAAATGCAGTTTTTTTGGGAGGGTAAAACAGCAACAATTCCTCGTGATAGCAAGCCCTTTAACAAGATTGTTTAATTGATTTTATATCCACTTATAATTAATGGAACAAGAAGAAGAAAAGAGCCTTGCCTCTTGTGAAAGACTCCATTTTCTCTGCAGACTCTCTTGATGGTTTCGAGTCGGTTTAGTGTTTTAATGGCATTTGGATCGTTCTTGTCAACCTATTATAAAATAATCTTTTATTTTTTAATTTTCTAATACTTGCAATAAAACAGGAAATATACTAATATATGTATATACCTTTGCTTTTAGCATGCAAGAAAAATCATAGAATGCACCATAGACATCATCCATTGTCTTTGTGCGATCATAGACTTTAGCTATTAGACCTAAATATAGAAATTTCATCACCAGTATTCACATACGAGTGTTTGTTACATAACTCATTTATTGATTGACTCAGAAATGATTAACCTTTGATTCTAGTCAAGCCTTAGGATTAAAATGACGTAATTCTGTGAAAAGTTGCAAAATTAAACTCAAGAAAAAAAACATCTTACCTCGCCTCAATCTCACAACGCCTCTAAATACTTGTACATTGTTATAGCACAATGCAAGTGTTCCAATCGCCACGATCTAAGAAAAATATTATATGTCAAGGCATAAACACTTCTCAACTAAGATATTTTAAGCATAGTAAATGTTTATTAGATAAGAAAAGCTAATCATGTTCGATGAATATCAATTCTCTAACCTGAGGGATGGCACACGACTGAAATATTGCAGGATTTCTCAACGAAGCAATGGTTTTCAAGGAATCTTCAACATGAATCAATGCATTAGTGACCATCTCATTCAAACATTGCACTGCTTTTGTTGAGTTCTCCTCATTTTTTAAGTCCTACATTGTAAGAATCCACAAAACATAAAAAAAATTCACATTGTGTTTTTACATGAGATCTTTCATGAGAGCTTGAGGATGACATGTATGCACCTCGAGCTTGTCAACATATTTTCCCCAAATCTCACGAGGCCAAAACATGCGTGATTGTGGTATCTCACTAATGTCCTCAAGATAATCTCTAATAATATTTGTTTTCTGCAAATAACATAACAAATGTTTATTATATAAATTTTAAAAGATTTGAGGAAGAAACTTTGTATCATACAATGTCATAATACATTGTTCAATGTTGTACCTGCAGAAATAAACCTGTAGAATTTGAAATCTGCTTCCAATCCGGAGTCAATATCTCTAGTTCCGAAGCGAGGAAGAGTTTTGACAAACCTAAACCCACAAGTCCAGCAACATGATGGCAGTATTCATCATAATCATCAACCGTTTCTACCTGTCAAATACACAAAACGTTCAGCTCTCAACGAAAGCAATTTAGCTAATAAGTTCTGATAATAGCTTAACTTCTATATCCAAATTTCAAAGCATCGGTTTTTTTAACTGTTAATGACAAAACTAAGGATGAAACATTTTTAAAATGAAACAAACAAAATCCACAATTTGTAAAGATTCTTCGTATAACAAACCTCCTTGCAAACGAATTTGGCCATTCCTGCACCCATTCTCTTAGTTATATCTTCAATAGCCTCTTGATACCTTTGTGTAGATTCGGATAACAACATAAAATTAGTAGATTAATCAACTTCTGAGTAAGATTGAAAATTAATTAAAAACAAAGCAGAGTTGAATGTAGCAAATAGTAGAACTAACTAACTAACCCTTTTTCAAGTTCCAGAAATGCTGCAGAAACATGGTGAAATTGGTCCATTAGAACCTTGTAGTCTTTTGTGCCACCTAAAATTGAATGAAGAGCAAATTAAAAAAAGAGTAATTTATACACCAGAAGAGTAAAAAATAAACACTTTGCTTCTAAAATAATAAGATGTGAAAATGACTCTTATTACGTACATGAAAAATGCCAGTTACGGTCGAATATGTGACGGTGGAAAGCAATCAGAATTGGAACCTTGATCTCCACTGGTATGCTTGTGTCATCCTCTGTAGTAGTTGAAAAAAAAAATAGATGATAGAAAAAATTTATCATCAAGAATATTCTGCCATTGAAGAAAGGAAAATGGATCAATATTAATCAAAACATGAATACATTTTTTCAAAAAATAAAAGAGTTAGAGAAGAAGAAGACTCATCAAAATTAAAGGTTAATGTTTAGATACCATAGTAGTTATGAAGCACTAACCAACAGTATCAAGAGCTCGGAGAATCAAGTAGAACACACACACCTTATACAAGAAAATATTGATGTAAGTTATAAATGTAAGATATAGCTATATATAGGAAAAAACAAAATTAAGTCGGCCAAATAAAGTAAAAAAAATCTAATTCAATCTACGCACGGCGTTACGAAGCTCGGTGGCAAGTTGTTGAATAACAAGAGAAAAGCTTTTAGAAACTTTTTGGAGCATTGAGTAGCAGAAGGCTAAGTGTGGCTCAAGTGGGATCTGATTCTGAGCTTTCGTAATCGCAATTTTCAACTTCAAGAGCGGATATATCTCATCCGGGTGTCTCACAATCGTACTCAAGCTTCCCATTTTCATGTATGCTTTTCAGAAGCAGAGGAAAACTATCAATCTCCTTTCAAACAGTGACAACAATGGCAAATTCGCTGGCGAACAAAATGAAAGACTCTTGATTTGACACGGTGATAAATGTTATTGGGCCGACGATGTTCTGTTTTGGCATTTAAAAAGCTTGCCGCGTGCTATGCACGAAACGTTAAAAGAAAACGTTAAAAAAAAATCGAGGTCTGATTTTTTCTTGTATATTCTTTCAACTTTGAAAAGATATTTATTTGGACGTTTAACTTTGAAGAGATTTATTTAACATTGTGTCGCCGACAAAAAGAAAGGTCCCATAATTTGGTGGGATAGTAAGAGACCAAGGGGTAGTGTATCTTAGAATAGTAACCATATAACTCTCTTACGATTTATATAAAATAAATATTTAATTGAGTACAAAAAGAAGAAGAAGAAATATTTAAACAAGGGAGAAGATAGATGAACAAAAGGACGTTTATTCCAAATACAGATTAAAAAAAATGGTACAAGACAAAGGCAGTAACTAAATTAGAATCCATGGGTTTAGACCAAACCAAGTTTAAACTTTCTTGTTATGGAAACAATCTTGAATAAGGATTTGGTTCTAATAAAAGAGAGTGGCGTGAATAAGAATGAACCTATAAATCACTCAGTTTGCTCTGAGATATGCCAAGACTATGGCCAGTAGAATCACAAGCATTAAGATCTGCATTTTCGGGTAGAGAAAGAAGATGATAAGTAACGTGGTTTTTTAAAAAAGGAAATACTTCTATGGAAAACGGAGAAATGTAACTTACATAGATATTTGATTGTCCGTTGTCATTAACATAAGATTTTCTGAAAGGAAGAGAGACAAAGATTCATCAGAAACCCAACAAAAACGGAAGATAATTCTATCCAATTCTTGAAATATTAATTATAGGTGGTCGAGACCAGTTTCTTAGTGAAACATTTTCTGGATATAAAAAGCAAAAAGCGATTCTTTGACTGGGTAATATCTCAAAATCTAGATTATCTAATAGAATAATAAGATACAAAAGAAAAAACTGTACCTCTGATGAAGGACTCCAGTGTCTCTGCAGACTTTCTGAACGGCTTCAAGTCGGTTTAGTGTCTTACTGGCATTTGGATCGTTCTTGTCAACCTACGTACATATATGTCAGATATAAAACAATACAGATGTCATCCCTCTTCTAAGAACATAAGTGAGTAACAAAACAAATAACAAATGAAGATATATACCTTTATTTTCAGCATGCAAGAAAAATCATAGAATGCACCATAGACATCAGCCATTGTCTTTGTGCGATCAATGACTTTAGCAGTTAGACCTAAACAAAAAAAAAGATATAATAGCTTTCAGATGGCAATGCTTGTTACACGTTCTACAGCTTTGCTGACAATATATGATAATGGTGTTCTTCTTCACCGAAATAAAATTCAGACATCGACACACAAAATTTTCTAAAGCTAGGGAATCAGAATGATGAGACAGTAAAATGGACTGCAAACCATACTCAAGATAAACATCTTACCTCGCCTCATTTTCACAACGCCTCTAAATACTTGTACATTGTTATAGCATAATGCAAGTGTTCCAATCGCCATGATCTAATCAAGGAAACACATCCAAGCAAAGCGATATTAACTCCCGAGACATTCTATATCAATGCAGGTGCAGTTAAAGTGGCGAATGTGTAATCATTTTGTGTACATGGATAGGAATTCTTGAAACTGCTTTCATTTTACAAGGAGAATATTATAAACAGTTCTGAACGAAAGGCAAAGTAAAATTTAGATAGGGAAACAAACAAATATGTGATATTTGTTTCTCTAACCTGAGGGATGGCACAGAACCGAAATATGGAAGGATCACGCAACGCAGCCATGTACTTGAGGCAATCTTCAATATGGATCAATGCATTGGTGACCATGTCATTTAAGCAATGCACTGCTTTGGTTGAATTCTCCTCGTATTTTAAGTCCTACATTGGGATTTATGGTTCACCAAAAAAGGAAGAACATTGTTAAAAAATAGTCAATATGGGTAACATTAGACCTAAGATGAGAGCTTGAGCGTGGGATGTATGCACCTCGAGCTTGTCAGCATATTTGCCCCAAATCTTGCGAGGCCAAAACATGCGGGACTTTGGTACCTCATTAATGTCCTCAAGATAATCTCTGATAATGTTTGTTTTCTGCAAAGAAGACCAATGTTATGAATTATTCGAGGATAAAAAAATTTTCAAGGGTCTCAAAAGATTTGAGGAAGAAACGTTGTACATGTCATAATACGTTGTTGTACCTGAAGAAATAAACCCATAGAATTGGAAATCTGCTCCCAGTCTGGAGTCAAAACTTCCGATCCTGAAGCAAGGAAGAGTTTAGACAGACCTAAACCTACAAGTCCAGCAACATAGTGGCAGTACTCATCGTAGTCATCAACAGTTTCTACCTGCGTATAACATGGAAATCAGGGAAAAATAGATCGGTACACATATCATTTCATCTTTGATATTTTCGCGATTCTAAATGAACCAGAGACACCAGTATAGCTCAAACCAGCTTGTCACCAGAACTCAAAAATAAACCACTACAAATGTCTTGTATCACAGACCTCCTGGCAGATAAACTTGGCCATTCCTGCACCCATTCTTTTAGTTATTTCCTCAATTGCCTCTTGATACCTTCATATACCGAGGTGCAGGTTATAAATTAGTGTTGTCAGTAACTCAATCAATAAAACAGAACAGAAGTGTATATATTAGAACTAACCCTTTTTCAAGTTCCAAAAACGCTGCAGCAACATGGTGGAATTGGTCCATTAAAACCTTGTACTCTTTCGTACCACCTAAATTTTGATTGAGTAGAATTTGTAAATTAAACAGTCATATACTGTTGACATGTGAAAATCAAGATGTAAAGAGACTCTTCAGGCTTGCATGAATAGTGCCAGTCAGTATCGTATATGTGCCGGTGAAATGCTTTCAGGATGGGAAGCTTTTCATCTGTTGGTATGCTTGTGTCATCCTCTGTAGTACAAAAAGAAATGATATTAGCCGCAATAGCATGACGAAGGAAGATGTAACTAACATGAATACATTTCAAAAACAGAAACTTGGCATAATTTGAAGAAGCCTCGTCAAATCAAGGTAATGTTGGGAGCATAGTTAAGAGACACTAACCGACAGTATCAAGAGCTCGAAGAACCAAGTAGAAGACACACACCTACAAAAAGAAAAGGCAATAGAATAAGCAAATGCTGCAAATATTGGACAGCTATATTAGTGGCATGTGAAGGAAGCAAGACATGTGAAAAATTTAGATACAACCTAAACATTCTTCTAAGCGTTACATGATCCAAGATAGCCTCATACGATGTAGCACAAGAGGTAATTATCAACGTATATTAGAAACTTTCAAGAAACAATATATTCCAATCAGCATCTACTGCAGCTTACACAAACTGGACAATAAAGCTGAAATTAATTTATAGCAATCTGCAGAACTAAGTGTAACACAAACTCTTAAGATGTGAGTGTATAATCACACAGGGATACATTCAAAGCAATCGATTCTATTATACAGAGGAAGCCAATTATCGCCGACATACGCAATAAATGTAAGCTCAGATATTTGGCTTCCTCCACAAACCAACACGTTGACCATACAAATACCAACACACGCGAATATACAAGTACAAACATGCATCGAATGACGTTTATGAGAGAAAAAGGCGGGGAGAGAGAGAAGAAACGTACAGCGTTGCGAAGCTCGGTACCTAGTTGCTGAATAACGAGAGAAAAGCTTCGAGAAACCTTGTGGAGCATCGAATAGCAGAAACCCCAGTGTGGCTCAGGCGGGATCTGCTTCTCCGCTTGCTCGATCGCTCGTTTCATCTTCAGGAGCGGGTATATATCATCCGGATATCTCAGCATCGTGCCCAAGCTCCCCATTGTTCCTGATTTCGAATCAGAAAACAGAGCCGAAGAATCTCCTTACGACGTATCTCCTGGAATCAGTGACAACAACAATGCCGGATTCGTTGGCGAGCGAAAACAAACGATTTCTCTGCCTATGATGCGAGAGATTCAGAGAACACTAGGAAAAATGCAGTTTAAGAAATGGGAGAGAAATTGCAGGAACCCTCACCTGCGATGTGGATCGATGCAATTAGGCCAGCGAATATTCTAATTTAGAATTTTTCTCAACGCTTAATTTATTTATTCATCGATGAAAACAATACAGGCTTCTTCTTTTTTCCCCCAAAGCCACAAACTCACATGGGTTCGTTGTTCACATTTTTTATGTTTATTCTTTATTTAGATAAAATAATGTGTTTTTGGTTGAAACTGAAAGGGTATCTTCCTATCATTTAACGGATGAGATCGATTTACAGTTCACTATTACTTTTACTGGGCCAACTCTGAGAGCGTGCTGACATGGCAATAGAAAGATCACGTGGCAAAAAATAATTGGCTTTAATTACGTATCCTCCACAGAGTAACTACCCAGAGCCACACGATAACACACGGTGGTTCTCTCCGTTTTTGCCTCTATTAAAGGGTAACTTCCTCCGACGAACAACAAACAGTCTTGAAAATTGAAATTAACAAAAAAAAAACACTCTCAGAAATGGCGAAGCGATCTAGGGTTATCACCATGTCTCCTCTCGTTCTCAACCAGGAAGACGATCGCGAAATCGATCTCGATCTCTGGGAAGTCGTTAACCCCTCAGACGGCGAGTACTCTGACGATTCTTTCTCCGTCGATAGTCTTTCCGATGATGACGTCATATCTCTTGACGATGCTTCCTTCGTCTCACCGTCCGTCGTTTCTCCGTCTCCTCAGATGCTCTCTGTGACTGACGGCAGTGAACTCGCCGCGGATCTGGATCTCGACGATCACGTCGAAGGCAATGGCGGCGGCAACGACGATGATGTCTCTCGCGATGAAGTTGATGATAAAGACCTTGGATGGGCTCAACGGCGGATGGTGTTGCTCCGTGGAGGTACTACTCTTTATCCTCTTGGCATTACGTACGGAGATTGTGTCAATCGCGGTGGTTGTTATGATGACGGCGAGGAAGATCGCGGTGCTGATGATAGTGAATACGACGATTCCTATGATCTAGAGGAGGAGCTGGTGCCGCGGAACGTGTGTAAGAAGCTGGGGAGACAGAGGATGAGGAAACTGGGAAAGAGAGCAGTCGCGAAGGCCTTTACCTCAAAGACGTTTCCGTATTCTTACTTGAAACATGGTTGCGTTCGCGGTAAGCATGGTCTCGGCATGAAATTCAAGTGTTGATCTTCGATTCCAAGCTTTTTCGATCTCGGTGATTTCTTCAGTAATCAAGAACCATAGTCATTCGCTGGTTTAGTCTGGTTTCCCTTTAGAATTCCTCAGTTTCTAGGTTCGTTTGATATGTAAATGGTAGTTCGATTGCTTTTATCCTTTTGGTTTCTCTGAAAACTTCATTGTACATGAATCACGTCTTTTATCAGAGTTAACGAAATTGTCCGTAGCTGATCAGAAACTGGTAATTGCAATACTAATCAGGTTATGGATCTTGAGTTGGCATCTTTAATTAATGTTGAATTTTCAAACGGAGAAGCTGATCAATGATTTGAGAAAGATATGTGAACTTTAGCAGTGACTCCATAGCAAGAAGATTTTTGTTTGGTGGTGGAAAATTTGGTTATCTTTACAAGCTTGACAAAGTTATGAATGCTGCTTGCTTGAAGAGTCGTTTTCGATGGATGTACGCAACACTCTGAATTTTGACACGCGAGTGGTTGAGAATTGAGAGAACTGTACTACTATGCAATTTCGCATTTCCTCTACTACGATTATATGTTTCGATGCCTTTTGCCTCTAATAACTAATGGCTGTCAGTACGAGCCTAATCTGTCCCGGTCGAGTAATAAATAAGGAGATAAATAAATAAACTTAAGCAAAAAATCATTTTGAAAATCTTCTTTTAAAAAAACCCAAACGTGGATAGGTATCAACTATCAAATATGGGTGGAAACTGATTGGATATCTCATATTTTGTTGGATATTCCAATATGCCGGATCCCATTGCAAGTTTGCAACTAAGCGCATATGGATACATGGATTCCGGAGATCTATAAAAATTATAATATTTGTGGATATTTTTATGAAAGGAAAAAAAAAATTACAAGGAAAATACTAGCATATATCTTTTTTTAATTTATAAATATTACATTAGTTGTCTTTCTTTTATATATAGAGGGGATTTAACGAATCCATATCAGTTTATTTGGGCCTTATCAAAATAGCGGTATCCAGCTTATAAAAGTATACATAAATGATTTTTCAGATTAGGGAATTTTGGATCTTAGGGCCCGGATAGTAATTTAACCTTTAGAGTGAGAAGAACTACGGAGAGGAATAAGTATGACATGCCGTTTCAAATGAACCTAAAACGACACGTAGTACAGTGACATGACTCCAGAACGTTGCGAAGTTTTGATGTATTTGCTTTTGAGCTTTTTTCTCCCTGGTTATAGAATGCGGATAGGAGTAAAAACTAAAAAACCCAAAACCCAGCTTAAAAACCTCACTTGGTCTTCTTCTTCTCAGTGTCATCAGCAGAAATGGTGGTGAAGATAAGGCTCGCGCGTTTCGGTTGTAAGAATCGACCCTTCTTTCGTGTAGTTGCCGCCGACGACAAATCGCGAAGGGACGGCAAACAAATCGAGGTTTTGGGGTTTTATGATCCACTGCAAGGTTCGTCTCTACTCCTCTATCTATCTACCTTTTTTCACTTCTCAGAAAACTCAAATCATTTCTCCATGTCTATGCTTACATGAATTTGCTTTGTACCTCCTCAGGGAAAGACGATGCAAAAAGAGTGAGCCTCAAATTCGACAGGATCAAGTATGTGACTTTGCCTTATTTTATTATATTTTTCCCTAAAAATTTCATTTTCCTGTTTGCGTGTATATTTGTGTGTGTGTGTGTGTGTGTGTGTGTGTGTGTGTGTGTGTTTAGGGTTATTAGATGTGAATTTCATGATTGTTTGATAAGGCTGAAACAGTCTCGACTTATGATTGTTCGTCATAGAATCCCAAAAGGCTTCTATCTGAAGTGTCACTATGGAGAAAACTCTAACCTGTTGAGATACAACGGATTAGTTTGCGTGAGTAATCTATAAAATTGTAATTTCCAATTGTAGATAACAATTCTCAAAGGAGAGATTATTTGTGTTCAAAGTAACATTTGTTTTTATGACAAATGTTTTCATCTCTTTGCTACCTAATGCATCTTTTCCTCTAACATAGTCCTCTCTAGTTATTGAAAACAATCATCTTCCCTTTGATCTATTGCAAGTTATCCATGAGGCTTGGTTTTGCTTGTATGATTGCAAACTGTATCTTAGCTAAAACTTCCGAAACTGGTGAAAGCTATCTCTGATCTCTTTCCTTTTGCAGGTACTGGTTATCGGTTGGAGCTCAACCAACAGACTCAGTCGAAAATATGCTATTCAGGGCCGGTCTGATTCCCCCAAAGTCAATGGTAGTAATGGGTTCGAAAAACGGACAGCAATCTGCAAACAACCATGTTTCACCCATTACAGGTGAAATCTTGAACTAGGAGTGTTGATGTAATGAGCAAAGATTCTAGCTTTTGTGTCTATGTGAAACGAGTTTGATGTAATGTTGGTTTAGACTTCTGTATCTTGACAAACAGAGTTTGGTGAAATTCTCAATATTGGTATGTCTTTAATAAAAGGTACTATGACTAATTGGGCTCTGGTATCATAGGCCCATGTTTTTCTAAAATCTGAAATTGAATTGAAGAAGAGACCTTGAGTTCTGAGCAAGGGACGTGGAAAGTGGAATTTTGTCATTCTTGCTACTGTGAATTCGACGTTACTTGTGCTGAAGAATATCTGTTTTGTGTGCTACAGACAGAAATGATTTACCTTATTAGTACCTTTTTTAAAAAAATCTGTACAAGTTAATACATCCTGATTGATCAACGGAATAGCTATATATACCACAAATACAGGTGAGAAACTCTTATATTGCGTCATCGTCCTCCTTTTTTATTTCTGTTGGTGTTGGTGTAGATATTTGCCACCTACATAAATAAATACTCTACTCTTTTATATAAACGGAAAAATACCGTAGATATATATATATATATGTATATTGTTAAAGACCCCATTCAATAGATGGTTGTTAAAGTAACTAAACAATATGCTTCTTTTTTTCAAGAAAATGTTATAGTTTACTTTACCAAATGAAAAAAGGGATGATCCGTTTTTCTTGTGAAAATAGTTTAAAGCAACAACGTAGGGTTGTTTTTTCTTTTGATAAAGTAATTCACCGCCGAGTTTACCTGGAAAAAAAAATATAATAATTGAACAAAAGAATGACAAAGGCACGTCTGAGAGCAAAAAAAAAGCTTGGGACATTACAGCTCTCTTGGCCCAACAAAATCTCTCGCTTGGTATCTCATTAGATTCTCTCTCTCTCTCTCTCCCTTCACAAATGTTCATTGTTCGTATTATTACCTCATCTCTGACTCTGACACTCTCGCTGCAACATCTGTCCCAATTCAGGCAACTTTTCCTCTATTTCTATTCTGCACCTACTAGTTTATGTTTCTTCACAAATTCACCCTCAACTTCCTAGTTCATTACGAGACATCCTCTTTAAGTTTGTGTTGATGCTCTCAACTTTTACACATGGAACTAGTCGGCCTCTACTTGGTATTGTTGCTCTTTTGATTAAATCAATTATTTTCATGATAAAACAGCTCTAAAGGGATTTTAGTTCTTACCAATTTAGGATATATCGAGTATAGACTTCTGCATATCAAGCAAGTGAATGCTAAAATTAGGTAAAATTTGAAAGAAAAATTACCAATCCCTAAAAATTTAGTGTCCCCAGGAAAAGACAAAACTCAGTGGGGATTAACGGGCACTTACGGTGTTTTACAAACAAAATAGAAATAAGAAAAAATTTGTGTTTGTAAATTTCCTGGGACCCTTCTTTCTTTGATAGTTGTATGCGACTATTAGCGCCTCTGGACTAACACAGTCCACGAATGTACTTTCAGATAACCAACAAATATTTATATTAAAAAGGATAGGATATAAAGACAAGGTAGAAGAAACCATAATAATTTACTTTAAAAAGTAAAGTAGCTAATGCTAAAATACCGAATATGTGTGTTTCTAATGACAAGTTAATGAACCCATTCATAAGAAATCATTCATAGGAAAACAGTTTGTAATATTCTTTATCAATAAAAAACACGATCTAATCTGCGAAACCGCTAAATTTGTGTTGCCGACTTGTGCAAAATATTTGTTCTTTCTATCGTTGGTAACTCATATACGCACGCACATATTTAAATTTAAACCCGATCTATAACATAGCAGCAACATTAACACCAACCACTAAGGTTTAAATTTTTATTGGAAAAAATAGATTTTAACATATTTAATAGTTTATTTTTTTCTAAAAATTTATGTAATAGTTTGTGTTACAAAAATATATGATATAATTCAATCAAGAAACAAAATTAGAGATGAAAAGTTTTTTCTTTCAGTTTTGACTTTTGAAGAATTGGTAGCATCTTCGATTCTTTATACTTTTCAACTTAAATAAAGTAAACAAAGTTGCAGAATGTGATTGTATGGTGGATATTGATTTGATAAATATGTTGTGAGGAGACAGAGAGAGAGATAAGGATTAGGATTAGGTTTAGGATTAGGAGAAAGATGAAGAGAGGGGTTTAGGTCGACCAACTGGTTGTTAAGGATAGAAACTCCTTAACCATACATTTATAACATTTTCGCAACAATTTTCTTCTCATTACCAATTACAACTTGATTCCAAGTTTCAACAAGCAAGAAACAGGAAGTTCAAGCATCAACTATATCATGGCTTGCTGAAGCAAGATTCTTCAGAAAACAAAGTTTTTATTTTGATATATTTTTCTTCCTCTAATTTTTATTAAATAAGAAAAAAAAGGTTTTTATTTGCTTTCTTTCTTCTGGGGGAGGGAGAGAATGATATGGGTCTTTCACGTGTGACATTGATGAGATGATGACTACAAATTATATACCACTAGAAGAAGAAAAATATAACAAGAGAAAAATGCGTAACCTTTGATTTCTTTCTCTGAAAATTTGGGAGAAAGCAACAGGATCTTCCACATTTTGTATTTTGGGATCATCAATTTTATTTTTTTATAATTCCTTTTAAGACTTGGCTTGTCTTCTTCAACAAAGCAGCAGAGTATATCCAGGTAAATTCTCTAACCTTTCTTTACTTCTCTTTCAAACTCCTGATTTTTGTTTTTCTCTGGATGTTGCTTACATCTCCATGATTGCATGCATAGCCATAAATTCAGAACATGATGAGATCTTCATGTTTTTTAGCAATAATATGGACCCTGCTCTGTTTCAATTGTTTTTGAATCTTTTTTGAATTTCAGACATTTCCTCCATTATTAGTTAAGTTCTTTCTTGTAATAAGATGGAAATTGTTAAAGGACCCGTTTTGAAGAAGAATGAAAAACTCCAAGTTTTTGTTTAATCTGAAGGTTCCTGGCTGCTGCTGCTGCTTCTATGACCTGATCACAAGAAAAGGGACTATGGAACTCAACTGATCCAAGAATAACACTCCATTGATACATTTCGATGGAGAATTATCCGGAAACTCCGTTTCTTCCCGGTAATGCAATCATCCACATGAATCCTACAGTTTCTTACTCTGACGAATTAGCCGGTAGAGAAAGAACTGAAGCTAGCAATGTATCAGCTTCACAAGAGAGGCAAGTGTTGTCCAGATTTGGCGGAATTTCGCAAATGCAGGACATTCAAGATTTCGGTTCTTGGAGAGACCAAGCGATGGCAGGAACTACTGGAGTTCTTCAGACCGGTCAGGGACTGTCCCTTAGTCTCGGTTCACAGATTCTCCCTGGAATTCATCAGATGAGCCATCAAAGTATGGAGCCAAGAGCCGAAAATTTTAGAGGCAATGAATATACAACGCAGAGCTTTCCCGGTGGGAATCAGAACTTGGATGCAGTGAGAACAATTCCCAATTCAAAGTATCTCAAGGCGGCTCAACAGCTTCTAGATGAGGCTGTTAATGTAAAGAAAGCTCTGAAGCAGTTTCAGGCAGAGGGAGATAAGAACAACGAGAACCCTCAAAAACCGGATCAGAACCTTCAAGACTCGAGCACGAATCCTCCCCCTGAAATCTCTCAATCGGAGAGACAAGAAATGCAGAGCAAGTTAACAAAACTCTTGTCAATGTTGGATGAGGTAATGAACATGAAACCTTTCTTAACGAGACAATTTAATATGGATTAGCGTTTAAAACAAACATAACCATGATGATGAATCATATGGTATATATAATTAATTAATTAAGTTGGATTTTTGTATTTGATTTTGGAAAAGGTGGATAGAAGATATAAGCAATATTACCAGCAGATGCAGATAGTAGTATCCTCTTTCGATGTAATAGCAGGTTCTGGAGCTGCTAAGCCATACACGGCACTCGCTCTTCAAACCATTTCACGCCATTTCCGTAGCCTAAGAGATGCAATATCAGGACAAATCCTCGAGACAAGAAAATGCCTCGGTGAACAAGATGGATCAGATGGGAACAGAGTTGGGATAATAAGCCGACTTAAGTACGTTGATCAACATTTAAGACAACAAAGAGGTTTTATGCAACCTCAAGCTTGGAGGCCTCAACGTGGTTTACCTGAAAACTCTGTTTTGATTCTCCGTGCTTGGCTCTTCGAGCATTTTCTTCACCCGTAAGTATCTTTTGAATCTTTTTATTCCACTAAAATCCTTCACAAAAAAAATGCTGATTACCGTTTGGAATCATGAATAGGTACCCAAAGGATTCGGACAAGATCATGCTAGCAAGACAAACAGGGCTTAGCCGTGGTCAGGTACCAAATGCTTTATATGAAGATTGTTTCTTTATCTTCATAGTTTATTTATTGAGCGATTGGTTGTTGTGTGTTTGTAAAAAGGTCTCAAACTGGTTTATAAATGCTCGTGTGCGTTTATGGAAGCCGATGGTTGAGGAAATATATAAGGAGGAATTCACAGAGAATGATTCCAACTCGTCCTCTGAAAATACACCAAAAATGTCTGAGATAGGACCTGGTGCTGCTGATGATGAAGATCGAACTCAAGATTTTGCACAAGACCGGAACAAACCGGATCATGGACATGGTTATGGTGTGGAAACTTGTGGCATGGTTCAGGGCGATCAAATGGATGGTCGGCGGTTCGTGACGGTTGAGCCTACGTATCATGTGGCTGAGATGTCAAGATTTGGTGGTGGTAGTGGTGTGTCTTTGACTCTAGGACTTCAAAACTCTCAAGGGCATGATAATGTTGTGGCAATGTCTAGTGAGGCGTATAACAACTTTTCCGGAGTGGATATTTACGAGAAGGCCATCGTGGGAGCTGAACTCGAATATGTAAACCCTGTGAGTCGCCAGAACCGGATAGGTTCTTCACAGTTGGTACATGATTTTGTAGCTTGAAGCAATGCAGAGGAATAAAGAGTAGGTGTGAGTGATGATATGATCAGTCTCAATTCTCTAGTGGAAGGAAGTTGGTCAGAGAAAAAGATTTAGAAATATTTGTATAAAGAAAACATTCTTTTGTGTAAGAAAATATAAGTGAGGTTTGGTCTATTGGAGCAATCACTAAACACATTATGTGAAGTGAAATTTGAGATCTGTAAGAGATGAACATTTATCCTGGTTTCCTGTAATAAAACGCACGCAGTACGATTTGTTGGTTTATAAGTAGACTAAATATTAAAAAAATACTTTTATATCTAAATCCATTTTTCCATTTTTTTTTTGAGGGGATGAACATATAATCCGTTTCAGAATTTATCGAATACTGTTTTCGACCAAAATTTTTAAAAATATCCATATAAAAAAAAATTTGTATGTTAAAAAAGTCAAATCTCTAATTAAATAAAATACTGGGTTTTGTAAAAAAAATTGATGATAAGTATACGGCTATATCAAAGATGACTATTTTGGTGTATCATAATGAAGACGATATACTCCTTGGTTTGTGTTTTTTTCTTACAACAATTACAATCATGAGATTTGAAAATGAACTCTAGTGGAAGCCTCCAAAAACAGTTGAAAATACTTTTTGATTTTTTTTTTAGTAGTAAATGAATGTAGCTCGTTATTGCATCATCATCCATTTATTGCGTAATTACCAAACCATAGATTGTAGTGATGAAGTGACGACATGCACGATTCACCAAACTCACACTTCTATTAGCAAAGACTATAGAATCGTTTGCTAGATAACATATCTTCAAACTTATATGATAACTGGATTATCATTTAAACTTATTGCAATGTTAGTCTTTAGGTATATATATATTATACATCTCACAAAGTCGGCATCTATATATATATATAGTCGATCCATGATATGATCAGTTGGGAATGAGCTTGAAAGGAGGCCTCACGAGCTTTGGTTTAGGACTGAAGTGACCATAGTCTCTTGAATTCATTCTCAGAATTCTCTCATGTTCATGTATTCTTCTTTCCACCACCTGTCCACATATAGAGCATATTTATTTACCAACATATATCATTCTAATTATTATTGAAATCCAAGCATCTAATTAATTCTTGAAATTCGTGTTACTTTGCTTTACAAATATTATCTATAAATATACAACGCAGCTTAGTTGGCGACTTTTGGGGGTTAAAACGACTAACCTCATGATTATCGTCTTGGCTATAGATCAGAATTGATGGTCGTCCTACAAAAAAGAAGAAGAAGAAGAGATTTGTTTGTTCTTCATATCCAAGATTTAATCACTCCAAATAATTAATGCTAACATACTATGTCTAAAAATCGGCCATTAAGTGTTTATAAAAGCACATGTGCAGCACAAGTTCTTAGTGTTATATAATCTTACTTTCTAAAAGAGTCACATGAAGTTGCGGAGAAAAGCTGCAAACAAAGGATATATATGTAGAGAGAGAGAGACAGAGAGGTAAGAAATAAACCTGCAGAAGATAGAGCAAACGCTGAAGCTGAAACAAGAAGAAAGATGAAACCTAGTTTCTTCACCAATGGCAATAAACCCATCTTCTTCTCCTTTCAATTTTTTCTCTATTAATTAGCAACGTTAATGAAAGTGTTTGATGCGCTCTTAAGCTATATCTTGTGGATGTAGATACACCTTATCAAAAAAGAAGCTCATTCGTTAGGTTTATCACTATATATAATCTCTAAGGAAATAACACCATTACAAGTTAACTCTCATTCGCTTTAAATAAACAAAAAGTAGGTATTACAATACCATTAGTTTTGTGTTTATAATGAGATTGTACCCAAATTATAAATCATTAAAAATACTATTACGAATTTGATTTATCTATCACTTAATTAATGCAAATATCTCTTAATGCTTTTTGGTTTTATTTATTCATTGCTCATGAAAATGGTGGGATTAGAGAAAAAGTTGAAAGGAGACCACTTTCCTGTTGTTGGCCACAATAAGTCTAAAGAAGTTAGTGGCTTGATTATATAATACGAGTGGTTTATTATTTGATTTGTAGAAAAAAAAACTACAATCATAACTCCATTACCAAACCATCATAATGGTAGAATCCTTGAAGACTAGATACTCATTATAGGTCAAAGATCTATTCTTATTCTCCAACCAAGAGGAATCGCTAAACATAACCAGCTGGATAAATAGAATGGTACGATCCTCTGTTAATTGATAGTTTGATACATATAATATAAACAGTTGTGCTACTTCAATTATTTTTAATACAAACAACTTTCTCTATTCCATATACGTCAAACTTAAATGGATTGTTGATTGTGACTATGGAAAAGAGAAAGTTGTTTTGTTTGAAATTTGATTTGATGAACTAATTCGTCACAATTTATAACTTAAATGGATTGCTAATCAATTGAGATCATGAGAACAAAGTTGTTTGAACTTTGCTTTAATGAACTGATTCTTCACTATAAATTATTTTCGACGTATTGTCTTGTGGTTTCACTTAAAATAAGATGTAAAGATGATGTAGTGGATGGTGACCGTACTCTCACGATTCTGAATTTAAGCTTTATTTTGTCACAAATACTTTATTAAGCTTAGTAGGAGCGCATGGATACACACAACAAACCCATGACTTATTTCCAAGAAGGAACAAAACCCGTATAACTATTTTTTTGATTGAAGAGTTTGACTGATAAAAACGTGTTTTCAAAAATATCTGATTTATTAATTTTAGTAAAATGATATTTTAGTAAAATGATTTATCTGATTTGTTAATTTTACTTGCAGGGAGAAATTGACCCTCACAACAACTTAACTTTAAGCCATCACACCAAGTTGGAAAAGTACCATCACAATACAGTGTAAAGCTGTTGGGCCGGCTAAACTCTTTAAATGGCCCATAAATGGTTAGTTATTGACGCATCGGCTTAGTACTAACTACACTTGTAATAGACACATTAAAATCAAACATGTTGTCGATCCGCATTAACATATAACTCGGGCCTATGTTTGACCTTTGAGAGTTAAATATATGGGCTTTCCTCATTTGTAAGATGTTGAGCCTTTTAATTAATTAGCTTTCACTTTCACATACCTTTCATAAGGTTTCAAAGGCTTATAGGTTTTATGGAACGAAACCTCGTAACATAAAGTATAGATGAAACTTTCGAAAAGCTGTTTGATTCCTCAATTGTATGTTCGTGTATAAATACACGTGTGTGAAGTTTTAACTTAATTACGAGCATAATTCAACATTTAGACTAAATTGTACCGAAATTTTCTGAACCCAAACATCTGTTTGTTAGATCCGATGAAGCATAAATAATTGCACATGTAAAAGAAAATTTAACTGTGTATCGTTGGCTATGTCTTTTGATTTCCTAGTACATACATGTCAATTTCTCAAGGTAGGATATAATTTGAATGGGTATTCATTTGAAATACTATAAGTTAGCCGCCTCTGCTTTTCTTTTCTCATCATGGAATTGTTTGGAGTTGTTTGACCCAAAAAAAAAATACGGAATTGTTTGGATTTTTTTTTTCTTTTTTTCTTTTTGTTTTTTCGGGGAGCGTTATGAAGTTTTATATTGATTAGTTCATTTCTACGGAATTTTTTTTGCTAATACATTTATAGAGACTTTTCACAGCTATGTAGTCTTTATTCTTTGTCTATATTCAATAATTTACTATAGCAATTCTCTAAATTTCGCATCATATATAGCTCATTTTTAGGTTTTAATCGAATATTAGTCAATCATTATGAGCCATGTCTCCTTAATGCTTATTGTTTTTTTTCAAGCTATGCACTAGTTCATCATCGATGTTTCCAACATTAAATTTGTAAAAGTAATATCAAATATTTGTAAAAGTACCATCAAAATATTTGTATTTATTTGCCAAATTCTAGATTTCCCCTCTTTTATTTGCTTTGAACCTTTTACACAGAAAGCACCGACTTCTTCCCATTATTGGCGTTTGAAAAAACTGACTGTAGTCCCTAACTGTACGGTTGTTTATTGCTTATATATATAAAGTAAATAATATATATTCCCTTTGTTCATAATGATTCATTTAATTTTTATTTTTCCAATACTAAAAATATTATTTATAATTAATTTAAATATCATTCAGCCAATAAAAATATAATCTGCAGAATATAAAAGGTCAAAAACTATAAAAATTCATTAAATTTTGCATTGAAAAGTGAAAACATCAAATAATTCTGAACAAAAAAAAACCTTCTAAAACATCAAATAATTCTGAACAGAAGGAGTATTATATTGTAAATAAATTTTCAACTAGGAATATATTATTTAAATTCTATCAATACATTCGGTAAATTTTTTATTAGTTGTACATAAGAAAGAAAGTATTGTATGTCGTATTCTATTTATCATTTGAGCGACTATTAACTGGATTTTCTTAATCATTTTATTCGGAATATGAAACGTTAGAATTTCTTTGGTAATTATATTTTGCTGTTGTTTTAATATCTGTTTATTGATACTAATATCTATATAACATGATGTGCCGTGATATCACATTCGTAACATATCAAAACAATGTAACGGAAAAAAACCACCTTCGTAACATGACTGAAATTAAGGTCAATTGTTGGGGCTTATTAAATAGGACTAATCAAGATTGGGAAAGTCGCTTACGGAACTCAGGTGACATTTTTCCCTAATTTAACATACTAATTAGATAACGACATATTATGATTTGAACAACCTTATAGTCTTTTGCATTTTACGTGGGTATAATACAACAACAAAAATGACACTAGCTGACAAAACACTATATTACGTTTCGCCTGTGAGCTGTAACAACTAGAAACGTTTTTAATCATCTCTTTATTTTGGAAGAAATAGATATATACTTTAATTAATCGTTTGCCTAATTAATCAACGCATATATCTTGCAAACTGACGGAATCTTCAAGGATATCCGGTGACATTCGTGTAAACCATTTGGTGTATTATATATACTGTATAATGTAAATAAAAAATGAAGCTGTTTGACAAATTATAATTTCATCTATGAAATAAGATCGGTAAATAATGGAACTGAAGCTTCAAAATGTTAGGGCTTTGAGTAGAGTAAAATTAAATCGAGTTTAATTAGGCCTAAACCAACCCACCATCTCTGTTACCAAAATACATCTTCGAGACCCACGAGTCCACGACCGTCTTGAGGATCGTCTAATCCTCAGTTTGATAGGTTTTTTTTGTACGCACGTAATCTAGTTTTATAAACTAGAAAATCATATTACTCTACAAATATGGATCGGAGAAGTATCGCGTGCAATAATTAAGATGTTGATCTATGGAAAATAGGACGGTGACGACAGAATTTAGTTTAAGAAGTTGGCAAGTGTAGCAAATTGGCTGAATTGAATGTTAGATTAAAAATAACTATGTGATATTAAAAAAATCTTATTGTATATTAAAAAAAATAATGATAATTTATCGTTACTATATTTACAGGTTGATCATGCATTTACTTTACCTCATTGGCTCATACCATACAATCCTAAAGAGAGAAAAATAGCATCGGATCAAAGCTATGCATCGAGTCGAGATGCGTGTTTTTGTATGATTATATACATCTATAGGTTTTTAGATGTATAGCACTGTATTATATACATAAACCAATGATTAGATGTATAAAACCATAGTAATTGTTCATTAGATGTATTATGTATAGCATGGTATTGTGTATAATATGTATACATAAACCAACTGATAATGAATTATTAGTAAGATTTAAGAACTAAATATATTTGTTCAGGTAGATCTAAGAGAACGAATGTTATGAAATAATTTGATTAGGAGGTCTACTATAAAGTCGTTAAATCATCATGTGTTTTTAGGTCAAGTATCGGCAAATATTGTTCCCTGCACATGACATTTTGCCATAATTGATTACGACTTAATTATTATGTTATCTAATTTTGTAATAACTGCTATTGTGAAATGTGAATCAAATAATGTAGAGCATACCGTTACGAAAATCATTACATCAATTTACGCCTTTACTTAACTTACGTTTTGGGTTATATCATCTTCAAAAAAATACAAAAACTAAGCAATAATTACATATACTTTAAATGTTGTTTTAGTAGCCTAGATGAATATCAGAATATGCAAATGTTTAAAAAGTATATATATCAGAATATCCTTCTTCTTTTTTATTCTCTCGCGTCTCGACACATGAACGATACTCTGATGAAGGAATACTAGACTTGAAATAAAGGAAGAAAATATTGCAATTATGAAATAGAAGACTCTTTTATATAAAAATAAAAGGAGGCTTCTATTTGTAATATTCATGAATGAACCATCCGTGATGAATGGATATAAAACAAACTACGCAGCATCTAAAAGTATAATACTGTCAGGAAAAGTGTAGAATAGGATTCTCCATTATGACTCACGATGTAATATAACCATTATTTTGTGATGTACTGGTGTATAATATGGCTTGAAATTAAAAATACAAAAACAAAACTGAGATAAGAAATCAAAGAATGAGATGTGTAAAAGCAAAGAATACCGATGCTAGGATATTTCACCTATAAGCAGTCTACTAGACATCAAAACCTCCCAAATTCACCCTTAGATTTGAGTGATCTCCATACATTCAAATTATTCTATTAAACACCTTGTATGTTTTCTTTTGTTGCACAGGTTAAAAGAACTATAGATTTCTTCTTCACCAATTCAACACCACCAAAATTAATAGTAATACTAATAATATATATATATATATATATCTAATCAATATACAACATAACAACCCTCAATTCATCTAGATTCTTTTAACTTGTAGATTTTGTAAGTTTTTTATGAGCGTCTCCAAAACTATAAGTTGACATGGAGATATCCACACTTTTGTACATTAGTGACATGATTATAAAAATATCACTTGCATCCTTTCTATAAGTTAATAAGTGCATGTGAGAGGCGACAAGAACATATAAAAAATTGCATGTAGTGTATACGCTATTTCATTAATTACAAGATTATATAGAGAATGCAAGTGATATTTTGGTCTATACACGCTAAAACCTTGCCACTTTTCAATTAGATTTTTACCAGTTGATTGTTTGCTTTAATAATGATAGTCTGAAACTATATGGGATAGTACTTAAAGATATTAAAAAGCATACTACAATATTAAGAAAACACTTTGTACTCATGCGGCAACAGAGCCTTTATTACAAATACACTCATAACGATGCTTTTAATACCTAACGCCAAAGACCGAACAAAGCAAAATAAAAATAAAAATGAAAATGGAACAATCAAACAACATACCCATTTATACATATCTCTCTCTCTCTAATCTCTAGACATGTCTTAAAATCAGACAAAAAAACGGCACCATTTTTGTGATTTCGAGGTTCTTGAGGTCCACATTTCTAATACAGTAACGCATCAGAAGAGGCCATGAGAGGCTGGTTCATATAACACATGTTCATATTCATCTGATTCGCGAGGAAATCATCAGTCTCTGGACCAGTCAGAGGGTTTGAACAAATCCCGTTGGTGTTGATGTCGAGAAAATCGATGATGTCGTTGAGAGATTCGAGCCTGTGGCTGAGTTCGTCGAGCTGAGCTCGGAGAACAGAGTTCTCTGCTTCGACGGTGAGGTAGTGCTGCGTCGTGATGCTGACACTTGTCACGATCTCGCTGTTCTCTTTTTTAAGCTGATTAACCTGAGCCGTTAGATCGTCGAGGAGTTTCTGTTTCTTCATCCTCGATCTCCTCGCTGATTCACGGTTCGAGAGCATCCTCTTCCGTTTCCTCTGTTCCATGAGATTCTCCTCCGATCCCGACGATGTTTGAATCGTCGACGAAGTTGTTCCCGACGACGACGATTCCATTCAGTGACACACAAACAAACACAGAAGCCTTTTTTACCAGAAGAGAGATAATATTAAAAATGAGATCTTTTAGTGGAACTTAAAAACAGGACAGGACCCAGATCGATGACGAACACGAAGAAGAAACAAAAGAAAGATTTTTTTTTACTTTATTTTAAAAACTAGGGTTTTAATTATGCGTATATATATATGGAAGATTAATATTGGAGAATTTCAGAAATCACGAGACGTAGTAAAGCCAGTAAAGGAAGACAACAGAGAAAGATTGAACGAGATGGGTCCTGCGCCTGATTGTAGAGTTTAACATAAACCCAGAGAGGAAGATTTCACTGAGTATAATCGGAGACATGTGTCTCAAACACCAAGAACTGCTGATTAAGCATCAAGGTTTTTTCGAATTTTTTTTGATAGATTATTCCCACAAAAGCTGAGATCTTTACAATTGAATCTGGAAGGAAAATGAAATCAGGAGAATAAGGAAGGCGATATCTTTGAAAGGGGAGAGAGGAAAAGAGAGAAGGAGAGAAGGGGAGGGCTCTAAATGATTTAGGAGAATGAATTTATAGAAGAAAATTCAAGAAAAGCGTTCATGTGTTTGTGCAACTTGACAAGGAGCGATACATTTGTTTGGATTCCATTTGGGAAGAAGATTCTTTATTTATTTATTACGTATTTTAGTTTTTGGAAACATTTTTTCCTTGCCCTTTAAAAAAGTTAATAAAGGAGTATTTTTCACAAAATGTCGTTATAACATTTTTCACACAAATTAAGAAATAAAATAAAAAATTTTTTATATCCTTATTAATTTACAGAAAATGACTCTTAGAATTATATTTATAATTAATTTTTTGAATTTATTGAGGTTAAAAATGGTATTTTATGTTAAAAATTACATTGGAATTCTAAAACGACATTCTTTTTGAAAAAAAAAAATGTCAAAATGACACTTTTTGTGAAACGGAGAAAGTATATGAATAAATATTTTATAATTTAAAGAGAAGTTGGAAAGAAACTTATCAAAAAAAATTCAACAAAAATAATTTTGAATGACGTGTTGTTGCAAACTTACATTGAGAAAGTTATTGTTTTTTTTTTAAATAGCACTTACAGAACTATCATTTCGTTAATTTTTCATAACATTTTTCTTCATTATCTTACTATTGAAAAATACAAAACGTTTAATATAAATATTTTATCATGCGTTAATTAGTAAGATATCATAAATCACGTATTTATTATGGATTCCAAAAATGATGAACCATTCTTTTTTTTTGTCGACAATGATGAACCATTCTAAGAACTTAAATTTTGTTTCTAAAAAATCATGAATAATTAATATTTGAATCATTTTTGTATTTAAACTTGCCTAACTTTTTTCAACAACTGTGTGTCTTAGGAGGAAAGAAAATAAAATAACAAAGTGCAGATTCTTTTTCATAGAAGTAAAAATCAAGCCCCGGGAAAAAAACAGTAATTTAGTTGTTTGTTGAAATTTCTAAAGTAACTCACATATTGATGTACCGACAAAAAGAAAAGAAAAACAATAATATTCGTAGAATGTACTACATATAAATGAATAAATAAAAAAACCAATGAATTCAGATTCTGTCTGGAAAATCTATGAAATGCATTTAATTGAATTAGATACCACCAACACTAAATAAAATAGCACAAATGTAAAATAAACAAATAAAACGCCTGGAAAAAAAATTAGATACAGAAAGGAATCTGTGCTTAGAGTAAAAATGAGAAGAACATGTGTAAGTAGGCAGCAGAAGAAGAAAAAGGTGAGAGGGACATGTGAGGTTGGGAAGAGAAGTCTCCAGACTCAACACAGCTGTTTCTTTTCTTATTCTTCCTTAAACTTATTGTTTCCTAATTTTTATTCTTCTTATAATTATTCTCCAGATTTTTAAAAAACCTTATACGTATTAATTCATCATTCTAATGCTTATAGGATGGCAGATTTTGATAGTACTAAATACTAAAATTTCTCGACATCTTTACAACTTTATTTAGTGTTGGAGTATTGGAGAATATATTAGACTTACAACCAGTAAAGTACTTGTAGCGTAGTGATGATTTAGTATATGCTTATTAATATATTTCCACCGTCTAAATCGTAACTGCTTAAATTTTCAAATCATAATTGAAATTACAAAATTATTACTAGAGTACTTTTAGAATTGTCTTACAAAAAAACTCAGTTTACGATCAAATCATTACCATTACTTTTTCTAAATAACTTTTTTGGGAAAGTGTGGAAGAGATCCACTGATCCAGCTCACTTCCCAAAAACGATGCATGAATTTCACCAAACACCTAGATGCTTTTTAGTCTACAACAGTGTGAAAAAAGTAAATAAAGCAAAACAAAAGATGCAGTATACTTTTACTTTTACCTACCATAAAACGAAATATGTGTAACACATTAAGGTGCCTTAAAATTGAAAGTAATACTTATCATTGATGACATTGATGTTACTCTAAATTTGACAAACGTCTCTCCAAAATCCTCAAAAAGAATCTGAGGAAGTACATGTGTGTCCATTTATTACACGTTCACGGGCTCACTTGATTACAATTTTGATTTACGTTTAAATTGAATATTTTAATCCCAAAGTACAATTATTATTTTCACAGTAGCTAGTGACCTTGGAAGAACATATTTTTGGCCTTTGAATGAAACAAACGGTCTGAAGCATTTTATATGATAATCTGTTTTTTTTCTTCCTGAATTCCTTTCTGCATATATTTTTTGTGGTTTTATTCCTTGTGTATTTCGCTATCTCTAACAATCAAAATCCTCAATAATTACCGTATAAAGCATGGAGATAGAGAGCCATATTAGTAGAAATCCATTGATTTGGTTGACATGCCAACACGTGTTCCCTTTTAATGATGTCGCTAGAAACCAAATGCGTTTGGCAACAAAATTGGTTTTGAGATATCTATTTTCATAATATATCGACGGACATGGTGTTTTACTTGTTATAAGGAAATATAAACATTTGTAAGAAAAAAAAAAGTATATGGTTGCAAGAAAAATATGATCCGTAGATATCATGGAAGGTACATACAATCTTTGAGTGGGGACTACTACCAAAAGAAAGACAAATGAAAGAGAGAGGACCAAAGGAAGTAATAAAGGCAAAGGCAAAAAAAGGAAACAAAAATCAAATTTTTGTTCTATCTTTTACAATCACATGACCAAACAACGAACCCTACATCTTTTTTTTTTTCAAAAAAAATATTAAACAACAAACCCTACATCTTTAATTAATCACATTCAATTTACCAATATATGATTTTGGGACTAATATGTTACAGGTTTGATATAATACAAAGCCAATCAAACGTATATATTATCCTTTGATCTCGTGGATATATAAAATTACAGGAATGTCAAAGAGAAAGTAAAATACACACACACACACAAACGATGTCAGAGGCAAAAAGACACAAATAGTTTTACTTCAGATAAATGTACAAGTCTGTTGCTTTTAAGATGAATCTATTCCTCATTTGAAACAAAATCAAAAACAAATTACATCAATTTGACTCATCCCCTTGCTTTATGATCTCATCTTCTCCTCTTTCACCTCTTTAGAACCCGAAAAACTGGAAAGATGTAAAACTGTTATTATATATGTACATCTTGGGATCTTGTCAATGTTAAAATAATAAGTGGTGTTTAAGAATGTTTGGTTCTTACCAGCTTTTTCTTCTTCTTCTTTTTCTCAATGTATGCCAAAATCTCCTTTTGGCTGACAAGAGCTTCTTCCAAAGCCTAAACCGAGAAAATAAAAAAAATTATCAGATTCTAAGGTTAAAAGTAATCATATTTATTTTTCCTTGAACATTTATAGTAGTTTAAGGTTTGTTTTACCTTCTTGGTCTCAGTCAACTCTTGCTCAAGTACTTGAACACGGTTAAGCGCGGCCTGAAGTTTCTCCTCTTTTTCAGATTCAACATTAGCCGGTTTCAAGTCAAGGAACATGCACTTGTCTTCCAGCTCAGCCATACGTTTCACCATCAACATATACTCAGCGCTCGAGACAGGTGCTGCAAATTGCGCTTGATTCTGCTTAGACATAGATTCCTCATAACAAACTGAGTTTCCATATAAAGCAGCCTCAGTGAGTTTGCGTGGAACGTCTTTTGATAGCCTAACCATTGCAACAATGCCCATCACAAAGGCCATGACCCCTCCCACAAGTAATCCATCCCCTTTCTTCGGTGCCCCCTTCCTCACGTAGCACTCTAACCCTAGAGAGACTTTAGTGCGTGCAGAAGAAGAAGTAATTTTGTTGAAACGGAGCTGAAAATTGGAATGTATATGTATATACCTTTAGAGATAGGAAAGTTTTCGGTTTTCTGAGTTTTTGCAGGCCATGCCATATCCATGGACTTGTCAATGGTTGTAATTTGCTTCTCATACGCATTGTCTTCGTCCCTCTTCTTATTGGTTCTCTCAAGACTCTGGGGCGTTAATGGAGAATGTCAGTATAAGCTTACCCTAGAGTACTAATTAGCTGATTTAAGTTCTTAACTTACTTCAAGAACTGACGTTGATCTTCCTTGGTCAACATGCTTCTGTTCATCTTCTGAAATTGGCGAGCACTTCGCTTCGCGGTTTATAGCCATCTGCTTCCATTTAAAATAGGTTTTAGTATGTATCGGAGTCAAGAAACTAGTTTCATTTAATAGAGATTAGTTTCTAATTAAAGAATATGTAAATTTAATCACCTTGAGAACCTCAGGATCATTCCATGGACCTTTGTCAGAGCGCATACAGCCTCCTTTGTCTTCACAAGTGCAAGCGCCTCCAAAGAACTCTGGCAACTCACTGTTTACAATGCAAAACGTCTAATGGATTTTCGAGTTTCAAAAGCGAAGCTGAATATATATATTTGATGATTCCAGAGATGCGTGAGCTTACCTAGCATCGATGACTTCGAGCAATTTGCTATGATATTTGTTCCCAAGAACATGAATCTTTGCTGTGGTCTTCGGATCAAGAAACGACTTAACCGTGCTCCACAAGAGCCGGAATCCAGAACCCGCATTGATGATGAACATCCGGTTCAATGTCTACAAGAAAATACGTCGGTCAATGTCTACAAGAAAATACGGAACTGAACAATTTTAAGACTTGATTTATTTACGTTTGTTTTTGTTTTTACATTTAGTATGCAACTTTTTCAAAAACTATAACATATTTACCCTTTAAACAACAAACTTATTTGTCACTGTAAACGCAAAACGAAAGGTTTGGAAAAATAATTTAGGTTTTAAAATCTGAAAATTCCTTTCGTATTTTTGTTCACGTTCACATCATGTAAACATAGCACTCGCATATAAACTAGATTACGAAACAAGTGATGTTTAGATAAAATGATATTTGAAAAGATGAGATATTAATGACTGAGATCAAACTATGTATACCTCTGGATAATTGTCATTGTCAATCTTGAGAAGCCTCTGTAGAAGCTCTCTCGCGGATTTGCTGAAGTTCTTAAGCCCCTAATCACTCGGAAAACGCACACATATAGTTTTAGACAATATAACAATTTTGAAAAATCTTCTTTTTTTGTATTCAAAGACATGGAGGATGGATCTATCGTATACATACCACGCCTTGCACGTCAAGAATAGTTGTGCTCTGGTCAATGTGCTTATGGGCTGCGACAGAACAAGAAGGGAACTTGATCTTGAAAGTCTTCTCGAACTCTTTGACATGATATTTCACGTACCGGTCCATTGTTGTCACTTGAAGCAGCTTGTTAGCATCGATTTGACCTAGTCTCTCAATATAAACCGGCCTTCCTTCCTTGTCCACTCCATGATAGCCTTGAGGGTAATGCTTCATGACATCATCGATCTCTTCAAACTCAAAATCCTTCATCATTATTACAAACATATACATTATACACTTGTCAAAAGAATATTCTCCAATATGAAATGAAAGTAGGGTCCAAAATGTTCCGAGAATTTAATTATGAAAGAGATTCACCTCGATGATCGTGTCAGCGCCGAATTCTTTCCTCCATTGAATCATGTCACCCCACATTTGTTTAGCTTTCTCAATGTCGAACTTTCTTGCCCTCAGGAATCTGTTTCATGTCCAACATAAAAATTTAAATCTTCTGAATGAAACTCCATGTTTCCTGATCATGAATTCACGACAACAAGATCATTCAAATAAGAGGGATCATGAACCACAATATCAAATTTAAATATATTTAGAGGTTTATACTTACTTTTTTTTTTCATTTTCTCAACTGGGTTTAGTACTTGTTATACTGTATAAAATGTTTTCCTATGATTAAAGTGTATGAGAATTTATTTATAGTCCTAAACTAACCCAAACGGAGGGGTTGACTAACGGCGCCTAGTGGTTAGTCTCTATCCACCTCTTAAATCTATGCTATGGATCCAATCCCAACCTATCACTGGTCTAAAATGTCGTCGTGAACAAAAAATAACTAACGATTGTAGGAAAGACTCTTTCGAAATATAGACCTATTATCAAATTATATTTTATTTTTCTTTTCAGACTTTTCCCCAAAATACTGTACATCGATTGTTCTAAGAAATTGAAATAAGATTTTATAAAGAAATATTTATAATCAAATGTTCTGCATATGTAAATAATTATGAAAATAAAAAGAAAAAAAATTCGTCATAAAATAATAAATACATGGCTATCTAATATTTGTTGTATGAGCCAGATTTGGATATTTATATCCAGTTTGAACTTTTTTTTCCCAGGAAGCCTAGTCCAACCAAGCTTATCAGGTTTATAATTTCTCATATCATGATTGGTCACGCAATTACTCTTGTTATTATATGGTAATAAATTAAGAGAGATTTAATGATTGGTCAAGCAATTAATTAATCTCATAATTATGGAAAGAAATTAAGAGAGATTGACTGGTAAAGGTTAAAGAAAAAAAAATGTATACCGACCGAAGCATCATATGGAGATCATCGAGGTTGGAAGGCAAGAGCTCATCAAGGACAAGAGCTTGACGAAAAGCATCTAGAGCTTGAAGGTCTTCTGCGTCTATGTCGTCCTCAATCGGTACGGACATGACTCTGCTGCTGCTTCTTCGACCCTTTTTCTTGAATGAGTTCTTGAATCTGTTCGATGCGCTTATCGCTTTCTTCTTCAACGAACACATCTTCACGATCTTCCTCTCCTCCTCCGACATCTCTATTTCTGATTAATAAATTTCAATTTGCATTAGTCTTAAGAAATACATACATGAATTAAGGCAATCTATGATTGAGAAATTACAAGTAACCTGGTTTGGTCTCAGCCATGGTTATATGACTTTTAAAGCACTCTCTGTTTCGCACGGCAATTGGATACCTACCAAGACATAAGTGTGAAGATCATTTTAAAAAATCTAGATGAAAATGTATGAGTAATGTGAGATGAATCTAAAGAACCAAGATGAGTTATAAACCAAAAGGTGTTTTAGGATCCAAAAGATGAGAAAGATAGAGAGATGACTTGAGAGAGTTTTTTTTTAATTTTTTACCTTATCGGAGAAGAGTTTTTGAGAAGTGGTAAGGGAGGTTGAAGATAATGGAGAGGCTCATTTGAAACTACTTCACAACATGTAGACAACTCTTTGGATTCTGATTCTATCAACCTATATATTGACACGGTCCTAAGCTTTTTGAATATATCCATACCATTTAAAGAAGAAACAAATCTTACTCTATTTAAAAACTAATACTCCCTCTGTTCAGAATTATTTGATGTTTTAGAAGGTTTTTTTTGTTCAAAATTATTTGATGTTCTCACTTTTCAATGCAAAATTTAATGAATTTTTATAGTTTTTGACCTTTTATATTCTGCAGATTGTTTTCTTATTGGCTGAATGATATTTAAATGAATTATAAATAATATTTTTAGTATAGGAAAAATAAAAATTAAATGAATCCTTAAACTGTGTGCAAAATCCTTAAACATCAAATAATTCTGAACAGAGGGAGTAATAATAAGCAATACCTATTGAGCAACCAATAGGTAAATAAATTATATATGGAGAAAACCAAAATAAGTGAATATATTAAATATATGAATTTATAAGGATGTATTTGTATTAGGCGAAGTGCATCCCACTACTTGAACATTTTGTCGATGTTAAAAAATCTTGATGTCAACACAAAGTATCTCATGATATTGTTTTTATTTTGTAGTGGTCTGTTGTAGGAATACCCACAGTGAATTTGGTGAACAGGAAACAATAGGAACACCAAATAACATGTTTTGTTATTCAATAGTTTATCAACAATAACAAAGAATCTTATTAGCAACGAAAATTAATGGAATATATTCATATAGATAGTTCTATGTTTAAATAAAAATATATCCCATGACCACATGCCGATATTCCCCATAGACGGTGCTGAGATACATAATTGTTTCTGTCATATATGATATGTATCATTCACAATTATAGGTTCATGAAGGAATTATAAGTTTTAAGAAAGCTGGTCTATCACATTCTACAACAAGCCAAAAGTTCGATCTAAGAATAAGTGGCACATTATATGACAAACAATCTAAAATATTTAGATATTTAAATTATTCGTTTATAAAAATTAACACTTGGATCGTATGTTTCTCTATCCTCATGGTCATGGTCATTCAACAGAATGGGATCCAATTTTGTAGTAATAAACTGTTCTAGAGTTATCAAGGCCTTATTTAAGGCCCAGTTTAGGCCCAATATGTTATGTCTCGAACTCGAATCCATTATGTGGTCGAACGAGTTAGCGACTAGTGCCGTCGTCTCCCGCCGTTTGGATCCTCCCCGAAAGCTCCGAGCGGCAAATACGCGGCGTTTCACTCTCTCTACACTGTCTCAACCTCGGATTTCAAATCTCTTCTCTGAACCTGTCATGCACTCTATTCCGTCTTAAGGTTAGGAAATCTCAGGTTTTTTTAGTGAATCTGTTTTGCCTGTGTAAAAAAATCAATTTGAATGCTGAATTTGTATGCAATTATGAATGTGTAGATTCCACTCTGAATGCGGATTGAGTGAACTCAAATGAGGTTAGTTGTTGGAAATCATAAACAGCTGTTTGGTAATTGATTATAAGTATTCAGATTGTTTTATATTATTTACTAATTGATATGCAAAAATGCTTACTCTTATGAAGAGCATAGAATCTGTCATTGTTTTGGGGACTTATCCCATATTTAGACACTCTTATATGAGTTAGGTATTATTTCTTCTCCGTCTTCTTGTTCTTAACCGGTGCAAGAAGAAGCTTTCCCACTTGTAACTGATTTCGCCTTTGAAATCCTGTAATTTTGTTTTCTGAAATTATTGGTTTCTCTTTTTAGGTGTTTGCAAAACCCCACAAAGATTCTACCTTTTGCGTTTAAATCGGTCAGTGGTGAACTTGACTCTGTCGCATTTTACTTGTGTTTGTTCTATTGCCCTATTCTAGAGATATACAAGTGCTTAGGTTGTCGCGTATATATGAATTGTTGCATGTTTGCAATTACTCCTGTAACACGATTTTTAGAGGTGAAATTTTACTTGGTTCCCTTTAGAATGAAGTAGTTTTCTTGAAAGATGTAATTTTGTGATTGCATTAGATTGTTCTTCAGTTTATTTCGTGGATTCGAATATTTCTATTTCATCTTTGACGTATTTCATGGAGCTTTTGTTGCAATTTCATAGCTTGTTGACCTTCTCAACTTTTGTTTTTGTTCAATTTTCAGTCTTTGCTGCCTTTGTCTCAACGGTGCCTCTATAAATTTTCTCCCAAGCTATCACCATTAGCAAACATACTAAAGGTTTCGATCCTGACCATGTCAAGCAGTCTCAGTGGACATGTGACCATGGCTTCAGAGCCTCAGAGAACATACCAAGTTGTGGTAGCTGCGACCAAAGAAATGGGGATCGGTAAAGACGGAAAACTTCCCTGGAGTTTACCTGCTGATCTAAAATTCTTCAAGGATTTAACTCTGACCACCTCGGATTCCGCCAAGAAGAATGCTGTTGTAATGGGTAGGAAAACGTGGGAGTCTATTCCCACAAAGTATAAGCCACTCTCTGGTCGCCTCAACGTTGTCTTAACTCGTTCAAGCGGTTTCGATATAGCCAATGCTGAGAATGTTGTGACTTGCAGTAGCATTGACTCTGCTCTAGATTTGTTAGCTGCACCTCCGTATCGTCTGTCCATTGAGAAAGTGTTTGTAATAGGAGGTGGTGAGATATTGAGGTGTGTGTTCTGTACTCAAGACTCTTTATTTTTTTTCGTGATTCCCTTCTTCTTTGATCTTGTTGACGGTTTCTTTAATGTAGGGATTCGTTGAACCGACCGAGCTGTGACGCCATCCACTTAACTGAGATTGATACAAGTATTGACTGTGATACATTTATTCCCGCGATTGACACTTCTGCATATCAGCCTTGGTGTTCGTCTTCTCCAATATGTGAAAATGGACTTCGATTTTCCTTCACGACGTATGTTCGTGTGAAGAGTTCTTCTCCCGGTGAATCCTCTGACGAGAGTGATGCGTCAAAGGCCCTTCAAGTTGACTGGAAGAAGTTTTCTTTTCTCCTTCCTAAGAATATTTTTGATCGACATGAGGAATTTCTCTTTTTGAATCTGGTCGAAGAGATCTTCTCAAATGGAAACTTAAAGAATGATAGGACAGGGACTGGTACATTATCTAAATTCGGTTGCCAGGTGCTGTACTACCTCTTAAATATGTATGTCTTGTTCTTGTTTGCTTATTGAGGTGAAGTAATCACCACCACATCTTTGGATCCACAGATGACGTTTAATTTACGTAGGAGTTCCCACTTCTGACGACAAAGGTTGCTCACTTTTACGTTGAATTTACATGTTTAAACCCCCAAAAGAGTTTGCTTTGTCTTCCCTGCATCATATTCAAGCTTACAAGAACCTGTTTGCATTTCATATGCAGAGAGTTTTCTGGAGAGGTGTTGTTGAGGAACTTCTATGGTTCATAAGCGGTTCAACCAATGCAAAGGTAAGAAAACAGATTTTTATCACCATCTTCATTCCTTAAGCAACCGTGATTGAGCCACATTTGGTGCAAATGCGAATGAAAAATCTATTGGTTCTTGAGAAGCTTGTGTAAGTGGCAGGTACTTCAAGAAAAGGGTGTCCATATCTGGGATGGGAATGCGTCAAGAGCGTATCTTGATGGGTAAAGTCTAATCGACAATTTTCTTTTGAAAGTCGAAACTTTGTGGCCGTTACACTGATAAGTTGAAAACTTTTGATTTCAGTATTGGACTGACTGAGAGAGAGGAAGGTGACCTTGGACCCATTTATGGATTTCAATGGAGACACTTTGGTGCTAAGTCAGTAGCTTCTCTGTTATCTCTTGGTTTTTTTGACTTTTTGCAAATTTCTCTGCTTAGCCATTTCGTTAACCCTTTCTACAGGTACACAGATATGCATGCTGATTATACCGGGCAAGGATTTGATCAGCTGTTGGATGTAATCAACAAGATCAAGAACAATCCTGATGATCGACGGATTATAATGTCAGCTTGGAATCCTCCAGATCTTAAGCTGATGGCACTTCCTCCATGCCACATGTTTGCACAATTCTACGTTGCAAATGGAGAACTTTCATGTCAAATGTATCAGCGCTCAGCCGACATGGGTCTTGGTGTACCATTTAACATTGCCTCATACTCCCTTCTTACATGCATCCTCGCTCACGTTTGTGGTACGTTCACATTTCACCACAGAAAGAGCAATTTTGTTTATTTTGTCGACTCCGTCATCCATTTAAGTTGATACCATGCAGATCTTGTTCCTGGTAATTTTGTCCATGTGATTGGAGATGCTCATGTTTACAAAAACCATGTCAGGCCTCTGCAAGAGCAACTTGAGAACCCACCAAAACCTTTTCCTGTGAGTATATGTGGACACATGATCGATGATTCTTAATCTTGTTAGAGTTTGATGAATACATTATCTACTGGTAGTTCATTGCAAGAAAATTTTAATTTATCTTTGGGCTCTTTACAGGTTCTGAAGATAAATCCGGAGAAGAAACATATAGATTCTTTTGTGGCGGCTGATTTTGAGCTCATAGGCTATGATCCTCACAAGAAAATAGATATGAAGATGGCTGTTTAGCCCGAACCGTATCCAGACCACAACTTCTTTAACTTAATAATAACAAAATGAATGAAGTCTTTTATGTGATGATTTCGAACCTTTTGAAGATTTTGTTTTCTTTGGGTGATAATATGTTGAAGATGGAATTGATATGCATCCTGGTCTAATCCCAAAGTCAATTTTGTAGGTAGTTGGTTTGTATGCAAGAGAATAATTGATTGTGAGATTCTTCCCGGGGGAAATAAGAAACTTTTTCAAGTTTTTGTCTGTTTAGCAAAGGTTTAAAGTTTTTGTGCTTCTTGTGGGTCACGTTTCTTTAATTCGGACGTGTGAGATTTTCATATTATGATACTTAACTCTATCTATTGGTCTAATTTAGAATGAAAATCTTTAAAATATTTAGTGGAATGGAAGCATAAATAAAAGAAATTATTCCGATCTTAAAATAAGTGATTTAAGTTGGAGAAGAAACTAGTCTCATCTACAGCTTGCAAGAACTATTCATAGGCTAAATTGTATTTTCATCTAATTTAGATAGTCTACATCCAATATCCAAAAGGTATTTAGTTCCTCTACCAAAATATCTACAAAATTCTAGTGAGAGGAGTTTACTTGATTCGGTTGATAATAGATAAATTATGCTAAAGGAAAGATTCTAAGTGATGTTTTGTATATGTGACATAAGCAAATGAATGGGATCCTTCCTGATAACCCCTGAAATAGACTATACGTTATACGGCACAAATTCTGTTTCCTCAATTTTGTCATGTCGTGTATGATATATGCAGATATCTCTTGATTTTTTTTTTTCTTAATATTTTTTGTGTCAACTATATCTCTTGATTTTATTGGATACTTTTTGGTCATTAAAATTTTATATGGTGACTAGAATTTCAAGGTCGATCTGAAATTTCTTGGAAAAAAATATCTTTACAAGAGATAAAGATAATATATCCTTATGACCTTATTACAAGTTACAACGTCGAAAAAATAAAACTCTTTACAAACTATTCTTAAGTTGAAATAGTGTTATATAAATTTAACTTCGAATTTTTGTACAGAATATAAGAAAAGTAAAGATAATAAGCCAGATATTATGCTACTTTTGCTTGATATAAGAGCCCAAAGTATTTCTAATTATTATTCCAATCATCAACAAATCACATGTAAGGAAAACGTACAAAAATAACTAAATAGGTAAACAAACTACGAGTATTCTATAATATAAATTTGTTCCTTACAGGGTTTTGTCAATCTCACGTGTATTCGCCATTCTCACTAGATTCTATAGATTTGCATCGATCTTTTCTCATCCGATCGAGCATATATTGTCTCTTCAGTGTTCACCTTTCCGGATATTGGTTCCTAGAGGACGTCAGATAAGAAAAAATCACTCAAAGAATCATTAAAAATTAATAAGAAACAATCCGTGAAGTCAAAGTTTTCTTTTAATGATGATACACTAAAATGGCAAAATCATTCAAAAAGTTTTTCTGAACTCCGAAACTGCAAAATATAATATTTTGTATATTTCCACTAAGAAAAAAAATTAACAAAATAATCAGATATAAACCAACATGTCTCAAAATTTCGACATTTTGCTAATTACAAATGTTCTTACAAACTCGTGATTTAAGTCTTACCATAAATTTCAAGCATATCCGATACCTAATTTCTAATCGGTTCAAATATCAAAGAATTAATACTCTTGTGTTAACTTATCAATAGCAAATTTTTGCATGCATGGAGATCAATAAGTAATGGGATTTTAAATATATTCCCAATAAACTGAGACCAATATCGATGACGTGAGGACATATTTAGTACCAACAATTCGGTCCTCTATAATGCATTATATTCCCTTTTATCCATAATTCTAAATAATGCTATCCAGCATTTGGAAACACCATTTATATGCTTTTCTATTTACTTTATATCTGTTCTCTCCAGACTAGGAACCAACTAGTCTATCGAATATTCGATTCTTCACTGTAACTAACCACGACTGCTATTGCTATATCACATCAAACCTTAACTCGAGGTGTGTGTGTGTGTGTGTGTGATCAAATTTCATCTTCAGCGATCAACTCTAAAATTCAACAGTCATTGTAACTAATTCACTAGCCCCCCCCCCCCCCCCCCCCGACCACTTATGTTTCATCTTCACTCGCGTTATAAGAAATTAAAAATCAAATTCTAATAGTTCACTCTTCTCTCAGTAGCTATACGTCAAACACGTTTAAGTGTGGAGTACTCTTCTTAGTCTTGATTTGCATTTGAATATATAGAAGTAGTTAAATAACATATAAATACTGAAATCATTTTCTTATTAAGCTATGTATTGGATTATACATGGATCAAAATGTACTGAGTGTTGGTACGGTTGCTAGAGTTATAAACGTTACGTTATTTACTCAAACAACCTTAAAGGTTTACAAGACTAAAGATTAAAGAGTACAGTTTCTAAGGCAAAGTTACAAGATTTGAAACAGAGCATTCAAGTTTATGACTAAAAGGGGAAAAGAAAAACAGAAAAACAAACATTTACTAGCACAGAGGATCTAGATTATCAAGTGTTCTTCATCTTTTTGAATCCTCTTTTGCCTTGCGATAAAAGCTTCAATCTTTGTCCTAAATTGCTCGTTGCTCATTTTGTCTTCTGGTTTCTTAACCCTCACCGCTACTTTCTTGTCCGAGTCACAAATCCTCAGATGCTTCTCCGACTCATACCTCTTCATGAATTTCCCACCACATGTACTCTCCAGAGGGTGAACCGCCTCAAACGCTTTCAGCGATTGGCTTCTCCCGAAACTAACCCTTTTCACTCCACTCAGCTTCTTTGCTTGTTCTGTTTTCATCTCATTTACTTCGGATCTCTTCTTCTCACTCTCGTGAAGAAACTCTTGGTAAAGATCGTTGCTTTCAGCTTCTGTTGTCTTTGAGTTAGGCTCGTGAGCCGAGCTGTATCGTCTGGATATCGCAAAAAGAGCAATTACAATTGCGTTTCCGATGAAGAAAACGAATCTCGGGCTAACGAGAAACTTCGTTGCTTCCCTGAAAATGTCACCGGAGAGTTTCACTGAAGGGAAAGAGAGTTTGGAGATCAAGATTAGAAGAAGAATCAGTTCGATCAGTCTGAATAAGTTCGTGAACGATTTTATTGCTTGGAAATTCAAGATTCTTCTCGATTTCTCCATCTTAAAATGTTGAAACTGAATTGAATTCATTGAGATGATTTCTTCAACAGAAAAAAAAACAGAGGACAAAGCAAGAAAAGGACAGGGATTCTATATGTGGAAGTAATTTAGGTCACTCGAAAGAAGTGAGAATTTCGGAAAAGAAGTGAGAAGCAGAGAGTTTTGCCACCAAGAGATGAAGTAGAGGAAGAAGAACAATGGTCATAGTGAACAATGACCAGGTTTTGTTGTTATGTTTCATTGAAAACAGAGGTTTGTGTGAAGATACCCGTTTTGTCTATATGTTTTTTTTCTTGGGTTTGTTGCATCTTGTAGGTTTTGAGTTAGTTTCATTTCTTATTTATAGACTATGGATGCATTAATGTCCAGTTTTTTTTTAATTGCACTTTATTTCATAGATTATAATACTTTATATTTTGGAAAATCATGGAAATAAATTACTCTAGACTTTTTTTTTTTTTACTTAATTGTGAAACATCATAATAGTTTTTCATTTGATTTTTCATTTGATTTTTTTTTTTTTTGAATTGAATTATTCTTTTGATTTTTACTTTATCCACAACATTATTCTCAGTGCTCCCAAAAGTTGTCCTTGCTATATTGTTTATCGCCCATGAAGCCATATGACCAATCACATCTTCTTCTTATTCCCTGCTTTGTTTTCATCATTTATTCGTTGTTCTCCCAACGTATAATGTCAAGATTTTCTTTATTAGTTTTGGTTAAACACATTTGTATGTGAAGTTTTTTAAAAAAACAAGATTCCAAACAATGTGGTGATGATCAATATGCAGACAAACTATGCAGACAAACAATTCTTATAAGCTTTCTTAAATTAATGGCCAAAAAAACCCAAATTTCTATGCGTTTTGTGGAAGTAGTCTACGTTTTGGTTTGGGACCACAATTAACCCAAAAAACAAAAATCTTACATATATACACTCATTCTTAATTCAGTATAGAAGGCGTTACAAAATATGGTACACGTTGCGATGTGTTCGTATAGTTGATAGTTTTTTTTTGTTTTATAAGAATGAATAATATATAGTAGTATAGAACACAAGTTGTTAGCTTCAAACTCTAAGATAATGCCTAACCAACCCATCATATAGTCAGTCATTAGACCTTTAGTTATAGGCACCTCTCAAATCGTTCTTTGTCAATGAAAATAGTTGGAGGATCGTATAGGCTTTCTACACAAGACCACTAAGCAACATTTCGTAAATCTTAAAAAATGTTTGTTGACAGTAACTCAAGATTAAAATAAGGTTTTCAGAATATCAAATCCACACGTCTATCTACATATAATACTGAAAATTTGTAATATGTCCAATTACGTACACGTGAGACTCTAGACTCAATATCTCTATGCCTAGCTTTTTGTTTTTTTTACTAAACAAAAAAATCTCTATGCCTAATTGCGTAGACATGCAACTGTAAACTACATAGAAATGTTTTTTGGGCCACTTATATTCTAAGCTCTCAGAATAATCAATATTTCTGATATGTATATGACTTAATTAACAAAACAATATGGGAAATTCAAAGAAACCGGGAGTTTGCATTTATAATGAGTCTTTGGTTCTACAATATTCTAATTAGCTTCTAAGCCAACAATATAAGTTATGTTATGTACTAGGGGAGGTTATTTCTGTTGGTATTCCCAGTTAAGAAGGCTTTTTTTTTGTGATAGATATGAATAGGCGTTGTCGACAGAAAGTTTTGGTCGATAAGAAAAGGAAATTAATAGTGATAACCTTTTTTCTGTTTTTCACTTTGATACTCTTTGGAAAGAGAAAAAAAAAAACTGAAAGGCCATGATGGTTTGAATATAGGAAGCCATTTTTGTTTTGAAAATTTGTTCTGAAAGTTTTAGTTTTGTAATATTTAGAATTGATGATCTAATATAAAACTCAAAGCCAAGTAGCCAACTAAAATGAACATTATATATATATATATATATATATATATATTTAAAGCTTATATCTTCTAGTAGAAAGTCCATTTTGCAATTTGGAACACTTAATGAGAGTGATTTCCTTCTTCACTAAGACATGCTCAACGTTATACACTTTTCGTCTCTCTTTTTTTCTTCTGCGGGGTCTCTCTTTAATAGGTTATGGAACTTTAACTTTGCTTTTCCATAACATGAAAGACCCCATCTTGTAAAACCAATGCAATCAATTTCTCCTTTTTAGAGTTTTTGACTCACTAATTAAACTTTCCATTATGGACTTGATTGATTTATCAAATATATTTTCAATTTATATGATGGCTGGCTAAGTTGATAAAAGCCCTCAATTTCTTTAGATTATCCATTTGTTTCGCAGACTGTTTTTTCTCTTGTTTTGTAGACTTTATATCATCCAAATTTATCTCTCTTTTTTTTTTTAGAATTCTGGCGTTTATGAAACCTTTTTTAAAACACAGATTTAAAAATGAAAAGTGGAAGTCATATACGAATCGTCCCTCGTAAAGAAGAAAGTCATATACGTATGGTCCTTCCCTCCATCGTGCTAAGTAGCTTTTATTTGATTCTGCAATATATGGTTCTAGTGAAACACATTATCCATATATTAGTGCGCCTTAATTCATTGCTGAGACATAACGAAAATTTAGATATCTATTGGACCTGATAATTTTGTGACAAAGCTAGAGAATAAACTTAGTACTGACGAAATACTTAAATAATCACTTAGCCAACAAGAATACTAAATCTGTTTTCACATTTTTTGTGAGTAATTATCTTTTAGTTTCTGTAACGTTCCTATTGTTTTTGCATCTGATATTTGCTTGTGCGCCTCATCTTTTTCCGGCTATCAAAATTATATTAAAAAAACTTCTAAAAAATTGTTGATTATTCATGTAAGTTTTTATAGTTCTTTTTTGGTGTTTTCTATTCACTTGCATCATACTGAAAATAAATTATAATATACCACATACAATAAAACTTAAGTTATGATGGAGGAAGTATTTTGAATATCAAATATATGATAGAAATAGTCGAATCAATTATTTCGGCTTATTTTATCCATTTTAAGTTTTCATAATCCAAAACATTAAGTTTTCTTTTTTGCTATGAGCCAAAACTTTTAAGGTTACATGTGGACCCAACATATAATCTAATAACCAGATTGAATTTGTCCAAGATAAAAGATTTAGTTGTATTATTATAGTATCACTGGTATGTCATAATTCAAAATGCAAATCCCGGGTCCAAAATTCTTCAGAAATTGGCCTTGCATTAAACGTTTACCAATGAATTGGGCCGATAAAAGCCCAAATACGTGGCCCGGGTCCGCAACGAATCGTCAAACGATTTTTGGTGAAATTAGGGTTTTAAAGTCTCCATATATAAAATTTGTTCCCTTTTCCCTTCTCCTCGTTTCGCGGCAGCCGTCTTCGTCTCTGAGGTTAGTCTCTTTCAGTTCTTCTAAACGTTGTACGATCCGATTGTAACCTGGGCTATGTATTTGACTGTCGACCTTTCTTCTTCGTAGGTTATCAATTCCTTGCTCATCGTAGCGCCGCTCCTCTCTCGTCCAGATCCAATGGTGTGTGTACTCTCTCTCACTGTTCAAATCTTCTATATATATCTCTCTCTCATTTCACTGTCTGATGATCTTATAATGGCTTCGGTTTATGATTCTAGGCACCCAAGAAAGACAAAGTTCCTCCTCCGTCCTCTAAACCAGCCAAATCCGGTGGCGGAAAGCAAAAGAAGAAGGTCACTTTTCTAAAAATCCTACCTTTTATCTGGCAATTACGTATATTAAGCTATTATTTTCGATTAGTTTGATCACACCGATCTGGTTTCCCTGTTTTGTTAACACACCAAATTTGTGTATTTGTTTTTGGAATTAACAGAAGTGGAGCAAAGGAAAGCAAAAGGAGAAAGTGAACAACATGGTCCTGTTCGACCAAGCTACATACGACAAGCTTCTCTCCGAGGCTCCCAAGTTCAAGTTGATCACTCCCTCTATCCTCTCCGACCGTTTGAGGGTAATAGTTTTTTCTTCTCCTTTCTCTTTTAATTTGTGAAAGTTGGGAACTTTTCTCTGATAGATTGCATTGGTGACGCATTAGTTATAAGGTGTGTTAGTACTTAATAACATTGAAGGATTGTCTTCTTGGTAACCTTGGGTAAAGATCTTGATAGTTGTTTTAAGTGCTTCTTTACGATTATCTAGTCATTGAATCTCTGAACGAACGTATATGATGAGGTACGTGTTTGATGCTAAAATAGTGTAGTCGAATTCCCTTGAACGATGTAGTAAAATTTTCTTACTGAGAGCTCATAATCTTGTTTATATTGGAAAAACCTGTGTAGTGTTTGGTGTCTAAACACACATGGCTTCTAGATTTTTTTCTTGTTGTGACTTGATTTCGTTTTGCTGGCACAGATCAATGGATCGCTTGCTCGGAAGGCTATCAGAGAATTGATGGCTAAGGGAACGATCAGGCTGGTCTCTGCTCACTCAAGCCAGCAGATCTACACTAGGGCTACCCACAGCTAGTCTCCCTAAATTGTCTTCGTTGTTTATCTTTCTTTATCCTATGACTTGATGTACCCTTTATATTTCTAGAATGCATTTTAAACTTGCGTACCTTATATTACTGTTTCATTTTTTTTTTTTGAACAAGCTTTTCAATCTAAAGCATTAAAAAAAAACACAAGCTTTACCAAGGCCTAAGTGTTTATTGGGTCTAGCCAGAATTGAAATTAAACTTTCATGAAGTAATCTCCATGTAATATCAAACCAAGGAGACTTGCGGAAGGTGAAAGGAATTTTTTATCTTTGGTTTGCTTCTACTATAATTTTTTTCCCCCCTGGAAACAGTTTTTCTGCTTGCGTCTATTTGATAAGTTCTCTCGCAAAATCTAAGTTGGTTTCAACGCTATTGTCGAAAGCACATACACTACAATAAATCTTTACTACTCAAATCAGTTTACATCACTATAGTCCAAAGCACATACAGTACTTCTCGTTGTGATCGTTTTTTATAACTTTGTAATTTTCTTGTGTGGTGGTGTGTTATGTCTCAAAGCAGCGCTTGCGGCTTGTGGATCCGGATAATAAGTTTTTCTTCCGTTTTTTATGAAGCCCAGTAATAGTCCATTAAAGATATTATTCACTTTAACCAAATAATCTGATCCAGGCCATTGTATCCATAGGGTAATTTTTTCTTCTGTTTGCACTTCCCCTAAACTTACTCATCCTCTAGGGTTCCAGTTCTTCATTTTTATCGCCGTTCCTCGCTTGTCAAGATCCAATGGTATGTGCTCTCTCACTCTCCTCACTGTCCAAATCATCTATATCTCTCTCTCTCTCTGTCTTCTATTGTCTGATGATCTTATAATGGCTTCGGTCTATGATTCCAGGCACCTAAGAAGGACAAAGTTCCTCCTCCTTCCTCTAAACCCGCCAAATCCGGTGGCGGCAAACAAAAGAAGAAGGTCATTTTTCTTTAAAAATTCTATCTTTTTCTCTCCCAGAATACGAATTTGTGTGATCTTGGTGTCACACGGATCCTGTTTTCCCTGTTTTCTCATAATACCATCTTGTGTTTCTCCTTTTGGTTGGAATTTAACAGAAGTGGAGCAAAGGAAAACAGAAGGAGAAAGTGAACAACATGGTTCTTTTCGACCAAGCTACGTACGACAAGCTTCTCTCCGAGGCTCCCAAGTTCAAGCTGATCACTCCCTCTATCCTCTCCGACCGTTTAAGGGTAACAGTTTCTTCGTCTCCCTTCTCTTTTGATTTGTGAAAGTTGGGAAATTTTTCTCTGATAGATGTGCGCGTTAGTTATGGAATTGAGAAGATCTTCTTAGTTTGTTAATACTTATAAAATGCTTATTTAGGACTCTGTAATGTACGACGAGGGATGAGACTGCTGCTTGAGTAGTGTAGGCGAATTCCTTTTAAAACATTTACGGCATTTCCTGTAGGAACATTTTCCAGCATAATATTTTGTTTCTGCTGGAAACATCTCTTTAATATCTGTGTGCCTAAACTCTCATGTCTTGTAGACTTCTACTGCTTCTAACATGAGCTCGTGTGTTGACACAGATCAATGGATCACTTGCTCGGAAGGCTATCAGAGAGTTGATGGCTAAGGGAACGATCAGGCTGGTCTCTGCTCACTCAAGCCAACAGATCTACACTAGGGCAACTCACAGCTAGTTTCCTTAGTTTTTGTTTTCGTTGTTAAAATCGACCTTTATCCCATGGCTTTATGAGCTATCATTTTTCTAGAAATACACCTTTACTTGCATACTTTGGAATATTTTTGTTTTATGAGAATTTTGTGGAGATGCAAAGAATGTTTTCTTTTATTACGTCAATTGATCGTTGTTTCTCGCAGCCCTCCAGCCTATACTATGACATCTTTCATATTTACATAATTCAGATTGTTGAAAAGTTTATAATTTGTACGCATTGTCAAGTATAACTGCATGGAAAACAACATAAATGTAGGATTTTTGCAAGAATGACATGCGAGAACTAGGAACAAAAAAATGCTCCTACATGGGAGAAATAGGTTCTTCAAAGACGGATAATTTCGAAGTAGTTAAGGGATCTCTGAAAATTGAAGTTACATGCATGTACCCTAGAGAAGAGTATCAAGAAACTCGCTCACGGTCATGTATTTGACATCAGGGTAAAGCTCCGTACCACTCACTCCACCAGAAGACTCGATGTCGAAGTACGTGTGATCTCCTTTGATAAAGACTGAGTATATGAAGACCATCTCCATGTTCTCTGGATATGGAGTTTCTGCGTCACAAGAAATAAAAAGCTGAGAGTTGAAAAGATTTGAAGGTATATGTAGAAGTGCTGATGATGATGTTATGATGAACCTTTGATCTTTTTGAGAAGTTGATTTTCAGTAAGACAAGTCTTCTCAAGCTTCTTCTCAATCTTTCCCTCCCAAAGCTCAACAAGATCATTCATGGAGCAAACGTTTCCAGGCGGTCTGAGGTATACGGTTTTGTTCAGTGTTCGAGGATCATCTATCGTTTTGATTGTAAATGCTGCAGCATCAACTTCATTCACGAAAACAGCTAGACACAACACACAAGAAAAAACAAGAAACCTTCATTTTCAGACCAAAAGATTTGTATATATTTTCAGAAGAAGAAAAACAACTCGTAGTTAAGGAATTTGAGCAAAAAGGAGAAACCTTTAACGTTTCCATCTCCAAAAACGGTGACTTTGTCGATAGGAGGCGATTGAAGCCCCGGTTGCGCAAGCGATGGGAGTAGAATTCTCATGAACAATCCGCAGCAAATGTATGTATGAGGAATGGCCTCGGATTCAATCATACGCCTGAGCTCAGATTTCTTTGAATAGAATCCGTGATCAAGATCTGAGACTTGTGTTTTATCCGGATCTGCTCCATATTCAGCAGGAATAAACCTCTACAAAAGTAACCACAAATGTTCGTCAGCCAGCTAAAAGCAAATTCAAGAATCGTTTTATGCTTCTCATTGCTTATACAAACATCAAAGGATACCGAAATGTGAATTATGCCCACAAGAGAGAATGAGAGCTAAGGATTGGAAAGATTAAGAAGATATGACCTTGATGGATCCAGCTTGTTTGATGACTTTGATGAGGAGTTTCTGATCAAGAACATGTTTTGATGGAATCGCAGAGATCACCACATCTACTTTCCTCACTGCTTCTTCTAAGCTTCCCTCATCTTCCAATGAACCCTAAACCCACAAAATGAAAACCAAATCAAACGAAGAACAAAAGAAAAAAAATACAAAACTTTCGGATTTGCACACCAAAATCAAACGAAGAAAGAAAAAAAAGCAAAACTTTTAGATTTGCAGAAGAGAGAAATGTTTTGAGAAACAGAGAGAGACTTTGAGAAGAGTAGCGCCGGCGTCGGAGAGAGATTTCAGCCTAGAGGATTTGGAAGGATCGGGGAAAGTGGAGTTTCTGATGAGGGCGAAAGTCGGGTGACCCGATTCGATGCTGAAACGGGTCAAATAATGCCCTAATCTTCCTGTTGCTCCGATTATCAAAACTCTGCTCTTCTTCCTCTTCTCCTCCATTACCCGCTTCCCGTACATGTATCTTCCAGAACTACACTTTGACAATATAAGACAGCATTCTGTTTTTTTTCTGCCACAATAAAAGCAATTGAACTCGATAATCACGTGTCTACATTTATAGACAGATTAGTTTCAACATATTGTCCGAAATCGTTACATCCGACAAAGAGGTAGGTTCATCTTCGACGCATTTCTCCTTTCAAATAAAATTTCCATTGGAGCTTCCCTAATTCCTTTTACGGAACATACATCTTCGAAGCATTTCTCTTTAGCTTATAGATGGTTTCTTTAGCTAGAACGCTTCTTGCGATTGATGATTCCTTTCAATCATGTGCATTTCATTTAACTCTATATATTCACGTAAATTTGATTTGAAATCAATGTAATTATTTAGACTTAAAAAAAAAAGGTCAAAACTAGGCCACTCTTTCTTTTCATTGTTAACTTCATTATTTTGTCTTTTTCTTCTGTTTTAGAGTGTTGGACTTGTGACATTGTATCAAAACAATCCCTATGTATGACCCATGAGAAGACGAGAGACACATTTAAAGACTACCTTTTTGTGTTAACATTGAAAGACGACTACTTGCACAGTTGCACTCATAAGAAAAATATATTACTGTTTTTGCATCTATTCACAATACTCTGTATATACTAAAATAATGGGTAGTAATCAATTTAGTGGAAATTAGTAATAACGGCTGTCAGTTCCTCCCACTCTCTCTTCCAATTGAAATGATATGAATTTTTGATCTTCTCACTTAAGTTGCCTGTATCCAGAGAACCTGCATATTTGTCACATGTTAGAACTGTAAATTTTTAATAAATTGGGATATATGAACTTGTCCTAAACTATAAACCCCAAACATGCCAAATCATGAAATAATCATTACTAGTGAATATTAATATTATACCTGAAAATGGTCAAGAATTAGGGAACGCTGTTAAGTTGTGGAATGTTCTTAATCAAACTCCTAAGTTGCTATAAAGATTTTGCACATCAGAATCCCACATCAAAGGAGCTTCACCATTCTGCAACATAATGACACATTTTTGAAAAAGAGATTATAAAACCAAAAAGTTACATGATAGCTCATAACGAAAGAGATATAAAAATATAGTCTACGTTGAAACATGACAGTTGATCAGAACTGGTAGCCACTTGCTGCATTGGATTGCAATGAAGATAACCGGAGTTAACCATCTCATAAGGATAACCGGCATTCACCATCTCATAAGAGGGCATCACAGTGGTTGGTAATGGTAAGTTCGTCATCGGAGCTGAGACAACCTGGTTTCAATTGATATGGCATATTTTAGCTCATCTAGTTAATCTTTAAATGTCATGTTTTATTTATATACACACATACAAATCAAAAGACTAACCTCTTTAGCAATAATGTCATCGATATCCAAATCAAGCCTTGGATTCACAGCTGCTAGTTTCATCGATAAGAACTGTTTCAAACAATTAATATCAGAACAGATAAAAAGAAGCTTATGAAATCTATAGTTTTAAAAGACATATTTTTATAATCTATTGGAAATGAATTTCAGACCTCGACTTGTCTCTGAAGAGACTGAACATAGTTAATAATCTCATCAAGCATCCCTGCTTTGCCAGTGATCTTGTCGCATCCAGGAACTAAATCTTGAAGATACTTCATTCTCTCACTGATCTTTTCTCTTCTAGCCTTCACAGTTTTAATACTTAACAATTAGTCTCAAAGATTAATTAAAAAAAAAAGCTCTTTATTGAACACAATATAGAAATCCAGTCTCTCTCACTCGTTCTGCTATGCTGTGACTATCAGTGGCTTGGCCTCGTCGGGCACGAACATGAATATAATCCGTTTTCTGCGATTCCTTTGTCACTTTTGATGAATCGTTAGAGCAATTGTTTTGTTCTTTCTTGGCTTTATTCTTCATCTTCGTGATGCTTTTGCTGCTCTCGTTGTTTTGCTCTGTAATTTTCGACTTCTCTTCTTCTTCATCTTCTCTATTCATCATCATCATCATCTTCTTCACCTCATTACATTCCTAAAAACCCATAAACGGGTAAGTGAATCTCAAAAGGAATATCTGTTTTTTGCGTGTCAATTGTAGAATTCAAAGTTTAGCTTTTTAATAAAAAAAAAAAAAGGCTCGAGAACAGAGCTACATACGAACCTCAGAAGTTGTTTTAACGACGCAATCAAACTTCCTTTTCTTGAAATTTCCAGACCCAAACTGACAAGAACCCTCCACCGTCGTCTCACCGTAAATCACCGGAAGATCCAAACCGGCCGTCCCAAGGAAGCCGTCAATCTCGCCGCCGTTAATCGTTGAAGGACCGGAGAGGAAGCCGGCGAGAGTGGGATCGAAGCCGGGATGATGGTATTTGAGATGAGCCTTTTGGCGCTCTAAGACCGACATGTCAGTACAATTGAGCAAAAGCTCAGCTTCTGTAGCTCCATTCATCATCATCTTCTTCTTCGGATTCAGAAAACAGAGAGAGAGAGAGAGAGAGAGAGAGAGTGTGTGTGTGTGTGAGAGAGAGAGAGAGAGTAATGGTGAGGGTAGAAGAGGAAGGGATATTTATAACAAAAAACATCTGCTTTGTACTTAGTCTAAATTGATCGCATCAAATGAGTATGGCCATGTCCAAATCTGGAAGTTTTAGATGATTGTAGATATTGTGTTTTGGGATAGTTGAGTGAAATAATGACACAAAAAAAGACTTTAAAAAGACTTTTTCTTGTCAGCAGTTAAGAAATACAAAAACAAAAATTAACTAGCCTAGTTGTATAAAATAAAAACTTAAAATTCATACTTCTTAAACATTTAATACATAATTTATCCATTATATATATGTATATAGCATAAACATTCTGTATATCGTTGGATTCGATTTCGATTAAAAAGGATAAAGCTTAGGTGTAAAGGAGCAAAATCACTCGTGTGTGAAGACGACTCGATCTTTCCGAGCTGGAAGGTCTCAAAGTTTCTTTCATTATGAAAAGAGCACGTGAAATTCACGTGTGAATGGTAGTGCTGTTTTAACACGATGAAGGTAATTAATTGTATAGCTTACAATGAACTGTTGATCCACAAAACTTTTAGAGAATCTCCATCGAAAGTTACGTATCGTAAATGCTGTGTGTCAATTTTAATTCGTTTCGTTTTTTTTTTTTTGGTTATTTATTCTCGAATCAGAGTCGAGAAACGCATTCGAAAATCAGAGGCGACTAAATTACATATATATATATATATCCAAATGCGGTTTATAAGGCTGTGTGTGGCCATGCTTTAGAAATCTTCGATGCTAAGTACAGAATGAAATCCATTATATCCATGGTGCACTAGATACATCACGTGGAAAAGGTAAAACAAGTATGAAAACGACGCTTCACGTCATAGTAATTAATAACTCCGGTATTTGGCTAATGGCTACGAAGCACTGTTCACATGAATTTATGACACAGGAGGTGTTCTGAATCTTGTTATAATTTCAGATCGATCCTGCGTCTGATCGCCATGCTCTGTTGACTTACTCCATAGTGATTGGCTAGCTTAGGCCGAGACGGCGTAAGAGATACTGCCACGTGATCGCCATGCTCTTTCTATGCATGTGGCTTACAAGCCCCATCACATAAATTTACTCACCAGTTAGTTCTATATCACTTTCACCGAAAATCGGTGATCAAAATATTTCTACGAAAATGACTCCTCAAAAATCAAAGCATGGCATTGTTTATATTTTCTGCAGATACTTGGAAAACCCTTTATGTGATTGATATAGGGTATCAAATCTTCTCGAGTCTAAAAAATTAAAGTCCAATTTTTTTCTTATATAATATTATGTATTAAGCTTTTTGAGCAGATAAATGGAGTTAGTAGATAAGGTAGACGGAGAGGGTATAAAGTTGTTTGAAATAAAGAAATGGTCGTTGCTTTTTGATGTGATGAATTTGGACTAAGTCCATAGAAGATGAAGGCTATTTCCCTATCGTACTATACATGCATACACTATCAAAGTAATGCCACACACCTAATTTGTGGGTTCCCCAACTCCTTTTATATATATGCTCATATATACATGGATATATGTTTCTACATGTATTTACATACAATATATAGATGTCGCCACTTGTTTCTTCTTGGTTGAATTGGAGTCTTAGAGATAAATATTCGCAATGTTTATTATACAAAACTATATGTCTGTGTGTGTAAGTGTTGCATCATGGCATATTTATATTTTATATAAATACTGTATGTAGTATATATTTTATATGGGTAACGTCCTAGAAATCATCAATCAAACGTAGTGAATTTTATATAGATGAAACAATAATGAGGGGAGATCCAGTTTTCATGATGGGCTCCTTGTTCCTACCTCTCTTATTCTCGCTACTTCCCATAGTTACTTTGTAAGAAATGGCATGCATGTCTAAATCATATTAGACGTATTAATATCCGGATCTATCTATCTTATAGGAGTATATCACAAAAGTATACTAGTATTCAAATTAGAAAAATTGTGAAGTTTATTGGTTTTCGAATTAAAAAATTACGGGATACTGAGTTAAATGTTCTGTGTTTTAATTCAACAGTATAGAAATCTCCTTAAGAAGAATTAGCTTTACTTTGACAAAAAGTGTTTTACTTTTTTTTCCCTTATATAATTAGTAGATTATACTCTTATTTGGTTTCAGTCAATATGCTATTTTCTTGTCAAAAATAATGATACTTTAACTAAAAAAGATGAATGTTCTTTTGGTTTATTTATCTTGAACAGAGCTGTAGTTTTTTATTGTAAGACTATGACTTCCAATTAAAGATGAAATTAATTGATATACACGAACGTGAAAATATGGATATAGGTCATAAATAGATAAGATGAGTTTTTAGCTGAAGTAGGCTTCTCGGGGACTGCTCCAATTCTCTGACAGTTATCATTAATTTCTCATTATTCAACTATCAATTGAACTCTATGGGCTTCCCTTCTTTAATGTCTAAATTTTTTAAAATCACTCAATTATTTTTAAAATATGCACATTTCCATGTACATCTGTAAAAACAGGATTTTCTGCTTACATGTACATTTTATCCACACATGTTATCTGATATATGATGCGAATCATGCGATGGTTTTAGTTGAAGTAATATAAATGAAACTCTCAACATTTACCAAAAAAATTAGTTTCAAATATTAATTATATTGAAAAATTTTGATTTTTGTTCAATAATTGAATTATATTATCATTGCAAAAAATGATTATCTCTAGTGTTCCCACTTCCCACACACTGGACAGTTGAAACAATCGAAAACCTCGGGATATTATTATGGTGTTATTTCAAACACATTTGGATACTCAAGTCAATATTTAAAATCACTGATTGCAGTTGGAGATTACAGGGTAAGAAAAAACAATAATTGCTCGACTCTTGGATTAAATCCTTAGATCCCGGAATATGAATGAATTATCGATATATAGAATTACTTCACCAAGATAGCATATTGGATCTTCGAGTTGGATTTATTCGACCGGTTCACATGGCTGATGATATTTGACCCGCACCTGTCTAACCAAATGTGAGTTTAATCCTCGCTATAATGATCGTTTACGGATTTGGCGTCATATTTGTTATTTATCATTGGTGTTTGGCGTTTATAAATTTAATCTCAACAAATACTAAAAATTGCGCTTGAAACAGTTAAATACTAGAACACCAATGTATTCTTTATTTATAACGAACTAGAGAAAAACATCGTAGCCATCAAATTATCATAACCAAAAAAAAAGAAAAAAAAAAAGAAAAAAGAGAGTAAACGATGTCATTTCGGATACATCATTACATCTCCATCAATTAGGACCGACCGTTTTGGACACGAGTCTCTGATTTAGCTGAATCAGAATCAATTTGAACCGGATATCTGTCAATGCAATGTTCCCAAGGACTATTTGTCGAGGCCTTGACATTGCGGAGAGCCACCCAAACCGCACTATTACACTTAAACCCTGACCCTAAAGCAATCTGCCAAACTTTATTTCTTTTCTTCATCCTTCCTTTTGCCTCTATGTAAGCCAATTCATACCAAATTGAGCTAGAAGAAGTATTCCCAAACCTATGTAACGTTGATCTCGATGCTTCCACATCGATCGGAGAGAGCCCTAAACTCTTCTCTAGCACATCGATCACCGCTCTGCCTCCGGCATGAATACAAAAATGGTCAATAGCAAGCTTGAAATCCGGGACGTAATAATGCTTGATTTTGTCTTTCAAGAGTTTCTTGGCTACGAAGGTAACGAAAAAAAGAAACTTCTCGCTCAAGGGAAGAACCAACGGACCCAATGCTGCTATGTTTTTCTGAACCGTTCTCCCGGCAACACCGGTTATGTCCTTTGACAAACAAACTCCGGTTTTACCACTCTCGTCGTCTTCTTGTTGTACACATCGAAAAGACTTGTCATCAGCTCCGGTATGCGTTCGAACCGTGTGAGCTAGCTTGTACTTGGACCGTCTCCGATCCCCTGGCTTGTTGGAGAGCAAAATGGCTGCCCCACCGACACGGAACAAGCAATTTGAAACCATCATAGATCTATTATCACCAGCATAAATGTTATAAGTGATGTTCTCTGTGCTCACAACAAGAGCATATGTGTTTTTATGGACATGCAACAAGTCTTTGGCCATATCAATGGCTATAACACCAGCACTACAACCCATTCCACCAAGATTAAAGCTTCTGATGTTGCTACGGAGCTTGAAAGTATTAACGACCATCGCAGATAGCGAAGGTGTCGGATTAAACATGCTTGAGTTCACCACAAGTATACCAATCTCTTTAGGGTTAACTTTGGTGTTCTCGAATAGGTTTTCGAGCGCACCGATGATTACTTGCTCCGTCTCTTCACGCGCCGCAGCAAAAGTTTTCCGGGGAGGGACTTCAAGCAGTCCCTCGGGGCCGTGTGTTTCATCTCCTAGACCTGAACGCTCTTGAACCTTCCTCAAGAAATCGAGCCACGACGAATCATCTGATGACACGTTTCGTAAAGGATCAGCTTTTCTTACTTGATAGAAGATATCCATGACCTTGGAGATACTTGCTCTATGATGCGGTGGTGGAAGGTAGCACGAATGGTCAACGAGGTAAACCGGTTTGGGTCGGGTTAAGATATAGAGAACCGAACCGAAAACGGTCAAGGCAAAGAGTAGAGTTATGGTTATAAGGTTGTGTTGGAGATAGGAATGGTAGAAAATGTGGAGATCGTTTATGGTAAGCCGATAGGCTTTTCCGGCGACGATCGCCGTTAACGGGAAAAAACAGAGGTTAAAAAAGTTGGTGATGACGTAATGGTAAATGAGCTTAACGTTAACGGACGTCATTGCTCAGTCTGTGTCGGAGAAAAACAAAGGATGCGATGAGATGTATTTGTATGGATCCGTTTTTGTGGACCGTTACATTTTACATGCATCTATATAGCCATGTGTATACTCCTGCTCATGCATGCATACACATTGAGATTTATTAGTAGTCCAATGAAAGGTGCCAATATAGGAAAATAATCTGATGAAAAAATATTACTATATATATACTGCTAAAATTATACTTCAATAGAAGATTTAATACTTTTTCAATTGAAAAGAAATAATATAAAATATTATAACATTTTTAGAACGATTGTCTATATTATATCTAAAAAATGGTACTCGTAAAATTAAATAGCATTCGCCATAAGGTAAAAGAAAATTTAAAATTTGGTGCTAAATATGATACATGCGTATTAAATTTAAGAGAATCTTTGTGCTTAGCATTAATTGGCTGAATAGCCGTTGCCTCAGACTAATTATGGAATGAATGTTTCTCGGGAATGAGTTTTCCCGCTAATCTATACTCGAACCTCAGTAAATAAATGAGTCGAAGTTTAGGGCCAAATATTATGGAATAGATTATTTGCATACAGCTAAAGATGGAATCTTAAGACTCTAAATTAATTTTTAGTCACACCCTATAACACTTTGCTAATTGCGTCAAATAACCCGGTTTAATCTAAGAAATTAGGTTCTTTCTCTATGAATGCCTTCTAAAGCATGTGTATATTCTCATCATGAACCTTTTCGAATCTTAAGCATATTACATTAGTAAACGTTACTTAACAGAACTAAAGATATGACAATTTTTTATGTAATGTGTTTGAGTCCAATTCTTGCAATTCTTGCTACCTTTATATACAAGACACATACTGTACATACATTTTTCCAAATGATTTCTTTATCCACTGCTAATGTAAGAATGGAATGGAAGCCTAACCTATGTTGTTAGACCAATCTACCGGTTCCGATGAGTTCAAGGTTCGATCTTAACCGGATATCTATGGATGCAATGTTCCCAAGGATTGTTAACCGAGGGCTTGACATCACGAAGAGCCACCCAAACCGCGCTGTTACACTTAAACCCGCTTCCAAAAGCAATCTGCCAAACTCGGTTCCCTTGCCTCATTCTCCCTTTAGCTTCTGTGTAAGCCAGCTCATACCATATAGAGCTCGAGGAAGTGTTTCCAAATCTATGCAATGTCATTCTCGACGCTTCCACATGTTTTGGCAAAAGCTTCAAACTCTTCTCCAGTTCATCGATCACGGCTCTACCTCCAGCATGAATACAGAAATGATCAAAGGCAAGCTTGAAATCCGGTAAGTAAGGCTTCTTCTTCTTCTTCTTCTTCTTGCCATTAAACAATCTCTTAGCAAGAAAATTCGCAAAGAAGAGGATCTGCTCGCTTATGGGAAGAACAAGAGGACCCAAAGTGGTGATATTCGTCTTAAGAGCTTCTCCAGCTATAGCCGTTAAGTCTTTAGACAAAGAAACTCCGGTTTTCAAAGTCTCGTCTTGTTCTTGGTACACACAATTGAATGCTTTCGCATCAGATCCCTTATGAGTCCTCACCGTGTGAACAAGCTTATACTTGGATCGTTTTCGATCACGAGCCCTGTTCGAGAGCAGAATCGCAGATCCACCAACCCTAAACAAGCAATTAGGGATCAACATTGCTCTGTTATTACCAAAGTACCAATTCTGAGTGATGTTCTCTGTGCTAACCACAAGAGCAAAAGTGTGTCTATGGATCTGTAACATGTCGTTAGCTAGATCAATGGCGATAACACCAGCACTACATCCCATTCCTCCGAGGTTAAAGCTCTTAACGTTTTCTCTAAGCTTATACTTGTTCACAACCATGGCGGATAAAGAAGGCGTCGGGTTAAACAAACTGCAATTCACCACCAGGACACTAATCTCCCTAGGATTGATTTTGGTGTTGTCAAAGAGATTGTCGATTGCACCAAAGATTACCTGCTCCGCTTCCTCACGCGCCGCCGCCATAGTCGGACGCGGAGGGATACAGAGAATAGACTCCGGGAGGTAAGTTTCTTCGCCGAGACCGGATCGGTTAAGGATCTTCCGCTGGAACTCAAGGGACGATTCGTGGAAATTATCGATTAGTTTAGAGCGATTCATGAATTTCTCGTAGCCAATTTGGAGATTCGACGGCGGGAGGTAGCAGGAGTAGTCGAGGAGGTAAACGGATCTAGGTCGATACATGAAGAAGAGAGTGGATCCGAAAATAGCAACGGAAAAGATGACTCCGAAGAGATTGTACTGATGCTGGAGCAAGAACTGGTTTAGACTTAACCGGTAGAAATTCGTGACCAAAACAGCAATTAAAGGAACCAATAAGAGCTTCAAAAAGTTAGTAATCAGGTAGTGATAACTCGGCTTGACGTACTTCCGGGTCCGGTTCTGCACGGATTCGTCGTCCATGGAGATTTGTAAATCAACGAAATTTGTTACTGAAACGAAGCTGGGTGTGTGTGCGTATATATACACGCACCGAGAGAGATTGAAGAGAGGAAATCGTAAGGATTTATGTTTATTCACCATTTTTCCTGGTTGGGTGGAGTTTGATATAACTAACAAACAGAGAGAAGTCGCCATTGATGAATACGTGGAGAATTTGGCATCATGTGCATTTGCCTACTAAATACAGAGAAAAAGATGAAGCTTTTGTTTTTGTTTTCCAGATGAAAATGGAAACAGAGAGTTAGATTTGAATCTATTTCGAAATTTCAATTTATGCTGCAAATCTAGGAAAAAGGAGGAATATGGATGTGAAAATGGGCTTGGGCTAGGCTCAATGTTTTCTCAAATTTTCAGTTTTAGTGAGTTTATTTTATTGAATAGAAGCGGCTCATCACTTGATTTTTGACTTCTGTATATTAATTTTCTCTCTAGAGAAATGAGCTATCATTTTCCGAGGTACTTCAAGAAATATTAAAAATAGCTCTACTCTTACGTATTCTTTTAAGATCCCAAAGAATAACTATAGTATTATTGTCCGATAACATAGGTCGGAGCACCAACATTATATGCTAAAGTAATAAAAAATCGAGCAGAAGCGTACAATTAAAGATTTAATGGAATCCAGCTATTACAGATTATATAACTCCTACAATTTATAAATAAAAATGTCAATTTTTGTTTTCTTGGGTCAAATAGTGTAATCAATTTGTAAATGATAGTGTACACTGTACATTAATGTTTTTCGCATAATAGAGGTTGTGTAACCCTAAGCGTACTTGGTGGCATATTCGTAATAAAACGCTAACGGCATGCCTTAAATAGAAAACACTTAAGTTTCTACCCGTTGCTTGTCTTGTCTCAATCACTTGGCAACATAACATTTTTGTTAAAGCTTTCTGCTTCTTCTGTTTGTTTTTTCTCCCAACGTTCAAAGTCTCTTTCTTTGAACCATCTCATTCTCTTCAAACTGTAATCTAAACTCACAACTACCATTGTCTCGATGTCGGATTCTGGTGACTCTGGTTCTCACAAGCTTACAACGAAATCCTCCATTTTCGGACTAAACATCTACTTAGTCATCGCCATTATCTCTGTTTTCGTGGTACTGATCTCACTCTTGATATTCCTCTTTGTCTGCTTGAATCGCGTCTCACGCGCGCGTAGAATGCGCGTGAAGCACAGCTCCGGATCGATTCCTTTGGTCTCTAAAGAGATATCGGAGATCAAGACGGTCGGGAAGTTTCTGGACTCCGAAGATTCAAAGGGTAAAATCGGGAATGAAGTCGTTGTGGTGAAAGAAACGAGTGGTGGGTTTGATGATTTGTCGGTGGCTTCGAGCGGTGACGTTGCTTCCGAGGTATTGGGATGGGGAAGATGGTACAGCTTGAAAGATCTGGAGATTGCAACACGTGGCTTCTCCGACGAGAACGTGATCGGGGAAGGAGGTTACGGGATCGTTTACAGAGCTGATTTCCACGACGGTTCTGTCGCCGCCGTCAAGAATCTACTGAACAACAAGTAAGTTTTCAAAACTTACTGATTAGGATTAGATTAGATCATTTTGACTTATATTAATCAGATTGAAACTTTTTTAGTTTTATTTGAATTTTTTTTTAACTTTAGATCTTAGATAAGAGTATATTAAATATTGTTCGTCATACTGACAATTTTCATTTACTCCATTTCACGGACTCCGTAATTCTTGGGTCAAGGCTCCATTGGTACTTGATTTAATATATGCTTTAAAACGTTTGTCTTATTTCGCTGCTGACCCAAGGAAATGGCGAAACATATTTTTTTATATTTCTTCCGACAAGTGTTTGTTTTTGAAAACACATTTTCTCCGCATTAAGTTATTTGAGATTTTGACTTGCATATATCAAAGTAGTATATGTAGCCATTATATCCAGATAAATTCCGTTTTCTTTTTCTTTCTACATAATTCCAGTCCTTAATCCTAGAGGCATTTCAAACAAACATAAAAAGTAATTATTTTTGCTACCATTGAACTGTATTTAGCTGTTTTTTAGGTAGGTTTATTGAAACTTAACAAAAGGGAAAATTAATTCGCTGTGCTTTGTTCTTTATTCACTCTTAATTCTTTCTATAGTCTTTTCCTTTTAATTTTGGTATTAATGTTCTCTTTTTTGTTTTGTTTTTTAGTCCTTAACTTTAGATGATGAGATGGTTTCCCTTAATATAAAACTGCTTGGAAACTGAGATAGTTTGAAAAGAATCTGTTATGTTTGTGTTATGTGTTTGGTCACTTCACTGTTCCAACTCTGAAACTGGATTATTTAGCCAGAGCTCCATAGATTGATTATATGATTAATAAAATGGATAAATCTTCTATTTAGGTGGCAAGATTGTAGACTATATTTTATTGGTTGTTAGGTTGGGCAGATTCAGGTTGTTGGTTGCAGCATAACCACCGGAAGTTTGATGCTATTTAGAAAAGATATAATTTTTGGTTGGGAAGCATGGATGAAACTTTCTGTATTCTAAACAAGTTGAAGTTTTTGATATTATTAAATGAACCTGCTAAAGTAAAACATAATTTTCTTCAGGGGTCAGGCAGAGAAAGAGTTCAAAGTTGAGGTAGAAGCAATTGGGAAAGTAAGACATAAGAACTTGGTTGGACTGATGGGATATTGTGCTGACAGTGCTCAAAGGTTCCGAACCGAAACAAATTTCAAATGAATTGGGAAACTCGAATTCTTAATTATTCTAACGAAATTTAGTTTATTTCTTTGTTCTTGATTAGGATGCTTGTGTATGAGTATATTGATAACGGAAACTTGGAGCAGTGGTTGCACGGTGAAGTAGGTCCGGTGAGTCCTCTTACGTGGGATATCCGCATGAAGATTGCCATTGGAACAGCAAAAGGGTGCATTTTCTTCTTCTTTTCAATCCGTATTCTAGCTGCGATTGGCTTTTTAAACCTTGTCTTTTGATAAACAGATTAGCCTATTTACACGAAGGGCTTGAACCTAAGGTTGTGCACCGTGATGTGAAGTCTAGCAACATCTTGCTCGATAGGAAATGGAACCCGAAAGTGTCTGATTTCGGTTTGGCCAAGTTATTAGGATCTGAAATAAGCTATGTGACAACTCGTGTGATGGGAACTTTTGGGTATAGCCTTTCTCTCTCTTCTTTCAATAAATCAGACTCAGATTGTTACTCTACATTGATTTTTGTTACATCATTTTTAACGTTTTGCAGATATGTTTCACCAGAATATGCAAGCACTGGTATGCTCAATGAGTGTAGTGATGTCTACAGTTTCGGTGTTCTGCTCATGGAGATTATTACAGGCAGGAGCCCGGTCGATTATTCAAGACCACCTGGCGAGGTAAGCTCATATATTACAGACTTGAAATTATCCTCCCAAGAACATATATGTAAACTTGTGAAACACTTTCAGATGAACTTAGTGGATTGGTTCAAAGGAATGGTTGCAAGTAGACGTGGAGAAGAAGTTGTAGACCCTAAAATAAAGAATCCACCTCCTCCTCCAAGAGCTTTGAAAAGAGCTTTGCTTGTTTGTTTGCGTTGCATAGACCTTGATGCTAGTAAACGGCCCAAGATGGGACAAATCATTCACATGCTTGAGGCTGAAGATTTCCCTTTCCGTCATGTAAGTGTTAAAAGCTAAAGCGATTGATATGTTGATTATAAGCTCTATATATATATATATATTTTTAATTTTATCCCCGTATTCAACACAGGAACACAGATCAATCCCGACAAACAAGAATGTACACACGGTGTCCCAACTTGAGAGTTGATGGTATTTGCTACACAACCAGATTTGATAGATGTTTCCACGTTTGTTCTATATTGAGAGTATTACATCGATTGATATGAGTTGGAAGCAAAAGAGAAAACCGAAAAGTGAAATTAGATGTATGAGGATGGAGTTCAAATTTTAAGGCTTGTAATTTGTAAATATCATATAAGTATAATAAAGAGTGAACCCCAGAGAAAGTTCCATTTCTTACATTTCTAATCCTTTGGTTTGCTTGGCTACATGAACGATGAGTCATTTATATATGTTAAGGAAAATAAATGAAAAAAATAGATTCTATTTCTCGAAAAAAAGTTTTCGAAACTTATATCACAATTGCCTTCGAGACATAGAGCACACCATATGACAAAGACAGTCTTTGAGCTCTCTCTTTACTATTGGTTTCTAGGACCCCAACCGCCCCTACCACCAAGTCCAAGGTGATCACCAAAACCACCACCATCCCCACCGGCGGCCGGATCTGGGCCAACCCCATTGAAACAATTATTTCAAGCCCCAAATTTTTTTATCTAATTTAGCTTATAAATTTTTTTTTTTTTATATAAAACCAATTAGGCTTTTATTTTTATTTTTGTTTCAAGCCCCCAAAATCTCAGATCCGGCCCACCGCCACCTCCAACACCACCACCGTCCCACCATTCTCCTCAGCATCACCAACATCATCAACGAGGTTGCCGAAAACCCAATTCCTAATGGACTCTACAACCATGCCATGTGTATAATTCGATGAAGCAATAGACCATTCACTTATGAGTCCAATCAAGTGATCAGCTCTCGCTTGCGTCAGAGATGCGGTGAGCAATACGAATTGTGGTAAATAGAAGACGACTTCTCCACTGGCAATGAAATGGATCGAGTTTGTAGTAAAGCTCCAAAGGTTGAAGATCAATTTACGCATGAGGGGTTAGATGAACAGATCCATTCTATGAGTCTGGCTGACATGTCCAATCTAATCCGCATAAGGCCAGCAACAGTGAGCAACATTGAGGGAACTTTTTTAGACTGGTATATTTGATGGTGTGTCAGTGGTTTACATGTGTATTGTTATGTTGGGATATTCTGTTTTGTTTTGTATGCTTTTGTGACCATTTCATTCTAGCTTAATCTAAGAAGTGATATGTTTATGTTCCACTCTCAATCCGTGGCATCATTAAAGATGATGGAACTTTGTGTTCCAATTCCTCCTGTGATTGGGGCAAAGTAAGAATTCGTTTCCACTCTGCAATTCAGAATGCAAGTTGACTTTGATGATCTCTAGTAATTCTATCAGACATACTCTGGTTTACATAAACACATTCTTTTGTTGGTCATTTCAACTTCCAAATTTGAGATTCATGTTAGTAAAGCTATACAGACAAGGGTCACAATATATTTGCTTTGAGAATGGTCAGAGCCTTCTAGATGTTCTGAAGATTTGTAGGAACGCAGTCACGCTCCTCTACATTCTTTTGGGGCGCAACAATTCTTGATGCTGTTGTTAGTGTATCTAAAGAAAAATGTTTCACCTGAGAAAAGATGCAAAAGTGGGTCTGTTATTGTATTTCTCCGTTGCGTAAAAATGTATCAATTTCTTTAAATTTTCGGAAAAGAACTGACCCTATAATACTCTTTATTTAACGGGGTAGTCAATTTATCAATCAATTAAATGGTTATTTTTCATGTTGATATGTATTTTTATGTAGTTGTAAATAAAATATATGTTGTTGGTTTACCTTTTTAATGTGTGATATTAATTTGTTTATCCAAAAGTGGCCATCACATATAATCCTGACTTGCCATCATTATTCATTATCATGAAAAACGCACAAACACAAACAGACCCAAGGCAAAAAAGGAAAAATCAAATCCGCTCTAAATCGATTTCATCTCAGATCTGGTGCGATCTCTGTTGTTGACCGAAAATGGAGGAGGATCTGATTAAGCGCCTGGAAGCTGCGGTGACGAGGCTTGAGGGAATATCGAGCAACGGCGGAGGAGTTACTCTCTCCCGCGGAGGAGATTTCTCCGCCGGCGCCGGAACCGATGTCGCGGCGTCCGATCCATCGATTGTGGCTTACGAAGACCTGATTTCTCAATGCGTTGGTAGGGCTCTGAGCGCGGCTGAGAAGATCGGTGGACCTGTTCTAGACGTGACGAAGATTGTCGCCGAAGCATTTGCTACGCAAAAGGAGCTGCTTGTTCGCCTCAAGCAAACTCAGGTAATGAATTTTTATGGAAGATATAATGGTTTAATCGATAATTGGATTGCTTTTGATTTTTTGGATATCATTTTGATTGAGCAGAAGCCCGACATGGCTGGGTTGGCTGGATTTCTCAAGCCGTTGAATGAGGTTACAATGAAAGCTGATGCAATGACTCAAGGAAAGAGGTCAGATTTCTTCAATCACTTAAAGGCTGCATCCGATAGTCTATCTGCATTGGCGTGGATTGCTTTCACGGGAAAGGATTGTGGCATGAGCATGCCAATCGCTCATGTGGAAGAAAGTTGGCAGATGGCTGAGTTTTACAACAATAAGGTGCTTATCATCAATCTCTTTTTTATGCTTTCAAAGACCTTATCATGATTAATTGCGTCGCTGAGATCGTTAAGAGCTTCTGGAAATCGATAGGGAATAAAGGACTGCAATTGCTTATTCAGGTTGCGTAAGCTTAAATTTCTGTTTGAAGCTCTTCGCACATTTTTAATGCTGCGATCTCCATGTTCTTCTATAGGTTCTTGTGGAGTATCGTAACAAAGATGCAAATCATGTTGAATGGGCCAAAGCCTTAAAGGAACTTTACTTACCTGGTTTAAGGGATTATGTTAAAAGCCATTACGCTTTGGGACCTGTGTGGAATGCATCAGGGAAACCCGCTAGTGCTCCTGCAAAAGCTCCACCTGGTGCTCCTGCTCCTCCACCAGCACCATCTGCGTCCCTCTTTAGTTCTGAATCTTCAAAGCCATCATCTTCGTCGAACCAAAAACAGGGAATGTCTGCTGTTTTCCAGCAGCTCAGCTCAGGTTCCGTGACCTCAGGTAGGTTTCAAGTTGTTTATGTTTTCATATTTCTGGCGCGGTGGAATGTGAATCACACAAGTATTTTATTATTTTCCTTCTTTGCTTTCCAGGTCTTAGAAAAGTTACAGATGATATGAAGACAAAGAACCGTGCTGATAGATCCGGAGCAGTAAGTGCAATTGAGAAGGAAACTCGTACCAGTAAACCGGCCTTTGCGAAAACTGGACCACCGAAACTGGAGCTTCAAATGGGTCGCAAGTGGGTTTTACTAACAATAACTATATGGTCCAAATGCAAACTGTTGTAGAAATGCTATAATATGATTGTTGGTTATTAGGTGGGCTGTTGAGAACCAAAATGGGAAGAAGGACTTGGTTATCAGCGAGTGTGATTCGAAACAATCTGTGTATGTATTTGGTTGCAAAGATTCTGTCTTGCAGATACAAGGTAATTTTGGCGCCGTTTCAATCCTTCTTGAAAGGGTGATATCTGATAAAAAAAATCTTTGAGGTCCTTACTGTTATTCAATAATCTGTAGGAAAAGTTAATAACATCACCATTGACAAATGCACCAAAATGGGTGTTGTCTTCACGGTGAGTGGAATAATACTGTTTCTCTTACTCCCACAGTATACATTATATGTGATTTTCTAATAATGTAAAATGTAACATGTCTGTATAGGATGTTGTTGCTGCATTTGAGATTGTGAATTGCACCAACGTAGAAGTGCAATGCCAGGTCTGTTGTCTATAAATATATATCTGCTTACGGACCATCTTTTTTACTTCTCAAGTCTGCAAATTTTTTAAGACACTAATGCTCTTGCTTTGTCTTGACTTCATCTATGGCTGATCCAGGGTTCAGCTCCCACAGTTTCTGTGGACAACACGACTGGCTGTCAGTTATATCTAAGCAAAGACTCTTTAGAAACAGCTATAACAACAGCCAAATCGAGTGAGATCAATGTAATGGTGCCCGGTGCTTCCCCTGATGGAGACTGGGTATGGATTTCCTCTCTCTATCCATGAAATCCTTTTGATTTCCTCGTATCCCTCAAATTTATACACCGAGCAATGAAATATATCTGGAGTCTGGTTACTGTGGGTGGTACTAAAATCCGGAAGTCATTGTTTATACAAGTGCACTGTGAATAGACTGTTAATTGAAGGAATGATTCTCATAGTGTTTTTATTACAACATTGTAGGTGGAACATGCGCTGCCTCAACAGTACAATCATGTGTTCACTGAAGGGAAGTTTGAGACAACACCGGTCTCGCACTCAGGGGCCTAAGCTAAGGAGAATCTCTTTTCACTCTGGGTTTTGCTTTGAATATCAGGTCTTTTTTTTCACTCATACTTGATTTCTTCAGATTATAATAGCGGAGAGCATCTGTTTGTTTGTTGGTTCTGTCTCTATCCCCCAATTTTGGGTTTGGAGGTTCTTTTGTTTTCTGTTTGTTGTGATCCATCTCGTCTTTTGTTCGTCCTTGTGGTCTTGGATTGGATTTGGGTTTCTCGTTTTCTTTTTCTTTTGTGCACTCATGCTTGCGCAGAGTTATTGCTGATGAAAATGTGAACAAATATATTTGTCATGAATAGAAAAGTTGCAATCCTATTTTTTGGAATATGCAAGTCTTTATATATTATTGTTTTTGTTTTGTTTTGTAAATGATGTAAGCGTAATAGGAAATCTGGAGGAAAATGTAATAATGATTTAAAATGCGAATAGAAGCTTTAGTCAACATTAATTATTGAGTTGAACATTGTATCACCAAAGCTAAAATTATTGGTGGTGAAACGTGAAGAATGGGGTTTATTTTACACTCGTGCTTGCTGGGAAATAGCATGGAAAAGGTGAATAATGTCATCCGCTTTTTATGAGAACTGAAATTAAGGTTATAATTGATGAAAGAAATTATGTATTTTGTTTCTACATTACACGAACCTGTTGCGTATGTTCACAGATATAGCATCCCATTCTCTTTAATTACGAGATACGAATAAATGTCCCAACCATTTATGTACTTTGAGTCCTACATCCCAACTAATTTTATCATTTCACAACCACTAACAGTGTTAAAGTTTTAACCTTTCATTCTTTGAATCGGATTCATCAAACTGGAAACACACTTTTGTCCAACGATACATTGAGAGTAAACCTGTAACATGCAATTTGATGGACACTATTGATTATTTTTTCTTTAAAAGTCGTAAAAATTGCAGAAAGAAAAGCTCTCTTTCGAAGTTTCTCTGCAAAAAGTTGTCTTTCCGGAAATTGCCATACAATATTACAATAGTTGACCGAGACCGAAGACTTAACGTAAGACTTAAAAAATAGAAGTCGACACATGGAGTGTGGAAAAACGAGCACAAACGTGTCTTAATATTCTTTTCCCTACAAATGCAATTATAACCGTTACAGTAAAAAAACCTCTTCTTCTTTAATTAACAACAACACTTAGAAAACTTTCTCAAAAACTCTGTGTTTCTCCTTCTTCACCTTTCTCTCTCACCATCATGGCCATCTCCATCTCCCTCTCTCTCCTCCTCATCTTCTTTTCTCATTTCCCCTCCTCACGTAAGTATCTTCTTCTATACGACGTTGTTTTGTATCCTCTCTTACTCAATCCAACCTTGAATCTTCCTCTGTTTTTGTAATTGTTTTTTGGTCGACAGATGCAGAGCCCTTCATCGGAGTCAACTACGGCCAAGTCGCCAACAATCTCCCTCCGCCTTCAGAAACCGCCAAGCTCCTCCAGTCCACTTCGATTCAGAAAGTGAGACTATACGGCGCCGATCCCGCCATCATCAAAGCTTTAGCCGGAACCGGTGTCGGCATCGTCATCGGCGCCGCTAACGGCGACGTTCCTTCTCTCGCCGCCGATCCTAACGCCGCTACTCAATGGATCAACTCCAATGTCCTCCCCTTTTATCCCGCTTCCAAAATCATCCTCATCACCGTCGGCAACGAGGTCCCTCTCTAATCGTCAAAATTCTTTTTTTTTTCCGATAAAAAATTCACCAATTTCTCAATCAAATCGTAAACAGGTTCTGATGTCGAACGACCCAAATCTGGTGAACCAGCTACTCCCGGCGATGCAAAATGTCCAAAAAGCCCTCGAGACGGTGTCGCTCGGCGGGAAAATCAAGGTGTCCACGGTGCACGCGATGACGGTGCTGGGTAACTCAGAACCGCCATCTTCCGGTTCGTTCGCGTCCGTTTATCAAACCGGTTTAAAGGGAATTCTTCAGTTTCTCAGCGACACTGGTTCGCCTTTCGCGATTAACCCGTACCCTTTCTTCGCGTACCAAAGTGACCCGAGGCCCGAAACGCTGGCGTTTTGTCTGTTCCAGCCTAACCCGGGTCGACCCGACGTTAACACCGGAATCAAGTACATGAACATGTTTGACGCTCAGGTAAATTAATTATAGTTGGGTCCATACTTTTACGGGTTTGGTCCAAAACTAATCAATTCGGCTGTGTTTGGTAACTAATTAATTTTTTTAATTTTTTTCCTCAAAATCTGCAAATTAGCTAGTCGCTGGTTATGAAGTTGGTGTGACTGTTTTATATCTACTGATTTAGTTAGACGTGAAAGCATAGTTTATCTGAGTCTGTTAGTTTCAAGTAATTTATTGTTGTGACACACAAAAATAATTGGCAATATTCACGTGGACGAATCTATAGTTGAACTTTCGGTTTTTATATATTTTTGCACTAGATTGTAGCAAGGAAGGAACTTGTTCTGTCTCTACTTTTCCACTTAGAAGGAATCTATATTCTTATTATATACTCGTACAAAAGACAGTTGTCTGCATTGGGTGATCCGTGTCCATACGTATATATGTCTGAATCTACACTTTCTTAGTTTCTTTAACACACTCAATCTACATAATTAACAACCTATAATTAACACACTGAATATATGCCATGTGTTACTAATAATTATCTGCTTAGGGAATAAGTATGCGTGACGATGACTTGTCGTCAGTCGTTTACCGAATTTCTGACAGGCTGGATTCGCACTATAGTTATTTACACTTATTTTAGATGGTTCTTGAAACATTTGTTTGTACTCGTCATCATCAATTCCACGTAAGCACCGTCGACCATACCCAATAAAATAACTAAAAAATAAAATAGAGGAGAAAATGGTAACGTTTCAGGTCATATGACGTGTTTGTGTCTTCGTCCAAAGTAGTATAAGAAGTCTTTTTATCTTTGCTTGCAACACAAGTTACTTACAGTCTCTCTGTTTCATTATTATAGGTTGATGCGGTACACTCGGCTTTGAAATCGATGGGATTCGAAAAGGTGGAGATCGTGGTGGCGGAAACAGGTTGGGCTTCACGAGGAGACACCAACGAGGTCGGACCGAGCGTGGATAATGCCAAAGCTTACAACGGAAACCTAATAGCTCATCTAAGGTCAATGGTTGGAACACCTCTCATGCCTGGAAAGTCTGTGGACACTTACATTTTTGCACTCTACGACGAGAATCTCAAGCCTGGACCTTCTTCGGAACGTGCTTTCGGTCTTTTCAAAACCGATCTTTCCATGGCCTATGATGTAGGCCTTGCCAAGAGTAGTGGTAGTAGTAGCGGCAACAGTAGTAGTCAGGTTTGATACTCTTATGATGATTTGGGCTGCGATTGTTTTCTACAATATAACCTAACAAAAAGAAAATGTTGAAAGTACTAGATTTTATGGTTTGATTTGGAAAAGGAAAATATATTTTATTATAACATGATAACACATATGCTAATAGTAATCTGAGGTTTTAATTGATGAGGTTACGTTTTTGATGATAAAACCAGACGCCATCAGGGAAAGTGACGTCGACAGGGTGGTGTGTACCAAAGAAGGGTGCGACTGATGAACAGTTGCAAGCGAGCTTGGATTGGGCTTGCGGTCAAGGAATAGATTGTGGGCCGATACAACCAGGAGGAGCTTGTTTCGAGCCTAACAATGTTGCATCACACGCAGCCTTTGCCATGAATATGTATTTCCAAAAGTCTCCTAAAAACCCTGCAGATTGCGATTTCTCTCAAACCGCAACAATCACCTCCCAAAACCCTAGTAAGTGTTTCTCTCCTCTTAATTCTCACGCTCTACCAATAATATTTTTCGACCTTTGTATAAGAAGTTGTTACAAAACCAGGTTAATGAACCACCATACAACCTTGTCTTGTTCGTCCGAAAATAGGAATCAATTTTCATCCATTGCGCTTTCTTATTGGCTAGTACTACTATAAAACGTTTTACATGATCCTGCTACTAAAAATACGAAAGAGACCACATTAATGTCCTTTTTTAGTATACCAAGTTTGCTAATATCAACCGCTGGACAATAGTAAATTGCATTATACTAATTGATGTTGCATTTGAATTTGATAGGTTATAACAGTTGCGTCTATCCGGGAGGAGGAGCAGGAAGTGTAGGTGTAATGAACAAATATGTGAACTCAGACAAATTAGAGAGAAAAACGAATGGAGCAGTTGAACCAAAAGTTTCGTTTTCTTTATCGTTTCTACTCATTTTTATGTTTTTAATCCTCCATGTAGATATGTAATTAGCTCTTGGGGGTAGTTAATCAACTACTCTTACTTCTTGTTTTCCTTTTCTTATTTTTGCCAAAAGGGTTACTTCTTGTTTTCTTCCCTCTTTTGTATTCGTGTAATCAAGTTGTTATTAGTTTTATATAATAGTTACACACATGCATTTCATAATAGATTTTTATTGGAGTCTGTAACGGCTACTTCCACTAGACTTCCTTCCGATTTTTTTCTTTTTTCGTGGAACTGAATGATTAAATTTCCAATCGTGAAACTTTTAATTTTTATTCTGATATTGATTATGAACAAAAACGTGAAATGCAATGGAATGACATGTTGAAATATCGAATGTTGTTTGACTTAATTAAAATTTTACTTTTTTGATTTTGATCACTAATTTTACAACAATAAAAAAACGAAATTAGTGTATATAAATCAAGGTTGTAACAAAAAAGACGCTAAAATAGTTAAAATCCTGCATAATAATAGAGATTTACAGTGAGAGATTGATCATAATAATAACGGGAAAGGAGGAAGGCAAAAGAAACCTGGAAGGTCAAGAACGACGTCGTTGTGGCAATGGTGAAATGGGGTCCACTTTAATATGGTGGCAAAATGTCAATCCGTATTGACTCTGGCTTCCATCTTCTCTTCTCTCTTCTCTTTCATCTCGGCTCTTCAGGTCAAGAGTCCATCAAATTAGCGTGTCTGACTGCTTCAGCTTTCATCATCTGCTCCTCCCTCTTTTCCCACGTAATTTCCCCAAATCCACTCTCTCTCGGGTTCGATCTCCCTCTCAATCATGAACCTTCTTCTCTTCTAGACATTTCTCCTGCCCCCTTAATTTCTTTGATCGGCGACGGAGAACTCCAAGTCTGAAGCGGGAATGTCTGTCTCTGAGCTCAAAGAACGTCACGCCGTCGCTACGGACACCGTCAATAACCTCCGCGATAGGCTTAGACAGAGACGCCTCCAGCTGCTCGACACCGATGGTTTGGGATTCTTTCTTCTTCTCTTCTTCATCACAGTCCATCTGTGATACGGAAAATTGTTGTTCTTAGATCTGTTTTGATTTTTTGGGGATTGAATTTTGGCAGTGGCGAAGTATTCAGTCGCGCAAGGACGTACTCCGGTCAAGTTCGGAGCTACGGATCTGGTTTGCTGTCGTACTCTTCAGGGACACACGGGAAAGGTGAGTGAAAGTTCGATCCTTTTTTTTTTTTTTGTATCTTACAAGCGAGTACGATTCTACTTTACATATATCAACGGAATTTTACTAGCCTTTTCTGTATGATGGACGATTTGGAGCTGCAAAATGTGGTCTTGTCCTTCAAGTATGGTTATTTCTGTAGTTTTATACCATTTTAGGGGAAGCTAGAAGCTTCCATTTTTGGAGGAGTTTAGGTCGGAACCAGTCTACCAATTCTTAATAGTTATCATGTTTGAGGAGTAGAAGCATTTGGTATGGTAAAGATTCAGACGAGGTAGCTTGTAACTTTAACATGTGGCATTTACAGGTTTATTCGTTGGACTGGACTCCGGAGAGGAATCGTATTGTGAGTGCATCTCAAGATGGGAGATTAATCGTGTGGAATGCTCTAACGAGTCAGAAAACTCATGCTATAAAACTCCCTTGTGCATGGGTTATGACATGTGCCTTCTCTCCAAATGGTCAGACGGTTGCGTGTGGTGGATTAGACAGTGTATGTTCTATCTTCAGTCTTAGCTCAACCGCAGACAAGGACGGAACTGTACCGGTTTCAAGAATGCTCAGTGGTCACAGGGGCTATGTTTCTTGCTGTCAGTATGTCCCAAATGAGGATGCTCATCTAATCACCAGCTCAGGTGATCAAACATGCGTCTTATGGGATGTAACCACTGGCCTTAAAACTTCTGTTTTTGGTGGCGAGTTTCAGTCTGGACATACTGCTGACGTCCTAAGGTATGGTTGTTGCTTCCATCTGCTTCTTTTATAGGCATCATACGGATTCCAAAGTAGCATATACCGAGTTATGGAATCAACCTATCGGTTTGGTCTATAGGATAGGGAGTTCATGTTGTTTGTAATATTTGCATTGATAATTTATTGGAGTTCTACTTAAACTCATGCTCTTTTACACGGTGATTTGTGCCTCGTTTCTTCCAGTGTCTCAATCAGCGGATCAAACCCAAATTGGTTTATATCTGGTTCATGCGATACCACTGCACGCTTGTGGGACACTCGCGCTGCAAGCCGAGCAGTGCGAACATTTCATGGGCATGAGGGAGATGTTAATACTGTCAAGTTTTTCCCGGATGGGAATAGATTTGGGACTGGATCAGACGATGGAACATGCAGGTTGTATGACATTAGGACCGGTCATCAACTCCAGGTGTATCAGCCACATGGGGATGGTGAGAACCTCCCTGTAACCTCCATCGCGTTCTCTGTCTCGGGGAGACTTCTTTTCGCTGGCTACGCAAACAACAACACCTGCTACGTCTGGGATACTCTCTTGGGAGAGGTAAGCCAATTAATATAGAGTATGAGTGGTGAGAGTTGTTTTTCGGTCATTCATTGTGATGTATGATTATTTGAATGTGGGGGTAATATTTTGCAGGTTGTATTGGATCTTGGGAAACTTCAGGATTCACACAAGAATCGGATCAGCTGTATGGGGATGTCAGCAGATGGAAGTGCCTTGTGTACAGGAAGTTGGGATTCAAATCTAAAGGTCAGTGTCTCCAAGTTAAAACCAAAATTAAGTAACAACAGGAGAGTTGTGATTAAGATGATAGAATTTGAGGATATTTTTCATTAATATACACAGATATGGGCGTTTGGAGGGCACCGGAGAGTGGTTTGAAGAAGATAATTGTAACGTAAGAGTCGCGTCTCAGCTCCATTTCCAGTTCTTGTGGTGTGGTTAATATATTCTGTAGTCTGGAAGTAAAAACCGGTTTTTGCTTTTAGATAGAGTGGTTAGAAGGATGAAACTTCCCGCCTTTTGTGTTCTAGTGTGCTTTGATTTGTTAATTTCATTTGCGTTTTAGTAAACCATAAACCGCATTACTTTTTATTTTCCCACTCAATGTGAATTCTATAATCAATTGTGTATCAATCAGTTGTTACTACCATCTCTTGATCTTTCACAGATTTATCCACACACAACAAAAAGCCAATGTCTGTACATCAGTAGCCCCACAAATCTTAGGTAAGTTTACTTTATGCTGTGTTAAAAACTTTTGAGGTATGGCCTGCAAAAACTTTTGAAAAAAGAGACTCAAGGACAAAAATTGAAATCTATATATTATTAAATTTAAAGAGGTTTTTTTTTGGTAAAATATGTATCCAAGCTAATTTGGAATTTGTAGGTTTGGTTAGATTGAATTGAATTTTATTGTCCAAATTGAAATGAGAAAGCGGGGAATGATCCACAGTTGAGCAAATGAGAGTTCTCTTTATCCTCGACAGTCGTTTCACGATTACATTATTATAATAAAATTAAACATCATATTAATTGATATTAGATCTAAGCAATTAAAATATTTCTTTAAATCATTATATCAAATACAAAACTCATCATAAAAGAAAAGAAAACCCCACAGTATGTGACAGTAATAATGTAGACAAAAGAAGGTAACTATACTATTAAAAAGTTCGGATCATAACAAAAACTATACTATTTCAAAAGATAATGTATATTGAGGTTGGATAAGTGAAGGATCTTTCGCAAACAGGATGAATGTTTATTTCTGGTCTTGTACTTATTAATAACACTCTTTGGCACCTGTAGACAAGTGAGAGTTTTTAGCCGCTGGCAACAATCTCGTGAATGGCCTCGGCTACAGAGACGTCCTCTGCTCTAACCGCCAGCTTCATTGCAATCTCCTTTGAGCTGTCCATTCCAAACTGTGCCCTCACCAACACTTTCACGTTCCCTATGTACACACCTGACAATAAGCAAGTGTGTGACCTTGCATTACTCGGTACTGTCTCCGTCCCCTGCAATTTTGTTTCTCCAGCATCAGTAGTTTCAAGTTATCACTAAACCGTCGTATGAGATATCACTTCAGGTAGTTTAGTTTCTCTTTTTAAGCATAAGAAAAGGCGGGAAAGAGACTAACCTCACAAGGCTGCATGCCAAGAAGATCAATCACAGCCTTTATAGCTTCTCCCAAACTCTCTCTTTGGCCAAGGCCATATTCGTCTACATGCTCATCTTCTTCATCCATGCTTTCCCATGCATTCCTGAAGTTGGAGACTAACACTTTCATCATGTAATCTGCAGCTACAACCTCAAGATCCTCCAGCTGGTACTCATCTTCTACCCCATCATCCTCTGCTTCACCTGTGCTTGGGTCAACCTGTTACAATCACAGTTATTAGGCACAATTCATACTGTTTTCCATTTTTCATGTGTTTAATTAAGAGCCATCCTAGTACTTCCACTTCATCTAAGATAACTAAAAAAAGTATTCGTGAAAAAAGTTACGACTTTGACAGAGTTCACGGAATAGGTTTTTTGGTACTTCAAGTGACCGGCTCTGTTTCTTCATGAGAACGAAAAAAATCTCGTTTTCTTATTTTTTTTTATAAAAAAAAAACCAGATGATTTTCTACAGACGCCCTAATTCTAATCAATCATATTCCCACTAATTCTTCTAGCAAATCTTCTATAGATAATTCTATAATTCAAGTTCATCAATATCACCTCCTCTCCAAATGAGTCGGTATTTATCAGAGTTCTCCACAAAGTATACTATAAGATTATCTGAACAGCCTTCAGCGTGTATTTAATAAATGAATCATAAAAAAGATGGAAATATAAAGCAACATGTACCTCCTTAACAACAAAAGTCAATGTGTTGGAAAACTTTCCAACTGCAGGGACACCTGCTGGCTTCTCAAAAGCAACAAAGGTTTGACCAGGCGAATCGTAAGGAAGTGAGTTTAGGGCCTTTGAAGTTACTTCACTGAATTCCTCTGCTTCTGAAGCATCTACAATGACATTGACCTACAAAAACCCACGCCAAAATAATGAAATGAAATAAAGAAAGCGGTAAAATATGCTTTACACCAATGTTCTAGACTAATGATTCAGTACCCTCTCCAACAACTGCTCTTCTATTGTGTTAGTGCAGTTGTATTGAAACACCACATGATTGTCAAAGATATGCTTTACAACATTGACGGCATATTCTGTTTCGGCTTCAGTTAGCTCCACAGGTGAAGAAGACTGAAAAAGGAAGTAAAAGTTAAAACAATCGAGGTAAGCCAATGACATTAGATTGAAACAGAAGAAAATTCATCCCTAACCTTGAAAAGTTTTCCAAAGGCGGCAAACTCTGGAATAGATGAGAGAAGTCTTTCATAGCCATCAAAACCAGGAGCAGGTGCAGCTGGAGGCGCACCGAGACCAGTGGGCTTTTTACCCTGGGCTTTCTTCTCTGCAAGGGGCTGAGATTTTACTTCCTTAGGCACGGAGTTGATATCAAAAGCTTCTTCAGAGGGATCCTGGAGAACCAAATATATAAGATAACTGATATCCGAGGAAGCATACGAAAAGAAGAGAACCGAGAAATGGAAAACTCACATAATTTTTCAGACTAGTTTCCATGTTGACCAGGGGTACATCCAGGGAACCAAATAGAAACTCCTTGCTATCTTCATCAGTGTCAACAGTACCATCACCACCAAGGACGCTCAAAAATAGTGTTGCTCTATCACGGACCTTAAAATAAAAAGAAGTAGGAATCAACAAACAACTTGCATGTATCTTCTCAGAAAGTGTTTACAAAGGCAAGAACACATGTATTCTTGTATAATGATGTAACCGACTCAAGGGTACACAAACAGCATACAGAACCAGAGATGGACAGATACTGCAACCAACGACAAGAAGACAACTTTTCTAGACTAAAACTAGGAACGCACCTCATCATCACTGTCATAGATGCAGCGCTTCAACAGAATGGTTATCCGGGGCTGCCGAGCATCCAATGATTATGCTCTTCATAGTCAGTAAAGGAAGATAAAACGAAAAAAAAAAATGGTTGATAAGATAGCTAGACATACCTTCAAGGATTCAACCATAAACCCAAACTTTGCAAGTGTCGAAACAGCAGCAGCCCGGACAGTGGCATTTTCCAGATGCACACGATTATAAATATATCGTATGTACTTGCTTGGATCAGAGGTGTTTGGCCCTTCAATTCCTAGAAAATGAAGGATCTGTGCGACGAAACAAATGTTACTACCACACACGCATGTTATAATAGCAACACCAGATGGATGATGGAGAAATAATTTACCTGTGTTGAAAGATATGTGAATTCACAATCTTCAATGAATTCACAAAGATGAAGCAATCCACTTTCCTTCGCATCAGGAATATCTCTGATAATGGTTACAATAGAATCTACTATTGCTCTTTTATACTCAAATCCACCTTCTTCCCTAAGAATGTTGCTTAAGAAGGTCATCCTACAAATGAAAAGGTGACACAGATTAATCATAAGGGACAATGCTATAAAGTCATTTCAAAAGAAAAGCAAGAGACCAAAAATACAATTAACACACCCTAAAACTTCACTTACAAGGATCTGTACTTCAGTGGAAATTTCACACACAACGATCTTATTGCTTCCACGACCACAATTTTGAACTCATCAGCAATATCTGACATAAAATTAGTTATCTGCTTCATCAAGCGTTCTACACTTGATTCGTTCCCCGTTTTTAGGAGAGTGGTGATTGCGAGTGTAGCAATGCTTCTATTCTGATCAGAAATTAAACTTTCCATATCAATGTTGCAGTTGGTGACAGCCATAGGATGAGTCATTGCAACCTGTGGTTCAAACTTGCGTTTAGTGTACAGTGAAACATCTTTTTGTGCTTGATTGTAAAGGAAATGATGAAACTATCCAGAAAACAATAAAATACTTTCGGTGTGTCTCAATATCCAAAGAAAAGAGTTGAAAACTTATTTATAAATATTCCGATTAGAAAACATTGCAAACCTTGTTCAAAGTTCGGACAGCAGCAAATCTCAACACTGGTCTGGGGGAACTCAAAAATAGCTGGAGAACAGTGATTGCTGGAGTCAATTCTCGGCTTGTCACACCATCAAGCTCAGTGATCGCCCTGGCAGCCTCAAGGATCACCATTTCTGCTTTATGGCGCAGACAACTCTCCAGAAATTCATAGAATGGACGTTCTCCAGACTGACCGTGGTTGGACATGTCACGGATAACCTGAGAAACTGAGCTTAATCACACAATTACTTTCACCCACATATCAGATAATCAAACGGCATAGAGGACTAACCTGACTGGTGTAGCGTATCAAAAGACATTGAGCCAAGGGAGAGCGGACAGATCCCCTGGTCAAGCTAACAACCAACTTGCTAACAGCCAAACGATCATTTTGGCGTATCTATAATGTTTGATGTATGTAGTCAATACTCTTTATTGTCAAGATGCTTATTCTCAGAGGTGTTTAACTAAACAAAGAACAGAACATAAACCAATTTACATCGGTAATACCAATGCAACACACTTACCTGATGGAGCAAAGCTAGGGCATGAAACTGAACAAGGGCTGATCTGGATTGAATACCTTCTTGAACCTCATTGCTCCATCTTTTAACAATTTCTGGGTTTGTCTGAAAACAACAATATCAGAATATGAGCATAACCTAACAAATAAGAAAAAAAACTAACAGTTTTGGTGTGCAGAAGGTACCTTTAGCAAGTGAAGTCCACTGACCAAAGCTGCACTTGAAACAACGGGATTCTTGTCCACAATGGCTTGTTTCAAGTATCGCTCAATCTGAGTGAGAAGGGTTCCGTCTATAATCCGGCAGAGGACACGGATAGCATTTGCTCGATACATATCAATTTTGCTGTTCATGTCCTTCATAAGGGAGCTTGTTACAATGATAACCTATGGGAGAAAGATCAAACAACTTATCAGAAAATACACCTACAATAGGTACCCCGATTTTCGTATTCAAATTGAGTAAAGATGGAAAACCTCATCCGATGATGGAGATAACTCCTTTATGATCAAGTAGACCATTCTCCTCAAACCTGTGTCTTTAGATTGGAAAAGCTTTGTAACTGAAAAGAAAACTTCGGTTGCTTCAACCTGCATATGAAACAGAGCAAAACTCATGGAACATGATACTTTCACCACAATACTACCACAAGTTGTATGATATTAACAAACGGCCACCGGGAGGGGATACAGATACTATAGGAACAAACATTAAAAAAAACGGACCTTGGTGAATGACTCCCCTTGGTTAAGCAAATAAAGAAGTTTCGTGATGACCTGTTGATTTACGGGAAAGAGTATGATAACCAGTAAGATAAAATTCCAGAGAAGAAAAGGCAAAACTACAAGAAAAAATTGAAGACAGAAAACCGTAGCAATTACCTGCGAGCATCTTCTGGGATCAACCTGAGGGTCATTAAAGACTCTAGCTTCTTGAAGTACCGCTCCTTTCTCAATTCCCATGAATGGAGAATACTCCACTGAGCCAGCAAAAATTAGAAACTGAATTAACACCAGATCCAATGTGGTAAGTAACAAAACCAGATTGATCAAAACTAAACTATGTCTGACATTTTTATCAATCCGCAAATTTCGCAACAGAACATAAAAAAGAGACGCCAAGAACTCAACGAAACTGGAAATCGTAGATCTACACAACCAAATTACAATACACGGCTGTCAAATGATATCTAGAATAGCACAGATCTATAAGCTTAACATCTGATATGCGCCTTGCACAAACCAGATATCTCGAACAATGAAATCCTAAATTAACAGCAGATTAAGCGAGAGAAGAAAAACGGAGGACATACACTCATCGTCGTGATCATCGTCTTTCTTCACGAAAGGTTGCGCCATTGATGATCTCCCTTACGCCGTCACTCAGATCTCGGTTCTGTTCACCTTAAGCACAGATGCAACTGTCAAAACGCAAATGCGGGAGAAGGATCTATCTTTCTCTTCTATTTCTCTTCTTATGTTTTGAGAGTCGCTCGAATTCGGAAACTGTGGGATCGATCGAAAGGAGCAGATGGCTAAAATGCCATAATGTAGAAAAAAAAAGGGCAAAATGCCATAATTGTAATAATTAATTTAATTTTGATTTTTGTTTAAATTCAAAACTTTGGAAAAACCTACACTCACCTTGATATTTCGATTTATTTACAGTAAAATCAGGGTCAAACCCATCTAGTTTCGGTTAATCCATTAACCCGACTCATTCAAAATTATTTTAATTATTTAAATTAAATATTTATGAAAACCGTTTTTTCTTTTCATTTTCTAGGTTTTCCTCTTTTCTCTTCCTTTTCTTTTCATTTATTTGGAACGAACCCGTCTGAAAAGAACTCGTCTGAAAACCGTCTTCTTCATTCTCACTTCTTCATTCACACTTCTTCGAGAAACCGATTCGCGAAAACACAGCAAAACTGTTAAAGCATTAGGGCTTTATAAACTTGTAGAATCGTTTTCTTCTGGCGAAAATCGCGAAAAGGGTGATTCCCGAATCTCCGATTTATGGCGAAGGTGAGAAACAAAGGTCAAGTGTATGAGTCTTCTTCTTCAGCGGCGGAAGTCCAAAACCCGCCGGAAAACGAAAAAGAGAGACCTGAAAGTGGGCCGGAAGGAAATGCGGCTGAAATTGAAGACCCAGAAAACGGGAACCCTAACAATCCGGCGGAAGGGAACCCGACTCCGACGGAAATTGAGGAACCCCGGCGGGAAGGAAGGGCTGCGGAGGAAATCGCAGACCCACAAATCGAGAATCATCCTGAAATTGAGAACGCCGAAGTGAGCATGGCCACACCAACGGCAAACGATGGTGACGGGGAATTAGCAGGAGAAGATGTAGCAGAGGAGAAGGAAAATGATAAGGAAAACGAAGAGGAAGTGGAAGAGAACCAAGAGGAAAAGGAAGAGAACAATGAGGAAGAGGAAGAGAACAATGAGGAAGAGAACAATGAGGAAGAGAAAGAGGAGGAAGAGGAAGAGAACAATGAGGAAGAGAAAGAGGAAGAGAACGAAGAGGAACCCAACCAAGAGGAAGAGGCGATAGGAGGTGAAGAGGAAGATGGTACTGCGCCTGCGCAAGAGGAAGAGGAAGCGGAAGAGAACCAAGAAGAGAAGGATGAAGCGCCAGCCAATGTCAACGAAGAGGAAGGAGAAATGCTAGAGGAGGAAGGAGGAATGCAAGAGGTACGTTTTAGACTCCCATCCTTCGTAATCTTGTAGATTATTGTCTGTTTGGTATGTAGACAACTAGGACAACTATGTAGTAACATGTATGTTTGGGCTGCGGACAAATAGGACAATTTTGTGGCTTAAGATTTTTTTGGTATTAGGACAACTGGGACAACATATAGTTATAGTGTATAGGACAACTGGGACAACTTAGAATTATTGAACGTGTGTGGACAACTGGGACAATTACTCGTTTACAGTATTTATTGGACAACTGGGACAACTTGTCGGACTAATATATATAGGTTACTATGGACAATTGGGACAACAAGTTTAACTAATTTATATTACTCTTCTGAAATTCAGGATGCCGATGATGAAATGATGCCAATGGGGCCTGAGAAGCTTTATTTTGGTCCAAGCGAATATAGCAAGGCGTGTAAGATAATTACAAGATGTGCAGTTAAGAGTGTACTTGATGTGATCGGGGAGCTACCTGAAGAGATGGAGTGGTTCAAATCGCATCCGCAATTCAAGCACCTGTTTCATATGTATAAGGAGCCAAATCATATGAATCAAGGGTTGTGGATGCTTCTTCTTCACACAGCTTATACTGAGAAGCAAAATGAGGCGTGGTTTGTGGTAAATGGAGCGTCTATTCGATACTCTTTGAGGGAGCATGCACTGCTATGTGGTCTTGCCTGCCATGACTACCCTGCGAATTATAAGAAGTTGGGTAAGCTGAACTTTGTAAAAAAGCATTTTGGCAGGGATGACAAAATCAAGATCGGAGAAGTGGAAGCAAAGCTAGCAGAAATGAAGGAACCCTCTTTGGACAGGAAGAGGATGGCACTACTTTTGTTTTATGCAAAGTATTGAAGGCGAAGTCAAAGCTTGACGGAAACATTGACCAATTCTTGCTCGCAGCAGCCGGAGATCTGAAGCTGTGCAAAACGTTTTCTTGGGGGCGTTACATGTTTGACGAGACTATAAGGGAGATCCAGCGTGTGGTTACCAAGTTCAATGGCAGCGTAAAGCCTAAAGGAGATGAATGCACAATCGGTGGTTTCATTCTTCCTCTACAGGTATGTCTTTGTTAATAGATTATCTGTTTGGTATGTGGACGACTAGGACAACTTTTTAGATTAATATATGTTAACATGGACAAGTAGGACAACTATTTAGTTTGTAATTTAATTTGGTATGTGGACAACTCGGACAAATGGGACAACTATTTAGTTAGTAATTTAATTTCAGGTATGTGGACAACTCGGACAAATGGGACAACTATTTAGTTGTAATTTAATTTGGTATGTGGACAACTAGGACAACTGGGAAAAATATTCAGATTGATTTATGTTTTGACTTTGTAGATTCTTGCGTTTGAGTGCATTCCAAGTCTGGGAAAGAGGTTTCGTGTAGCTGTCCATGCTGAGCCTAACTCTCATACCATCTTCTCCATCAGCTCGGTAATATGAACTATCCCATGAGTGCCTAGAAGAAGAAGAACCCGAACTATAGCTTGGCATCTTGTTGTCCAGCGGCGGCCGCTAAACCCTAGATTGAGCTTTCGATTTGGGGGAAATTCTGTTTTTTCTTCTCTAAGAATTTCCTTATAAAGGAGCCTACTGATCAAAACGCTGAGTTTCATTCTAATATTTGCCGGCGCCGCAAATATTAATTTAACACGTGCTTAACGCGCTCAATACCGAAAATAACACATAGTTGTACCGATACGTCCTGTTGTCCAAAATTGGTCATAGTTGTCCATTTTGATTATTCTACTTGTCCGGTAACATAAATCTGTATTAAATAGTTGTCCAGGGGACGATAGACTCATGGTTACTATTTACTATTACATTGCAAGATAATTTGATCAAAATCATATAAATTTCGTTTTGCCCTTTGTAAGATGCTCCATTATGAAAGAGTTACATGTATCATATGAGGATGTTGATGTGAAACCCATACATTGTTTCAACAAACCGATAATATCAAAGAGTTACATGTATCATTTGGTTTAATTTGTTAGGTTAACAAGAAACCTTACGTAGTTGTACCAACTTGTCCAGAAATTCAGTACATATAAGAAATACAAAAAAACATAACGTAGTTGTACCAACTTGTCCAGTTGTCCCAAAAAATGCGAAATCCAAAAAAACTCTAAACATAACTTAGTTGTACCAACTTGTCCGGTTGCACCTGAGAGTTAAACTACATCAAAATACAAAAAAACATAACGTAGTTGTACCAACTTGTCCAGTTGTCCCAAAAAATGCAAAATCCAAAAAAACTCTAAACCTAACTTAGTTGTACCAACTTGTCCAGTTGCACCTGAGAGTTAAACTACATCAAAATACAAAAAAACATAACGTAGTTGTACCAACTTGTCCAGTTGTCCCAAAAAATGCAAAATCCAAAAAAACTCTAAACCTAACTTAGTTGTACCAACGTCCGAGATGTATTCCCGGTTGTGACTTGTTACATCCTTTACGGCGAGCTTCTCCGGTAGAGGGATAGCGCTTATCTCGCTTTCTTCCACGTTTCTTAGTGTAATCCGGTGGTAAAACGACTAACTTCTGGATTTCATCAGGGATAATCCATGTAGACTGATGTGGCACCATATAAATAGTCCTGTAATAAGCCAGGGCCCAAGTATCAATGTGGTAATATTTTGAGCACAATTCATGTAAGTGGATTTCTCTTCTTCTCTCAGCCGAACGCATCATTGCAATGTCAGCGGCTATTGCATGAACACAGGGAATCTTGTCTATATCAAAACGCCTACAGCTACAATATTTACTTAACAAATCGACCAGATAACTCTTCCCATCATCTCCAATCACACTGTATTCCAGATGAGTAGCGTTAAGCTCAGTGACAAATAATCTTGTACCAATTGCACATAGACTATGCAACTGGTTCTCAACATAGGGCACCAATGTCTTCGAATCTGATGCATATGCAGTGTCTTTCCTATGCTTGTTGAACCATTCAGAGATTTTTTCAACATATGCATCAATCAACGGTAATAAGGCATACTTCCTTGCCTTCTTGAAGACACTATTCATAGACTCACATGCATTGCTTGTGTCCAAGTTGTACTTGTCTTCTTTAAAGAAGCACCTTGCCCATTTATCAACCGCAACATGCTCATCTAAATACTCAGCAGCTTTTGGAAACCATATCCTAAAATCAGTGTACGCACATAGGAACTCACTTTCAGTGTATTTGTGAGCGCATTCTCTGAATTTTACTGCACACAAATCTTTGCAGCCAATCCCAGCTTTCCCTCTCACGTTTTGCGACAAATGCCAAATGCAATATCCATGCTGAGACTGAGGGTACACCTCCTTCACTGCTCCAATGATGCTCTTATGTCTGTCACTCATAAAAACCAGTTCCTTATCATCAGGTATAACAGTTTTGAGTGTTTCAAAAAACCACTTCCAACTAGCATCTTTTCACTATCAATAACACCCATTGCAATTGGATAATGGTGATGATTAGGATCCTGCGCTGTGGCAAATACTAGCAGACCACCGTACACACTCTTAAGAAAGGTCGCATCCACAACTATGACTTTCTTCATTGCTCTAAAGCCTTCAATACTAGCGCCCAAAGCGACAAAGAGATACTTAAACTTATTTTTGGCATCCAGTTTCACACTGGTTATTGTCCCAGGATTAACAAGCTGTAACATGTAAAGATAACAATACAACTTTCGATAGCTTTCTTCTGGACTGCCCCTCACTTCACTAATAGCTAGTTTTTTCCCTCTCAAGGCTGTAGAGTATGACACATTCACGTGAGCTTCATTTTGAACAACTTTAATCAAAGCTTTGGGCGCAGGGGTGTCTACTTCTCCTGGATAGCACCCACGCAAAACATCTGCTACTACTTGTGGTGTGCCTTTCCTTTTATTCCGAATTGTGCTCGAAACAACCCGAGAGCAGGTATGGATATTCCTATACACCTTAATACTGAAATACGTAGAATCCACAATTCGTACGGCGTGTAGATACCATGTACAACCAAGTTCAGCTTGCCGGCATCTTAGTGTGAGTCGCCCTGTATCTGACTTTACCGTTTTTACCTCAAAACAGCCCTTATGTGAAGCTCTGTCGACCAAAACGCGCAAAGCCTCCTTGGATCGAAATTCTTGACCTTTTTCAAACCCAGCTCCATCCTCCCATTCTAGAACAAACTGAGTTTGTTCCACAGGCCGTAGAGGCTTAACATGATCATGTTCATCTACATCTTCATGCATGCCACACTCCGCATTCTCCTCTGGTAACGCAATTTCACAGCTTACCCGTAAATCAACATTCTCCATCCTCTCAGTTTGTCCCTGTTGTCCCTCAATTTCACAGCTTACCCGTAAATCAACATTGTCCATCCTCTCTGGTTGTCCCTGTTGTCCCTCTGCTTCTTCCGGGTTGTAAACAATCAACTGGTCTCTTTGTTGTCCTTGTTATCCCTCAATATCAGGGGCGTCTTCTGCTCTGGGAAGCTCTTCACTCTCTATATCTTCCATTAGCTCCACATTCAAAATGGCTCTAAGTCCCTCTTTATCCACTGTCGTAAGATACACATAAACATCACCATCATCAACAATACATGACTCTCTAAAAGGCTTAGCTACCAACGGAATATAGCTCAATTTCAGATTCCTCATACTGTCATTCAACCCAATCTTCTTGCATATACCATCTACAAGCACCGAATAGGTTAACTCCTCCATAGATAAGTTTCTAAATGATATAGCATATATGGAATTTTTAGAATTCCATTTAAACTCTTCTCCTTTCGGTGAATAATATCCTCCATACTCAAAATATATGTTTGTGGGCCTACTCATTCTCTCCTGCAAATACAAAAAAAACAAATTAAAAATATTGCCAATTGTCAGCTTTCTCTCAATTTGTACCTGTACCAGTTGTACCAGTTGTCCCACTTTCTAAAGTTCTACCAATTGTACCAGTTGTCCCAGTTTCTAAAGTTGTCCCATTTGTACCACTTGTCCAATCTATCTAAGTTGTACCAGTTGTACCAATTATCCCGACACTCTTAGTTATACCACTTGTCCCAATTCTCGCAAATCTGACGGATTCATCATTCACAACTTAGAAGACTACGATTTAGCTCGATTCACCAACAACCATCCACTAATCGACCCATATAGTTGTCTTAAATATCCAATGTGCATGCTAAAACTAACAAATTTCACAAATCGACCCACAAAATTATAAAACCCCAAAATCATACCTGATGCTTCGCAAGGAGCTCACTCGAGTTCAGAAAACGAAGTCGTGCTGTACAGGAGGACGACGCGGTGGCTAATACGTCCCGACGAGCTGGGTCACGAGTCCAGCGCAAGATTCAGCTCGGATCGGACAAATCCAATTTCTCAGAAATGTCCAATTCGAAGAGAGAGAGAGAGGAAGAGAGAGGAAGAGAGAGGAAGAGAGAGAGAGTTTTGTTTTTCTTTTTTTTTTAATTAAACCAATAAACCAAAAACAAAAATTCAGCAATGCCACAATTACTTTTCATTAAGGACATAATAGGGTTTTCACTTCATTTATGGCACTGAGACTCTGTTATGGCACTGAAGATTTTTTCCCTTCGTTTTATGGCATATTGGCCATTCTTTCGATCGAAAAAGAAGAGAGAGCTCCGATCTACTGCGTCGGCGGCACAATTTTTATGCTGTGCTCTAGAGGCTATGATCTTGCGAGAGACTGCCACGTCATATCACTGAAATTTAGCAGTAACTGGTTGGAGAAATGATGTCACAAATTAAAAAGTTGAATTTAACTTTTAAATACTGTAAATAGATAGATAAGATGTACATCCTTTGGATTAAATACAATCATGATAAACATAGATTTTTTTTTTTTTATTATGTGTATCCTTTATAAAACCATAACTTTTGTATGGCTTAAGGCTTTGTAATATTATACATTTCAAACAAAAACACACTATAAGTGTCTGGTCAAAAATCACTCTTAACAATACAAACTGCAATTCTTTGACTCAGAATGAAACAAACAAAAGAACAAAGCCTTAGCAACAGATTTGAAGGCAGAGAGATAGAAAGTTTTAATATATGAGAAGTGTGTGTGTGTGCGTGTGTTTGGTTTTTCAAAACTGAGGATTGCGTCTCATTGAACCTCTATGCATTTCTTCACTACTTGAAGCAGAAGGATTCAAGCCATACTCACTTGTTGCACCATATTCACTGCTTTGATACTCTTTACTCTCTAATGCCAATTTCCTGAATTTTTTCATGTCTGCACTGTACGAGCTCGCGTCATACTCCGAGCTCACGCTCCCTGGGCTCAAATACGTGTTTTGTCCTGGTTTCCCTCCTTCACTTAGATCGTCCATTGATACATCTGCTTCTAGTGCTCGTACAATCTTTCATTATACATACATGTTCCAAGATTGATACGTATGTCACAATTATCATCAAGACTGTGATTGATGGATAACAAAAGAGTTAAGAATGTGAATATTTGAAACCTGGCTCATCTTAGGTCGTCTTCTTGCGGAGTGTCTGATGGCTGCAGCTGCACAAGAAGCCATTCGAGCCATCTCTTGTTGATTGTAGTTCGTCTCTAGACGTGGATCTGCTAATTGGCTGTAATCTCCATCTTGAGCTGCTTTCAAACACAGAGGCCTTGCCTGCAAATACAAATGGTAACATTAGGATTTTTGTTTTCTTTTTTGGGCAAGTGTCTGGGGATAAATAAACCAAAGAAAACGGGCCAGCTTACCCAATCAACCAAACTATCTTCCATTTCTCCAGTTAGATCCACAGGAGGCCGTCCGGTTATGAGCTCAAGAAGCATTACTCCAAAAGAGAAAACATCAGATTTGTCGGATAGCTTGCCACTTGACGCATACTCTGGAGCTAAATATCTGATTCAAAGCAGATGTTGTTAAGACGTATGAAACAGCTAGTGTGAATAAATCCCCTATAAGGAAATGATATTAAGATAGTTTAAAAAGCTGTTTACCCGAAAGTTCCCATGACACGAGTGGAGACATGAGTATAGTTGTCTTGAGATAGCTTAGCTAATCCAAAATCTGCCACCTGCATATATATATATGCACAACAGACTCATCTACGCAGATTCTAGAGAGTATATGAGAGAAATCAAAGTAATAATAGTATAAGGGTCAATATATATACCTTGGTTTCAAAACTGAAATCAAGAAGAATGTTTGCTGCTTTGATATCTCTATGGATAATGCGAGGATGACCTATATCATTGATGTAATAAAACATACAATCTTTCATTTCTTACAGAGAGCGAGATAGAAACTATATCGGGGATGAGAGAAAGATTAAATTACAATCTTCGTGCAAATATGCAAGGCCTCTAGCTGATCCCAATGCAATCTTCACTCGTGTAGGCCATTCCAAAACAGGACGACCCTTTCCTGAAAATTTTCAAATCATGCTATTGATAACAGAGAAACCATACTTAAAAGTGTTAACTCAAACTTATATTATATATGTTAGAACAATGTACCGTGAAGATGGAATTCAAGAGTGTTATTAGGTAGAAACTCGTAAACCAAAAGCCTTTGACCACCAGAGATGCAATATCCAACAAGAGAAACGAGATGGCGATGATGGACACGACTAATAATCTCAACCTCTGCTTGAAACTCGCGTTCTCCTTGTCCACTCCCAAGTTTAAGACTCTTCACTGCAACTTCTTTGCCACTAGGCAAAACCCCTTTATGAACATACCCAAATCCTCCTTGTCCTAGCAAATTTGACTGAGAAAAACCTTCTGTTGCAATGGACAGTTCGTCGTAAGTAAAAGTGCTTTGGTTATGACCAAGAGTCACAGCTGGAGGCGACGGTGTAGCAGCGGTCCGACCGGTTAAGTTTGAACTGTCGCTATGAGGACCGGACACAGGTTGCTGTGGTCCCCAATTCCCACCACCTTGAGAAGCCATATTCACTACATGATCTTGACGTGTTCCATTGTTGTAATAACCACCATTTCCTACACTATGCAAACAACTAAGTTAGCTTCTAAAGCCTAATACTTTACCAAGTTTGATTTACACTAGCATTTGATTACCATTGGGAGCTCCAAAGGGACTGTTATTGTAGTAGTGCATGTGGTTGACTTGAGGGGATCTTTTCTTCTTCTTCTTGTTGCAACAGATGCAAATAAGCACAAGAAGAAGAAGCAATAGCCCTGCTCCGACAAGGACTCCAATAATCAAACCAATGTTGGCTTGTTCCCCTGGTTGTAATAATGCGTCTGAATCTCCACTATTCCGAGGAGGGCTAATTGACCGAGGCGGTGAAGGTGAGCCACCGTCGCTGGAATTTCTGTTCCCGGACGGTGGAGACGGTGTGAAGACGTTGCTACCATTGGTTCTGTTACGGTCGTCAATGGCACCAGGAGGAGGAGAAGGAGGAGATGGTGTTTGTGAAGGAGGTGCTTGGTTCGACGGTGTTTGAGGCGGTGCCGGTGGCGTAACCGGAGAAGGAATCTCTGGAGTTTGCGGTGGCGGATTACCTACAGCCGGCGGAGATGGTGGTGATGAAGACGACGGAGGAGGAGGTGAGGTTTCCTGGCTCGGCGGCGGTGGAGAAGCCGAGATATTGTTGTTTGGCGGAGGAGCAGAATTCGGGGACGGTGGAGACGGAGCGACTGGTGACGGCGGAGATGACCCATTTGACGGCGGAGATGTCTCATTTGACGGCGAACCTGCATTGGGGGTTTCCGGGGAAGGAGGTGAATTCTCCGGCGAGTCCGCCATTGATGATGAATATTTCTCGGTGAAAGGTTTCTCAACGGTGGAGAAACCTTCGCCCCGGTGATCCTCGACGCAACAGCCTTGTTTTCCAAGCAACACGAATTAGCTTATGCGAATTGAAACCCAGAAATTAATACATGGTTTGTGAACAAAGGTAGAGAGAGAGAGAAATTGAGAGATCGTCTACAATGGTTTTCTCTTTGTGTTTGGAGAAATAGCTTCTCCTACAATGGAGGATAAAAGTTTCACTATAATTAGCAGAAAAATCGTCTCTCTTTTCTCTACCATCTATTTTTACTCTCTCTCTCCCTCTCTCTGTGCTACTTTTGCATGTGTGCCGTTTGAAGTTTGAACAACCAAACCGGTTTATAAACATAATACCCGAACCATGTATAGAGCAAAACCAACTCTCTCATTGGCGCGGGAGTTAGCAAATGACAAAAGGAAGTGAATGTTTAGCTCAATAACTGCATTAGTAGTCAACAATGTCAAATCAAAAGAAAGTGAATGTTTAGCTCTTAAAATCGACTTTCCAAGGTCCTCACTTCACTCAGTACTGATAATTGCTCACAGATCTTTTTCCCTGATGATATGAACTTTAACTGCATAAACCAAACCTTGCCTGCGAAAGAGTTCACACAGTATGCCATCTTCTTTCTTCAAACTGTTCCTTTTGCATATGCGCTGCCATTTTTTGATATACACACGTTGATCTTTCCACATTGTTGTTTTCGCTTCTAGCTTCCCGTTTTTGTGATTGTCTATGTAGTAAATATTTTTTTCAAACTTCAAGGAATAGTCTTTCACTAACTGTGCATGGATCAACTGTATTCCAAGATAGAAAAAGAATACAATTACATTGACTAAACATGTTTACGTTAAAAAAGCAATATACAAAGAAAATTTATTGCAATCCTTACCAGCTCGTATATCCTCTTCTTCACGCCTGTCTCAAAATATATATTCCTTGGATTATCCAAATATGCCTCTGGATTTTTGATCTTGGGCTTTACTGTTAAAATTCCAAAATCGAATGTTAGCTCAATAAAACTCAAATGAGCTAGAGCTAAGTGATGAAATTACGCTTAACTCTTGAATTACCTCTCTCCCTTTGTAGTTTTACAGAATCATCCACATCTTCAGTTAATTTAGACTTTCCTGGAAAACCAGTGTCTGTTTCTGTTTCCGTGTCTGTATAAATACTGTCTTCTTCGTCGTCATCAGACTCCTCCACAACTCCAACTTTCGACTTTCCTGGAAAGATCACAAGAGAAAGAAAAAGAACGTGTGTATATTAAGCAGTTTACATACAACGGTCTCAGGGATGAAAATAAGGACCCAACAATGTGTGGTAAACCTTTGTTCTTGCTTCTCGGGATTGTAGTGACCACCTCGGATTCAGAAATAGCATCTGTGTCGTTGCTGCTATCTTCCTCGTCGTCGTCAGCTTCAGTGACTGCTCTAACCTCTTTACATCCATCAGGGCCATAGATGCTGACCTCGAAAATGCGGTCTCCATTATAGACGAAGGTCAGAAAGTCTCCGTCGCTGAGAGAATTGTCCTCAACGAATTTGACCCATCCTTGTTCAAAATACACCTCATCTTGCTTCCTCTTCATCGCCACGTTCCATGAGCATCCACCAGTTCCTTGGAGAATCGCCGTTTTGGGCAAACGAGGTGGAAGTTCATCATAGTAGGAAATGGGGATCAGCTGCTCAACACATAAGAAGAGGTAAGCAAAGACATAAAGTAGGAGACTTCGAAATCCAATTTAGAAGGAAACCTCTCTCTATAACAGAGGCTTATCCACACACAGAAGGTTTGGTTTTTACATTAGAGGATTTACTAGTCAAAACATTTGCATCTATTTATGAGTAGATACACTAATGAAGGCGAAAATCTGAGTGAAACAATCATGTTCAAACATCTCTAGTGCAAACGTCCATAAATGAAAAAATGACATCTTTACTAAAACAAAACTAACAATTTCACAAGTTTACCACTCAGAGGAAAGCAAAAGGATGAAAATGAGCAAACCCACAAACAAACAAACAAAATGAGAAAAGAGATGTCCATACAAAAGCAAGTCAAAACAAACTCAAGACATTTGTATCTATTTGTGGACAGGAAAAACTAATCAAGGAACAGATCTGAGTTTCAAACATCTGTCTAGTGCCAAAGTCCATAAATGAAACTGATTCATATGTAAAAATAACATCTTTACTTAACAAAACTAAAAAATGTCACAACTTCATCACTCAAAACAGAAGAATGCAAAAGGGAAGAAACAGAGGAAAACCCTAGGAAGGGATAAGAAACAGAAAATAATTATCTACACAGAAGCTTCCACTGAAGATGAAGCCGAAGAAACAAACCCAAATGATAGTAGTTGCAGTTCAAGAGTGGTTAAAGAGACCAAGACAATACAAAGGCAAAGGGAGAGAATTTATGTTACCATGGAATTGGAGCTGAAATGGGAGATGAAAACCTTAAAGAAACGCGGAGGAGTATCAGTGTCAGCCATTGCGAGAGGATTTCGAAACTGTGAGAGAGAGACGACAGATTCTTCACGTATGAAGTTAAAAGGAAAATGGGAACAGCTAGAGAGAAGAGAGAGGGCGTTAAGTAGACCAATGATAGTAGGAGAACAATTCCTAATTCGTAAACATACTTGGGGCAAAAGTAAAACGTTTTGAGATTTGAAGGATGGAAAGGTAAATTATATTAGTTATTTTTTTTCTTTCAATCTAGCCCTCTTTTTTTTTTCCCTCTCTCCATTTCCCGCGCTCTTCTCTTCTCTCTCTTTCCCCGTTCTCCATTTATTTTCTCACACCTCTAGATGTTTCATAAACGAATTCAGGCCCGGCCCAATAAGTTAACAATAGTTACAAGTTTATGTTGAAAATCAAAGATCTACTAATATACAGTTTGTAAGAGAAATTAAATAGTTGCGTTCTTGGAATGTTGAAAAAGGTAACTGACGATATACGATCATGAAGCTTCATATTTTTTCTTCCTACTATGTGTTTTGGGCAAGTTACTATTATATTTTTAGTCAATTTCAAGTACTGAAGATATCATATGTAATCTCAACCTGAAATTCATAAACTATCTATATGAAAAGTTTTGTGTATTTGTGTATAACCATAATCCATAAAAACATTCCCACCTTTTGCGGATTCCATATATATCTCTGTTCAACGTTACAGAAAGTTCAAAGAAGCATAAATAAAACACATTCACAGATCTCCAAATGTTCCATTCGACTGTTACATTAAACATTAATTGATGGGTCTAAAACCCCTAACTAACTTCGTCTCCTACATAAGTCCGATAAATCTCCAGAAAATAAACCAAGCTCGAAGGTTGTACCTGGGCTTTTAGAAATAGAACATCAACAGCTACCTCGCGAATCTGAACACTATGATGTGGAACCACTAAACCGAAGAAACATTGTCTGAACCTGGAGGTGGATCTGAGCTTCCGGTCATTGCTGTAGCAGCTACAAGTGAACCTGGAGGCCTTGGCATTGGTGGGCGTGGAAAGGCCATACCCATGGGAGGTCTTTGAGCCACATTAGCAAAATTTGCAGCGATTCTGTTTGTTGGTAACGAAGCTTTTGAGGACATTGAAGGTGGGACACCAAGCCGAGCTGCTATTATCTGTGCCCTTTCATGGTATAGCCGTTGCCTTGACCTTTCTAATTGCTCTTTTACCCTCGCTGTCAAGCTTTCAGCGTCGTTGAAGATTGATAGCTTTGCTTCTAGTTTATGTAACTGCTTAGAACCCAAAAAAAAAAAATCATTATTATGTTACAACAACTCTCAACAATACGGCACCAAAAAGGAATCTAATCAGCATACAATAAAAAACGACATCTCACCTGCTTCTCTATCAATGATCCAGAAAGTTGTCGGATTTGATCTTCTTCTTGCTTCGCAAGAGCCTTTGCTTTTACTGCTGCAGCTGAGAGAGCAGAGATAGCTGCACGCTTAAGCTTATCTATGTTATGTTTTTCTTTTGTCCCTTCACTAACATCCTTCTCTTTGTTTCCTTCTTTATTTGTAATTTCACCTGCGAAACAATGTTTAAACAACAATCCATTAAGATATAAATGAATAATGCAATGGGTCCAGTTTCTAATGTGCCAGAGGGAGAAAAAGACGGACAACCAGTTGTTCCATTTTCCGGTACAGAAGCTGATACAATTGGCTGCTGTGCAATAGACAACTCTGGCTTACTAAGAACATCCTTTGCACCCTCCTTAGCCTGTTCAACCTCCTCTCCTACTGTTTTGACCATATCTTGAGGATCCTTTTCTGACTGTGATGTATCCTTCATCTCCACATCTTTTGATGCTTCTGGCTGAGAAGCATCTCCAGCTGACTGATCGACAGTTGCTTGAGAAGCGTCTTTATTTTCACTAGAAAGCTTATTTTCATCCTTCAAAGGTTCTTGAAGCTCCTTCCCAGAGCATTTTTCCTGCGATGGACAAATTATATCCGCTGGTTTCTCAGAATTGCCAGTTGCGACTGACTTACTAGATCCATTTTCTCGTTCAGCATCTGGATTTCTAGCCGAATTTTCAGTTCGAGAACCAGGTTGCTTTTCTTCTGAGACTGAATCCTGATTCTTTTTGCCTGGATCAATATCTAGCATTTCCCTATCATCTAAATTCAAGGAGACATCTTCTGCTTTTTGGCTTTTTTCTTCTGGCTGCTCATCTTTATGTGTATTATCATCGTTCGCTGCTGCATCCACACTGCAAATGTCTTGCTAGTTTCAGATTTACGAAACAATAACCAATATCTTTAAAATTTTATCGGATATTCAAATAAATGTCAAACCTTTTTGATTCAGTTGAATCCTTCTTGTTATCTGGTGGATCTTCCAGAATAAAACAATGTCTTGTAGCGAGCAACAGTCCAGAAGATTTTATGGAAGCCCGGGCTGAAGCAGTAGCAACGTCAGATCCCGCCAATCTTACCAGAAAGGCTGCCTATAGAAGAAAAAAAAAAGGAGCCTTACAGGATCAGAAAGAAAGGGAAGAGGGTGCATTTATGAATTAAAAAGAATCTCCTCTCAATCCTCGTTGCATCAAAATTTCTGTCTTACATCACAACTTACCAGTCCCATGACAGGATTTCCTAAATCAGCAAAGGAAACAGAGGCTTCAGGTGTAATGGGATAACCAACGTCTTCAAAAGCTTCAGTCAGAGCTTTCAGAGCAATGTTTTCATCAGCCTCATCTTTACATCTTTCATCACTGACGGTTTCTTGCTTGGGCGTTTTCTGGTCAGCTTCCACTTCATCAGTGTCTTGGCTCGCATCTCCAGGCTTTGAAGATCCCTGAGAAACTTTTCCTTCATTGTCATTTTCTGGTTCTGGAACTTCCTTCATAGTTTCAACTTCATCAACACGATTCTTATTTTCTGTCTCTTCGGGTGCATCTTTTGGGACAGATTTATCATCTTTAGACACAGCTAAATCTGTAGTGTCTTTTGTACTTGGATCTTTGTAGTCAGTTTGATCAAGAAATGCATCCTCGATTGGCATTTGAAGAAAATGAAGCATACACTGAGCCTTTGTTTTCGTAGCAACATGCTCTGCAATCTCGTTCCAATTTTCCTTGAAGATTTCTAAAGCTTCAAGGAGAAGAAGAGTCTCTTGGTCAGTCCACTTCCCACTACCAACGCCAGGGGCCTCAGCAGGCTCCATCAGTATAAAATCAGAAGATGACATATCTGAGCTGAACTTGCCACTGTTAAAGCATTCCGTACACAAGTCAAAATCTGCCTGCCAAAATCTCAATATCAGCACATAAATTTTTAAAATACTGTAATCAAGAAAATAGCACAAAGAATGAATGTTGCTACAAACAGTAAGATGAAAGCACAGGGTCATAGTTAAACTCTGTATTCTTTTCTATCTCAGATATTTAAGCCACAGGGAAAAGGATCGAAAGAGAACTAAAGTAAAGTGACAGAACACCTGCTTGGGGCAGTGGTAGCGCTTGCGAGAGCAATCAGCTGAACAGGAGTTGCAGTGATATTCGACTGCTGGACCCTCTTGCTTCAGTAAGTCATCAGCAGCCATTGGATCTGTAAACAACCCTGATGGCGTAGCTTGTGCTGTGAGACGAGGCTTGTGAACAAGAGCAGGGCAAGCCTCATCTGCTTGAAATCGGTATAGACTGTTAAGCAGTGACTCTTTATCCCCTAAATCATCATGATCACCAGCGGTAGAACTAGCATCTGCTAATGAGGATGGGAATGGGTGAAAATTAATTAAGCCCCAGTAGTCCAAGAACTCCATCACCTCTTGTTTTGCTTCCGTGTCTCCAACCTCGAGTTCTGCTAAGTCTTTTAATTCTATCTGTGTGTTCGGATCAGAATGAAACTTCCTCATGATCCAATTCCGTATTTCCCTATATACCTCAGAAGTGCGACCATCCAATTTGCCATTAAAGAAAGAGGGCAATGAACGCTCCTCCAGCGGATGAATTCTTTCCCATGAATACCAACCTTCAAAAAGTTTCAGTACAGGAACCCAAATTACAAACTATTTCTTTTTATATCAAAAATTGTATGGATGACAAGTTGTGAAGATTGAACCACAAAACAGCATAAAACCTAAACAAATATCTCATATTACATCCTAGCTCATATTTAACACAAGATCAGGAGTCAGGACTAAGAGCATCAATTCATCGCCTGGTGTTCTTCAAATGAGATTCTACATGATGAGCATGCTCATTCTACTTTGACAAGCAATAGAAAATGAAAACTGTTTTAGACCATAGGATCAATCTGATAATCTCATGCCAATGCATCAACTACACACACACACACAATATTTCACATCTTGATTTTTCTTCTACCAGGGACCAAATGAGTACTGAGCATAACATCTTTCAAAATCTACAACAAAGTATCCATAGCAGGAGGTGCATATCTTCTTCAATTTAAGCCTAGATATTCACATTGAGCAGATTTCCAAAACCAAATCCAACTCCAAAACCTAACAAGTTAGTAGTGTTAAACTCTCCTCCTTTCCAGTAGTGATAAAACCTCGACTACCTCAGATTCTTTATTTTGCCTACTTTGAAATTACTCAAAAAAAAAACTAATATTCGGAAAGCGAAACAAGGACAACTAATGTAAAAGAAATCGAGAATTTGGCATAGTCTGAACAATCACAGGAAGTAGTAGAACAAACCGCAATGATTAGGCACCACATGAACATTGCTGTCGCGAGATCTAATTGCTTCGAAATCAGCTTCGATCTTAGCCTCCAAAGCCTCCCACTCACGGATCGCCTTGTTTCGTTCTTCCTCCTCCTTCGGCTTCTCGCCATCCGTACCCACCGCGACATTCAACGGCTCCGACTTCACCCCAGCCGCCGACGGCATGTTGCTCGGTGCCTGTCGAGCTCTAGTAAGAGGCCCGTTGTGTACCGGAGAAAAAGACGCAAGCATCGCCTTCTCGCGCGTCAACATCCTCTTGTACGATGTGGAAGAGGAATTGGAGGTCCCGAGAGCATTCGCTTTTCTCTTCAAAGCTCCGGCGCGCCGCCGCGTTGCCGGCTCAGATGCCGGAGAATCTCCAGAGCTACCAGCCGAAGCTAGGGTTCCAGCATCGCGTCGTTTCTCCTCCATCTCAAGAGACGGACCAATCTTCGGGGTTTCCGTCTCAGTGTCTTCGCTTTGCTATGCAGCTACAACAACAAAACCATTTTCAGGCTTAAGCAAAACGTTGCTATTCCCAATCCCACCCAATTTTGCTTCTTCCCCTTCACTTCACCGTTTTTTTGCATTTAACTTTCTTTCTTTTTTTCTTTTCATCTTTGGGTGTGGAGTCAACATTTTGTATGTTAAGGGGAAAAACCGAAACATGTTGAAATTAGCACCCCTTACAATATAAATTTGAACGGTTTCGTTCGGTTTAAATCAATCACTCTCGAATTAAGCCTTCCGGTTCGACGAGAAATTGAAACGCTCTCTTCAAGAAACCAACAATCTTTGGCAAATGGAAAATTCACTTGAATCTTCTTGAGTAATTCATATCATTGCATAATCTTATAGCAGCAAAACTCACAAATGCCTCCATTAATGGAAAAACATATATTGAAATGCGCGACCAAAATTTTTCCTACAAGGTTGTTCTGATATATGTACAAAACTTAAAAATCTTGGCGTAACAAGTTTTCGAAATTGGTTCCTTTTAATGTGGTTTGGACCTCTTCCCAATTCTGTACATGTTGTGACAATGAACCTCGATGAATCTTCACTTGCCGACTCTTTAACTCACGTTTTGGGACCTTTAGAAACTCTTGTACATCGTCTAGCCTCTGCATTCAAAAAAAAAAAAAAAATCATCTTGAACACATGAGAAAAGAACAATCAATAACTTGATCTAATTTTTTTTAAAGAAAAGATGTAATAACCACCGTGCGGTTCTCAACAAGATCTTCATAGTAGAGAAGGATATGGCGAGTGGTATTAAAGTAAGCCAATGCTTTCAAGGTCATTTCTTGAATCTGATTCAGCTCTGCTATCAAAAGTGTTGTGTTGATCATTGGCTTGTAACCCGCCAATATCTCAGCCTCTTTAGGCGAATGGACGTGAGACTTGTGAGTCCCGTTTAATAGCTTAGCATCTCTGTCATAAGAGTTTGAGAGTACTGATATCATGCGCCGCAATAGGTTTCTTCTGAAGAGGAAAATTGCAGAGACGCCTCGGGTTTTGAAGTAATCTACTATTTCTTCATGATGTTTCATTAGACCCTGCAATGTTTTACAGTGCAAAATCCAAAATCAACAAAACCACACAGAAGCTCCCTAAATCAAAAGAGGTCCCTTTCACAAATTTGCCTCATAAGTGAAGAGCACTGAGTGAGAAAGATGTCACTCAAAACCACAACCTTATATCTCTTTAAGACCGTTCCCTTTCAACATATTTATCAACTTTGCAACTACAGTACAGTTCCTTAAAGCAAACTTATCTCTTTTTCAAACTTAACACAAACATTGTCTTATCAAGAAAACAGACCGTTCCTTATTACTTTCAACTAACAGGTAGTTCATTTATACGCAAATGTGACCAGAAGACAAGGCAGGGAATCTAGCGAGCTCGTTGTCCAAGCACCCAGATGCAAACAGAACAAAGTCGAATATAGATAGATATAATATGAATCATAGAGTACGAAAGACAAAAAAAATATGTCACATTGTCCGGAGAAATATTTGTGACTTTGGAACACTTTACCTGATTAAGCATCCACTTGAAGCCAACAGCGGAAGTGCACTCATTCTTAGAGGCACTACTCAACCAGTCTAGATTATAGACTTTGTCAAGTGTCTCAAAAATGGTCGAAACATTAGCCCTCCTATCTTTCACAGAAAAGATCTCTCCGTTGGAGCTTATGTTAGTATGATTGTTAAGTAAAGTCTCAAACCAGCCACTACCAGATCTCTGCATCGAGATAATCGCAAAGTACCTAACCGGTTGGCAAGAACATTCATCCCTAAATCATTCAAAACCCATAAAGCACTAATCAATAAAAAGCGTAGACCCAAGAATCATAAAGGCTCAAACTTTTTCTCTATCTTTCTTTAGTTACCTGTTATATGTCTTTGGTTTAGGGTAATGCACAAATGGAATGTCCCATGGTTCAATGTTAGGCTCAGGGCAAGGCCTCTCAAAGACTTCAACGTTCAAGAAACCATAGTTGGGACTGACTCCGATTTGCTCAAGACAAATCGAGCAAATGTACACAGCGCAGACCATTACAAAGAAGAGAACGACCATTCTTAATACAAGTGACGACTTTTTAGGAAGCTTCAAGACAAAACTATCCTGAAACAAAACATAAAAATGAGCACATTTATGTCCTCGTGTTAATTAAGCTTTGTTTTGTTGTTTGAGTCAAATGGAAATAAAACCTCAGAAACTTTCTTTTTTAATGCGCCAGACCCAGATGCCAAAGAATCAATTTTTTTTTTTTCAAAGAATCAATTTTTATACATTAGAGTAAAGGAATATGAAAAAAATCCTAAAGAAAATCAGGAGCTGGGCTTGAAACTACTGGACGGATCAGCAAAAGATTGCTCCGAGAAGAGGAAACTCTAATCCGATGCGACCACTCACAAGCAGATTAAAACTGAACAAAGCGTAAAATCTAAAAGCCACACACAAGACACAACGAAATGTACCTTGGGGAGGAAAGAAGGATCGTCGGCCATGGCTGTCTCAATAGAGAGAGAGAGAGATATGAGAGATCAGAAAGGAACAGAACACAAAGACATTGAATTCTCCAGACAATCTGATAGAGGAAAAAAAATTATATTTTATTCCCAAGAATTGAAAACGAAAAACTTTTAAAGAATTTCAGTTTGAGAAAAAGTGCAATGATTAGAGAAGCCCACGACCGTTGTTTTTCTCCTTTACTGTTCACTTGAAACTGGGTTGTTTCAAATTCACGAACATCGAATTATCAAACATTAAAATGCGGCATTGGAAATTAAATTCTCGTTTACAGATTTGAGGATAAAAGAAAATATGGAAATCTCAGGAAACGGGGGAAAAAAAGAAAGCGTAAACCCCGAGAAGAACAAGTCAAGCTTAAAAACGATGTCGTTTGCTGACATGCACCAGCGCTTTAACCAATCAGCAATCACCACTATTGCTTCCTTTTAAGATTTAAATTTTGTTAAAAAAAACGCCAATCAATTGTTTTTTATTTTTATAATACGAGTTTAATTCGTGTAACAGATTCCCACGGTTTGACTTGTGCATTTGTTTTCAATTTATTTGATTCTTGTGTTTACTACTTTTACGTAGTCTTTCTATTTCGAAGATTATAATAGCTTCAATCTAAATGTTTTCCACGGTCTATATATTCTAAATTTCTAATATATCAATCCCGTGAGAAACCGAACATCAACATCAAGAATCGGATATATTTTCTCATGTGATGTAATCCCGTGAGAAAGCGAACATCAAGCGAGCATCAATCCATATCAATGTCAGTGATACTAAAACTTTGACTGCAGTGTTAAATATGGATAATGGATGTTGTACAAAAAATAATGACATTTGATTTCAAATAAAATTGACAACACAAAAAAAAAAACACTTAGTTAATGTGTTGGTAGTGCTCGGAGCTGTTGTAGGTTTCAAAATTGTTTGTAAGATTGAGTAAATAGTAGAAGCTTATAGGTATTTTTTTCTCTCAATTCTAGTTTAAAGATTAATAAGAAGAAGCGAAGTTCGAAAAAAAATCCGACATTTTTATAGCCATTAATGTTTCCTGAAGCTTTGAAAAGTGGAGACACAAAAAATGAAATTCTTCAACCCCAAACAATATTTACATCGGCGAGGGACAGTGAGGAAGTGAAAAAAAATAAACAACAAAAGACAACACAATACAGAACAAATTAGCAATACATAAGGCCCCTCCTAAGAAGAGAAGAAACCCAAAAACATAACACCAAAAAATATCAAAAGAAGATTGTTACGTAGTTGTAGAATTCCTTCTAGTGGTGATAAAAAGAACTTGTCTTGCGATCTTTCTTGGATTTCACAAATCCTAACCCTAATCTCTCTCTCCACCAACCACTCGACCCTTTTGATTTGCTTCTCGGCGAATCATCGTCTCCTTCGCTGAGTTCCTCCCTTAAAGTTGACATTCTCTTCGTCGTGTTGGTTTCTTCCTTGAGAGGTAAAATCATGCCATCGAAGAAGATTTCATCTGCTGTGATCATGGAGAAGTTCTTGACACCGAACTCAAAATCATCATCTGACGACACAGATGCCTCCTTGTACTTGATCATCTCGTTCTTAGTCGCTGCGAAACCGCTGGAGAATGAGATCCTTGGCTCTGCGTATCCACCGTACTGATGATGTTGCTTCATGTTCGAACACTCCATTTTTATCTTCTGTCTCTCAGTCTCTCTCTCTCTCTTGTGTATTCTATTGTATTTGTATTTTGTTGTAGTCTCTAAGGGTAAAATGTATGTATTTATATGATACAATGTTGGATTCATATACTTCTTATTTTATATAAATATATTGGGGATAGATAATACCATATTTTTGTGCATGATGTCACAAACACACAAAGGGACAAAAGTGTTGTCTCTTGGAGTTTAGAGATCTAAGACTAGATTCTTAATTGATTTATGTTATCTTCAATAATGACTTATAACCCATTTTAGGGATCAACAGCGGGGAAAAGTTAAAAGCTAATAGTCTCTTGATTCACTAGAAGGGCCAGACCATCATTATCGGTAGAAACCCTTTTGGGTCTTTAAGGTATTTTTTAATTATTGTCTGAGTAAAAAGGTGAATAAGAAATTTTGTTTAAAGACTCATGTATTTGGTGTATGCATTGGAGAAACCAAGGTGTCGAAGAAAAAAAAAGAAAATGGGAGAAATGAAAAAAAAAATAAAACAAACCCATTCTCTCTTCCCAATTTTTCTAACCAATCTCAGGGTTCCACGTACAATTAAAAGACGTATACAAACGTCCTCAATTAATAGACGTTTTTACTCATTCTCTCTCCTAGCTCATTTTTAAAATATTAAGTTTTTACTAAAGACGCTTTTAAAGACGCCGATAATGATGCTCTTATCATCACAATAACAATATATTACTTCTATTCATCGTTAGAAGATAAAACCCTAAATGAACGCAAATGGATGTTTTAAGCACATGTAAGTCTCAATTTTATGCACATGCACTCTCAGAAGAAAGTATCATGCAATTTCTGAGAAATTTCGCAAACTTAGTTTGTTTTATGCTTCTTATAGAAAATGGGGATAAATTTAGTAATACTTTGCTGGCTATCCAAACTCTCCAAAGGTTACACAAAAACCATTTGTTTAAAGCATATAATTATTTAAACCCTAGAGATTATCTTATATAATGATAGCTGTTTATTGGCTAATTGTACACTGTAATTACAAATCTGAGTTCCCACGCAACTGGGTTTCCGACACGCCGTTAACAGTAATTATATTAATTACACACACACACACACACGTTGATCTTCAGTGCTGATCACTCCAACAACCAAGAAACACATTTTGCAACCAAACAAAAAAAACAGTATTACAATTTACCGTACGTTTGTTGAAGTATTTATCTAGTCTATTTTTTGTTATATCGACTATTAAGTTTTGTTTTCGTTTGAGGTGTGGCACTTTATTGGTAGATTCTTTTGCCAAATTTAGAAATCTCATGTATGAAATATATAAGAGGAAACCTAAAATGACATATAAGTCACAGGACAATTCAAAAAACAAGGATTATATATGTAACGAACCTAGTTAATTAATTTGGTATCCATTAAAGAAAATATTATCTATAATATCTTATTTAATTTTATCTTTCTGTGACGTCTGGTTGTGTATAGATTCAATAATGTGTATTTATGAGAGCGTGTCTCTCCGATGGTCTCCCATATAGTGAACAAAAGTTGTCTCTTGCAGTTCACGAAATCTGAGAAAGTTTTGTCTTCTTGCGCTGATTTATGTATCAAACGCATTATTATAAAGTAACAAAAAAAGAGGCTCGACGTACAAGGTTGGATCTTGGATTTCACCTATAAATTTTCAATAATAAAAACAAGGTTCGGTGAACTTCGTGCTTCTTTCCACTTCCACTTCGTACACTAAACACAACATCATTAGTCAATGTCGGTGTTTTCTTCTCACGAGGCAAGTGATAATTCCAGTTAGGGATGGCTGGATGGGCAAAACTATCCAGAATATGGCCAGCTCAATTTTGGGGGTTAAAAATAGTTTTATAGAGAATTTGGACGGTATACGTTACTCTATTTTGTTTACGGGGTTACTTGAAATCTAATTAAGGATTCTATATGACAGGATATTTGGCGAAAATGGATAATAACGTAATTCAAAACTCTATGTTTTCAAAGGTGTTGTATACTAATTCGATGAAATCTCTATTGTTGGTTTTTAACGTTCGGACCGTATATGCTCAATGGTCGTTTTGAATTTTTGATAAGGATGTTACTAAGGGATTGAGTTGACTTAATTTGTATTCATATATTTGATACTGAAGAGGAATATATACTGATACCATAAAAAAATTATAAAATTTGTATGATTTATATTAAAGACTTGTGCATAGCATATGAAAATTTAGATTTTTATATATCGACATGTCATTTGTAGAAGAGTATGTTACTCTGATACCATATAAAATTATAGAAAGATTTCTACATAGGATTTAGAGTTCCAATATATAATGTTGGATTGATCCATTCTATATCTTGCAAGTCTTGATTGATATAATACTCTAGGGATAACATGCAGATTACAAGAACACAGAGAAGGAAATAAATGATGCAAATGTTTTCTATTAATTAATACTAGATATCACATCACGAATTAAGCGCCTGTAGCTCAGTGGATAGAGCGTCTGTTTTCTAAGTAGAAAGCCGAAGGTTCGACCCCTTCCTGGCGCGTCTATTATGACGGGTTATTTTTTTCTTTTTTCATAAATTTTTTGAAGAGAAAGAACATCATGTTCTAGAAGGGGGCGAGAGTTAAGTATTTGAATAGTCTTTGACTCGCCGGATCTGTCTCTCGAGTCCCGGCGGTGTAAAACCCTATTTCTTCCCTACTTTACGCCGCCGACTTATGCTATGAAGGCTTTCCATCTCGACCGTGGAAACACTCTCTCTGTATCTCTTTTCTCCGATGTCACCAACTCCAAGTACTCTCTCTCTCTCTCGAATTTTGGGTTTTTCTTACCCTCGATAGATTAGGATAAATGTGTAATCTTTCGGATTCTCTCGCTTTCTCTGTTGCCTAAGCAATGCGTGATTTTGGTTATCAGAAAGAAAATTTGCGTTTTCGATTGTGTGTTTGTGTTGTCGGACAGACCTTCACCGGCAATTAGTAAGAGACTTGTGGATTTAGGGAAACTCTGTTTGATAGTTTTGCAGCTAAAAGCTCATCACTTTCCTTGTTTTGATTCAGTTTCGCGATTACCTTTTCTCGGTTTTGAGTTGTGTGGAAGAGATGCGAAACAAACATTTGGGGCATTATTTTTGTGTGTGTGTTCAGGGAGCTCTTGAATTCGATGCTATATGGAAGTTTGAAGCTGGAGGTATCGTTTCTCAATGCATCACTTGTAAGTTTTTGTTGTTTCCTCCATTTTTTTCATTCTCATTCTAAAAAAAGACTTTGATATATTGATCTTAACCGAATTGTATCATCAGATACCAGACATTTTTCCTCTCTTAGCTGCTGCTCAGAAAGCACTTGTCTCCAAGTCTCGTGATTCGTTATCAACCAGAACTCTTCATTCTGAGCTCGTGTACAATTACTCGGGGTCTAAGCATGTAAGAACCAACTTTGCTTGTGAGTTGTAATTGTAATAAGAATAGCTTATTTTTTCTGAATTTGTCTAAAATGTTGGTGTTCATTTCTTCCTCTAACTAGATTACAGAATCATTGAAACGATGTGGGATTTCCGAAAACTCTACTTACATTCTAGCTGCCCGGTTCAATGCTTCTCCTGTTGAGGTCATAATCTCTTCAACCATCTAAGATCTTACTTTCCATGTTGCTGTGTTGCTTTTGCATTATAAATGAATATAAAGATCAATCATGACATGTTTAAAGATTAAAACCAGATGGAGGAGGTCGCGAAATTGATCAACGGGAAGGAAACTGATATGGAGGAGTTGAAGACGCAAGCAAATGAAGCTCATATACTAAAGGTAATGTTATTGTGGTACACAGTTAAAATCCGTTGTAGTTAGCATCCTTTTGTTATAGAAATAATCTCCTACACTGTCATTGAATCTTTCAGCATTACAAGATAACTAGCCAAGAACTCGGGATTTCCTCTCTCGGAGATGCGATTGTTTGTCGGATCGCTGCACGCGATGCTTTGTAAAACAAGAGATCTGTATTTCGTTCTTTCTTTCTTGTTAGTGATTTTTTTCCTTTACAAACAAATTGGACACTTCGTATGTAATTCTTTGCATCTTTCAGAACAAAGTTGGTTTTCTTATTTTCTTAACCTCTTCTATTTCCTCTCCTCGTGTAATTTTAACTCAGATATTTTATGGGATAAACATAAAAATGACCAAAAACACAGAATTGAGACTACTAATTACATGTCCTTTGCCCAATATAGAAGTGAAAAGACTCAAAAAGCCACATCAAACCAGGAATCTTGCTCATTTTGAGCAAGCCCAAAACCAGTGTCACTCTCTTCTTGCACTCAACTATAAAAACACGCCAACAAGAAAGAGCTCAACTTTATGAATCAAACAAATTCCCTGAAAGAGTAAGTAACTAAACCTAGAAAGAACTAGAGGCAATTTGTTCTGAGAAGAATCAAATATGATCACTGGAACATATCAGCAATGGTGTTTCCAGAATCTGAAGAATTTCCATTCCCAAAATCCATCATCATCATCATATTCAAATATTCATCCATATCACAGTCTCCTCCTCCTCCACGCCATTGCTCTGCTTCGACAGAATCCGTGCCACTCACGCTCGCACTTGCACTCTTTCCTATATCATCAGCCGCAACAGATGAAGAAGTGTAATCCACAAACGGGAAGTTGAGTTTAGCCCGTGGCCCACGGAATCCAATAGCGGCCCGATCATAGGCTCGAGCCGCATCCTCAGCTGTTTCGAAAGTCCCGAGCCAGACACGTGTCGCTCTCTTGGGATCTCTGATCTCAGCTGCAAATTTTCCCCAAGGTCTCTGCCTCACTCCTCTGTAGCCATTCTTCTTGTTCTTCCTCTTCCTGATTTTCCCGCCTTCCGCTTTCTTCGTCGTGGCCAAGGAGCTCTCTTTTCTACTACTGTCACTAGTAATCCTTTCTTCTACCTCTACTTGCTGTTTATTTTCAATTCTCTGATTTGGCGCGAAAAAGTAGTTGCAGCCGAGACATCCTTCGATCATACACACTTGGCAAGTGTCGGAATCCGACCGAGGCATTCCCGCGCTAATCACGGTGCTGTCGCGGGAGAAACTCTGAAACGGCGCCGTTTCTTTTTCCCCTGAGATGACGTGTTGCAAGGCGGAGACTATAACTGAGAGTTCTTGCTCCGGTGATAACTGCTCTTGCTGATACGGGTACTGGGTCCGGGTCGAATCGCGCTCTGAGACCGGAGCTCCGACGAATTCGGGTCTGTTGTTTGGGTAATGCATTCTCGATTACAATTTACAATTTGATTTTGGATTTTGGTCGACTCTGTGATTGTTGAAAGCACCTGGAGATGATTGAAAATATTTGTTTTGTTTTTCTGCTGTGTTTGGGGAAACTGAAAGTGGAAAGAAGCTCTTATATATATGGTTCCGTGTTTTTTTTTTTTTTTTCAAATGTCTATGTGGCTTGTCAACTGCCAACTGGCACACACACTTCAGACACGGGGGTCTTTTGGAAACACGTGCGTTTATTTTCTCGAATATCTTCATATAAAAACATGACATTTTTTTATATTTGAGTTGGGTTTATATGACATGACATTTCTTCTTTAAGCATAAAGTATTAATCAATTATCATCATTTGTGACGCTTTTCTTCAAGAACCGCTTTTGTGTTTTAGTTATTTAATTATTATTTTAGCGCTTTATGTTCGTTTTCACACAGTTTACAATTTAATTTAAACATGTTTAATGGGATAAGCATATCTAGGTACGGAATTGATTGGCTTAGAATAAAATCACGTGCCATTTTTTAACTTATTATTTTTGCCTGTTATTGGAGCAATTCGCCTTCACATTTATCATTAGCTATTGAGATCAATTTGTCTTTCTCGATGACTAGATCCATCGTCTCAAAACTCAAAAGCATTTCTCTCTCTTTTGTCATTTTTATACTCTTTTAGTACGTCGAATCAATCCTACAACGTTTTCGAAACTTATGCACATAGACATGTGTAACATTACAATAACATTGTGATTCACACAAACAATGGTATATTTGACGCTCTGGATATTTATTTTTTTAAAAACAAACATATTCATTTTATTAGCACATCGCAGTGCTATTAAAAAAAATCTCTTTGTAATGGACTACATTTGATAATCAATCTGATTTTCTAAAACTTTATGTTTCAATCTAATTATTCATAAATTTCAAATATGGCTAATTAAAAATTTTACATTGAAAATGAGATGAAATCTAAATTACTAATAAGGATAAAAGCCAATAAACTAATTATCAATTAATTTTGAATAGAAGTTCATCAAACTTAAAATATCTTTTAATAATCATGTATTGCTTAAATTTGGTAGATTGATTATTTTAGACTAGGACTCGATTCGATTACAGATCGTACGTGATCACATATTGAAAGTGAAACATAATCAACTATTTATTGTAAATTGATTTTGAGTTGTAATATCATAAAACTTAACATTATGATTGTTGACATATACATCAAAACTTTGAATTGTCTTTAAGTTCTACACCTTATCACCACCCTTTGGCAAATGCATCCACTGTCTCTTACTTCAAAGCATAGTCTTTAGCAAAAAAACTTCAATTCAATTGACTATGGTCACTAGTCAGCTTTACATACGAATTTTCAAAAGTTTTTTTTTTAATACATAGAAAATATGATTGCGAACACAGGTATGTTAGTAAGTTTACAGGTCGACTTACTAATTAGCATACTTTTATTCAGTGAAAGAACAATGAATAGTAAGAAGAAAGAATCCATTAGAATATATACATTAAATCGAACTTGTAAAAAGAGAAATTCAACTAATATGAGACAAAATGACTTCGTTGCCTCGTTGGATATTTTTTTTCTTCTAATAATAAAAATAAAAGGAAGATGAAAATAAACGAAGGAAGGAGAAAATGAGTTACGACACATAAAAAAAAAAAGAGAGGAGAAAGTTAAGTGAGTTAATTTGTCAAAGGTACTTATGAATGAAAAAAGCGAAGGTTTGATGTTTCTCACTGATCTCAGATATTTCAATGACTTTTTATTCTTTTTATTTTCAGGTCAATATTTCAATGATTTATAGAACTTGTTGAAGTGTATGTCATGACGCTGAGCTGGCATGTGGATATCACTAAGCCCTCACGTCACTCTATCATTTGATTGTGTTGACTGTTTCTCGACGCTGACCCACCACGTCTTTGCTTTCTAGAGTCTCTTGACTACTCTCTTCACGCTGACCTTTGATTATTATTAATTGACTGTACTGGGGAAACATAGTACATTTTTCAAAAGGATTATGGAGATAATTTAGTCTATTTATTGATATACTTTTATATATCTATGATATGTACAATTTATGGAGGCATAACCAGTTTTAGTTATTTATGATATGTATTTATGGAGACATAACTTTTTTGTTTTGCTGAATATGTATTGGAAAATACTCCAAAACATACAATACTAGCATGTTGACCTTTCTTGATATAGTATTCGTTCCAAAACATTTAGGGATATAAGGAAAAAATGAAGAAAATAATCTTAATTTGTATCCTACAAACTAATCAATATTTAAAATATTTGTACTAAAAAGTAATAATGTTACAAAAAAAAATCGAAGAATAATTTTTTTTTTAATTTTTTAAGGGGTCTGAGGCGAGCTGATACTTCCTCTATTAACAAATACTAGTGCAATTTTATTTAATTTTTACACAGATTAAAAGTTATTAAAAATTTTACTTTTCTTTTTATTACTAAAATAAATAACTTTTTCCTTTCTGATTAATAAAATAAAATAATAATTTTAAAACAGGATTTTATGCTTAAATTCAAAAATAAGAAACGAAATTAAACTCTTAAAATGTCATTTTTGTGAATCAAAAGAAGTATAAACATTAGCAATTATATCTACAAATTATTCAAAAATTTGGGAATATGAATATATTTTTACAGTGTATAAAACTTTTTTGTAAATGCGAGTGTGTGAGTAAATACGACAGGCTAGTTATTACATTCATCTTTATTTAACTTTTTTGGGTCATCACCAAATTGAATCTATCATCTGTAAACAAAATAGGAACGATAAGTAAAAGCATTTCCAAATAGCCACCACAGGCAGAGGCACGTTGAGCACGTGCAAAAATGATTTAGAACACGTTTATTGCGCTGACCAACGTTTTACTTCATTATCTCGCTGCCTCGTTACTTTTTCACTTTATCTTCTCTTAATTTGTTTTTTTCCTTCCACTAACCAGTTAGAGATTCTATGGATTAGTACTAATCAGCAATTTACCTCGATATTTAATTGATAACGATTACCAACTCTTCATCCTTTTAATCTTTTTTTTAAGTTTCTTTTTCATTGCTTTTCAAATAATTCATCAGCTCTAGTTTATTCATTATATAAATATCTCAGCAGTTAGAACCGTCCAATTCAGATAAAGGAAACCAATAATACTATATGTGGATCCTGTTACTTATTCCTGTACATGTAACTGGGGTAATCAAAATCACCAACCTAAATCGTTTTGTAAGAGGACAACTCGGATACGGACATACATGTACAATGAGAATTTAATAGTCGATAAAAAAAATAAAAAATTGAATATAACAAATATCTTAACATCTGAGAATTTTATCAAATACATGGAGAGAAAATTGGATATGATTTTTTTTTCTTTTATAACAAATAGAAAACCCACAAAAACAAGGAGTTTGAAGATAAAAAAAAGTTTATCAACGAAAAATGAGAAATCAGAATATGTAAATTACACTATATAGCTCAAGGATTAGAATTTTCAATTCAAAATTACACTATTTTCCTAAGAAAAAAAAAAGTGACACTTAAAAAAAGCAGAGAATGATGTCAATTGATTACAAGTTATTAAATTCCTCTTCCTTTCACCGAGTATGGTTACACTTGGAACCTCTCATCTTCTCCATATTTAAATTTCTTAAAATCTTATCACTCAACCAGCTGACATTGGCTTTGTGTGATTAATTTCGTTATGACGAGAGAGTGTTCAACGAGATTTAATTCAGGCTGGAAGGATAATTATTTTCCAAAGAAAGAATATAGAGACTGTTGACTTATCAAACCCAAAGCAGCAAGAGCGTAACAGATTAGGCATCCTGTGTTGCCTCTGATTTTCCAATTGTGCTTTTAAAATTTTTCTTTAAAAGCTTTCAGTTTTAGAATTGGAGCTGGAACCAAGCTTGCAGAAATAGTAATTCTCTTATGGCGAGACTTTGATCCATCAATTGTATCATTGAGATGAGATAACATTGCTCAACAGTTATTTCAAGTGTTTTAGCTTGCAGAGAGGTCATGCAAACTACATTAGTCTCACATAACAGAGGTTTGAAATAGAATATGTCACAGCCACTGCTTATCATATAGCTTTTGCAGTTCATGATCAAACTCCAAAGCAAAAACGTTGGAGGCGCATTTTTCAAGAAGACAAAATGTAAGCATTCTTAAAGCAGGTCATACGTGATACATTAAGAATTCTGCTAAGAATCTCACTTACTTGGCCGAATTTTAACATACAGACCAGTAATTATTATATGGTTTATGCATTTGAGTTCCTACTATTGAAACCGAAACACATACAATAGAATGATATTTTACATCCTCTATTCAATTTTATAACTAGATGTATTTTACATCCAAAGAGAAAAAGTTTATAGACATTCCCTAAGAGATAAGAACACCAAAGCTTTTAGAAAATAGAAATTTTCATAGATGCTTCTTACGGCCTCTTTACTAATTAGAACAACATCCAATATAATGGAAAACAGAGTCTATAATTAGTTCACATTCGCTACTAGAAAATGGACATATTCTAAATATACACAAACGTTTACGGAAAATTTAACTGCACTACAAAGTCTAAACCATCAGGTCCTCACCTATTACCAATAATGCTCACAGATCTTTTGCCTTGATGATATGAACTTTAATTGCGTAAACCAATTCTCGCTTGCGAAAGAGTTCACACAAGATGCCATCTTCTTTCTTCACTTGGTTCCTCTCGCAAATGTGCTGCCATCCTTTAATACACACACGTTCATCATTCCACACTGCTGTTTCCGCTAGTAGCTTCCCCGCATTGTGATTGTCGATGAAATAAATGTTTTTTTCAAACTTTAAGGAATAGTCTTTCACGAGTTGTGCATGGACCAACTGAATTGAAGGTACAAAAAAAGAAACCAAATACATTAATTAAACAACTTCAAGTTAAAGACAATATATATGAAGAAAATCTATCGCAAATCTTACCAACTCGAATCTCCTCTTCTTCACGCCTGTCTCAAAATATACATTCCTTGGATTATCCAAATATGCCTCTGGATTTTTGATCTTCGGCTTTACTGTAAAAGTCCAAAAGTCGGATGTTAGCTAAATACAAATTAAATGAGCTAGGGTTAAGTAAGTGATGAAATTAAGCTTAACTCTAGAATTACCTCTCTCCCTCCTCTTTTTTGGCGGTTTCACAGAATCAGATGTTACATCCACATCTTCTGTTAATTTAGACTTTCCTGGAAAACCTCAAGACACAAGATAATCTTACATTTATCTCACATAAAGATAAGCATCCCACAAATGATCAAAGTAGAGAAAGCTAAATTTAATTTACCTTTCTTTTTCAGATTTTTCACCTTTGGTTCGACGTAAGTGGCTGTGTCTTCGCTATCCGGAGCATAAGAACTGTCACTGTTGAAATTCTCTTCAAAATCCAAGCCACCAAAAGCTTCATTATAATCACTGTCGCTGTCTTCATCAGCACCCTCCACAACTTCCTCTTTCATCTTTCCTGGCAAAAACTCAACAAACAAAACAGGTTGATCTGTCAGAAAGACCCCAAATAATGATGAAAAAGAGCTAACAATGCGTTAAAACCTTTGTTGATGCTTCTCGGGATTGTTTTGGCCATCTTGAATTTAGAACCAGTTTCTGTTTCCGTGTCTGCATAAATACTGTCTTCTTCGTCGTCATCAGACTCCTCCTCCACAACTTCAACTTTCGACTTTCCTGGAAAAATCACAAGAGTAAAAAAAACAACTAGCGTGTATATTAAGCAAAAATACATACAATGGTCTAAGGGATGAAAATAAACCCAACAATGTGTGGTAAACCTTTGTTCTTGGTTCTCGGGATTGTATTGGCCACCTCGGATTCAGAAATAGCATCTGTGTCGTTGCTGCTATCTTCCTCGTCGTCGTCAGCTTCAGTGACTGCTCTAACCTCTTTACATCCATCAGGGCCATAGATGCTGACCTCGAAAATGCGGTCTCCATTATAGACGAAGGTCAGAAAGTCTCCGTCGCTGAGAGAATTGTCCTTAACGAATTTGACCCATCCTTGTTCAAAATACACCTCATCTTGCTTCCTCTTCATCGCCACGTTCCATGAGCAACCACCAGTTCCTCGGAGAATCGCCGTTTTGGGCAAACGAGGTGGAAGTTCATCATAGTAGGAAATGGGGATCAGCTACTCAACACATAAGAAGAGGTAAGCAAAGACACAAAGTACAGTATGAGACTTCGAAATCCAATTTAGAAGGAAACCTCTCTCTATAACAGAGGCTTATTCACACACAGAAGGTGTGGTTTTTACATTAGAAGATTTACCAGTCAAAACATTTGCATCTATTTATGAGTAGATACACTAATCAAGGAGAAAAATCTGAGTAAAACAATCATGTTCAAACATCTCTAGTGCAAACGTCCATAAATGAAAAATAACATCTTTCTCAAGTTTACCACTCAGAGGAAAGCAAAAGGATGAAAAGGAGCAAACCCACAAACAAACAAACAAAAACAAAAGATATCCATTCAAAAGTAAGTCAAAACAAACGCAAGACATTTGTATCTATCTATGGACAGGAAAAACTAATCAAGGAACAGATCTGAGTTTCAAGCATCTGTCTAGTGCCAAAGTCCATAAATGAAACTGATTCATATGTAAAAAAATAACATCTTTACTTAACAAAACTAAAAAATGCGACAACTTCATCACTCAAAACAGAAGAATGCAAAAGGGAAGAAACAGAGGAAAACACTAGGAAGGCAAAAGAAACAGAAAATAATTATCTACACAGAATCTTTCAACGAAGATGAAGCCGAAGAAACAAACCCAAATGATAGTAGTTGCAGTTTAAGAGTGGTCAAAGAGACCAAGACATTACTAAGGCAAAGAGAGAGAATTCATGTTACCATGGAATTGGAGCTGAAATGGGAGATGAAAACCTTAAAGAAACGCGGAGGAGTATCAGTGTCAGCCATTGCGAGAGGATTTTGAAACTTTGTGAGAGAGACGACAGATTCTTCACGTATGAAGTTGAAAGGAAAATGGGAACAGCTAGAGAGAAGGTGACCAATGATATAGTAGGAGAACAATTCCTATTTCGTAAACATAATTGGGGCAAAAGTAAAACGTTTTGAGATTTGAAGGATGAAAAGGTAAACTATATTACTTATTTTTTTTTTGTCTTTCAATATAGCCCTCTTTTTTTCCCTCTCTCCATTTCCCGCACTCTTTCTTTTTTTTCTCCTTCTCTGTCTCTCCATTTATGAATGAGTCACATCACTCACATGTACAATACATACGACCAAGCCGGTTTGAACAATTTTTTTTTTTTTTTTTTAAAGTATTAGGTCTTGTCTTGAATTGGCCAAAAGAAACATTTTGAATTTGTTTTAGTTCGTACAGAACGTCAGAACCCATCAAAACACCACTTCATCTCTTTCTACGGTTTTTTTTTCCAAATCATTTCATCAAAATAACACTTTGAATTTTGTTTTTCATTTCAGAACAATTAATATATATGTTTACTGTATCCTTTCATATCGGCCACATGGGTCATCTCCAACTGTAAATCTGTAATCACTTTTATTTATTTTTATTTTTTTCTCACACGTATGTTGCTAATCCTACCCTTGAAGATGAACTTGTATTTATACACACACATATCATACAAATATATTACATACAAAAAAAATGAATTTCCAATTTTGGAAGAACCTAAGAGGACAAGCTGGCCTCGATGCTGGTAGTGGACATCTCTTGGAACATGGAAGTTTCTTCAACATGCCACTTGAGAATCTCTCTCGCATACCTCAGTGCATTGTCCACAGCATCACTCTCCAAGCTCACTTGAGAAACAAACAGCTTCGGCCTAAAGCTCCTTCCACGCATCGAAAAGGGTCCCACGAGTGAGTCATACAGTCTCTTGAATTGGAACCCGATGTAATGAAAAGCACGCTGAGCCATCGGAGGGTTGTGTCTGCTCGTATGGTTCTGGCTGATCAACGGGTTGAAGTCTTCAAACCACTCACAGGTTCTTAGAGGTACCTGCTCGATTTTTTCTTCTAGAAGATCGAATTTGGTTAGAACCAAAAGGAACCTTTTGTTAGCTAGGCTCGGGTGATTCACCATGCTCTCAAAAAGCTGTTTGTTTGCAATCATCTTGTTCACACGAATCCCGTCACCGTCTTCAATGTATTCTCCATAATCAGTTAGTGAGACGCAGAATATCACCAAGTCAGCATCTTCAAACATTTCCAGCCATTTCCAGTTGTCTCCAAGGCTTCTTGGATTTAACCGGATGAGTTGGTACCTAGAAAGAAACAGAGAGAAAGAGATTAAGTTCAACGCCTTTTTTCTTCAAATAGTCTTGAATGCAACAAGGAAAAGTAATAGGAACTAACTTCATGTTTGGATCGTGCTGATAATCGCTCTCAAGAGAGTCTTCTTGAGTTGTTGAGGGGAATGAGAAGTCCACACAAGAAAGTCCTTCCATAGATGAGAGTCCTTCCGCTTGCAATATGTCCATATCAGAAGGTTCGTATTCTGATCTTGAGATCTCAAGAATCTGATTAGAAACAAATTTAGTTCAGTCTTCTTTTTGTCCCCTTTAACAAAAGTGCTAAGGAACCTCGGAAAAAAAAAAACGTTTAAAGACAAGAAACCATTTGATTTAAAAACTTACTCGTTCAAGAAAATAGACGGCGTTTCTGGGAAGTGTTTCGCGAAGTCTTTTGTAGGTGGCATGAATGGCTGGTACTCTCCAGAGATCTGCAATGGTTTGTGCATTTTCGCGGCTTGATGCTGGAAATATCTTCAGGTTTCCTTCTTCCTTTTCTTTCAGAAGCCAATCTGAAAAATGTTTTAGCCTCGGGTTAATTGAGCTAGCTGTTTTAGCACTGGTCTCATCTCCCGTATCGCCTAAATCACAAGAAATCGATCAGTGTCTCACAATAATCAAATCGTTAACTGATGTTTGTTCGGTCTACAATTTTTTACCTGTTTGTTCCGAGGACTGGTTATTGTTCATCTCTACTTCAAATCTTTCGTGTGCCTCAAGAACCATCGCCAGATAAGCATAGAGATTTGTTTGGATTATGAATTTGATTCTTTCACGTTCGTCTTCAGAAAATGAGACTCCATAGAGAGACCTTGCCTGAAACAAAAGCAGTCAATACCAGATCGTCTACTAGATCGAGTGGGTGGCATTAAGATGAATATAAGCTCACTTGTTTGTAAATCGTAGTGGCGCCACATTTCTCGTTACCAATCAGAAGAAGCTTGTTAAGCATTTTCTGCGTATAAATGGGCTCATCATTTGGTTCTACCGCAGATGAAGTCGGAGGCATTGGAAGAGAGAATACAGCACAAGCAAGCCTAGCTCTTTTCTGAAAAACAAAATAGCATCCATAATTGTATACGGTTTATATTCAATATACTGTACGTTGATAACAAGAAAACCTTGTGCCCGAGAAACCATACCTTATTCCAAATGTTCCCGATGAAACGTTTCTGGCCTTCTTCCTGGTAAGTTCCATCTGCATCGACCCAAAAATGAGGCTTTCCTTCACATTGCACCCCAGCCACCTACATCAAAGCAAAGGGAGGCATTCAGTTTCACATGATAAAATTAGAGGAGAACAAACAACACTAATGCTTAAGGTCGTCCAGCCAAAGAACCTTGAGCATCATGAGCTCTGCCTTGGTTATTTCCCGGTTATTAATGAAAATCTCAGTGTCACCATTGCTTGCGTTCTTCTTGATGTTACTCCCTCCTATGTTCATGTGAGGACTTATAATCTGGCAAGGTTTCTCTCCTACCTGTAATAAACACATAGAAACTCTGATTAAGCTGAGCATAAACCCGAGAATAAATACACAGAGAAAAATATAGGCAAAAAATCCTACCTTTCCCCAGTAGCCAGCAACCTTATCATACCAATAGTCACCGGGTTTAAGCTTTTTGGGTGGATTTGGACAAGTCTGCAACATGTAAAGCTCTTCTTCATCTAAAGGCTTGTCATTGACAGCGATAAGCCGTGAAGGCAATTGGTTCGCCTTGCAGGAGATCTCAGCACTCATGACTTGTTGAAGCTCTGAATCCGTGAGAAGACGCTTCAGCATTCTTGAACATTTTCCGAGACTCCCTCTCTTGGACTCATCGATTCTGATACCAATGCAACTCTGACACTTTCTTCCTTCAGGCATCGCACCCATGGCTCTTCGCACACAGTTGAAACAATATTTGGCATCGCAGACAATGCAGACTTCCTTCTCAGTGAACCGGTTTCCCATCAAACATCTGTAGCAAGACCCTCTTTTACCTTTCCTCTCAGCTCTAGGCGTTGCAGCTATACTCTCCCCGTCAGAAATGTAAGAGCTTTCATCACATTCACTACCCTCACTTGGTACAACGAACTTCACACGATTTACAGTTTCGCCATCCGCCTCCACTCCATTGGAACAATCCGAAGCTCTTAAATCATCTTCTGTATCCTCTCTTACTTCTGCAGATGATGGTGATGATGATAACGGTAAATCAACCGCTTCTTCTGCTACATCCAACCTCTTCGACGATGATGAAGACGATGATGATGAGCCAGAAACCACATGATGTCCTTTCAAAACAACGCTTGAAGTAGCTGCGGATTCAGGTGGTTTCTCGGTGACCCTATTAGTCCTAGCGAGAGGTTGGACCACCGGGTAAGAGATATCACCAGGCAATGATGAAAACGAAATGGGAAGAGCTGTAGGAATCTGATCAACTTCGACGGGATTAGCTCGTGGCACGTTAGCGATAAAAGGGCCTTTATACTCACTTGCGAATGAGTAATCAATTTGAAAACTATTGCTATTTTCATCACCATCGTCACTATCGCGATTATCCCTTTTATGAATCGGTGATGCTAAAGGTAATAACTTTTTGAAAACTGCAGCCATCTTCTTACCAAATTCAGCACAAAGACACACATACACACACAAAAACCCCTAATTCCTATAATTCCCTAAATCAGAAACTATCTATCCCGGCAATAAATCATGAATAGTGCCTAAGAGAATAAGATAGAACACCCTAAGCCATTAATGGCTTAAATAATCAACCAATGAATCGCAAACCGCGTGAATAAAAAGAAGAAATATATATGATTGATCACAGAAAGCTCCTTTAGCTTAAGGAAAGGAAAACAAAGAGGAATAGATTTTCCGGGAAAAGTGGCAACGGGAGAAAGAAAAGGAAGGAATAAAATTTCCGGGGAGGGGAATTGAACAAGTGAACATAAAGAAGAAAGAAAGATGGTTGGATCGTCTTCTCTCTCACTAGTAAAAGACGAAGACTAGACAAAAAGGGAAGACTTTCTCTTTGTTTTTCTTTTCTCTGAACCAAAAGGAAATTTGGACTTATTTTCCGGGAAAATTCGTTCCGTCAACGCGGGTTTGGGGTTAAAAACGATGCGTTTGGAAAGGCGTTGAGAGGGTCAAAGAGAGGGCAATTTCGTAAAACCGCATTCATTCAGTACCCGGAATTACGCGGTTAATAGGAAACCGGAGGTATTATTTCTGTTTTAAAACCTTTTAATTTGTTATTTCCTCCGTTTCACAAAGTGTCATTTTTTTTTACATATATTAAAAAAATTATTAAAAGTATAATTTTGTCCCTTATTAATACATTAAATGATTTGTTTTTATCTAGTAAATACATTAAATTAATAGAGTTAAAACTGAAATATTGTTTAAAATTTTGCATTGAAAATATAAAACGATACTCTTTCTGAAACAAAAATAAAACCTTAAAACGACACTCTTTGTGAAACGGAGGAAGTATAATCATATGATAATTCGGCTGTGGAAATATTTTCGGTTTTAGTGATTGATTACAAAAATAGTAATTTTAGCATTTAATATTTGAAATTTTCGAATATGGAATTTCTGACAGGAGTTCACATTTTTATTAAAGAGTTTTTTTGTCTTTCTCATATATAGATTGTCCAAATCTCTAAATAGTAACTTCATATTCACAAAGAATAATAATTTCTAACAACTTTGGTGGACATTTGGTGGTGCTTGATTGTTACTTTAAAGTATGCAGATTGGTTAAGAGAATTATTGAAGAAACATTTGACGGTTAAAAACTTGTGTTTGTTTCTAATTGGAAAAAACTTTAACTTGTTGGCTAGACCTTGAAAACCAGTCTTCTACAATATTAAATAACTGAAAATTAGACATTAATCGTCAATACCACTCACCTCACATACAAAACTTTGCACGACGAGATATTTGTTCTTCATAACAAAAAAAAACTAAAATCTTGAACAGAATAATGTCTAAGATCTTTAAATCCTATACTATATAGCAAATTCAAACACATTCAAACTGATTAGAATTGCAATTATGAAAAGTAGACCTACTGGTTCAATCGTCACGAAACACACATCGCTACACATATATCCTTAGGTTACTTCGAAAAGTAATTACTTCGTGACATTATATATTTTGCTCTCTACATGAAAAGAAGCTCAAGAAAAAAAATAATATGAAATAAGATAACTACAATGAACTAAGATAAGAAGTTCATCAAACCTCTTACAACATGTTAGCAAGATCTAATTGGCTAGAAAGAAAAAAAGTTATCGTCTTATCGAAGATATTGATCCTAAATATAAGTTAGAAGACCAATTCTAACAAAGAGAAAAACGACTCATCAAATTCCAAATTATGAAGTTGCAAACACGACATAGAACACAACGAAAACAAACATGTTTGATTCAGTCTTTGTTCTTGTTTATTTTACAAATTTAGGGGAATAATGATACAATTTCGTTTTTTAAACAATTTTCCTGTTAGGAAAAAAAAAAAAGAAGAAGCAAAACTCATTACGTGAAAACCATCAACCCCACACGTTGACTCCATCACCAGCTGACGTGGCGAAATCCTGTTCGCTGACTTAGTCATAAAATTGAAAACAATCATTCGACTCTTTCCCCGGCGTGAAGACGGTCGTCGTGACTGATCAACGACGAGACATTTTCGTAAATAATCACACTATACTCTGATCCACTTCTTATTTTTTTATTTTTCCAAATTGCGTGAACTCCACGCGCCACTCCCTTCGTGCGGAGAAGAAAAGCTCTTCCGGCCAGAAGACGCGGATGGCTCATCCATCTCTCTCCACGTGGCCATTTTCTCCGACACACGCCACACTTTCACCGACTTGTCCAAACTTCCACTGTATATAATCCACTTCCGGTCTCCCTCGGCGACAGAAGAGGCTTTTGCTCCCTTACGACGGCAAGCTCGCTCCTCCTCCACGGCTAAACACTTGACGGGTCCCATGTGGCCCGTCAAAACAGATAGACACTGATGTGACCCATCAGACGGTTCCCGCCTCCAGACACATATGTTCTTGTCGGCTGAACCACTCAACAACAAGTTCCCCGCAAGAGCGAGACATAGCACGGCGGATTTGTGCCCTTTGAGTATTCCACCGACGAATATACGCTTTGAACGCTCCCAATAGTTCACTAGACCGTCCGATGAACCGGAATATACGATCGAAGACTTTGATTTTACGGCCAATGCCGTGACTGCGTTTTCTTGTTTGAGCAAAATTTGAACCAACATGTGCTTTGTTCCTTTGCCTTGCATCTCACGTTTCCACACTTTAACCGTGCCATCCGCAGATCCCGTGAACACCAAGTCATCGAAACCGGACATAACCGAGTTTATGGCGTCATCGTGCGCATGTATCGACTCCAAACATTTTGAATCCGAGATTCTCCACACTTTGATCGTCGTGTCCCAAGAACTCGAGTACAACAACCCTAGCTCCACGTCCAGGCTAAGACTCGATACGGCGTCGTTATGCTTAGTCTTCACGGAGTTTCTGTTGCGGCGCACCTCCATGAAATGCTTAGGGTTTACGGAGCTCTTGACCATCGATTTAAACGTAGGCAATGTTCCAACCCGTTTGTGCTTTCCCGGTTTTCTCTTTGAAACCTTCCAAATCCGGATCTTCCCGTCCTGATGGCCTGTAAAGATCCGGTCTCCGAATATCACAATGGCCTTGATTAGCCCACTACTTGATTTAAACCCGGCGTGATCCTTCAAATTCTTCCAAACCCTAATGTTCTTGGAGTCGGAGCCGGTGTAAAGAAGGTCACCAGAAGCGGCTAGCGAGTATATATGTCCTTCTTCGCGTACAATAGAACCAATGAGACCGTTGGTCTCGAGGGAGTTGTCTTCGTTGGAATCAGTGGCCCAAGGGGGAGACAAGCGGGCCCAAGGAGACATTACGCAAGGAGAACCTTCTCCGCTGGTCGGACCGCTGCTCATGGTTGAGGCTGAGACGCTGCTAAACCGGTGGTGAGTTAAGTTGGTGTTGATAATGATTGGCTCTTCGGGAGGGAATATTCCGTCGTGGTCTGCTTTCAAGAGATCACCAAATTTAGGCCTTGGTTTGCGAGCATTATCGCTAAGGTCGTGGCTGAGATTGTGGCGACTGTGATTGTTGTTATATGGATCGGTTTGGAGATCAACGACCATGGTACCACCTGTTTCGTTCCTCATCTCTTTCTTAAAATCCTTTTTACAAAAGTCAAATGCTTGATGTAAACAAAGAAGAAAAGGTTATAGAATAATGATAAAATCTCTCCTTACTTTTTTTTTTTTAGCTATGAATAAGAAAGTTGAGGGATAATGTGAGTTTGTAGATTTTGGTTGGCAAAGAGGGACAGAGATTTTTATGGAGATTTTGACGGGGAATTGGAGGGTCTAGAGCATATTTTGACTTTTGAGAATTTTTGTTTTTGTTTTGTCAACTGACTCTTGGGTATTTGTTTATGGATTGCGAGAATTGATCTTATAAATGCACACTTATATATACACAAAGAAATATATCAAAAGATTGGTGGTCATGTGATATGTGGTGGGGTGCTTCCCACGTGGTTGTTACTAGAGGAAGCTTCTTTGATTTTTCCAAAGTATATTAAAATACTAAGCTTATGAACTATTATATATCTTCTCTTCGAGAAAAAGAGAGAATCGAAGTTACTTTACTATTTTGCTTGTATTTTGTAAACACTAATCGTTTGTCAAAAATTATACCTCATATTATTCTCTTGCTAATGTTAAAACATAGTTCTATAGCATAGAAGCATACTCTGACAATATATTTTATGGTATGATTAATTAAATCCATCAAAATTTTGTGTTATTGGGTTTTACATATAAGAACATTCTTTGAGTAATGCATCTGAGGTTCTAGATACATTGGAATATTAGGTACGCAAGCCGAAAGGTATTTAAATCTACTCCATAGCTCATTTCACACATAAAGCTTTACTGCCTAAAATGCTTTTTTTTTTGTTAAAGATTATTAAACGAATGTACCATATTGTCAAAGCATTTGTTGTCCTTGTCCCGCAAGACCACAGTCTTACTATATCCATAAAATCTTATTAATAATGAATTATATAATCACACATATATTTTTATACCAAAAGACTATACACCACTTGACACGATTAGGCAAATTAATTTAGGCATGTTTCCACTATCTCTTAATTGTTATCTATATATGCTTATCTGCATTAAATTGGCTTTTTACATGACAAATCGCTCTTTTGTTCTTGCTACAAAGTTGCATCGTAGCATTAAACAAGTTTGTAATGTCGTTTGCGAACTTTTGTTTCGATAAAAAGCATGAGATCAAAGAGTTTTCACAAAGCCTAAGGGCCAATTAGCTACGTCGCCCATAATTAAAAATAAAACTCGAATTCAATCACAAAGTGAAGCCCATGAATGACCCAGTAGACATGATCTGTGTAGTTTTTGCATTGAACATAGAGAGTATCGTGAGAGGAAGCGATAGCCGGAGAAGATCCGAGATTCTATTATCCCGATGAACAACTTCTGAATGATTTATTTCTTTGGCCACTCTAATACAATAAGAAAAAGCACAAAGATTCTCTACTTTTAAAGAGCGAACACAAACTCATCATGAAGTTCGAACCAGTTTCTACTTTATCCACACTTCTCTTGTCTTCGACCGTAATTTATTACAAATTATGGGTTTCTTCTGAAAATTACTTGGGGGACCAAATCGTAAAAAGTTAAAATCCTTTGAGACGTCATGTCACGTCACGCAGAAAATGAAAAAAAGCAATGAGAGAAAGAGTTGTACTCTCTTTTCAGAGAGTCTTAATGTTGCTTTGACTCAACTTCAAGCTACTCTATCTCCTACCATAACCCTCAGATTACAATTTTAGGTCTTCTCTTCTCTCTGATTCCCCAGTTTCTCTCACTTTCTCCGACACAGTTCCAAGATCTACTCTCAATGGCTACCACTGATTCCCTCCCTCGTTTCTTCAAACTTTTCCTCTCCCATTTCAGCTCACACTCCATGGTAAGATATTCTTTCTCGATTTTTCTTCTTCTGTCATTTTTTGTTGTTGCTGGAAAGAGTCTCTTAGCGTAACATCTCCATTGCTGGTGTGAATGAGAGGTGAAACAATGCTGAAACTCCTGTGATTTGCATTTATCACTATGGGTTTATCTGCATTTAGGTTCTGAGTGGTAAAATGCTAACTTTTTGTATAAATCAGCCTTATCTATGGTTGTATTATGTCAGATTAGTTTATGTTCGCCTAGGTAGTGAAGTTTGTTTTGTATGCTTTGAATTTGGTCGCATCGGAAAAGTCCACTCTTTTAAACTGTCCGTACGCTTTTTCGAGACCAAGTTTTCTTCTTGTGTGTGGAATGGTCAACCTGACTCTGGCTTAGATGACTCTGACTTAACCTTAAAGACACTCTCTTTGTGTTATTGGCATTGAGCAGGCGATCCCAGCGTCCTACTACGACAAGCTACCACGTCGTTTGCCCAAAACAGCGCTTCTCCAAGGAACCGGCGGTTGCTTTTGGGAACGTTGCGATGATTAAGATACGAGATGAGGTGTATTTTGGAGAAGGCTGGGCCAAATTCGTTGAGGATAACCAGCTTAAAGATGGGAGACTTTTTGACATTTGTTTATGACGGATCTCGCGTTTTCGAGGTCAAGCATCTATGGGAAGTGAGCATGTAAAGAGATAAGAGCCGTTGCTCAAGTAATAGAAGACGACCGGTGACAACGGTGGTGATGGTTCTTCTTCTCCCGACACGGTGACAAAGAAGACAGTGTTCTTATTCTGAGCAGCGACGGAGAAGAGGATTCCGACAACGGTGACAGTACTTATTCTCCCGACAACGAAGACACAGTCACTGTGGAAAAGTCGAGGAAGAAAGGTAAAACACAATTACCAGCTTTCAACACTTTAAAGGATTATTTCTGTGATCTTTATGTTTAGATATAGACCTGTTTTGTCTCTTGAAATTTTACAGCAAAGTCCAGCTTAGCAAAAGCTGTTGGGTCAACCAGTAACAGGTCTTCTTACTCGGTGACAAGGACGAACGGTAAACTCATTTTGCATAATTTCATTATCATTTAATTAGGTCAGTGATTTGTGTGATACTTATATTGAAATACATTAGCTTTCACCACTTTGATCATTTGTACGATGCTTATGTTTATCTAAAATGGCTTTTGTGTCTTGAGGTTCTCCAGGAATGTCCAAAACGGAGAGGAAAGGTAACTTGAGTTATGCCTAATTTGAATTTCATCGTTTAACTCTAGATCACAAACTTGTGTATGCTTAATAGAAATGTATTCCCTTTGGGATTTTCACAGTGAAGCCCAAGATCAAAAAGCCGGAGGCATATTTGGACAATCCAAAGAATGTCTGTTTTGAGACGAGCTTGAAACTTAGGAAATTTGAGCTGATAAGAATTTCAATAAAGTTTCTTTATCGATATTTCTTTTAAAGAGCTGTTCAATGTACGTTTTGTTTGCTTTTGTACCTTAAATACAGTTAGTTCCTGGACAACTAGTTCGAGACCATTCCTTGAAGTTTCAAGACTACATTGATACATGGACAATCACAACGAGGAGAAAATAAGAGGGAAAGTGTCACTGTGGAATGCAAAACGTGTGTGTATTAAAGGATGGCAGCACATTTGCGAGAGGAACCAAGTGAAGAAAGAAGATGGCATCTTGTGTGAACTCTTTCGCGAGCGAGGCTTGGTTTACGCAGTTAAAGTTCATATCATCCGCGAGATAAATCTTTAAAACGTTATTAGTATGAGTAAAGAGGGATTTTACGTGATCATCTCTATGATTTTAGTTTGTTGTGAGCTCTTGGAAAGAGCGAGTTTTATAACATGACGAACCAGTTATTTCCATAAGAGAAAACAATTGTTCTCTTTTTTCTTTACTTTATCTTATTAAGTTATTGAAAGACTTCCTTTAGACCTCTTTTGATCTCATCTATATCCAAAAGTTGTATTATCCTACAGGCTACAACACTTGAACCAATTCCGACTGATTTTGTCGCTTTCAAAATTAAATTGATGCATCGATGCATAATAGCTGATTTTTAAAAAAGTAATTTTATTAAATTAGCGACCAGTAAATCTATTGACTTGCAAGCTTACACTTCAAAGGCATTGAAGCAAGCACCTGAGTTTATAGGCTGAAACCAGAAATCTACATATCAGAAGAAGACTAGAACAAGGAAAAATAGGCCATTACTAGAGTTGTATGAAACCAAAAACTATAAGAAAGAAAATAATTAGTCTAAGTCACGACTCACGAATCTTGAAGAAGATATAGGCAAACCCTTTTTTGCTCTGTCGTATTATATGGACAAAAAAAAGAGGATTTGATTTGAGTTTGAGTTCAGTTTTGGTCGATGAAATCAGCAGGCAAGTTCAAGTCCAATAAAGTGACTTTGCTGTTTATGAAACTTCCTTCTTTCTTCAGACGTTTCTGTGAAGAAGAGCTAATGGTGTCTTCCGAGTTCCTCGATCCTGAAGCTTGCTCAGGCCTCGATGTCTCCCCTGTAAAAAGAACATGGCTCATTAGGATTTGATTCATTGGTTCATCATTACAAGAATGTTATGATAACACAACAGAGGGTTAATTACCACTTGTGCAATTACTATCCAAAGGTTGGAATTTGTCAGCACCTTTAGAATTCCAGGTAGCATAAAACTCAGCTGCTTGTTCGATCCCCTTTGATCTGTAAGGTGCGATGTTGTGGATACCACGTTGGAGAGAACCAAGTAAGTCATTCTCAATGCACTCGTACATTTTCTTGCAGAGGCTATCGACCGCAACAGACAAATTGATGATTTGAATCCTTATCTCCATGACTTTATCATCAATAAACTCATCAAAGGGCTCCTCCAAGAACTGGGAAAGTTTCTCAACATTACCCTCTAGTTGCTGCTGCTGATCCTCAAACAGATTCTTCTTTATCTCTCTCTCCTCAGGGCTCATCTCATCTTTGAACAGCTCCTCACCAAACATGTAATATGCGAAAGCATACGAATATGAAAGAATCCGTCTTGATCTGAATAACCTGTTGAGTCCGTTGGTGACCCAGCTGAAGTCTTTAAGCTTCAGTTCCTTCTTTTCTGAATTTGACACTTTTTCGAGGATAGTATCCCTAAGTTTATCCTCTAGCTTTGATGAGTCCGTATGTGCTTTGTATCGGTGATGATAATGTGTATACCTATTTAAATCCTTTTTCGCTCTTTCCATCTGCATTTCCTTGCCATCTTCGTACCGGCCACAACTGTGACCAGCGATACTTCTATAAGTGTGTTCCTTTCCAGTAGCTCCACCACACAGCCAACTGTACAAATTACCAACCAAACATGAGACACTTCACCAGTTTGACATTTTTGCTCGTCTCAAAGCATAGAAACTCAAATGCAAAGAGGAACGGAGAGCAAAGGAGAAAACAAAGGATAGAGTTCTTACCAAAAACACTGCCCACAAATACACCTTACGAGATTGCAACCACCATTCTTTTCCACGGGTTTGAAACATTTGGGACACAGCTTTGTGTGAACGGTTATCCAATTAACTGTCTCCGACTCATCTCGACACTTCTTTCTCCAAAGCTCCCACATCAAACAAGAGCAAGGGGAATGGGCTTGACACAGACAACTGAAGCAGAACTGAAGACCACAGGAACATTCAACTTCGCACAACTTGTCATCCTCAGCTCGTATTGCATTCCCACAATGGGGAACGCTGGGACACCACTTGACCATTTTGTTGTCTTCGATGTATGACTCGAGAAGGAAACGATCAAACTTCTCAGCTAGATCTGGACGCTTTTTACTGACTAGATTCCTGACAACATCTTCATCACAAATAGAAAAGCATCTATGAGCCATGCATCTAATCCTTTTGCTCTGACCTTCAGTTATCTGCACAGTAAAATGCTCCGTCCAACCTAAACCAAGCAAGAAGTGCGTTATATCATACATCTACCTCTAAAATAAAAATACCTCAAATTTTGGCAAAATGGACTCACAATTATTGCAAAAGCAATGGCCACAGTCCATTCTCGTAATCTGATCACCTGGTACATCCTCTATGCAGACATCACAACTCATCACTGAAGATTGAGAAAAGGAAGTGTTGTCATATTGATAGTCGAACACAGTCACACCAGCTCCAGAAAACAAGCTATCTTTTCCTTTCTCAACAAAGACAGCAAACAACTTCTCTACATCCCACTGGTGATGAATGAGAAGAGTCCGCGCATGGTGCTCCTTAATCGATAACAATTCCATTACCCTTAGCAAATCTTCTCTCTGCATAAAGAATCAACAACTCAACCAATTAGAGCTTCAAATTGAAACCAAAAGAAACGTTCCACAAATTTACCTGTGCTGCCAGAAGCGATTCCTGCGTGATGACCTGCAAAATGGTTGATAAAAAATGTTACCAAACAAGCCCTGGATTTGTTAACACGGTAAGAACATGAAAAGCCTCTTTGAATCAACGAATTGTCACACAATTGAACCCTCTTCATAGCAAGTAAATTTTTATTTTATTTAAAAAAAAAAAATTTCAAGCTGAATAAGTAAACAGTAGTTCCCAAATCGTAAGAAAGAAAGAGAACCCTAAATTTCAAACAGAGCAATTGTCCAATGAATTCATGATCCTAGGCACAAGGATGGAGCTTTGAACAAAAACAAAAACAATAACTGCGAGAATTAGGATGAACAACGGTACAGGGAGAAGAAAAGAAAGGTTTTTGAACCCACGATTGCTGCAATGAGATCATCAAAATTCACTTTTGAAAAGCTCAAAACAATTTTACAGAGATATCGAAAAAATCCAAAAAAAAAAACCGGTAGAAGAGAAAAGCACCAATAACAACAAGCATCAAGAACAAAGAGATATTCGAAGAGAAGGGAAGGTGAGTATGTAAGAGAACCTGAGTGGATGATCGTCTTGACGACACATGCTGCAAATCGGACTCTTCGTTATCAATCCCGTCCAAAGAGTCCTGATCGGAGGAGTAATAGCAATCGTCTTCCTCAGCAGTGAAGTATTCATCCATCGATCACAATTATGAAAGAAACGAGTTATCAATAAGTTTCATAAGAACAACAAAATTATCTTGGGAAGGCCGTCTATGGAAAGACGGAGGCGATCAAGAGAGTGAAGAGAGAGAGAAGTAGAGATGAAAAGGGTTAGATATTCCGGCGAGATCACAGAGAAGTTCCGGTTAAGAGTAGGCGAGAGAGGAAGAGGAATCGCGCAAAGATTCCTATCTTTCACTTTACGCCTTTTATGCAAGACGATACACTTATGCTACGTCGTCGTTTTAAGACCCCAAGGAACTCGAGGATGTTGTGAATTTTGGGTTTTTAATTTATTTTGTTATCCTTTTTTGGCCAGTTATTATGTATGGAAAGTGTTTTTTTACTTCATAGCAAAAAAATATAATTTGGAAATTTATTAAATACTCAATTAAATATGAGCATTCAATTCTCATTTTCTTTCCAAGTTTATTTGACCATTAGGGTAGAGTTGAATAGCGAGTTTTTATCGGGTTAGATTCGGTTTTAACTAGATTTGTTGTTTTCGAAGATTATTAGTAGACAAAGTAAAGTTGAATCTATAAAAGAATCAGTTTGTTAGGATTTTGGTTTCAGTTCAGATTAATTTTTGTTTATGAATCTATTATATTTATATTTATCTTGACTACTTAGATTAGTATACCATTTAGTTTAGTCAAATATCTTTATAAAAAACAAAAAATAATCAAAATATATTTCACATTACAATATTTGTTTTTTGTTCCATAAATTACAATACACAGCAACCCGTGTCTTAATCCTCGTCATCACCGATATGTGTTCGGAAGAGGTAGTCTTCACCTTCAAGTTCATCTTGATACATGGATATTGATGGATCTTTGCATTTCTCATCTTTTTCTTTCTCATCATTACGTCTCTTTCCCTGACCAATAAAATGTCGGGTCTTTAATGAATTATTACAAAAGTAAGCAGGCAACATATACTTTCAGATGATCACAAGTTTGAAGGTAAATCAAACTCATGTCTGCGACTGTTCTGTTTAGGCTCAGTTTTGAACGATATGGAGATTTAAACTCGTAAATGGCTACAAATCTCTATATAATGCCTGACTTTGATCATGAAACTTGGTTGAAAATAGCATACTAAGCCCTTCCTGATCAAATTTCAGATTTCAAGTTTTATTATCGGGTATATGGTTGGATTCAAGTTCAATTAGAACGAGGTTAAGTGACTCTCACCAATCATCCTATTATTCCATGTAACTATGAGACGGAGCTTTAAATTCGTTTTGGCAATATGCAAGACTTATTACTACGACGAGCTTGTGGTGGTTCACAAAAGAGCTTCTAAAACAGAGAACAAATGCTAATCCTTAAAAGCGACGATTGTTTGAATACTGACCTTTCTTAAGATATAGAAGAAATAATGGAAGCCGTCGCCAAAAGTGTCATACTCCATGGACCAAGTAAACTTGGGATCCATAAACAAAGGACGCCTGAAATGCGGCTGCATAAGAAGAAGAAGGTATTTTTAGAGCTAATAACTGAGGAAATGCAAGAATATGATATCAGATATTCCGCTTCTGATACCTGACCAAAAGTAATGGAAATGAAAATCCCATTTGGTTTCAAAACTCGGTGAACTCCATCAAGAGTTGCCATGACTTTGCTAACAGTTTCTTGACGTGGATTCCATGGATCACCAGCGTCCACAAACAGTACATCCTTCACGAAATTCATTCCAAAAAAAAAAGGAGCAATTCATGAGCTTTCTCTCGTTAAAATTCAAGAAAGCATACACTTCGAAACCACATTCACAAATCTTAAGAAAACAATGGATGAAAAAGAATTTTTAGCTACCATGGTTCCTTTCTCAATAACCACATCAAAACACTCGCTGTTAAATGGGAGGTCTAGCATGTCAGCTTGCACCACTTTTATTTCTGAATAATATTAAGAAGTCTCACGTCAAATATTAACACATCCAATTTGGCTACACTTATGCCTATGCAAGATACTCAAAACAAATAATAATCAAGGCAATACCTTTGTACCCTTTTGAAAGCAATCGACTCTGCATCTTCTCTACCGCAACAGAAGATAAATCACTGCACGTCATATCAACGATCCCATCCTTATACAACTCTTCACACAACTGAGAGTTCCCACATCCCAGCTCCAACACCTTTATTACAACAAGGAAAAACTCAAAATCAAATTTTTTTGCAACATTTCACTTAAGCTCTTGGTCTGGAAAATCATCCAACAATGTGGGCTTCGCGCGTACTATTAGAGATTAACAAAAGTGAGAGAGATAGAGAGAGGAGGGAATGTACATACGGAAGAAGAGATTTTGATGTTGGCTTTGATAAGATGCTGGAAATGAGAATAGTCCTTGAGCCATTCATAGTGTTCCTCGGAAGAGAACCTCTCGTTCCTGCATTTTCAGGGACATTCAGAAACAAAAACGAAAGAGAGAGAGAGAGAGGGGGAGAGAGATTGTTCCAGCTGAATGCAGTTCCTACCAGTAGTGAGGATCGAGATAGGTCAGAGCAGAAGGTGGACCGACGGAATTTGTCCCCGGGTTTGAATTTGGATCCGAATTACGATTGGCGGGTCTCGACTCCATTGCTGGACTTGGGTCAATTCGATTCTCCTTGTCAGCTCCGGCATAAACCCTAAACCCCTGTTTTCACTAATCACCACTAACTGAGTAACTGACTTCTTGTAACAACCAAAAGAGCTGAAAAAAAGTTGTCAAAGGCTTGACAGTTGACGACACTTATCTTGGCAAAATCATACGGGCCTAAAAAAACGGGCCCACTTTTAAAGCCCATAAGAAGCTATGCGTTTTTTTTTAAGCTTTAACTGAATTTTTTTTTTTAACAAAATAAAACATACTTTTTTTTTTTCAACAAAAACCCCCATATTATTAAGTTTGCGGTAAAAGACTCTCCTCAAGAGAAAGCCAGACCAGAACTGAAAAGTTTACATGGGAAAATCTTAAACCTCGTGTTCTTGCACTCTTGGCAAGTCTATCCGCACGGACGTTACAAAGACGAGGAATATAAACTAATTTAAAGGATCTAAACTGGGAAAACATAGCTTTGAAATCCCCAAGTTCAGCTGCAAATGTAGGCCACTCAGCTGGGGAATCCGTCATAGCTAGGAGGTCAAGGCAATCCATCGCAAAAGTTTCACATTGGATGTTGGCTGAGAGAATGCACTTCATAGCCCAAAGAAGAGAGTCTAGCTCGGCATGGAGGGGCGATAGACTACGCGACGAGCTTCTAAGTCCAACTCGGAATATTCTGTCTCCCAACGATACCAGCCAACCGTGGCCACTGAGAGGATCTGAATCGTGCCAAGAGCCATCAAAGTAACAGGTCGTGATGGACGTCAAAGACGCACTTCCAAACTCTCGTCTAACTCTTGTCACCTCTAAAGTATAGTCCTCCTCGTTAGCATTCCTCCAAGTTTCCTCCTCATGTATTGCATGCTCCAGAATATCTGGGGGAAGATCATCTATGTTGTCGAAGACTTTTTTGTTCCTTGACTTCCATAAGAACCACATGATCCAAGGGAAAATACGTAGATTTTCTTCAGATGTTCCAAATTCCTTAGCTCTCCAAAACAGGTAGTCAAGATTACCAAAGATAGAAGCTTGGGGGAAAATGCTTGGTGCCGAAGGGATAGGTGAGAGTGCCCATACTTGCTTCGATGGTGGGCATTCAAAAATAACATGGTTAATAGACTCTTCCTCTGCACCGCACCGGGGACATCTTTTATCCCTTCCAATATGGCGGGAAGCTAGACGTTGGCCTGTCGCCAGACAACCCGTAATACATTGCCACACGAAATGTTTAATTTTTCGCGTAGTTTTTAACTTCCAAGCTTGCGCCGACAGTACTGTAGTACTAGGTCCCTGAAGAGGGGGGTCACAAGCAAGACGAGATAGGGATCTCGCAATCCAATAGCCTGATTTTACCGTATAATTACCGGATTTAGTGAGGGACCAGCTGTATCCATCTCTCGAAACATTTTGACTCGGACGAATCCCTAGGATAAGGGCTATCTCCTCGGGCGGGAAAAGCTCCCGAAGTCGGGCTGATTTCCATTGTTTTGATTCAAAATCAATCAAGGAGTTGACGAATAGAAGAGGATCTCGTTCAACAAGTAGTCCTACAGGAGGTCGGGGCGGGTCGTCTGGGATCCACGGATCTGACCACACCAGCGTTTCAAACCCCGATCCAATGTTCTTACGAAGGCCCGAAGCTAGAAGGGGTTTAGCAGCTAAGATGCTTCGCCATCCGTATGATGGACGGTTGGAGACAGTAATCTCTAGGGGACTACAGTATTTGTAGTATCTTCCTTTTAAGACCCGGTTCAGAAGGGAGTCGGGGAACCGAAGGAGGTGCCACAACTGTTTCGCTAGGAGAGCGAGGTTGAATTCTTCAAAAGTCCTGAACCCGAGACCTCCCTCTGCGAGATGGGTGCAAAGGGAGTCCCAAGATACCCAATGGATACCTCTGCTTTCCTCCTTGGAGCTCCACCAAAAATTGGCAATTGCACTTCTAAGTTTGGAGCAAATAGCTTTCGGGAGAAGAAAACACGACATAACATATGTCGGAATCGCTTGAGCTTGGGATTTAATCAAGATTTCTTTGCCCCCTTTAGAGAGGAGTTTTGAGGACCATGAATTAACCCGGTTTTGGAGCCTGTCCCGAACAAAAGCAAAAACTTGTGCTTTGGAACCGTGGAGTTTCTCTGGGAGCCCAAGGTATGTGCCCATGCCTCCTTCTTGGTAGATCCCAATAGTGGTCTTGACTTCTTGACGGGTGATAGTTGGAACATCGTTGCCAAACATAATAGATGATTTCGTAAAATTAATCTTTTGGCCTGAAGCCTCGCCGTAGGAGCGGATAATGCCAATAAGTTCACGACTTTGTACGGGTTCAGCCTTACAGAAGAAGAGACTATCGTCTGCAAATAAAAGGTGAGATGTGGTGGGACTAGCCCTAGCGATCCGGAGGCCTTGTAGTTTCTCTTGTGCTTCGGCTAAACGGAGTTGAGAGACTAAGGCTTCGGTACACAAGATGAAAAGATACGGTGATATGGGGTCGCCTTGTTTGATTCCTCGAGATGGTTTAATACATCCTCTCGGTTCTCCGTTTAGGAGGATCTTGTAGGATACTGACGAGATACAATACATCACCCATTCAATCCAGCGGGGAGCAAATCCCATCTTTCCCATCAAGGCACGGAGGAACGACCACTCCACTCTGTCATATGCTTTACTCATGTCCGTTTTTACTGCCATGAATTTCTTCCAGCAAGCAGGGTTAGAACGGAGGGCATGGAAATTCTCTTGTGCAATAAGGATGTTATCCGTGATCAATCTTCCAGCTACAAAAGCTGATTGGGTCTTAGAAATAAGATCTGGAAGGAACTTTTTCAGCCTAAGGCTGAGAATCTTAGAGATGATCTTGTAGCTAACGTTGCACAAGCTTATGGGTCGGAAACATACTTAAAGAGGAGAAAAGCAATTTAATGAACATGTCTAATGTCTAGATAAGAAGATGACAAATTGTGAAACAATCTAGAATCCAAATTTATATATTCACAATCACACAAATCACACATCTTTAAGAGTTTAACCACAAATTTGCGACTGCAACACTTTCACTGGTTTTTGTGGCGTAGGAAAGATATCCCTTTCCACTATTTTATTACAAAAACGAAATCAAAGACCAGGAAATTACATGTCATGTCCCAAGTGGTTGGCGTCGATGTTCCCAATACATTATTTCATTTAATATAATTTGATTTTGTAAGTTATATAAGTAGATGCTAGAGATAAATCGTGGACCATACATTAGAATTTACAGTCAGCCTCGTCGTTGCCTGAGCAATCCCCATGGCTGTTGCGCTCCAGTTCTGCCGATTATGCGTGCGACCGGATACTTTCGTGCTTGAGAATCATCTCTCCGGATCCGGAGGGATCCGTCGCCGGAAACCTTTGTCAGTTCGGTGCGCGTCTGGAGATGAGAACGCTCCTTCGCCATCGGTGGTGATGGATTCCGATTTTGACGCCAAGACGTTCCGTAAGAACTTGACTAGAAGCGAGAATTACAATCGTAAAGGTTTCGGTTACAAGGAGGAGACACTCAAGCTCATGAATCGAGAGTACACCAGTAAGTTCCCCTCTTTTACTGATTTAGGTGCTCTGTTTTTTTGGTAGTCGAGAGAAAGTAAAAGGACAACATGCCATTGATTACTCGAGCTGTAATGAAATTGAAGATGTGGGTTGTTTTTTTCCGGCGTGAGAATGGATAAGACTTGCGAATTGGAGTGGTGAAGTTACGGAAACGACAAGAGTCAATTGGATTCTTTTTTGGTTCCTCAGTTGAGCTTTGTATATGTTGTTTCTGCGAACTTCTCAATTCCTAGGAATTAGTGGATGTTTCATCGAATCATTTACTCACTAATTTCGAGCTAAAATGTGAAATTGACTAAGTGTTTGAACTTGTGTGACTGAGGAGTTTTGTGCTTCTTCCTTAGCTAAAAATAAAATAGACGAAGCTTCTTCCTTTCTGTTCGGATAGATTAATCCTTTATGGTGAAGACCAGAATGTTGGGGTTTAGGGAAAGGAAACGAATTTGGCAAACCTAACAAGACTAAAGTGGAAAAAGTTGTATCTTTGTGGGTTTATAAGAGATTGTAATAGTTGTTCTGAGGAACAAGAATCGATTAGATGGTGATTTTTTCATCTTGCTATTGTATTTTGACACTCTCAGGTGATATATTGGAGACACTGAAGACAAATGGATACACATATTCGTGGGGAGATGTTACCGTAAAACTCGCTAAAGCATATGGTTTTTGCTGGGGAGTTGAGCGTGCTGTTCAGATTGCATATGAGGCAAGAAAGCAGTTTCCAGAAGAGAGGCTTTGGATTACTAACGAAATTATTCATAACCCGACTGTCAATAAGGTCTGTTGTCGCTATGCTCTGAAACCTTATAGAACTCGTATTTTCTTACTTTACAATATCTGGTAAAATGTGTTCAGACTTCTTTTACAATAACTTTGTTAGTTAGATGCTATTGCTTTGTGGCCAATTTGTGTAGTTAAATTGCATTGAACACTGATGACTTGCCTATCTACTCTTCACGTGCCTTGCTATTCTTCTTTTAGTTTGAATCTTTTGGTTTTTATGGCAGAGGTTAGAAGAAATGGATGTTAAAATTATTCCGGTTGAGGATTCAAAGAAGCAGTTTGATGTAGTAGATAAAGATGATGTGGTTATCCTTCCTGCGTTTGGAGCTGGTGTTGATGAGATGTATGTTCTAAATGATAAAAAGGTGCAAATTGTCGACACGACTTGTCCTTGGGTGACAAAGGTAGATATCTTCCCGGCGGCATAAATCTGTCTTTTTTTACTTGATATTATCTCAAAATTTCGTGAACCAATTAATCTCTAGCATAAGTAATTGGTTTCTTCCTTTGTAACATTTTTGGCTCTAAAGGTCTGGAACATGGTTGAGAAGCACAAGAAGGGCGAATATACATCGATAATTCACGGTAAATATAACCATGAAGAGACCATTGCAACCGCGTCTTTTGCAGGAAAGTACATCATTGTAAAGAACATGAAAGAGGTGTGACTTTTAATCTTTATACGGCCAAAAACTTTGTTTAATCGTAGAATTTTGCAAGACTGTTGCTGATGGGTACCTTTATTACTGAGCACAGGCGAATTACGTTTGTGATTACATTCTTGGTGGTCAACTCGATGGATCTAGCTCCACAAAAGAGGAATTCATGGAGGTAAAGAGCTTCCTTCCACATTTGTTGATGTCTTTAGATTGATGTTCTTCTGTACTATCCCTAGTCGTTTCAATATCTATGGTTTTTTTTTGTTGCAGAAATTCAAATATGCTGTATCAAAAGGTTTTGACCCTGACAAAGACCTTATCAAAGTCGGTATCGCAAACCAAACAACGATGCTCAAGGGAGAAACAGAGGAGATAGGTTGGTTACTCTACTGTCTAGTACACTTCTTTATATCACAGTCCTCTTCAATCCTTGGAAACCAAACATCTTATAGTCGAGTGATGAGTCTAATGCCCAAGAAAAAATTTCGCAGGAAAATTAATTGAGAGGACAATGATGCGCAAGTATGGAGTGGAAAACGTAAACGGACATTTCATCAGCTTCAACACGATATGCGATGCTACTCAAGTAAATTTCCCAAAATCTCAAAAGTCATGCATATAAAACGAGTTTTAAGGAAGTTTTTATTCATCAGTCCTATTCTCTTTTTTCAGGAGCGACAAGACGCAATCTATGAGCTAGTGGAAGAGAAGATCGACCTAATGCTAGTGGTTGGTGGGTGGAATTCGAGCAACACTTGTCACCTTCAGGAAATCTCAGAGGCCCGTGGAATCCCATCTTACTGGATCGACAGTGAGAAACGGATAGGCCCTGGGAATAAAATAGCCTATAAGCTCCACGTAAGTGCCATATCACACAACTAAGTCCCATTCAAAAACTAACTCGCTCCTCTCCAAATAACTTTCATCGATCGTTTCTTTTTGTGCATTAACTGATAGTATGGAGAGCTGGTCGAGAAAGAGAATTTTCTGCCAAAGGGGCCAATAACCATCGGTGTGACATCAGGTGCATCAACACCAGATAAGGTAAACTACTTATACTCATATGCAGCTGGTTTAGTTCCGAACAACATATGTGAAATGTTTTGTGAGATTCAGGTCGTTGAAGATGCTTTGGTGAAGGTGTTCGACATCAAACGCGAAGAGTTGTTGCAGCTTGCTTGATCCAAGTCTTGTGATCGTTTTCGAATGTTTTCTTTACCTGTCAAAAGAGTGTGCTAAAGTAAATGATAGTTTTATGTTTTGTCTTTTGTAACTTGTGTAATTGGTTATGTAATTCAAAGTCAATAATATCACTCTTGATCCTTGCTCCAGCTAATATGTTCTACCGCAACGTCGTTTGGCAGTCACTACCGTCGTCGTAATTATACTTCCAAGTCTTTCTATATTTGTACGCATGTCATTTTCATGTACATAACTAAGCCTAAATTGGGGAAAAAAAAAACTAAATTAAAAAAAAAAAGACTAAATATTCCAAAGTTATTTATATAGATTTGACGATTAAAGATTTAGATTATTATTGACAAAAAAAAAAAAACGATTTAAATCATTATTGTTTGGTTAATTTTGGGCTTGAAGCAGAGCTTGCTATATAAAGGAGAGATGGCAGAATTGTCAAGACCACAGTTATAACGATCCCTCTCTTCCTTTCTAGTTTCCCGGCGCTCCGTCGTCAGTTTTTTTTTCCCTCGACGGAGACCAATTTATCCGCCGGACCTTTTTTTTCTGCTTGAATTGGAATGCCGTCTCTTTGAGCGATGAGAAAACCCTAATTTCTTGTATTAGAGAGGTGTTTTGATAAATCCCGAGCAATGAGCGCCGAGAGAGCATCATTTGAAGGCGATAGAAGAGATCCCGCTTCTTCCTCGAGCTGTTCCGACTCATACGAGTTTAGCCACGCCGCCGCCAAAGTCGCAGTAGCTCAGGTCTGCGAGAGCGTCGGCTACGAGCATTTCAAGGATCCGGCACTCGAAACTCTAGCGGGATTCGCGGTCCAGTACATTACTCAGCTAGGTAAAACTGCTACCTTTTTCGCTAACCTAACTGGTAGGAGTCAGTGTAACGTGTTCGATATTGTTCTCGCTTTGGATGATTTGACTGGAAATGTCGACGAACGGATCTCGTCTGAGAGCTGTTCTGCTGGGCGTTCGGTTAAACTTAGGGAAATCATCGATTTCGTGAATTCGAGTGAAGAAATCCCTTTTCTACAGCCATTGCCTCGTTTTCCTGTAGCTGTAAGTGATACGAGTAGGAACAAGATGATGATTCCTAGTTTTGTTGAGATTGGTGAAACCCCACCAGGGAAACACATTCCTCTTTGGCTACCAGCATTTCCTGATCCTCATACTTACAAGGAAACACCTATGTGGATCGAAAGGGCACCTGATCTTAGAGGAGACAAGATTGAACAAGCCAGGCAGAGGCGCAAGGCAGAGAGAGCTTTGTTGAGTTTGCAGAGGAAACTTGTCTGTAAAATCTCCTCAGGGAATCCTGTCTGGGGAGATTTGGATGGCGTTATGAGAGAAGCTGAGAGTGAGCTGTGTTCTGTATCGCCTTCCATGTCCGGGGAGAAAGTTGAATCATTGACCAGAGATGGCTTATCAGTGATAGAGGCCTTTGCTCCTGCCATGGAAACTGCAAGAGATGGGCTGTCCAGTGAAGCTCACACTGACGGGAAGAAGAAAAAACCGGTTCTTCTCTCTAAGCTCAGGACTGAGAAGAAGTTTCTCGGGGAACCGTTGGATCTAAGTCTGCAGATGAAGGGTGAAGATAGAGCCTTATCCTTTGTGCGTGAGGAGGATAGAGATGACAAAAGGAGGAGGGCAGAGTTCATTTTGAGACAGTGCATGGAGAACCAAGTTGACCTCAATCAGTTGTAAAAATTCATTACAGTCTGTATTAGCGTAGTTTTTTTAATTGTTCATCAAAATTGTGATTTGTAGCCTTTTTCTTTACAGGAATATGTTATGATTACGATTTTACAGGACTATTGTTATGATTCCATAAAAGAATGAGAGTTTCTAACCCATCTTTTAAGCATTGGATAAGTCTTTTCTCATGAAGATGCTTGTTTCAAAACTCTATCTTAGTTTCAATTTTCAATGTCGTTAGTTGCGTTGCATGACTACCTGCAGTTAAATCCTGTCACTATCAATGCAATTATCATCGAAGCTAAGCAGTCCGAGGTAAGTAAACTTCCTCAAGTTGACATGTGTTTGTCTTCTTCACAATGTTAGATTAAGCTTTAAAGCCTTTAACTTTATGTTTGCTTTTCCTGGTTCTAACATAAGAGAACCCGGTACAACAATAGTGTGGTTGTTCTCTTGTGACAGCTTGATAAGGTGTTCTTGTTAACTCTAGCTCAGGACTTTTTTAACTAGCCTACGGGTAGAGCATTAGTGTGTAGATTTGCCAGCTGAGCTACAGGCCTTATGTCGATGAATTGAGAGCTGAAGGTTAGTAGAAAAGTTAAGGTTAACGGGTTGAAGTATTCTGGATTGGTCTAGGATATTGGTTTGGGCATAGTCGAGAGTTAGCGACTTGTCTCGTTAATCAAGTCTCTTCTATGGTTTAGTTCTTTGGTGAATTGAATAAAGGAGTCTACAAGTTTGACTCCTACCCTAAGCTAAGGCCTTAGTTTTCAGATTCCAAACGCATGGCCTAGTTTTGTACTTATGAGTTCGTTTTCGTATGTTAACCCACTCTGATATCATCATATATAGAGGCCTTGCAGAAACATTAGTTACTATCCAAATGTGAAAAGACTTATGTTTTCAATCATCAAAGAATACAGAAATGCAACAGCTGGTTATTAAACATTGATAATAAACTCAAAGAAAGAATCTGTACTATTCTTTATAGAGTCGTCGAGCATTTCATTATTTGCAGCAGGAAGCCGAAGAATAGAATCTTTTGTGTTCGTGTGTGTTTTCAGGTGCTGCTACTACCATTGTTGGGATGCTTGATGATCCTCTGGAGAATCACAGTCCTTGCCCTTCTAATATCTCTGCTACACAAATCAGCTTGAGTCCCCAGTTCCTCTACATTCCTCTTAAACACCTCAAGCTTCTTCTTGATCTCTTCGATCCCAATCTTGACTGCTTCATGCTCCACCGCGAATTCCGCACACTTCACCATCCCCGTGATCTCGATCTCCAACCGTTCGATCAGGACACGGATAGTATCCAAGTCCTTAACCGCTACAAATGTTCCCGCCTGCATCGAACTGATCATTTCTTTCTGTCCTTTGAGTGCATTCTCATAGTTCTTCCACAGTGAATCGATCCATTTCCCCATTGAGCCCAACGGCAGAGCGGTAGCTGCAGCCAGAGCCGCAGCGACAGGTGGAGCAGCCATGGCAGCAGCCACAACAGAGCAGATGAGTACAGTGGCGAATGTAGCCACAAAGATGATGCTGGAGAGTTTTCTCCATGTGTGGATGCATTTGAGCTTCTTGTCAAGCTTGTTCTTGCGAAGCTGTAGCTTCTCAAGCATCAGCATCTGCTGTTTGTAAACAGATTGGAACATCTTGAAGAAGTCTTCGTTAAAAGGAGACTCTGCTTCTTTGAAATTCTTCAGCTCCTCGAGCGTCTTCTTGTATCCATTCCCACCTACGAATCAACACAATCAAAACAAAATGTTAAAGACAAGACAAGATGAGACTTGTTTTATAAAAATTAGAAATTCCAACATAAAAATTCATTTTCAGATCGCAAAGGACATTTGAAAACAGGATCAAAGACAAGACAAGATGAGACTTTTGCCCATCCCTAAGTAATACTACGAAAGAAAAAAAAAAAAAAAAAGAGAAATCAAAGAAGATTAATATATCGTATGAATTACCTTCAACAAGGCTCTCATCTTCAAACTGCTGAAGAGCAACAAGAATCAAAAGCTGACTATCACGAGCTTTCCTCAATCCTTTCTCCAGAGCAGCACAGAAATCAAGCGTCTTCAAGCTATTCTCAAAGTGTG